AGCTAATTCTTTTTTTATTAGAAGGCGCAATACTAGGCGCTTCTATTGAATAATAGATTATGTAAGCGTATCTCTGCTAGTTAAGAAGCTATAAGCCAAAACGTAAAAAAGCATACCCTATCCATCCGCCAGCCTAGTATACCCTATAAGAACGTGTGGAATTTTGATGAGACTGGCGTTGCACTTAGTGTATGTACTAACTAGCAGGTTATTGCAGATGCAAGGAAGAAGAAGGCTTACAATAAATCTCTAGAATTGCGCGAGTGGGTAAGCGTACTGGAGTATGTAAGCGCAGTAGGTAAGAAGCTACAGTGCGTTGTTATCTTCAAAAGCGTAAACCTCTAATCAACATGGTTTCCCTTAGGTAACACACCTAACTAGCTATACACAACCTTAATGAATGGCTAGACATTAAATGCTATTAGACTTGAGTAGTTAAGGCGTATTTTTATACCAAATACTTCACCATCAGGCAGTGGCCACCGGCTGCTTATTCTTGATGGCTATGGCTCCCACACACCTATTGACTTTATGTGGGAGTGCAAGGAGAATAAGATACACCTTCTCTACCTCCCTGCGCACACGTCGCACCTTCTTCAGCCTCTAGATCTTGCTCCATTCTCCGTGGTAAAGTCAAGCTATCGGGATGCGATCAGAGCGCTCTCCGCGCTAGATGACGCAGCACCTGTCAAGAAAGAGCGCTTTGTAACCTCATATAACTTAGCACGAGAGGAAGGGCTCTCGGGGGGAGTAATAAGAGCTGGCTGGAAGGCTGCTGGCCTTGTTCTGTTCAACAAAAAGCTAGTACTCAACTCATCTCAGATCACTGGGCGCCCAAGTACACCACCACCAGCAGATCAAGGCAGAGCTCTTCTTAAGGCAGTACTTGCTACACCAAAGAGCTCTCAGCAGCTAAAGCGCGCGCAGCAGGCGCTGCTAGGATCAGAGAACCTCTCGCGAAGCACCCGGGAGGTTCTCACCAAAGCAGCTAAGGCAATTGCTATCACCAACGCTAGAGCTGCTGGGCTAGAGGCTGAGAATTAACAACTCAAATATCAACTAGATAGTACTAAGACCACACGGGTAAGAAAGCGCGTTTAAATTGACCCAAATGAGCGCTTTGCAAACGTTGAAGCGATCAAGGCTGCGATGGCTCTGGCTGCTGCTCAAGAGGCAGAAAACGCTGCCAAAAATCCAGAAAAAGAAGCTGAGAAAGCAGCTAAGGAAGCAGCAACCTGCACTCTTGATTCTATGTGTACAGTATACCAATTATAAGCGTTGTGGTTAAGTTATCGCGATTCAAAGTGAGGTAGTTACATTTGGTTGGGTGGCCGGGAAGTACGGGTGGCCGGAAAGCACCTTACCCAGCTTATCTGGTCTTTCGCGCGACGTGAGAAGGTCCCGCCAGTTGGACCCACTCACGACTGCCCCTCCACGGCAAGCGCGTACACTGCGGGGCAGCAACAATCGCGACTCTTTGAGAGCTCCCATCACCACCACAAGACCGCCACAATGTTCAAGAAAGAGTGCGCACATCCCTCCTCCCTGATGCCCCAGCTAACAAACCGCAGCATCTCGGCCGGCGCGAAGTCGAAAGTAAAGTCAAGTATCCAGCGCGCTCTGCGTTCAAAAGTACTCGAAACCTACCCCAAGCTCGAACCGTACATCGAAGACATCCTGCCGAAGAAGGAGCAACTCGACCTCGTCAAGTTGCCAGACCGTGTCTCGCTGTACACCCTAAACGCAACGCCGCTGTTCTTTCAGCACATGGACGACGCGCTGCTCCCACACCTGACGCTCGTGCACAAATACCCCACGGCGTTCCACCGCCTGCGCATCGACCGCGGCGCAATCCGGTTCGTGCTGTCGGGTGCGGCGCTCATGGCGCCCGGTACGACGAGTCCCGGGGGCAGGCTGCCAAGCAAGGAGCTGAGCGCGGAGGATCAGGAGAAGTATGGGAGTGAGAATCTAGAGGCGGGGACGGTAGTAGTTGTTGAGGCGGAGGGCAAGGAAACGGCGTGTATGGTGGGTGTGCTGAAGATGGGAACCGTGGAGATGCGGGAGAAGAAGAAGGGGCAGGCGTGTGAGGCGGGGCATTACCTCGGAGATGGACTGTGGACCATGGCTTTGTGAGGGTGCTAAAGTCTGGAATATGGCGTAGCAGATGAGTATTGTCCGGCGTATCTGGCCAGGGAAGAAGTAGCACGGTCCCAAAAGCATGCACCAGTACAGCATCAAGGATTAGCGTTGTTGGACACATGACATGACAATGGAGACTTTGATATGAACATGGTATCATTATTTATGGGCAAAGTCACCTGTGCATGTACTCGCCTTGTTCATTCGTCGTGAAATGCATTGTGCAAGATCTGACCAACACCACTCTATTGTGGTGCTCCGCGGCCAGCACCGCCAGCACCACCCATGAAGTTGCGTGCCATCTCGGCGATGCTGGGGTCATTCATGAGGCTGGCAAGATCTGGCATACCACCAGCACCAGCACCACGTCCAGCGCCAGCACCTGCACCGGCCCCTGCACCTGCACCCGCACCTCCACCGCCGCCGGCACCGAACTGCTGCGCCATCTCAGCTACCCTGGGGTTGCTCATGAGATTGTTCATCATGTCTGGGTTGCTCATCAGGTTCTGCGCCATCTGCCTCATCATGGGGTTCTGCATCAGACCAGCGAGGTCGGGCATTCCGCCACCTCCTCCGCCGCCGCCGCCGCCGAGCATGCCAGCGAGCGAAGACAAGTCGGGCATGCCGCCTGCGCCAGCACCGGGTGCGCCTCGCGAGGCCTCAGGAGCGCCGACATCACCGCCCTCCTCTTCGTACTTCTTCTTGGCTGTCTCGTAGCCCTTGCGCATAACGTCTGAGCCGCCGCCCTCGGCATCCATACCCGCCTTGTATGCATCCATAGCACCCTTTGCATCGCCTAGAACGTACTTTGCGAGGCCGAGACGCGACCACGCCTTGGAGTAGTTGGGGTCGGCAGCGACGGCCATCTCGGCGTCCTCCTTGGCCAGCTCGTGCTTGCCCATGCCTGAGTGTGCGGCGGCGCGGTTGGAGAGGTAGATGGGGTTGAGGGGAACGACGTCGAGGGCGGCGGTGTAGTGCTTGACGGCGGCGGCGTAATCCCTCTTCTTCATGGCCTCGTTACCGAGACCCTTGAGGCGCTCTGCCTCGTCCTTGTTCGGCCCACCAGGCCCCGATGCGGTCGCGGCGGGTGTCTGGGGTGTTGCAGGGCGGGCCTCGGTCGCGGACGAACTACCCTCTGTCGAGGCGGTGGTCTTGCCCTTCAGCTTCTCGTAGACGTTGTAGATCGACAGGAGGTTCTGACCGCCAAGCGCGTCTTTCTTTGCGGCGACATCATCGATGTCGACCTCGAAGGCTTCAGCAATACAGTTGGCGGCGACCTCAAGCTGCTCGGCGTTGTCAGGCGTTACCGAGCCATCCGTCTGTGAAGTCTGGAGGAAGTCGAGGATTGCGAGCGCAAGGCGCTTCTTGGATTGGTGGGTGGTTGCCTGTGTTATAAGAACGTGTTCACGTAGCTCGCTGGCGGGGTAGAAACTCACCATGACGGCGATTGGATCTTTTGTGGGTTATGAACTGGCAAGCTTCAGTGTGGACAGACTCAGTAGCTGCCTTTCTGGGTAGGAATATGTGAGGATGCGGGCTGAGGTGTGGAGCGAGTCCTGTGGTGTGGACTCGAAGCTTCGATCGTTCATGGTGGGGTCATGCGCTAGCTTTCAGGTGGGGTGTGCACTTTCACAACATTCTCGCTGAACGTCCAACCCGGATATGCTTCAAAGTCATCGGCGACCTCCACATAGACTCGCTCAGCGTCGAGTCTGGACATATTGTAGATCTACAAAGCTTGGATGCCTCTGTCTCTGCACTTCTTTCGTGCCATTGTGCTCACCGCCATCAGGCTCACAGAAGTACCCTGATTGATTTCAATCGATTGCTGAACAGTCGTCAGGTATTCAAGGAAATCATGTATCTCATCAGACACTTGAATCGGATCCAGAAGATTCACCTATACCTGGATATCAATGACATGACCGGTATTGCTGCGCAGATTGCAGCTGAGGCTCGCTGCTAGAATCATAAGCAGGGCTTCTTGCAACCTGACACGGCTTCGACAGCGTTCAAGTTCCGATCTTTTGAGTTTAGGAAGGACTGTCTCTTCCTCTTGTATCATCAAGACACGACTACAAGGCGGTGCAAAGTTCAAAACGTTCGTACAACACCACATTGATGGAAATGTCACATAGACAAAGCCAGCGAGGGCAAAATTCCCAGTATGTGTGTAATTCTATGCCAACGTCAATGCGACTGCTTGAGGTTGTCACCAACAAAGTCGGTGGCCATGTGCAGAGGCCTACAGGGAATGTCTCATTGACAAGCTTGGGAGACGAAGGATCATTTTGCAGTCTGGGGCTCCTAGAAGACTCCGAAGTCATGTTTAGCGCTCTGTTTCGACATGTAGCCGAATTGAAGCGTTGTGACAAGAGAGGATATCATGCATTGCTTGATCGCTGCGCATAGCTGCCGCCCGAGAGAACTACCTACTGAGGTGGAACTGTACAATGTATTTCAAACCAGCGCTCTACAAGACGATGCCGGTCGTCTGGTAATTTTGTCTCCGCGCAGGATCTCGCGCCGAAATGGCGCAAACTACATCCACCACTATCACGACGCTCTAGCTGTCTCATTTTGAGAGACAATCACCTGCAAGCTATGTTTCTTCCCTGATATCGTTCGGAAGAAAATCACGTAGTTTGAATGGATCCCTTCATCAATCTACATGAGGACGGTAAGCTGCTATGGTTAAGTATGTTTGCTGATGAGTATAGACCGAATCACGGTAGGAGTAAGAGTACCGCTGCTTTCTGCAACCCATGATCCAACAAAAGCAGCTCTGCAGTCACGAGAAATTCAGTTGAGAAAGAAAAATTCATTGCACCATGACGCCCAGAGAAGGTTTGTTGCCCTGATGTAAAACTATAGAACAAATATTGTTGCATGACCCTCAAAACACAATTACTATCGCAGTTCGAGACTTAAAATGGGGTTCAATCAGACACAGCTGCTAGAATTTAGCAGATTGACGAGGTGCGTTTTATATTGAAGCATAGCGGCTAAAAAATGTGCTCAAGCCCCTCGTTCAGGTCTCGCATGCTTGAGACGCAGAAGCCACGCCCAAGGATCATTTGATGCGACGTCGTCGTGCCTGCCCGCAGGTGAGAGTCGTGTGTCGTTTCGGATTTCGGGAGGCACAACCGGACGTGACCCCCACGCTTGCCCGTCAACATCTCAACACCAGCGCCAAATACAAGCGTCACCCGCGTGAAGTGGAACCTTGAAACGAAGAACTGCGCCGCGCTCCGTGATGCGCTCCGCGGCTCAATTTCGGCGAAGGAGAATTGCGGATCGGGCTCCCAGCCCAATGGTACCAGATCGCTGACTGAATCGGTGAATCAGTGGAGGCAGGTGCTAGGCTCTGCCGTTTGCCAGGAAACATGGGAATGCGTGCGCAACCCACCTTAAGGAAGCAGTCGCAGGAACAGAGCCCTTGTGTGAAGCACGATCGCTTTGAAAGTACATATTTTGATTGATCGATATGGTGTGGACATAATCTACCTGCACCACGCCCAATGCAAGCCCATCTCGCAAGGGTATATACCACATAGATTACGCCGAAAATAGCCAGAATCCAACGCCAATTATGCTGAACGCTCAGGATACCAGCTCTGCAGATGCGACCGGAAACAGTAATAGCAGACGAAAGAATCTTAGTTTGAAGGCTACCGCGAGACAAGCACCTTGTCGACAGCGGCAGATGCAAGCTGAGACACTTCCTCAATATTGCCCTTGACTTCAACGATCTCGACGTCCTTGAGTTGTTTGACTTCGAGCTCGTCGGGCTCCTCGAGCGCCGCGAACTGGCTCTCGACCATGCTATCCTTCATGTAGTGACCTTGCCTACCGCGGACGCGGGCGAGAAGAGTCTCCTTGTCGGCGCGGAGGTATACGAAGTGCACGTTGGCGTCTGGCTCCTCGTCATACAGCTTGGCGGTCCGGATGACATCTCGGTACTTCTTCTTCAGAGCGCTGCAGGTGATGACGACGCCCTTTGCACCGTTCTTGAGGTCCTTCAGAGCTTGGTCGCGGAGAAGAATCAGCCAATCCCAGCGGTCTTCGTCGTTCAGTGGAAAGCCGGCTGCCATCTTGTCGATGTTGGCTTTTGGGTGATACTGTGTTCTTTAGTTTGAAGTTCAAATAGGCTGCATGACACGTCATACCTCGTCGCCCTCGATGTATTCAAATCCATAGCGGTCGCTGAGATACTTGGCAATAGTGCTCTTCCCGCAGCCTGCTGGACCGGTGACGATGAGGATGTGGTGACGGTGAGGAATGGTCATTTCTGTAGTCTTGCTCAGGTTTGCGGACGAAGTTGAGGGTGAACCGGCTGTGGATGTTGGAGGTGTAGGCAACGACGCATAGTGTACTGGTGTGGAGTGTGCTTGCTCGAAAGTTTGCAACATGATTAGTGTTTAGTAAGACACGCGAGTGAGTTTGCTGATGGACAAGCTGATGGGCAATCTAATAGACGATCGAAGGTGGACGTTCAATACAGGAGTTGGCGTTATGCTGGGGAATATATAGTACTGAGATTGGACGTAACGCGAGACACTGGGCACAGGTAAGCAAGAGCGGCAGTTTCTCATTTAAGTTGGGGCAGGGCGCATTATAAAACGTGGGTGCACGTCTGGAAATTCCTCCCGCCCATGACGGCAAGGGTGGGATCAGAGTTTGGGACCACAGTTCGGGGTGCCAAGGCTTGATGTCACTACGAATAGCGTCGCGTGCGAATCAGCGGGCACTGTGCGGTCGCTGCTTGGACCAACCTGGAGGTAGAAGCTGGCGGATGTGACTGCCCGCACATTAGGTACTGCCGTGTCCGGCCATACCGGGTGCGATCAGGAAAAAAGGAGTTCGTCTGTAGGTATCGGCGTTTGAAAGTTTGAGCGTGCCGCCGCGCGTGGGATGATGCAGTAGTGGCGGCTGGAGACCCCGCAAACCTTGGAATCCACCCCGGTCATCGTCAGGCACTGGTGCATCTTGCATGTTCGGCACGCTTCTGCCAGCGCAGCATCCGGCTCAGCAGTGATGGCTGTTCACTGCTCTGGGTTGAAGACACGCTGCGCACAGTGTCAGCGATGGGCTCAGCTGGTCACTTTTGGGCTGAACACATCGGGGAGAAGTTGTTGGCTAATAGCGCGTGGGGGTTACGAGAGGCACTGAATTTTCCGGGCCGGTCAGGGTCGAGCCTGAGCCTTGAACAGTGACGGGTCGTATGGGCAAACCGCCAGGAGACATTATGCTGGAATCCTTCTAGATGCGCTAGAGCAGCGCCATTCTCCGAAGCAGCACATCCCGAGGCTGTGTTGAATCGCGCCTCGCCGCTGCACAGCATTGGTATGCAGAGAAGGCGCTTTGTAACCAGACCTGATGCTCCCTGCCACCAGAACTGATACAACGGCCCGCGTGACAGTTCTGAGACGCGGTCAGAGATGACGTGGAACCACGGCAGCCTGAGTCGAGGGCAGGATTGTGATGATGCAACTGCAGAACTTGCGGGGAGCCCTCACGTGATGCGACTAGGCTAGATGCGGATAGCACTGATCGCAGCTGGGGAGCTACGCAACAGCATCGCGACCGCGCAGGCCACCGACGAGACGCTGACAGCCACATTGCAAGCCAGGAACGCGCCAGGGTACCCACCGCGCCCTCGCCGCCATGTCCTACTTCTTCTCCACCCCGGTCGACATTGACGTTGTCCTCGAGGACCTGGACGACCGCTCCGCCGTAGACGTCAAGCTCGATAAGAATCGCAAAGAGAAGGTGCCATTGTATCTGGATGGCGAATCTGTCAAGGGGCAGGTCACAGTCAGGCCCAAGGATGGCAAGCGGCTAGAGCACACGGGCATCAAGGTGCAGTTCATTGGAACCATTGGTAGGTAGCCTCTGCCTCAATGCTGGCGCCTGGAATATTGGCATATGATAAGGGAGTAATGCTGATTCATTTTGGCGCAGAGATGTTTTTCGATCGCGGAAACCACCATGAATTTCTCTCTCTCGGCCAGGAGCTTGCTGCGCCCGGCGAACTCCAGCACCCCCAGACCTTCGAGTTCAACTTCAAGAATGTCGAGAAGCAATACGAATCGTACAACGGCATCAATGTCAAGCTGCGATACTTTATTCGCGTGACAGTATCGCGCCGAATGGCGGATGTCGTCAGGGAGAAGGACCTGTGGGTGTACTCGTACCGGATACCACCAGAGACGAACAGCTCCATCAAGATGGACGTTGGTATTGAGGACTGCCTACACATCGAGTTCGAGTACTCGAAGTCGAAGTATCATCTGAAGGATGTCATTGTCGGCAGGATATACTTTCTCTTGGTACGGTTGAAGATCAAGCACATGGAGTTGTCAATCATAAGAAGAGAGACAACAGGAGCTGCACCGAACCAGTACAACGAAAGCGAGACTTTGGTACGGTTCGAGATCATGGACGGCTCGCCATCAAGAGGTATGGTCCAGAATGTTAGGTTGCATGCCATGTACTGACGCAGCTGCAGGAGAGACAATACCTATTAGGCTATTCCTCGGCGGTTTCGACCTCACGCCCACTTTCCGAGAGGTCAATAAGAAGTACTCGACCCGCTATTACTTGAGCTTAGTGCTCATTGACGAAGGTGCGCATCTTCAGGTTGCATTTCGTAGGCCTGGCTAACGTGGATCAAGATGCGCGACGCTACTTTAAGCAGTCTGAGATCGTTCTCTTCAGACAAGCACCAGAGGGCTTGACGTTAGCTCAAGAACAGAACAAGCTGATGGCAGTACCCTGAGTACAATTGCCGAGCACTTCCTACGGCTGTCAATTACCCGAGCGCCGGCACATGTGCGAGATACCTGCGTAACGCGAGGCCCCATGCATATTTCAGATACGAGCGCATGACTAAACAGACAATAGGGCTGAGCCAGCTGAGCATCCCCGCATTCTGCAACTCAATATCCTTGGACATGTAATATGTACCAGTGCAATAATAATACCTACCAATACTAAAATGGCAACCGGCGAATCTGGCAATTCTCGCCGTGCCCCCACGTGTCTAAGTGTCGTCACGCTAAGAACATGCACAGCCCCTCTCGCGGCACTCGGCCCAGTGCGCTATGCTTCGGAGGAGTTGCCGCCGGGAGGGTATTGTTTCGGCACTCGAGCAGCCGTGGCTCTGAACTCGAAGGTGCTCGCATTTCTTCTCGGCGACGCAGCGATGCACCACCTGAACAATGCTGCACTTCCCACAGTACATGCAGCAACACCCAGATACATGACATGCTCAACATTCCAAGGGTTGGACCCAGTACAGTGACATACATGCGTACCCGCGATTCAGCTGCGACACAACTTTCAATGCCTCTGACACTGATAGATCCCTGGATCGACTCAAACGACTGCAATCGTGGCAGGGGCTGAGCGATCGGCGATCCAATGAAGCCCACCATTCCCGTCCGAGAATGCCATCTTCTCCACGTTGACTTCCCGTTACGTCCGGCGCCGTCTGTTGAGGCTCTTCTCGGTTCATGTATCCGGTGCCATTTATCGAGACCAGCTCACAGTCATTCATGGGCACAAAATCCTCAGGAACGGCCACGATGAGATGCAAGGGAACCCTTCCAGCCCTTATACCTTCTGCTCAAGCTGCTAGGTCGTGTTCAATGCGTCATTCCAAGGAGACTGCTTGCTGCCGCGCCGCGGATGCACTGCAAACGCTCCTGTTGTGATGCTGATGAGGACATTTCGGCCACTTTTTGCTTTGTGATCGACATTGTGATCAACAGCAGACCCTGTACGCTTACAGCGCAGCCATTAAGACGACGTTCATGACTAGAGCATCCACATTCTACAGCCTATTGCAGTCAGAAATTATGGGTCAGATGAACAGAAGAGTAAACTTACTATTCGCTTCTTGGGCATAAAGTGCGACTTTGACCGAGACATAGGAGCCGATTTTGATGCGATGACGTCGCATATGCAATTCTTTCGCTTTCGCATGGTTGGCATGAAAGTTTCCCATCATTATTTGAACCATCAAGCTTCCCCCATCGAATATCGGACAAGTTCACCGAAGACTTCTCAGCATGGCAGAATCTCATCCTAACACGTCTGGTATGTTCCCTGCATCAACCGAGCATCAGTACTTTGGCTTCTGCGATTCCGAGGCCGCTCAGTGATCGCATCAAACGACGTATCCTTATCTCTGACACTGATTGAATATTTCTGCAGAGCCACAGACGTACTTCGAACAACGATTCAATAGCCAGTTACAGCGGCCACCTCCCCGATCGGTTCGCGGTGCAGACACGGCAACCAGCATTGCAAAAATAGCGACAGCTGGTCTTGATACACCATACAGTCTGGCACAAACGAACAATCGCACCAGCAGAAGACCAGCCACCATGCAGCGAAGTGCAACTAACGGAACCGTGGGGACTAGCGATACTCAATGGCTTGCAAAGAAGCAGCAACAGCTGGTAGACGTAGAGAATGAGTACTTCAGGCTCAATCCATGGTACAACCAGCAAAAAGAGAAGCCAGTCTTCGGCCTCGGTCAGCCTCTTCCGCATACCATGCGTCGCGGAATGTGGTGGGGTAAGAGCGATTTGAAGAAGCGGATGGAGGAGCTTGAGGCAGAGCAGGCGGACGTTCAAAAAGGCATTGATGCGCGTGATGGGCTGGATATGGCGGAAGAGAAAGGTGTGTTTGCCTCCATACATGTTGATATTAGCCACTGCTAATTGACAAAACAGAGTCTGAAGGTGGGTCAAATGGCTCTCAGACTCCGCTTCGACCAGGACAGTCCTCCCAGCAGGCCTACAGTGCAGACATTCAGTCCTATAGCAAAGGGCGTATGCCGAACGTGCGTCGACCAACATCCAATACCCACTCCATGGCCGGCAAGCAGCGGAATGATGACTCGGCTCCAGAGAATGCTCCAGTCAACAAGCATGGATTGGATGAAGCCGACCAAGGCAACAACGGGAGAAACAACTTTGGTCTCCAGGATGGCCTCCATCCCCTCCGAGAACTCGACACAAGTGAAACAACGCAAACTCAGAAGGAAGAGAAAGAGGAACAAAAGAAAGAGCACGAGCAACAGCAAGAATACTACAACCAATATCGCAACCCAATTGCGAGACTTCGAGCACAATACCCTCAGGCACCGGCCGAATTCCTAGCTGTAAGAGGACCAATTCCATCGGATCGAACATGACTGACCTTTGCAGACGTTCATATACCTGTTTCTCGGAATATGTGCCAACCTTTCCATTGCGACTTCATCCGAATCCACTGGCAATTTCGAGACGCAAGCCTGGGCGTGGGGTTTCGCTGTGACAGTAGGCATCTACTTATCTGGTGGTGTCTCTGGTGGCCATCTTAGTCCTTGTATTACGATTGCGCTTTCGATCTTCCGTGGTTTCCCGTGGCGGATGGCCATCGTATACATAGCCATGCAAATGCTAGCTGGCCTGGCTGCAGGCGGTCTGGCGTATGGGTATGTCGATGCACCGCCTCCATCTCGACGATATTCGCACTGACTTGAAGTAGGATCTACTATGATGCGATTAACACTATGGATCCACGGCATACGCTCGACATAACAGGCAAAGCCCTCTTTCCTAAGGGTCCCGCATTTACACCAACAACAGCATTCCTCAACGACTTCGTCTTCATGGCAGTGTACACCTGCATCGCCTTCGCTCTGGGAGACGACCAGAACTCGCCTCCCGGCCAAGGCATGACGGCTTTGATATTTGGCTTCATGGGGTACCTGATGACAGTCTCCCTCGGCTACAACACCGGACTCGGCATCTCGCCTGCACGCGACTTAGGTCCCAGGCTTGTTGGCCTGTGGGCAGGCTACGATGCGTTCAGCGATTCCTATTGGGCTTATGGACCTTTTGGTGCATCGACGAGCGGTGCAATATTTGGGGCCTTCATCTACGATCTGTTCATCTTCGCGGGTGGAGAGTCGCCGGTGAACTACAGGTGGCCGCAGAAGGGCGACATCAAGTGGAAGGTGCACGAGAAGAAGAAGCAGGTAAAGAACAAGATTCAAAACGCAGTATAGAGCGCGTTGACGAGGATAATTCAGTTCTTTGACAAGAACGTTGCACGCGTCAAGTGATGTTTGCTGATGCCGGGAATAGTGATAAACTCAACGGAAACAAGGCGCGTCTTCTTCCGTCATCCCTTCCTGCGTCCTGACTGGATCTCGCTATCTCTCCGCTAGACTTGACTTCTCGCGCGGCTGATCACAATGATTCCAAAACAGTAGTTGTGCCCACGATGTATGGCCTGGCCGAACCTCATACATGCAGCCTGCTTGTCCTTGTTTTGTGTCCCCGTCCTCTACGACCACGATGCGGCGGCAATAGCGTTCTTCGACTTAACGTACAATTACGCACACTGAGCGTCTGAATAGTGGTCCCAACACTCAGCGCTCTTGAAATGTCATCAGAAGGAAACTCGTCGCCAAATGCGACCATGGAGAAACAGGAAGAGCATGACAACAGCTCACTTGCGGTCGGCTTTCGGGAGCGTGTCAAACATGTCACTTGGGCCTGGTTCCTGTCGATGATGTCAACTGGAGGGCTCTCAATCGTACTGGCAGAGACGCTGCATAAGTTTCGCGGTATGCACGGCTGCCAAACTTCCGATGATCAGAGCCCACCCGCCTGAAGGTCTCCACACAATCGGTCTCATCGTCTTCTTCTCCGATCTGTGCCTTTTCACCATCCTATGTATCTGCATGCTGGCCCGAGCCGTGCTACACTTCCACTACTTCAAGAAATCGTTCACTCACCCAGCAGAGTCCTTCTTCCTTGGCTCCTTCCTCAGCATAAGCGTCATCATCGGCTCCACACAACTTCACGGCATTACGTATGGTCCCGGCTACCCATGGCTCATCTCTACCATCAACATATTGTACTGGGTATACGCTGCCATTTCGCTCCTCAACTCGCTCTTCCAGTACCACATCCTGATGGCAAAGAGCGCCGTCCGACCAATTCCATTTCTACCTAGCGCATTCCCAGCAGGCTACTCCACGATGCTGACAGGCACCATATCCTCACTCATCGCTGGGAGGCAACCTCCAGGCCACGCAGCAGCCATTATTGTATCCGGTTGCGCATACCAAGGTTTCAGATGGATCATATCACTCATCTGCAATGCATTCGTTATCAAGAACCTCATGGAGAACGGCCTGCCACCACCGCAAATGCGTCCGGCCTTTTTCATACCAGCGGGCGCTGGCGCCTATACAATAGTCGCTCTGATTGGGCAGGCGAATGCTATCCCCGAGTCGTACGAATACTTTGCTGCTCATCCGGGAACGAAGAGCATATTGCAGACTCTAGCGCTATTCTCTGGAATATTTTTATGGTTGTTCTCTTTCTATATGTTCGCTATTGCCGTCGTGGCGAATGTCAGTGTTGTGGGTAAGATGCCCTTAGCGCTAGCGTGGTGGGCGTTCATCTTCCCAAACGTCGACTTTACTTTGTCTACAGTGATGATCAGGATAGAATTAGAGAGCGAGGGGATACTCTGGGTTGGCAGCGTAATGACGGTGTTCTTGGCCGCTATCTGGTGTGTTGCATTTGTTGGTTGTGTGCGAGCTGTGTGAATGAAGCGCATCGTATGGCCGGGCAAGGATCGATGAAATGACAGGGCGTATGTGGACCGTCTTACAATTGCGGAAAGATTGTGAGGGTTTAACCGGAACCACTTGTCGGGCCGGACAACGGGTGATTTGCTACTGTATCTCAGCGACTACGCAAGGCTTCATCCGGCAAGAGGGCTGATGGCAACAAAGAGATCCCACATCGCTAATTTTTTATTGCTGCAGCAATGTATTCGAAAATCTGTACTACCGCGAGGCCAGCGGAGCCAATCAAATTCCTCAATATTACACGATCAAAGGACCGAGATGAGATCTCGTTTTTTTGGGCCCTTCGTAAAGTACAAATTTCTGTCGCACGGCCTGTGTCGGCGGACGGAGCTCAGGATCTGAAACGTGGCATGTGTGCGTTACCTTTTACGAAGAATCCTTCTGGACGTTTTATGTTGGTGTAGTCCGGCTCGTGCAGGTCCTCGGTGGCACGCTGGCGATCATCGTGAACTCGGCAATGAGAAGCTCACCGATATCAATATCGCCGGCGAGTTCGAGTGCTGCGGCAACAAAATCATCCACACCGGAAGCTGCGGATGCTTCGGCTGCGCCCAATCCAACCGGCGCTGCTTCAGGTCACACTCATCCAGCTGGCCATCTTCTTCCAGACTCTCCAGTGATGCTGTAGCAGGCATCGTCATCGGCTCGTTTGACTCTGTTCGCGGCCTTCTTCTTAGCTTGCCTTGCAGTCATGTGGATGGAGGAGGCGCCAGCCGCCCTTGAGACTGGGATAATGCCTGCATACACAGCACAGCATTGGGTATGGACCTGCAGCGTGTGCGCATGTTCATCAAGGGAAAGTCCATGACAGTGCCCCGGCACATGAGCCTTCCAGCGGAGCTTTGAGGATTGCATTGCCAGCGACTGCGACGAGGTAAAAGTTGGTGAAGTATGACTGGTAGAAATCACGAAGTGTGGTAGGTGAATTGTAAAGCTGAAGCGGACTTAGGTAACGGTGATCGAGCATAAGCCCTGTTTACCTCGAACCGGCAGGCCTACCACTTGCACTGGATGTCACAACCGAAAACATCTGGACAACATCTACTGTCTAGCGATGTACGAGGCCGCCCGGGCACCGTATCAGTGTTGTACGTTACCCGGAGCCTCCACCATTTCCCTCCACATTCGGGACCACATTCCCGACTCCACGCATACACCACCTCGACATCAGCACACCTCAGCACACCTCGCAGCGCCGTCTCCGCATGGACCAAACCGGCCCATCCAGTCCTGAACATTCATCGCAATTCCCAAAAATCAGCCCCCGCTAATCCAACAAAATCTCACAAACACACCCACAATGCACATTCTCGGTCTCGCCAATGGCAGCATCAACGGCAACTCGACCATCCTCCTCAAAGCCGCGCTGCAGGCCGCCTCCCTGTCCAGCCCGGAGACAACAACGTCCTGGATCCACATCCCGTCTGTATCGTACCCGGCGAACGCAGGGCCGCTGAGCCACGCGCAGGACGTCAGCATGGGCGCGAATGCAGGAAACAACGCGCACGGGACTTCTAGCACAAAGGTCGAGACGGTGGATGACCGCAAGGCGCTGTATGAAAGCATCATGGACGCGGATGCGATTCTGTTTGCGACAGCGGTGTATTCGCACCAGCCCGCAGGGAGTCTCAAAGCGGTTCTGGATAAAGTGCTAGGGCCGTACACAGACCCTGCGTTTGCGAGTCGCATCCTTGCCGGGCAGCGCGCAGGGGATGCCAAATTCGCGGCGATGAGCGTCGACACGCGCATCCTCAAGCCAAGGGTCTGTGGGTTCATGGCCGTCGGCGGCTCTACGACGCCAGACCAGTTCACGATGGCGCTCCCCACGCTGCATCTCTTCGCGTACAGTCTGCACGCGCGCGTCATCGACCAGGCGGTCGTGATGAGCTGCGCGAACCCCGGTGCGGTGGTGGACGCGGAGGACGGCGCGGTGATGACTCGGGCGGCGGAACTCGGGCGTAGGGTTGCGAGCCAGTTGGGCAAAGCTTTTGATGAGGCGGTGTATCTGGGGCCGGAGGTGGAGGGAGGGTGTCCGCATTGCCATCTTGCCAAGTATGATTTCTTCGGGGGCGCGGAGGGCCGGATGGGGTGTGTCGTGTGTGGGAATACGGGGCGGTTTATTGTTAGGAATGGGAAGGTGGGTGTTGAGTGGGATGAGGACAGTGATTATTGCTGCATTACGTGGCGGGGCAAGGAGAAGCATATCGATGATATTTTTAAGAACGGGAGCAAGGAGTGGAAGGGGTTGCAGGGGAAGAAGGAGGAGCTGGAGAAGTGGAGGGCGTTGGATGTGGGGCGGGTGACGCTGCCGAGTGAAGAGCAGGCGGGTGTTGTGAGCGCTGTGGCTCAGATGCAATTATAACGTGAACTATGGTGGTATAGACAGAGTTGGCGCTATGCAAGTTACGAGAATGCGATAATGGCGAATTACGACGCAGTGACGAGCACATAGCTTGTTATGGCGTCCATCCTCTCCTTTGTCAGCTTCAAGCCAACCTTGAGCATCTCCCTTGCAACATCCGGGTCCTCCCTCTCCAGCTTATTGAATTGCTCTCTTGTGAGCAGCCACGCAACACTGTCGTTCTCAACCGCCACAGTGCCAGTGCGGTCCGTCTCACTGAAAAAAGGCAGCTCCCCACAAGTTGTTCCAGGCAAGATGACCTCAAAGAAGCTGCCCTGATCAAGCTCGTACTCTGCGCGGAAACGTCCCTTCTCCAGGATGTAGAAGCCGTCTGGGTCATCGCCCCGTGAGTAGAGAAGTGAGCCAGCAGCAAATTCGCGGCGCGAGAAGTATGGTGCTGCGATATGCCAGAAGTCTTCATTCTTGGGCGACACGTCTTCAAAGGTCTGAAGGATGATCCGGAGAGGCTGTGCGAAGTTCTTCCAGCGCGACGGAACAAGCTGTGTGGAGGGTGCGGACTCGGTGTGGCTAGAGGTGTCCGGGAAAGAAAGGTCGGAGTGGGAATGAGAGCTCTGTGAAGACTCGCGCATGGTGGAGCGAGCGGCCATGAGGCGTGCGCCACGGCGAGGTGAGGCAAAGTCCGGGTTGAGTGAGCTTGGCCCGAGAGATGACGCTGGGGAGCCACCGGACGGAATAGGTTCAGAGCTGAGGTTCTTGGCTCCATTGATGGACATGGGTGGAGTGATCTGGCGCTTCTTGACATGCGTGCTGCAATGCCTGTGGAAGACTTCGAGGAGCTCGTTCTCGCAAGACTCAAGTGCCGTGTTGAGATCCTCAAAGACCTGAGGCGGGGGCGCACCCTCATCCTCTGCCTCATCGAGCAGACCTACACTCTGAAGAGACTTGCCCACGTCATTGGTGAACGAGACACCAGAGAGACTCATCTTGACGTTCTTGCTGTTGAGGATTCGATTAATGCGCTGGAAGCCCTCACATCCAGAGAAGTCGACAGCGGTGACGTGCGTGAAGTCGACAACGATGAAGCTCACTGGTTGCTCCTCGAAGGTATCGTCGTCAATCAGCGATCGTAGGTTCTCTTCAACAGACACGATCGTTCCAAAAAAGAGGAAGCCACCCAGCTTCACAACACGGATCTGGCCTCGGACCTTGTTGAGGTAACGAACATCGGCTCGAGGTCGTCGCACGGTCGATTCTGCCACAACGCCGCTGTATGATCCGCGAATAGCTGGGTGACGTGAGCTCTGGACCACGTAGCTCACGCAGGCGAGTACTATGCCCACAAAGATACCCACGACGAAATCATGGATGCCCATGATCAGGACGATGGCGACGATGGTGAGATACTCGAGCTTGTGGCACTTGCCAAATGTGTCCCACAGTGCCTCTTTCATGAGGTCGATTCCGAGGAGGAAGATGAGAGCGCCAACCAAGCAGATAGGAATGTAGCCAATCATTGCTGGACCGGCGATCCATACGGCACCTGTTGCAAGAGCCAGCAGTGAGCCAGCGATGCGGCTGTCGCCACCGTTGGCAATGAACATGACGCTGTTGGCGTAAACCAAGTAGTTCTGAGATCGTGTAAGCTATGAGTTGAACCATGTAAGCATCTGGCACATACCTGAATACTTCCAACGAATCCAGAGAGGGTATTGGAGATACCATGCGCAATCAGCTCGCGATTGACATCAAGGTTGTCCTCTTTCACCGCAGCACCCAGGGCTGGCACATTGATGGGCACGTGAATGATGCCGAAGAACGACAGGGCAAACATGGTCGGTATGCAGCTAGCCAGCGCCGATACATCGATGAGCCAGAATTCTACACCAGCATTAGTATGACTGCGACCCAACATCCAAGTATGCACTTACTGAAGTAAGAATAGAAACGGTAGAACTTGACACCCGCCTCGGGCTGCTCAAAGATCCAGCCAGCATTACGAGCGTCTTCCAGATCGACGCGGAAGATGCCCTTGACGAACACATAGAAGGTAGCAAAGATGAGAACGAAAAACGCCGGCAAAACGAAAGGACTCTTTACCATGCGCTGCATAAGCATGATCGAAATGGCCAAGACAAGTGGGATAATCCAGAGGTACCATGTATCGGCCGAGAAAAGCCTCTGGAGCGTGGCAAGATCGTAGTTCAGGTTTCCCTCAATGCGAGCAGAAACCTCGATACCGGTGACGCACAAGAAGAAGCCCACACCGCCAATGCAGCCGATCAGAATATGTCTGGGGAAGAAGCTGACCAGAGTGCCGAGTTTGAAACCACCGAGGGCGAGGAAGATGAGGCCGGTAAGGATGGAGCTGAGGCAGTAAGATGTGATGGTGGTGGCCATGATGGCTTCAGGCGACTCGCCCTCCATGCGCTCCATGATGGAGTAGGCCATTTTGTGGAAGAAGGGGACGACTTCGATCATCTCTGAACCAACACCGCCACGGAAACTGGACAGACCAAGCGAGTAGCATAGCTGCGACACTATGCAGCTGACAAAGAATATGGAGATGCCGTCTGGACCGGTCTGGCTGAACACGGGAGCTCCAAGGGGAAACAGAATGTAGCCATAGGAAAGCGCGTCCAAGATATTCAAGAGCAATCCAAGGAAAACGGCAGTCAGCGTCTGCGCGCTGCTCAGCGCGCCAGTGAGGACCGCATCCTTGGTGTAGGTCTTGGGGTTGGTCAGGGTGCGACTCAGTCCAAGGACATGCTCGCGGCCATTTGCGAAAGACTCCTTGACGCGCAGAGGGAGACTCTTACCAGGCGAGCGGCTCCTGCTCTTGCCCTTGTCCTTGCCCCTCTTTTGCTCTGGCTGCGAGCCAGCACGGGACAGCCTCGGGGTGGGCAGCAACGGCGTGCGCTCAGTGTCCTGGACAACGACATCTGGCCCTCTCGAAGCAGCAGATGCCCTGCGCCCAGTGGATTGCCAGCTGAAGAAGCCCTGGTCTGCGCCCTTCTGCGGTCCTCCAATCACCGTTACCGGGGTCTCTACCTCGCTGTCCTCCTCGATAGTATCTTCTCGTCCCGAGTCGATAGAGCCCCTGCCATCATTGTGCTCAGATGTCGGCCGTCGTCCGGGTGATCCGGGCTCGGCGAAGCTGTGGCGGTGCGGTCGGTCCTGGTACTCCTCCGAGTCGAGGGCATACGAGGCCAGCTGGGAGCTCCTCTCGCGGACGCCCTGGGACGAGTACTGCGGCGTGTCTGTGAAGCCATGGGACGTCTGATGCGCAAACGAGCGGATGGGGTTGCGCGTGAAGGACTGCGATAGCGTCGCGGATGCGTTGGACTGCGCTCTTATACGGCGCGCGCGGGGGTGCGTTTGCGATTCGATGTCCGTGTTCGGCTGGTCGTGGGCGAACTCAGAGTCGTTGACGCTGTCGCCTGTGAAGGGCAGCTGCTGCTCGGCAGACTGGTTGCTCCAGTCGCGGTGCGGGAAGAGCCGCGCAGGCATGGCGAAGGGGGAAGAATAATAGCAGAAATGTAATTACAATGCTGTCAAAGGCATGCCAGGACTAATAGGGCACCTCAATGGCCAAATGATGGGATGCTGTACACGCACTGCTCTGGACGGATGCGGCTCTGGATGGAGGGCTGGAATTGCGTTTGGTGATTCGAGGCAGCGCAAACCTAGAAATGTAGGAGAGGGGCGGGCGCTCTCACACAAACACATTATGGCCCATAGCTCGGTACCTTTAGATAGCGCCGGGCAGGGAGCGTTGCTAGGGCTGGGCTCGAGTGCACAGGCTGTTGAACTGAAGAAGATTCTGTGCCTGGAACATCCCACCTCTCTCCACCAACGTCATCCGCGAGACCCATGCACCGTTTTCTTTATGTCTCTTGCATCTTGACACCAATTGCGAGACATCAACACCAACATGACACAAACAATGACAAGAACAAACACGGACATCATCCCCTCCGCGCACTGAGATTCGTCCTCGCCATGATTGCGTGAGATGGCTTCATCGTCGACCGTTGTTCGCTTGGTTCCACGGCCTGCATCCTGCATCCTGCATCGGTGCATCCTGCCTTAGCGAGCATCCGGTGCAGAGAGCCGACCCCTCCACGCGTTCATGCTGCCGAAGGATCCGCGCATCCTGCACGCCGATGTTCGCAGATGAAAATGTAAAATAGAATGTCTACGATGGAGTGTTGTGAGGTTGGGGAGGCTGCTGGAATGCATCTGATCGGCTGCATCCAGCTCTCGAGCATTTCCATTTACGAACGGCTCTGCAGCGTCAAATTCTGGACTGCTCGGTCCGGCCCGGACGTGAATTGCACTTCACTCGACCAGTAGTGGAGCAGAGTGGACCTGCCCGACACCACTCACGATGCCTGGTCTGGCGTACCTCAATTGCTAGTATTCAGAGTTTGCGAGCATCCTGGTCTGCTTGTAGCGTACACATGAATGCCTCATGGCTTGGTCAGTTTGACAAAGAGCTTACTCACGCACCTTGCAAACCATGAATCTGCCCAAAGTTTGACAAGGAACTTACTCGCGCACCTTGCAAACCATGAACCTGCCCAAAGTTTGCTCATTCGTTGTGATATTCCACCAGCACCTTCCTCGCAGGTTTCTACATAAGACATGGAAATTTCTTATTCGCAGACGTTTCCCGCTTTGAAGTAGCCGTATCCAGTTCAGACTCCAAGACGGTATTCTGCAGTCCAACAACGCAAGAGCGCTGCTCCAAAATGCCGCCACGGGCAGGTCAAGCTCCCAAATGGCAGGCACGTAAGCAGACGCAGTACTTTGTAAATTCCTCTAAAGACGCCCGATCAGGTAGACGGCCTGCGCACACGAAGACCAGAGAGTATGCATTGAGCAGCACAAGTGGTAGATGAACGATACAAGTGGTACACAATTACGCCGTCCATGCATCATGCTACACGTCTACTCTTACAACACCACTATACACATTGACCGACGTCCATCCAGCACCCGCTCATTCATCATCGGTCAGTCCCTCCCACAGCGGCTTTTCCTTCGCCGCCGGCCACAAGCTCTTGACCCACGACTTGTCACTCGAAGCATCGACATGTTTCGCGCGCTCCTCCGCCTGCGGCTCAAGCACAAACCTCTTCATGCGCTCTGCAATCCGCGGGTCAAGAACCATATCATCGAGCCACACGCGCTCCTTGCCATTATCGTCCTTGCGGTCCTTGGCTGACTTGTGCCAGTCCGGCTCTTCGTACGCAAGCACGCCCTGCTGCTCCCACTGGGCGCTGCTATCATCCGCGCTGGCGGCCTGGCCCGCAGCTTCGAAGGGGCGGTATGCGCCGAGCACGGCTGCGGCGGTCTCTCTGCCGACTTGCTCCGCGACCTGGCGCTTGTTGAAGTAGCGGTATATTCTGATCGGGAAGTTCCAGAAACCGAGGAGGTGAGGCAGGGGCACGATGGCGGTGGGGCCGAGTGAGCGAGGGCAGGTGGGGGCGAGGGCGGAGTGTTCGTAGGAGGCGGTGGTGTTGAAGGGGGGCGGTTGCTTTTTCTTCTTGTCCTTCTTCTCTTCCTCCTTGGGCTTCTCCCCTTCTGGCTTTGCCTCTAGAGTGGCTGTGGGCGATGCGTCGTCGGTGGTTGACGAGTGGATAGTGGTGCCAGCGGCTGCAAGAGCCTCGGGAGCGGTTTCTGTGGGTGCGGGTACGGGCGCGGGCGCGGGAGCTGGTTCGACTGCAGGAGCTGCAAGCTCAGCAGGCAATTCGGCGGATGCAGGAGGGTCAAGAGGTCCCAACCAGCCCTCGTGGAGCCCTCGGACGTATTCTTTCCATGTGTGTCGCCCAACAACAATGTCGCCGGCAGGACCATTCCAGTCCTTCACGCCAGATCTTTGCCTCAGCTCCTCAATGTCATCTTCTGTGCCCAGCTCGATTGGCTCGTTGGCCTTCTCGCCCCTCTTGAATCGCAGCTTTCGTATCCTCTCAGCCAGACCAGCTCTGACATCCCCTTCCCTTCGGCCCTCAACCGCATCCCAGTCAAGTGCAGCGGCTACAAGAATGGGCTTGACGTATTCCGTGAAGTGTTCGCGCGCAGAGATGAGACCGTCAGCGGGCGGCGCGGAGATGTAGATGGAGAGTTTGCGCGGCAGCTGTTGCGCGTCGAGCGGCTCCTGCGCAATGCGCTCCACCAGTTTCGCATATTTCCTCTGTATCCGCCTCTTCTCATAGCGATCGTACTGAACAGCGGCTGTCCATGTTCCAATGACACCCCAGAATATGCACCAGTTGCGCGAGGGAAGTTTCATGCGGATGTTGGGAAGGCCTGCGCGCGGTCAGTGGAGAACAGGCAGATTTATTTGTCGCAGCGCACCCATCATCCTGAAGACGGGATTCTGCGGCTTGGGGGCTTTTGCCGGCGCTGCGGACGCGCCGCTTGCCGTTGCGCCCTTCGCATCTGGTCCGGCCATGTTGTGTGCTGGTGCTGAAGTTATTGCGCGCGACCAAAAACTTTCCAAGGGCATCCCGAGCGTCGGCGACGAACGCGGAGGACTCCCGAACAGGCATGGGCCCACAGCATGGACTCCCGATGCGCTCGATTATTCCCCACAGTGCGCCGTTGTGAGCCGGACTTTTAAAGCCCGACCGGTAGCACAGCTTCGTGGTCAAGAGCGCCAGCACTCCAGTTCGTGTACTTTGTAAATATTTTAAAATTTCGTCGATCCATCAATCCTTCCATTCGGTGGTATGGGTAAGTTGCAATCCATTCAACCTCCGCTCAGCCTCTAACAGCTCCAAAGTCTAGTGGTATGACGTCGCGTTGTGGCTGGCGAGCTCTAAGAGTTCCGATCCAGATCCGCGCCAGCCCGTGTTCGATTCACGGTACCGCCAATAATCCGCGACAATTTTTTTGTATTTACCGGACAATTGGTGCTGGAGTGAGCGTGAAGGGGTTTGTGACGTCCGACCTGGCTACTTGCCTTTTTGGATCGCACCTTCTTGCACGGTGATCCTTCTTGCTAGGATACCGCCACCTCATCTCAAGCTCCGGTTCAGGTTCTTTCGCTACACATAAGTCTCAATTAGTTACAAAGGACGTCGTCTCGATGAGGAAGAGCTTCGGTAGAGAATAAGATTTGGCCAGCGTAGCTTAAAGGGACGCTGTCTAAACAAACACACATTGTGGTTTGCAGATATGGGATTGTGATCTCGCAAGCCGGTATAAGAGCACTTAAAGCCGTCGGGCTCTATTCAATCTTTGTAGGATCCGGTAAGATGTGTCACCTCTCTTTTGTTTAGCTTTTAAGGTTTGTGCAAGCTGAAAGTAGAGTTATACATATATCGCGGAGGGCTCATTGACAATAACTGTCTGTTGTCTCATACCCACGGGTCTTCCTTCAAACCTCCTCAACACGAGTAGCGCCCTTCTCGTTGTGGCTGGTATCGCCATGCATCGCGGCCTTAATCGCCTCAGTCTCGAGGTTCATGCTCAGCCCGATCTCCCTCCTGGCCTCTGCCAGCATAACAGCATCCTCCTCGCCCGTGCGGCTACCAAAGACCTTATCCATGTCCTCAAGTGTCGCTCCCTTGGTCTCGGGCAGACAGAAGTGCACCCAGACCATACCAGCGGCGAGGAATACGGCGAAGAAGATGTATGTTCCCCAAGTCCATGCCTTGAGCATCGGGGGGACGAAGAACGCAACGGCGAAGTTGTTGAGCCAGTTACTCGATGCACCGATCGAAGCACCCTTAGATCGGATGGAAAGCGGGAAAATTTCGGAAATGATAGTCCACGAGACAGGTCCCCAGGTAGCTCCGAACGCAGCGATGTACACCCAGATGAATGCGACAACGGTCCAGCCGACGCCACTATGAGTGACCCAGTCGTGCTGAAATTTGGCGACTAGGATACCAGCCAAGACCATCGATACCAACATGACAGCAGAGCCGACTTGCAACATAGGCTTGCGGCCGACCTTGTCGATAATGGCCATGGCGGGTAATGTGCTGACGAAGAAAACGACCCCGGTGACCCCGGTGGCGAGAAGCGCCTGGGTACCACCAGTGAGACCAACAGATTCAAAGACGTTTGAAGCGTAGTAAATGATCGCATCAATACCGCTCCACTGTTGCCAGAACATCGTTAGCCAGGCGGTGGAAACACGCTTGAAGTTATCCCAGGTACGGAAGATCTGGTAGTACTGCGCGAACTCGCGAACCCAGACACTACCCTGCTCCTTGGCAGCCAGGTTGGGGAAATTCTTCTGGAAAGCGCGACGCTCAAAGAGAGTTTCGGCCTTGATCTCGAGAAACTCGACTTGAATGAGTTCGTGGTCTTGGGGCAGCTTGCGCAGGTAGGAAAGTGTCTTGAGGCCTTCCTCGTCACGACCCTTCTTGATGAGCCAGCGCGGCGAGAACGGCAACCACCAAATACCGATGGCCAAAAGAGCAGCGGGAATACCCTGAACAATCGACGGCAGCATCCATGCCATGTTACTCTGGCCTTCGCCGATGCCACCAATGTAGTTGGAGCCATAGCCGATCCAGAAAGAGAGCATGATACCGAGAATAGTAGCGAACTGATAGAATGAAACGATCATACCGCGAAGCTCAGGAGGAGCGATTTCAGCATTGTAAAGAGGACCGACACCGGAGAAAGTACCGACACCGATACCAGTGAAGAAGCGGCCGGCGTAAAGCATGGCTGGGTTGTGGTGTGACGCTCCGACGTAGAGGTAAGATCCAAGCACGACCCAGCAGCAAGCGCTGAACATAGTATACTTGCGGGAGAAAACCTCGCCGAAGACACCAGATGAGAGAGAGCCGAGAATACCTCCAAGTTGCAGGATCGATGTGAGCCAGCCTGTGGCAGAGGCTGATTCGACGACGGAAGGGAAGTTGTCCTTGAAGCGGGTCATGACCAGAGACTGACCGAGGACACCTTGCTGGTAGCCATACTCGAAACCACCAAAGCTGGATGTAGTCAGTAAGCGGACTTGATCGAACAAGCAGAAAAGTCTTACGAGGCAAAGAAGGCAATGATCAAGATCTTGGGGTTGTTAGACAGAGTCTGCCAGCGATTCTTGAAAGCTGCATCGGTGCGAACCCGTGCAGACGTGACCGAAGCATTACGGATGGCGTCCATGATGTTGGAAGTCACAAGACAGCGACTACAACGCGAATTGACGAGACGGATGAGTGCCAAAAAATGGCATCGTCGTCATCGTTTATGTACCCCTCACACAATACCACCTGGCGATGCAAGTACTGTTTTTCACATGATACACCTGCTCCATCTGAATCGCGTAGTATCATCGGTGTGGAGAACGCGGGCCCCCAGATATGTCCCAATTTCACCCCGGAGATCAATATCTGCTCCAATTATTTGTCGGTTTGCCGAGCAGGATGCCTGTATCTAGATACGGTGCTACATCGACATGGCCGTAGACGCGCGTTAGTGGTGGAGATGCCCAACAACCAGACTTTCCCGACGTTGACAAGCCGAGAATTACCTGTTTAAACTGTGATGAAGGGCTATGTCCCACATCCGGCTTTTGCTCGTTGTCAGGTGCTGGTGTCTGAATTTGCTAGTTGAGTGGAGATGTTGGGGTTGGATGGCGCTTAAAGATTTCTGGGAAAGGGAACCGAGAGCACAGGTGCCTACACGAACCGTTTTAGGCATTGTATCCTTGTCCGTGTAACAGCAGTGGCTTGACGCTCATCGTTGGTCGGTTGTCTGCTTGCTGCAGTACGTAAGGCAATACTACATGCCGTGAAGTTGACGGAAGTCTGCTTACTTGACTGGTCATCTCTGGGATGCGATTCGGTTCCGTGCATATGAGATACCCAATGCCATATATCAGGAACAGCTGCGACGACCTTGAGAGTATAAAAGGCAGTACATGTGCACTGCAACCGGATAATTTTTGAGGCTCCTCGAAAAGAGGCTAAAATTGCGTGTGATAGAAGCGTTCGCTCGGGGTCTCCACCTGAACAGGCTTGCTAGGTACCGGTAGCGTGCACGGTCATTGCATTTCCACGTCGCATCATCGACTCACCTACACTCCATCCTCTCGACATGATCAGTGCAAATATTGATTGGAGCTGCACCCGACATATGAATCGTCTACAGCGATATCTGGGGTTTTTTCATGAAGCAAGGGTACATCAACGTTAACCGAATGACGGCATTCCACTTGGTAAATTTGGCGAGCATGAGAAGCAGTTTGACTGTAGCTTCTTTGCTTCTTGTGGCGCTTACTGACAATCATAAGTAGAGCGAATGTACCCAAAGCAACCGATGTGGTTGTTGAGTTTCCGAGTTTCAGCATTGTAATGCGCTGTCTCCCCGGCCCTCGACGACACTACCACAGCTGATCTTTCAATGCGTTTGACGGTTAATGATCGCTACAATCTTACGAACATGCTAGTCGTTACTGCATCACGTTGATGTCTTGTTGCTACTGCAGTAAGTTAGCCAGGAAGGAGTACATTTGCGCAGCTGCTCTTAAAAGTCTGACTGGCAAGCACATGATAAACAGCATTATTGGCCTTCACCGTCTACATCGACGATCTCTGACGTAATATCGCGCCTATAATGCCATTAATAATCTTCAACACGTAAAACTGACCTTTACTGCTCACTGGGCCTCTGCAGCATATCTGCCGTGCGCGCAATCCACGTCTTTATTATACATACGTCACGTTCTGTGTGCTCGCATTCTGCACACAGCGTAAGATAACGCGATGTTAGATTGGCAGTAATAGCTAATTAACACTTAGAAGTTGAAAATCGACTTTCTCCCACAGGACGTCGTCGAAGCTGCCTGCCATCTCCAAGTGCCCATACAGTCCCCCTGGCCACTGGGTACCTTTGCGCAAGTGTCGTTTCTAGCACACTTCATCTGCAATGAGCATTATAATACACCAAAGAGTTGGCGCTTCCTAACAATCAGTCTACTCCCGCATCTCATCCAGCGTAATAACCCCATCTCCATTCCGATCAAATCTAATCGTCAAAATAAGCAAAACTGCAGGACTTTTTCAGATTTCACTCTTAACTCACTTTTCAAATCATGCCTTGGCTCCCTCGTTGTCCGCCAAGTGAATGTAGGCCAGATACTCATTATATGTGAAATGTCCGTCCGCATTTTTGGTCGCGGAGTAGAAGATTTCCTCGTCTGTCAAGTCCGCGAAAGGAGAAGTACTTGCTTCAAGCCCTGAGATTCCGTCTCGATTGTGGGTTCGGCTCTCGCAAGCAGAAAGGCAAGTGGGTACAAGAGGGGCTCCGAGAGCATTGGAGCACACTCAAACGCGCATGCGGGATTGAATGAGCATTCGTCGTAGGGCTCACAGCCTAAAATGAGGACTAGATAGACTTGCCTCAGGTTCAACTGCTGCTTCGCGCTATACAGGACGATCACGTGTATTCTTACCCCCGTCGCAGTTACAGCAAACGATGTTGCAGCCGCCTTTGCCGCAGCAACTACTCGTAAAGCCTTTCACCTGGCAGCACTCTGCTGTGGCAATGGTAACAAAAAGAGCGACGCTCAGGATAGTGGCAGTCACTGGACGCATGTTGGGCAGGAAGTTTGGAGTCGAGAGTCAACACAAGATAAAGTTTTTCAAGTAGTCCAGGTGTAGTTGTTGTAGTGAAGAAGTGGATGAAGATCGCATCGAGCAGAGCTTCTCGTGGAAACCTTTATGTTATTGCTATCATCTGAAGCACAAATCGCTCAGCTCCGCAATGGAATGAACGCTAATGTCAATTACACAGTTTCGGTAGATGCTATCCCAGTTCAATATTGCTTGCACGCAATCGGCGATTAATGTTCCTTATTAAGAACTCCTCCAGATCTGTTGCGGCAAACGTAGCCGCTGTATATCGATGGAAAACTGGGCTGAGTTGCTTGCTAGCTAGGAGGCGACCATGTATACATGCCCTGAGACGTGCTAGTCCAAGGTAGTCAACAGAGGTGACGATCGAGGCCTGTCGGACCGACTTGCACCGCAACAAGATCTAACTAAAGTGTGCTTTCTGAATGCTATTTCTCATACCACTAAATACTTTGCAATCAAGCGAGCACTTCCTTGCAACAAAGCTGTTCATTTCATTCGCATCTGCTTACCTTTCTCTGTTTCTTTCAAATTTGTGTGGGTTAGGCTCAAGGAGAGTGTGCTAGATGTAACACATATTAGCAGTTATACATCGAACACGAACACAGGTTATGACCTTGTCATAGTCTAATGTCTCTTGAACAATTGCTTACTGAGTCTAGAGCGTTCTTTTATGGCATTAACTCAAATACTAGTCGTGATGGCCATTGGAATATAATAAAACACCAGGTCCGTCCTAAGTAGGACCTGGAGTGGCTAAGACACTGGCGTGTATAATGCCTATCAGAAATCTTCTCTGGTCCAGCTAGAGTTATAACGTCTTGGTGCACTAGTGTTGTTTAATCCGCCCGCCCCGACAGGCAGGGTTGAGTTAAGAGTAAAGTGTTATGTTGTGACAAACAGGCCCTACACAGTTCAAGATGGAATCGTAAGACGACGTCTATTCTTACCCTCTGAATACACTTCTTGAAACCTCGTCCTCTATCTATTCGTGCTACAAATATTTGTTTAACAGTTAGCCTTACATCAGCAGGGTCGGACCACTTGCAGTGCAGATTGATCGAAATTAGCTTACGAGGGACAGCGCCGCCCTTACTTGCCCATATAAAGATAATTATTTTGTGTACAATAATTTCAGACCAGCTATCCACTGACGCTATTCCTAGTTTCTGTCACCAATGTGGAAACAAGTCGGCATCGCAAGAAGCGCAGGCGTTGTGTATATAACATGCAAGCCTCCAAGTTCTACCAGTATGGCCTTTCATTTCAGAGCATCATCACAGTCGATCATATTTCGGCTTTCTTCGTCTCGTTATAATCAACAGTCAAGTTGATTTCAGAGGGACGGCTCGCGATTCACTTGAAAAGTGTGTGCTCACTATAGCCAATCTTCTCCTCGATATTTCATGTAATCAAACTTGTGTTAAGTTAGCCGGAAGCAAATCCGCTAAGACAGCGACAATTACCATGATTCTTAAGATTGTCTCCAAAGTCCTCTGTACAGCTCTATTTCTCCACTGGACTAGCGTACAGACTGAGGATTTCAACATTTTCTTTATCCCCGACGACCCCAATGGTACATGTTGCAGTACCTTCATTTCGTTTGAAGACAAATGGCCCAACGAGTGCTATGGTGATACTTCGGCTCTTTTCGACTCGGTCATATTTTTCCCTCCAGAGGACGTACCAGACACCACGTGGCTATTTGTTTACGAGACGCAGGGTGTGGCAGGGACCGCTTGTGGTATCTTGATCGATAACTATTCCCTAAACTCTTGCTACAGCAACATCCAGTCTATTCAGAGTGCAACGTGGGGCGATCCTCTAAGACTCGGTAATAGGGGAACGGAGCTGCCTGCCCAGAAGAACAGTACAGTCTCCTCGGGTGGTAAAGAACGCAATACTCCAGGTAAACTGGGCTACATTCGAAATGGCCAGCATTATCAGATCAGCCTCAAAGACCAGCAGCATTCGACGGTAGTGAAAGAACTAGGTCACGCGGGCGATGCAATACGGGGTTATATTATGTCCCATGGGCGTGCTAATAAGAGAAGGCAGATTTTTCCAGGTACCTGCTAAGCATGTGTTCCGAGCGATCTTAAGCCTACTTCATTATACTGACAGAAGGACTGCCGTCGTTTGCTTTTTGCTGTGTAAATCTCAGCGTGAGCACAGCCGGTACCTCTACGCAAACATACTTTTCGGGCTCTGCTTGTAACGCTCGCTTGGGCGTAGGGCCCTTTCTGTGATTTCGCTGCGACTTCAGTCTGTTTGTCACGGGCAGAAGAGGCCTACTTAGCAGGCCTACTTTGAGGTACTAATGTATGTACATTTTGCCTCCTTTATGGCTGTTAACCATACCGTAGTACTGAATATCCACGCCCATGCGTCAACATTGGAAACTAATTCGAAGCTGTTCTTAAATTGTACGTCCGTTGACCATACCTATAACACCACTTGCGATCCGACTCCTGGTGCAGATGCGACGCGATGTTGCTAATAACACTTGTACACGGCAGAATAAGAGTCTGGAAGATAGATAGCGGATTGTCGCTGCACACCTGTGGCTCTCAAGTGGGAAGCAGATGCTTCCCACCACGCGCATTCTATTGCATCCTGTTCAGACAAAGGTCAGCTTGAAACATTCTATACGAGTAGACCGTATTTACCTGTGATTCATTAACCGAGAAATGTGGATTAATCCATTTACTGAAGGCATCTTAGGACGATGGTATCAGTCAAACTACTGAAGATTTAAGGGTCAAACAAGGGCGCTTAGCATGGAGCACTGCGAAAAGCTTCAAGAGCCATTTGAGTCCAACAGAATCTACACAGTGCTTCGCCGCCTACAGAACCGCTAAATGGCCACCCAGCTCGTGAGGCCAAGAATCAGAATCTGGGTCTTCCAGTGAGAATTGTCACGATCGCTTGTATTGAGTTCACCCACCTTCATACCGACCTCGCGCCTCGTGGACTAAAGAAACAAACGCGTCCAAATTGAGTGTCGAAGATGACAACGAAACTAGCCTTCTCGGCTAAAAGTCTGTGCTAAGCCATGGCTTGCTGGATTTTGGCTGCGACTGAGCGCATCGCTGTCGTTGCTGGTATCTTGCCACTACAAACCCTATCCAATTCGACGTCAAGTTAAACTTCCTATAAGTATATATAGCCGCAAGTACCCACGCTTCGTGTAGAACATACTGATCCATGTGAGGCCGCACAGCATGCATTATATTACTTGTGCGCTGGCAAACCGTCCATATCGGGTAACCTGTACGACTATTCCTGAGCAGAGAAGCCAATCATTGTACCTCTGCAGTGCGCATGCGATTCTGATAGCGCAGCACTGTGATGCAGTGCTAGTCATGATACATTATATGGACCTTTTGTTCGCTCAGTTGCTCGCTCGCTCGTCGCTTTGCGCATTTCCTTCACGGCAACTTCGTGCACCTGACATAACCAGCTCCCAGCGTCGACCGAGCGACAGAACGCCGAAGAACGAGGAACGACTTAGGCCAAGAGTAAGAGAAAAGCAAGACTATCACTATAACGCAGAGCACTAAGTAGCTACACCATTCACCCACGAATAGAAGAACGCCTTTCTGCCAGCCCTGCAATCTAACACGCCTATCAACTTCACATCACAACACAGTCCAAGACCCTCCATGGCGGTCACAAGCACTCGCTCTCCTGGTCTCAGTAAGGCGAGCGGAAGTCAGCAAGCCTGATGTCAGGGCCCAAGCACCTCACGCACACCGATGAAAAAGGGCGTCAGAACGCCGACGCAGCGACCACTCAGAGGCCGCAAGAATGCGAAGAAGACGCCCGACGAGACGACGGCTTTCGGAGTCCGCCTATGCGCCCTCTGACTTCCGACGACAAGCCACAGCGAAACTTGAATTGCAGAGCTCTGCAGGGGGGAGGGATAAGCTGCGATTCTAAGCTGAGGTCTTGGTCGCATCCTCATGACCCTCCACACCGACATGTACGCGTCGAGCGTACGCCTCGACAGCATCTGTCCGCATCCGTGCAGAGCGGACCTAAGGTGGGTTGTTGGAGGCAGCAATAATCAGTGTGGAGTCGAAGCCAAGCGCCTTCGATGCTTAGGGTGCTAATCTTAGACTTGCCACACATGGCGATACGAAGCCTGGAGGACGCAAATCAAGTTCTCGATGCTGAGCGTGCGCGATCGTGTTTCTGGAGTATTGGACGTGCACCTGTATACAGACGTCATCACCAGCCCTGCCTGGTCAAACCCGGCATTCAGTCCAAGAGCGAAACGCATCCAGCGTCAAAGAGCAAGGCGGTTATGTATATCATGACTTCGCTCCATATTCGATGCAGTGAAAGGGTCTCCGTGACAGGCGGTCCAGGATGGCACACGTTGTGGCTGTCAAGCGCCTGTGCTTGGTGCGGGGAAAACATCGAGGTAAACACCCCTGCACAGCTCCACGACACCACTTCAGATGTCGCGGGCGATCATGGGATCAGTTTACTCCGACAAGTTCCAGCCCCGGAGCGAATAATGGCTTGGTGACTGCTAGACTCGAGGACGCTTTCTTGCTTCGCTTTCTGGCTTCACCGCGATTCGAGGCCGGCGTCGACGGCTAGACGTCGACTGCCATGCAGGTTGATGTGCAGCGATAGCGCGACCCTGCTCTAACGCTGAGCCGTTAGCAGCCGTCGCGAGCGCAAGTCTGGGTGCTGGACCCCTGCTTGCGATCGGCGGTCGAATTGTGATTGGTGGGGGTTGCATACCTCGATACTCACCCAGCGTATGGCGCCGAAGAGCCTAGGTAGCCGACCGCAGCCAATACTCTGCCGATTCAAGGCTGCTTGGGAGCCGTGTATTGTGTGTTCACAAGCACGTGCGGCGCAAAGTCAAGGATTGGAGTGATGGCTGGAGGCGAGTCTGGGCTGGTCACCAAATGAGAGAACTTCGTCTGCTGTGCTGATCATCGGATTTCCAAAAGGTGACCTGGGCGCGACATCGGGTTCCCATTAACCATTGCTCATGACTCACCATTCCGGTTAGCTCCTGCAAGGATGTGGCAGGGCCCGTCGTTATTGAGAGCGATTATCGAAAGTGCGGTGAAGGGGTGGGAAATGCGCTAGATGTCGACTTGTAGCTCGATGGCAAACGGTGCGGCAGGTCGTCCGAGTGTTGCATGTGAACAGATCTACCACACCGATTTCTTAGACAATAAGAAACATGGCTACGAAAGAGGTGCGTGACGGCGAGACATGATTAGTTGGAGAAACTGGTTTCAGCCCGTCTATGTTTCGAAGAATATGTAATGCTGTGGTGAAAGCAGTGTCGCGTGGTTTCACCCCATATGCACTGCGCAGCCACACTCAGTAGTCGCCTTAATCGTTCATCCAAGCTGCAACACGGCTCCCTGCAAAGCGCGCTCCAAAACGAAGACCAGTTGAGCCCATTGGGAAGTAAGAAACGGTAAACCAGAGCAACGAGACCAGCTGCGCAATGACCGCAACAAAGGTGAGGATCGTACTGTGGAGCTAGTCACGCGGACGTTGTCAGTGAAGAACACAAGCTAGAGGACGGCAACTACTGAAATGTGTGGCTGCGTGGGGTAGATTGACAGGGATTGCACAAGCTTAGTGTGCGTAGGGGTCCAGATGTTAGGGCAGGGCAAACTTACACCGAGAGAGAAGTAGAGTGTGAGTGCAATGCTCCCGAAATAAGCGGCAGTGAACGGAAGGCGCGGACCAGAGATAAGATGCTGGGCTGTAACGTAGTCAGCACATGTGTGTATGCAGGCGTGCAGCCAAACTGCAGCAAAGGCTTGCTTACCGTACTGAATGGGGCCCATCATGACACTCCAGGCCGCCAGAAACAGAAGGCTGCCCATTGTCCACCTGAAGCTGGTTAGCGCTCAGGCTCGACAACCAAATCATATCTTGACAGGGCCGGTTTGAGGAGAGACCCATCTGCAAGCTGCAACGCGCCGAACCTTGATCCCGCATGATCGCTGCAGAGGGTCCAGCGCCGATCGCTCTGTGGCTAGGCGAGACATGTCAAATAGCAGAACGACACTATTCTACAGACGGGGTGTCCGCTGTAAGCGAGTGGAATGTTGCTATACCATGTTGAATGGGGCGCATGAGTTCGCATAGCCGTGCCGAAGGACTGAAGAGGCATGTGCCACTGCCTATCTGCCTGATGCGAAGTCGTAATAGAGCAGCAGGCAGAGAAAAAGGCGCTTGGGCTGGCTGCAGAGATTCTCGAAAGGGGTGCAGGTCACTTACAATATGGCAAACTTGCGAGGCCTGACAATGAAGACGGGGGTGAACATGAGCCCGATGCAAGTAGCAAACATCGCGGCGGCTGCCAGTAGCAGACCCCCGAAAACCAGTAAACGGTCCCACCGACTTACTGCAAGCATCTGTCAGCATAGTCCGGAAAGAAGACAGTTCATATTGGTGTATGAGTTCCCAGATTCGAGACGCTCTACGCAGGAACCCTCTTCAGTCACACGCAGACCAGTGGTAACCAGTATGTCTGGTGACAGCGTGAAGTTGATACACAGAACTTCCAAAGCAGGATGCTGTAGTCGAAATTGCCATGTTTGTGGTTTCAAATAGCCAGTGGGCCTAGTCTCACCAACGAGTCTGGTGAGGCAATCACAAGGCCCCCACGAGTCGTTGTGGCGCTCAGAGAGGAGTGTAGGACGCGAGTGACTGCGCGTTACGATGACGAGGTACACCAGAGAACAGATTGTTTCAGATGTACCTCAGGATACAAGGAGTCGCATGGAGGCCATCGGCGATCCAGCATCACAGTACGAGATGTGTGTACTTACGTGCAAACCAACCCTCTTCCTCTTCTCTTCGAGTGGGCGCGGGGAGCGGGGCCCCTGGGTTCGTTTCTGAGATTGGCAGCCTAACATAGCCACCCGCGCCAAACAGATTGGAGACTCTGTCCATCACAGAGGGTGCGGCCGTATTGACGGGCACGTCTGTTTCTCTTCTGCTCCACCCTAAGGAGTTCATCGACTCCCGGAACGAGGTGGAGGCCATGTCGAGCGACGAGAACCTGTTTGACAGAGTCGAGATGAGAGCCAAGTGCTAGTGTAGTGAAGCCTGACGTGCAATAGTGTGCCCGAAGGAGGTTTTCCGTAAAGCCGCAGCTGGCGACACAGAGGTGTACGCGCTTCAGTACTGGCTAGGTAGCGGCGGCAGAGGGAGAGGGTGGGCCCTAGCGTTCCGTGGACTCAGCTGTCAGCCTAGTCCCCGTTGCAGGGTGGGTGTGGCCCTGGCTCGTTGCGGGCGTGCACTGATTGCTGCGACTACGAGGGAGTATTCGAACCCGTGGAGCGCAGAAGGCTACGACGCCGGGACGGAGGATTTCGTGCAGATGATCGGCTGCGGTGAACGTCCAATGGCCGGTGGGGCGAGGCTTGTGACGAGCTCTGGGTGGTGTGCCTGCTGGATATGGCGTCGACGGGGGGAAATCTATGGCGAGGAAGGCACGATGCACCCGGCAGGCAAGCCCGTGGCACGGGTGATTGGCTGGGTGCGTTTGCAGGCGATAATGGCAGAGGTGTGCCTAGGGAAGTCTGATGGCGGGTTTGCTAAGCTACGCGTTCGTGGAGGTGTCGAGAAGGCGGTTAGTGCAGCATGGGTGAGCTTCAGTTCCTTGGAGCAAGCCGGTGGATCCTAGCGCGGGATCGTCTCCCGCTGCAGCATCAACCTCTTGCTCCGCGAGCACCTTCCACACGCTCTGCAGTAGCTCGAGCTCGCCGCTACACTTGCACGGTAACGACGCCCGCGATATATGCTGGGCTGTTGTGCTGCGAGAGTCTGGTGAGTCACAGCGGGCACGCCCTATCTTTGGTGTAGGCTTGCACGCGTCTGCTGGAAGCCATTCTAAGACATGTACCCATCACCCACCCACTGTGCCTGCGGATGATCAGTCCAAGGCCAACAGGGCTGGAGGGCCAGGGGCAGTGTGCCTGCACAGTCGTAATTGATCAATGCAATGTGTGCAAGCCCCCCAGAGCAGGAGAGGCGAGTCAGAGCCGCACTGCACTGCAAGCGTAGACATAAGTACCGGTGGAGGTCGCGTCCGGACTGGATGCAGTAGTACTCCATCTTGCTCGCTCTGCCGCCGGTTCATGCACGCATACTTTGTAGACGGCATCATCTCCCACCTCACTCCTGTGGCAGACGTTTGCTCACCTACCCAACCCATACACCTACCTATTAGCAGCCCGGACTATCGCGGGCCGGACTTCCCCTTCACAACACATTGCGTTGTACTCTCACGTACGTCAGCGCCAGCCCGTCTCACCACAGCGGGTGCCGCCATCTCCGCCTGCACACAGCAGACACACGCAATAGCAGCGAGGTGCGACACTTCAAGCCCTACCGTTTCTTTTCGCCTCGTCGTTTCGAGCTCGGCAAGCGCGCCCCGCTGGTGTCGATTCACGCCTGCACGCCACTCTGATTCGCGGGCGCCGTATTCTAGCTCAGACGCGACTAGCGACATCGACACGATCCTCGCCTCAGCGCTGACCGCCTTCTCTGGCTGCTTTGGGCTCGCCATCCCACACCGTGGCCCGACCCCGTCGCCTCGCCTCAGTTGCTCCAGTTACTCCTCCTGCGAACCGCTGCACCCTCACTGACTGCGCGCTACTCTGACGGCGCGTTGGCCGCACCACTGCGCATCTGCCATCTAGCACCGCAGCCTGTTATTCAGGAAGCTCCGGTCCGGGGCCACCGCCCACCCTTGAGCCTCTCCCCGCCATATACCGACGATCTGCTCCGTATTCCACTCCCAGCACCATTCTCAACCCACGTCGCACAAAGCACTCCAGACCGCGCTCGCCTTCTGCATCAGCCCAAACAAGGCCGCCGCCGCTTCCTCACACTCACGGCCGCTCTGCCACCCCTCGTGTCGACTCAAAGGAAACAAACCCGTGCCACCAGAGCCGCATCTTCGCACGCCGCCCTCGCCCAAGTTTGCTGAGCCCGCCGCTGCAACCAGCCGCCGCGAACTCCCGCCAACGGTCCTCGACGCTGACCGTTGCGCCTTCTCTCTGCTCGGTGAGTCAACCCACCCTCTTGCATCTTCCCTCACCACCACCACCACCACCACCACCTCCCGGCAGCAACAGCTAGCCGCGGACCTTGCAAGAGCGGCACTGCGGTAGTGTGCGACTGTGTTCGCTACTTTGGTTGTCTGTACCACGGTCCCCACAGTACCAGGGTGCAGTACCGCTGCCGTCCTCTGTTGCTCGCTACCTGGTTGTGTGCCACACTCATGCAACCAACCTCTGAACTGCTCAACATTTCATTGACAGGGGCTCTTGCGCTGACACATTCCCCTTTAGCCCTTATCCGAGCGTCAGAGCCACGAGCGCCCACCGTATCCTGCACTGAGCGCCTCCCAGAATAGGCCTCCGCTGCTCCACTCCTCCCTTCACATCTGTCAGCACCTGCCCAATCGAGATTTCTGTCTCTGTGCAGTACAGCATCCAGCCAGGCAGTTTATGTGCATTCACCTACTGCACGTTGTACTGAGTCTAGTGAGCACTTATTCCCAGAAGGATCCCCTATGCACACCGAACCACGGTACTGACGGTTCTCCCAGAGCAAGTCCGCCCTGATACCACCGACGGCTTGTCAGTGACTGTCAAGCACCACAAGCAACTGCACTAGCTTGCTGAGTGACCTTGTGCGCAAGATAGCAATCGGCTTCCAGGGTCCTTCTTATAGGATCACAGACCGTCTCGTGGTGCAATCATACTGCACTGCATTCCTTAGTCACTTGCCGGGTCGGAAGACCGTAAGTTTCAGATCCAACAGTTCGGGAGCCAGCATCGGTCCCATCGGCCTCACTACATTCCCCGGGATCGCTGTAACCTAGTGATGCCAAGTAAGTGAAGCCTCCTTTGTCATATGCACCCCTTTAGTCTCCTCGACCTTTATATTGCATCTTCAGTCCCCTGCTTGTCCCCCACAGTTCTTCTCCACTCGGTTCATTCATCATGTACTACGAGACCATACTGACTGTCCCTCAAGCGGACGCCCTTTTCACTCCTCCATCATCCTACTCTCCTCAGAAGACCCTCGCACGGTTGGACCTTCGGTTGGACACCCACTCTGACGACACTCTAGACGCTGACATCTTCAACATGATTGGTACTGGGTCACCTCAGCCATACATCAAGGAAGAAGTCGACGACATGCAGTTCAACTCCGGTCGCTTTGGAAACCACAACGGTTTCGACATGAGCCAGCAATTCAACAACCCCCAGTACAGCTCCGCTCATGAGAGTGGAAGTGCAATCGACCCCTCAAACCTCACTATGAGCGGGAGCATGAATATCAACAGCCAATTTGGCTCTACCAGCTACGTCCACGGTGCTGCCAATATTGCAGACGACGAGCTTGCCGACTCACTCGGATTCTCCAATGGCTTCAGCCAAGACAACATGAACCAGCCGGAGTTCTTCCACTCCAACTCCAACGCTGCGAACATGAACCAAGTCTACTCCAACACTCCAGATGATCTGCCTATTCAGAGTCCCTTCGTGCACCCTGGGGGGTTCGACTTCAATCAGTACCAGTCTGGACCGTCAAGGATGGGCTTTACAAACAGCATGCAGGCCAACTCGATGAGGCACCGCATGGTTATGAGCAGGACCGGCTCTGACGCCCGCACTCCCATGTCACCGAAGACCCCAGCGATGGCCAGTCTGCACCTTGGTACGCCTGACTCGGGCAACTTTGCGTCTCAGCCCATCATGACCAACATGCACCGTCACCAGAAGAGCGTGTCTGGACAGTGGGAAGGCACACCCGGCAGTGCTCACTCCTGGATCGACTCACCCACACAGTCGCCTCACGCTGCGTCGCTGCATCACCAGCAGATCAATGAGGTCATGCACGGTAAGCATGCCTCCTTACCTACGAAAGTCGACATCGGCCAGACCCAAGACGCGAAGAAGCGCCGCCGCCGCGAGTCTCACAACCTCGTTGAGCGTCGTCGCAGAGACAATATCAATGAGCGTATCCACGACTTGTCCCGTCTTGTTCCGCAGCATCGCCTCGAGGATGAGAAGATCCGCAAGCACATCAACAATAACGGCCCTCTCTCACCGACAATGGGTGCTACTGGTATGTCGCCACCCCAGGCAACGTCATTGCTCGCTGGTGGTAGCGGCAGACGAGCGGCTGGCAGCATCACACAAGGTCTTCCCATGGAAGAGAAGGACAAGGGCCCGAACAAGGGAGATATTCTCAACGGAGCCGTCAGCTGGACTCGTGATCTCATGTGGATGTTGTACAAGAAGATGGAGGAGAACGAGGAGCTCACTGCACGCCTGCGACAAGCTACTGGCGAAGAGTGGCCCGAGATGACGGAGGACGAGAAGCGCATGAAGACCGAGATCTTCGAAGCCGTCGAGAAGAACGGCGCTGGTACCTTCAGGTACTCCCGCGGTCCTGGCTCTGGCCTCCGTGTACCCAAGCACACCAATCTCGCCGGCGAGACTTTGTCTGGTCTCTCGCCTCAGAGCCTCAGTCCTGGCATGCAAAGCACTGGCAGTGGCTCCGGCTCCAACCAGCAACAATACTGGTCGAACCAGGCCTTGAAGGAGGAGGACGAGTACGGCATGGACATGGGTTGAGTCGCTACAGACTTGGTTCCCTTCGCGGTGTACCTTTCCTTGTCTCCTTCTCGGCTCTTCGATTCCATGATACCCCGCGATACCCCGCACACTTTCCTGCATCCTGCAGATGCATACTAGACCGACCCGCGGAGGGATCCCATCTGTCCACCGAGGGCATTTCCACGGCTGCCCGTTGATTAGATCGACGCATGTCGCCTATCTCTGCTGGCCAAGGATGGACGACGCTCGCACTCTGCAGCTTGCCTCATATGGCTCCCGTCTCATTGCATAATGTTCCGCCGATCAGGCGTATCCAATACATCGCCACCCGACACCGCATCACGAAGGAGGAAGGTCATCCTCTCTTTGGATACGGTCGGCATCTGCCTTGTCGGTACGACACGCAGTATTCCATCTTTTCATATCATGTTTGCTTTACTCCATAATGTATGTCAGGCTTGACAGATTGCATGGGCAGGCGTGAGTCGGCGTTGAAGGTGCGTTATTCCACCATACGGGAGCAGACTGCAGGCTGTCTCACAGTCTTCGGACCGTGACTGTCTGTCTGTGGTATTTTCGGACGATCTTGTTTGCGTTTATGCTGTTTCAGTTTCGATCTATTGTGGTATTCCTCTAGCTCCAATAATCATCTCTATGCTATCAAGACCTGATCTTCAAGTGATCCGTGCTCGCCACCTTCTCCGTCAAGGCCGCGAGGCCACTTTGATTGCTCCGAAGCCACCACGACAAAGGACGGCGCCCGTATTCGTTCAAATCCACCCATCTCCGCAAACATGACTCGCATGATATTGCTTTTTTCTTCACCGGACATCAAGACCGCGACATCACTTCTAGCATTGAACAAATCGAGACACAGCGCCGCACTCTAACATGTCTCGTAGTCTTTTTTCTTGGGGCACGCGCCACCACCGCTTCGCGTGAAACATAGCTGCCTAGCACTCTCTACGCTGCCGCACACCGTCTACGCCGCCCGCCACAGGAGTAGCTCGCGATCTGGTGGCACGTCGGCACTGGCTTGACGCACCACCGGTTCAGTAGAAGCTAACAGGCGAGCGTCGTGCAGTGCAGCATTTTCACTGTCTACTTCATTGTACCAAGTCTGCGTACGCGACTTTCTCACCAACACGACGCAGACGCAGACGGAGACTCCACCATTCCCGCCAGGCCAGAAGCCCTCGCGACCATGATGACGCGCAGCAAGACATGTGGCTCCCCGCTCGAATCAAATGGTCATGCAGCTAGATTTCTTTGCGGGGTGACAGCTGCCGTGCCCGGTGGTGTCCGGTTATCTCACTTGTGCGATGCACACGCCGCAATCCGTGCAAGTAGACAAGCGCTGGTCATGAGGGAAGCGTGAGGTCGGGGCGGGTCTGGGAAGGGGGCCTGGGCGTCCATGGAGGACGCGGAGGACGAGGGTGGGGGGGTGGGCACGAGACTGGTGGAGAAAGGGGGTATGCACATTATGCGATGGGGGTTGGGGGGATGGGGGAGAGTCATCTGGGTCGGGGTTTGCGTGTCGCTTGGGTGCTGCACAAGGGGTTTTTTGTTGTGCGGGCTTTCCCCTTCCGTGCGCTGAGCAAGTGCAATCGTTGTTGTCATGCTGCCACCCGGGACATGCTCATGCTGCGGCGGATTGAACGACGCCGGTTGCCACTGTGGTCTGGTTGAGCGACATGCCCGTCGTTGACGGTGTGGTACACTGGCCAGGGCATTGCGACGGCAGCCACGGCTCGCGCGCCAATCATCTGCATCAGAAAGTCCTTGCGATGTGCAGCACGACTGCAGTCCCTGGCATGCGCGGGTCATACTGGTGATGCCATGATGTCGGCTTTGCGTGCCTGATATCGCGTTGTAGCATTAACATTACAGCCTACTGCCGCTAAGACGCAGCTCGGTGCAGCCCCTAGCCGTGGCCTTGATCTCTCGTATCAGCGTCTAAGACTGATGGTCAATCGCACAGCGGCGCTCGACATCTTGCACGACCTCGTTCCGATGTGAGCCTGCGTGATGCCACCGATGTCACGGATCTGATCGCGTCATCTGGACTTGTTTGTTTCAGAGCTGCGGCGCACAGTGGGCGCAAAGCTTGGTAGACTTTTGCGTAGCAGAAGCTTTGTTGGTGTACGGGGAAGAGGGTGAGGGGTCGTTCGTTGGTGTCAGTGAGTGAATTTGTGCGACGTTGCACCCTCCTGTATGCAGATCGGCAAGATCTCGTCCAAATCTGATTTGTGGGGATGGTTGTCTTAGTTTACAGTTGGGTATCTGGCGGAAAAGCCCCTAGGCAGATTGGATTAGGTAGAGAGCGGAAACTATGCGACAACAAAGGGATCGCGATCGAATCCAATGTATTTCGGTGTGCGTTGCGAGATGCAGTCGGCACCTATTGCAAATATGGAAGGGCATTTGTGGATCAAGCCCAGGCCGTGCGACCTGCTCAGTCGGCAGTGCTCACCTGTTGTGGCGCAAGCTGGTACGACGAACCTGTCGTCTACAGCATATGTCAATCTGTCAGTGCTGTGTCTCGCTTCTCCGTCCTTCAGTACCATCCCTTTACTTCCAACAGCGCTCTACTGCCGAGACATGAATTTTGGTCTACCTTGTCCGTGAAAAGATGTGGGGCCGTTGGTAGTCTGTCACTCCTGCAGCCCTAGACAAGTATTCTCCACTGCAACCCCGCTGACGATATTGGCGTCGGCTGATACGGCAGGCGTGCCCAGGAAGCAGGTAGGGTGAGTCGGTGGTTTCTCGGCTGCTCGGTTGGTGCCGAACTAATCAATAGGTGATCGAGACCCTTCATTCCGTACTGAATCGGCATATCTAGGAAGTGCGGGGCTTATCGTGCCCTTGGGGTTGCGGTGGATGAGCTGGGGTTGCAGTCGGAGCAGAGGTAGGGTGGCTGTCACTATTCTCTCCGAAGCCAAGGTTCTTGAACGAGTCAGGGGCCATCAGATTCCTACGAGCACAAATGAGTCAGTGAGCCGTTCTTGAAAGGTCTACTCAGGTCGGTGGTAAGCTCCGTTCGGATGCTGCCGACGCAGTGCGACGCTGATATGTGGAGACGTGGGTACTGTTGAAGGGGCAACGATCCCACAGAGTACAATATTGAAGCAGCGAGGGCAAGGCGAGGCTGGAAACGATCGAGTGGACAGACTTGGCGTTTCAGTTCTGGCAATTGATGAGGAATGAGAAATGGAGTATCTCTCCCTTGCCTCACTGCAGCCCCAACCCCCGATGTTCCCAACGACCTGGTCCAAAAACTTTGACAGGTCGGTATGACAAGCTCCTCTTTTCTCCCTCCCTTTCCTGAAGAAGTGGAGTCGTCTTAGAGAGAAGAAGATCGACATGGCTGGGCAGAAGCGGTGTTGGAAGGAAGGCAGACCCGGTACGTACCGATCCATCCGACAGGACAGGTATGACTTTGATAGGTTGCGACACTCGGAATCGTTCGTTCCGCGGTGTGATTTGATACACCTGAGGTAGGATAGCATTATATCCTTGCACTCGCCTGGAATGTAGCGTCAGTCACTGAGATGTGGTGGACGGGCAGGAACGCCGGGTATTGCGGGCAGTATCGTAGATGGGCGAGCCGTACCGTCGTGATCGAGGGGGAAAGAGCCGCGCTCAGGACTGCGAAGCCAGAATTAGCTGAGTCGATGGTCAAAGGGAGGACCCGAAGAAGAGGCCGGTGGCGCAATGCAGTGGAAGATGCAACAACATACGGATTGGGCTTAATGACTTTCTGTCCTAGGCCTGCACCACCAAAAGAAGCCATGACGTCAATTGAAGGTCTGCTCCAGAATTGCGACAAGATAGTTGCTGGTGTGAGGTGGTAGGGACGATTCAAGCGGGGAAGTGTTGGAGCGTTGGTGGAGTGGAGTGAGCTCTGAATAAACTCGCGCGCGAACGATGGCCAGTGCATCCCACTGAGGCGCCATCCCTGCATCACTTGGCTCTGCAGCACAACAACTCAAATCGCCGTGTTTGACGATAATATTATTCATATCAAGATGCAAGACTCGATACGTCATCAACCATATGTCGTCTCGAGCATGTCCAACGATGGCTTCCTAAGCCGTGTGTGGCTCAGTGCATAGCTCAATGCTTGCGACATAATGGCAGCTACTCGAACACCACTGACTTGCGGCAAGGCCTACATAGCAGCCATATAGCTTCAGCAAGGTCGAAACGACTAGGAGACCCTGTTTAATCACTTGTGAAGAATACAGAAAAGATTGGTTCATAGTCGACGACTTCATTCCCAAAGCAGCTAAAGCCACCACCAACCTCCGCATCGCCCACCCTGAGCATGCACGCTGCCGGGCGCGTCTCCACACCACCTGATGGCGTTGCCGCTGGCTCCGGCCTCCAATCTCCACGCTATCTTGCTGGTCACCAAGTCGCGTTCACTTGGTCCGCGTCTGGTCTTCCACTACCCACCTCTTTCGCCGTCGGCGGCAGCGCTCGCTATAGCCAAAGACCCCTCGTGGTACCGCAACGAGAGCTCCACTGCGAGTCTTAATTCGGAGAGTTCAGAAAGCGATTGGGATAGCAGTACAGAAGCAGACGAGAACGATGACCTGGAACTGGGCAGCCGCACAAGTGGCCGTGGATCTGGGCGGACCGGACCCAGCGGAAGTCGTGATAGACCAAAGCTCGGTATCGGCGGCTGGGGCAGACAGGAAACCATCGACGAAGAAGATACTGAGGACGATCACAATGGAAACAGGCGACATCGTGGCGGAGACTACGATTGGAATTCGGTCCTTGGCTTTAAGGTGGACGCTCTTGAGAAGATACTAACGCCTAGCGAAGACTACAACAAGAGACGTTTCGAGCTCGGTGTAGAAAGCATCGTCTTCTTGGGTGCGCCCATGTTCGTTAGAGAAGACGGGTTGTGGAAAAAGTTAAGACGCAAAAAGAAGAAGAAGTCTGAACTGCAAAAGATCGAAGATGGCGATCTGGTAGGAAACCTCTCGATGTCAGAAGACGAGATTGAACCAGAACCTTTCGTATATCCTCCAGGATTTGAGCCAGGCTATGGCCACGATACGCTGTCGGCGCCAGGATCCGTCGCGGCTTCTGAGGCAGGATCAGATGCTCGCAGTAATTCGACGGCCGGACACGATGACAACACTGACATGACCATGTTCAACGTTATATTCGTGTTGAACCCGCCGGCTCTGGAGTACCAACGACGCGTGAAGGAGATGTACGACAACGTGATACGGAAGTACGCAAAGGCTTTGAAGTACGAGCAGGCGAGGTTCCAGTATGTGTGGAAGGAATCGAAGCGCATCATCGACATCAAGCAGCGTGCGAAAGAAAACGGGGAGTCGATCAGTGTGACGTGGAAAAATCTCCTCGCTATCTCGCCGTTGGCCAAGTCGCTAGCCGTACTGTACGATGCTATCTCGAATGACAAGATTGCGCACATACACTTCGATGCTACTTTCAACACCTCGTTTCAAATCCCCCAGGCGATGTCGACACCATATCTACCAAACGCACTTGAGCCGCAGATGCCAGGTCTCTGGCTAACGACGTCCAATGTTGTACTAGACGGAGAAGAAGCACCCATGACACAACATGCATCACTTCTTTTACTCGAGGATCCTGAGGTTCTGATCAAAGACCTTGGTGGGGAGTCATCAGAAAATGGAGCAGCGATTGCTGGGTTGATCCGCCGGATTGTACCCACAAAGTCTTTGCTGAAGATATCAAGGAAACACAACATCTCAAGCCAGGACATGGAGTATATCGCCTCCCATCTTGTGTATTGGCGGCGCGCCCGACTGATCGATCCTATATCGCAGCGTGACACGTATGTCGTGTCTCCAAACGCAGATATGAACTACCTCCCTGCTGCTGCCTCGAACTTTGCACGGCACTTTCCCACTCTTCCGTCGTTACCAAAGTTTTTGAGTCTATTGTCAGGCACTCCCCGAATCTACAAGAGTTTCATCCCGACGTACGAGCATAGAGATACATACCTCGAAGTCTTAGCATGGCTAATGCGAGGCGGTTGGGTCACACAATTAAGGACTTTTGCCTGGATTCGTGTCACTCCTGAGATCAAAGCTCAAGTAGCTGTAGATTTGGAGCGAGAGGAGCGAATCAAGAAAGCTGAAGAAGCGAGGAAAGAGCTCGCCAGTGAGACGGGATCCGTGAACGCATCGCTGTTCTCTGATAAGCGATCGAGCTTGCTGTCTGACCATACAGCGAGGCCACTTACACCAATGAAGTGGCGCCGAGATAGAAGCGCTGATACTTCTGAAGAGATGGAGTCCAGCACGATACTTAGCCCTCGCATCACAGCCACCAGCTCTACGCAACATCATCGTGGCTCTCCAGCTCGACCAGCATCTGACGCAGGGAGCAACAGCAGCCAGCGCACGACAATTGCTCTCAACCCTGCCGGCCGTCCCGACTCACCATCACATCTTCTGCCTCATAACAGCAAAGTGCACAAACCGAGCCCGCTACATCCCAAGCCTACTTCACCGTCCCTTAACGCCGCGAACTCGCCACCTCTCCGGGTCGAAGAAGATCTCGTACCACAACCGCACCTCTTCAAACCTAGCGTGATCCTCAGCCCACAGAAAGCGTCCAGTGTCGAGGCTCGCTGGCTTGAGGCAATCGGCAAGACATTCGAAGAGATCGACCACCATCATCCTCGCCACCCTTCGTATCCAATCAACAATCCCAGTCCACCAAAGCACACAGATGGAATGATGGGCATCTCAGGTGAAGAGCTCAGGGAGCAGTGGCCGATGCTGTTGAGGCACTTGGACGGGAAGCATGCCATTGAGGATGTCGCGCCTAGGGAAGGGTTGAAGAGGAAGCGGGTTGCTGTGCTGTTCAATGCTGTAAGGGAAAAGGGATGGCTGGTCGTTGTCAGGCACTGGTAGATCACCAAACTGAATGTGGACTCGACGCAGCTTCAGTCGGGCTTGCTCAGCCTCTCGCGTCGCAGAGAAAATCGGTCATCAGCCGTAGAGTTCCTACATATATGAGGTCGTCGGTGTATATGTGCAGGCTCGCGAGAAAACCAATTCTTAAAGAGTACAGTTGTTTTGCGTTGAAGGCGAATTTCTACTCGTCACCAGAGCTTAGCTAACGCATAACTTGGACCCCTCACCAGAGTTGTTGTGATGGTTTTGCTGTTCAATTGCTGCGCCTTCGAGTGAAATGCCCCGCGATTCCTCAGCCACTCAGGCAGCCACTCTGATCTCATCGCCTCGTTAAATGCGACCAAAATCATTGTCGCTGCAAATCCTACCGCATTCACGCGACTGCGCCATTCTTTTCGCTCGTATTTTGCAGCACACATAGCGTGAGTAGCCGCCTTTGCTTGAGTCATCGTTATTGTGTGTTTTGTTTGTTGTTGCTGCCTGTATGGCAGTTTCCTTCCTCAAACTCTCCCCGCTTCGAGCTGACATCTGCTTCTTCCTCAGACATTGCGTACACCTTAAAGTCTAACGCGCATACCGTTCCTTTCCGCCGCCAGACTCAACACAATCGCGATCATGGCGCACCGCGACCGCGCACCGTTCGTTGCCCAGGACCCGAAGGAGATCACGAACCTCATCCACTCATTGCAGATGCATGAGGGCAAGAAGGGGAAAGACGGCTTTTCCGTCAAAAAACACACATTCACGCTGCCTAGCGGCCGGACAGTGGACTCGTGGAAGATGAACGACTGGGACTACAAGAAAGAGCACCTTCCTACATACGCTCGAGGCCTCTTCACATACAAGAACCTTCAGGGACAAGACGAGATCGCCGTCCGGGGATACGACAAGTTCTTCAACCACGGTGAGGTCAGGAAGACAGAGTGGAACAATGTCGAGCAGAACACACGGGGCCCATACGAGTTGAGTGTGAAGGAGAACGGGTGCATCATCTTCGTCTCTGGTCTTGACGACGACACTCTGCTGGTCTGCAGCAAGCACTCTACAGGGGCACGCGGCGATGTCGCGCTCACCCATGCCATGGCAGGTGAGCGGTGGGTGGAGAGGCACATTGCAGCAGTGGGAAGGACAAAGCAGGATCTCGCGCGGACCCTGCGGGCAATGAACGCGACGCTGGTGGCCGAGCTGTGCGACGATGAGTTCGAGGAACACGTTCTGGCCTATACCCCCGACCAGGCAGGGTTGTACGTCCATGGCATCAACCTCAACCTTCCTGAATTTGCGACATACCCTGGGCGTTTGGTCGATAAGTTTGCAGATGACTGGGGCATGAAGAAGGTCGTCTATGTCATGGAGGACGACATCACCAAGGTCAAGACGTTCCTGGATAAGGTCGCCGAGACTGGCAGCTACAACGGACGCGACACCGAGGGCTTTGTCATTCGATGCCAGGCGCGAGCCGCCGAGGGCGCCCCATACGAGGACTGGTTCTTCAAATACAAGTTCGAGGAGCCATATCTTATGTACAGGCAATGGCGTGAGTGCACCAAGGCCATGATCGCGGGCAAGCCCCCACGGTACAAGAAGCACAAGGCCATCACCGAGGAGTACTGTGATTTCGCGCGCAGGAGGTTTGTGCAGAATCCTGGATTGGCTCAGGCGTACGGGCAGAACCATGGTATCATTAAGCTGCGTGATGAGTTCTTGGCCGCACGCGGCACGACTGGCGCGGAGATTATCCAGCAGGAGCTGAACGCAGGCGCACAGGAGAGCAAGGCAGTGAACAGGAACATCATCATGGTTCCTATCGCGACCATTGGCTGTGGCAAGACGACCATTGCTCTCGCACTCGTGAAGCTGTTCGGTTGGGGCCACTTCCAGAATGACAACGTGAAGGCGAAGAAGGGTCGAGGCCAGATCTTCGCCGATACCATCTCATCGTTGCTCATCACCAATCCTGTTGTGATCGCCGATCGCAACAACCATCAGAAGCGCGAGCGAGACCAGATCATGAACGACATCTCGCGAACTGTCAAAGACGCACGCTTCGTCGCGCTTCACTACGTGCACGAGCGCTCTAACTACAATGCGATCCGAGACGCCACACGAAAGCGTGTACTTGACCGCGGTGACAACCATCAGACGATCCAGGCAGGCTCGAAGGGACCGGGCGAGATTATCGAGATCATGGAGGGCTTCATGCACCGCTTCCAGCCTCTCGACCCGTCAGAAGCTCCTGATGACCTCTTCGACCTTGTCATCAACATTGACCCGGTCCTCGACTCACGGCAGAACCTAGAGACGGTCATCAGTAGGATGTTTGAGACATATCCTGCGCTGTTTGAAGGTCGCGACATGCCGACGGATACTGATATGGATGAAGCGATCCAGTGGGCGCTGCACGACTACACGCCCGACTTCAAGATGGATCTGTCCCGGGGCGGCCCCAAGAATCAGCAGCTCAACAACATGCAGAAGAACCAGGGAGGAGTGGCGAACGGAAAGAAACAGGCACAGAGCGGGGGTAGGGCAACGAAGGCGCCTCGCATGGAGTACTTCTCCGTGAAGCTGAACACATCTCGAGTCAGCTCGATCCTCGACAGCGTATTCAACGGCAAAGATCCCGAGAGTGCGCGTCTCTACAACCAGATGAAGCAGCAGCGCCGTATTCAGAATGAGTTCCACGTCACGCTGATTCACCGCGCCTCGGCAGCGCAGAACCAGCCATACTGGGACAAGCTCATCAAGCTCAGCGATTCCATTCAGACAAGAGCTGAGAATGGCGGTGGTTGGGAAGCGGAATTAGGCAAGTGCGGTGTGTTCATGGAGCGGTTGATCTGGGACGACCGCATCATGTGCTTCGTGGTGCGCCTCAACGGCTCGAGCACGTTCAGGGTTGAGAGCGAAGCAGGTGCGTCGACTGAAGACGTTGCTTTCGAGAGTGTCAACCCGGTTGCGCACGTCACTGTTGGCACGGCCAATCAGAGCATCAAGCCGAAGGAGAGCAACGATCTGTTGCAGCGCTGGTTGAACGAGGGCTCTGGCGCTGCGACGGGGATTGGTGAGCTCACTGTCAAGGGCAATGTGGTGCTTGATGGTAGCGTCCGTGGTGTGCTTGGTCGGTTGTAGGACAGTGGCAAGCAGTGAGAAGCACCGCGAGTCTGATCTTGCAGTAAGAATCAAAATACAACAAATGAAATCTCGCATCTGCCAAGCAGCTTGAATCATTCCTGCCCCACCTAACAAGCACCTCTCTATTTCGATTTTGTCCTTGGCGCGAGTCTGGGCAGCCGCAGGCCGTCGACGTCACAGGCAGTTTCTCGTGGACCCTGCCTCGAGCTTCTCAACACGCGCTGCGCCGAAGCTTGCAGCACAAGTCAGGCCACACACGTAAAACGTATCGCTCATGGCGCCTCCCTCACGCGCCCGGCCGCTTGGGAAATCGTCCTTTTCTGCCGCCTTCTCGCGACTCAAGACGTCAGCGTACGTCGATGGTGTCCGCCCCAATGCGCCCGTTGCGGCGGCGCATTACATTCGCACGCTGAGCTGGAACACGTCAGGCACGTTCATAGCGACGGGCGCCGCAGACCGCACGATCCGCATCTGGAATCCCGAGAGGACCAACGTGAAGCACTCGACGGAGCTGCGCACGCCAGGCGTGCCTGCGTCGATACAGCTCGAGCGCGTCGCGTTCCACCCAATCAACGAGAACGAGCTCGCGAGCTGCAGCACCGACGGCATGGTCCGGTTCTGGGACATTCGCTCAAAAGCCAGCGTGGGCGAAGTGAAGGTCGGCGAGCAGCCGTTCACGCTCGCGTGGACACCAGACGGCAGCGCGATTGTCGCAGGGCGGAAGGTTCGCTCGAACCCCCCACACGCCGCCGTCGCTGTGCTGACCGCGACAGGACAATGTTCTCGTCTCGATCGACCGCGCCGCGCTCGGCATACTCTCGGAGCAGCGCCAGCCCGGCCAGACCAACCAGTGCGTCTTCGACTGGTCCGGCGCGCACCTCTTCCTCACGTCGGGCGACGGCAGCATCAAGGCCGTCGACTACCCGTCCTTTGACCCCGTGCTCAGCCTCAACGCGCACACGTCCTCGTGCTACGCCATCAGCATGTCGCCGTCGGGCGAATACCTCGCAGCCGGCGGCGGCGACGCGCTCGTCTCGCTCTGGGACACGCAGGAATGGATCTGCGTGCGCACGCTGGACCTCACCCGGGCGCCGGTCAAGAGCGTCGACTTCAGCTTCGACGGCAGCTACATGACGGCCGGCAGCGACGACAAGGACGACAAGAAGATCAGGATTGCGCACGTCGAGACGGGCGAGGTCGTGCACGAAATCAGTGTGCAGAAGGCGAGCCAGGTGGTCAGCTGGCACCCGTGCCGCTATGTGCTGGCCTACTCGCAGGAGGAGCAGGGCCTGAGGATCGTGGGTTCACTGAACTAGGAGTTGAGGGCCATTGGGTGAAGACAACTGGTCCAGCCAGTGTTGGACATGTGGGACATGTGGGAGAGGGACCGGGAGACGACATGCACGAGAGATACCCATCAATACCAAGACACGATTGGACATGCGCGCCTGTGGTTCGATTGCTGTTCCCGCAGCTTCACTGCCAGTGACGCCATCAATTAGTCCGCATCTGTAAGCAGCAAACGAGAGCACCGTACTCGGCGTACTCTGCGGTTCCTCGCAAACAACCGTCCAACTCAATTGCAACACAACAAACCATGGATGTTCTATCGCCGATCAGCCCCAGCTCGCTTTTCTCGGCCAGCGGACTTGTTGTCGTAGTCACAGGCGGGGGTTCTGGTAAGCTTGAGTGAGGTCCAAAGCTACCCCGCCGTCGTCTCTCTAACAGCCTCAAGGCATCGGCCTCGCAATCGCCGCGGCTCTGCACCAGAATGGTGCCTCGAAAATCTACATCATCGGCCGCCGCAAGAACGTCCTCGACGATGCCATTGCCAAACTCGAGTCGTCGCCCGCGGCGCCGAAGTCGTCCAACGTCCTTTCGGCCATCGCTGCAGACGTGACAGACCTCGACAGCATCAAGAAAGCCGTCGCCCAGATCGAGCAGGAGACTGGCTACGTAGATGTCCTCGTCAATAACGCAGGCGTCCTCGGCCCCAAATCAGGCCAGCCCATCCACGCCGCGCAATCCATCACCGCCGTCCGCGACGCCATGCTCCTCGACATGGAAACCCCCTCGTGGACGCAAGCCTTTGACATCAACACCAAGGCCGTCGTCGCCGTCTCCGCGCTCTTCCTCCCCCTGCTCGAAGCAGCCAACTCCCGCCGCGGCTGGGCGCCGGGCCGCGTCACAGGCGCCGGCACCGCGCGATCCCGCGACACATCGAAGCTGGGCGCCCTCGCCGTCGACGCCGCCGACGACCGCATGGCGCACATCATCACCGTCGCCTCGGTGGCGGCGTACATGCGCTGGATCAGCGCGGGGCTGGCGTACAACGCGACCAAGGCCGCGGCTGCGCAGCTGGGCAAGATCATGGCCACGTTCCTTGCCGAGTGGGGGGTGCGCAGCAATGTCATCGCGCCCGGGCCGTATCCGAGCGAGATGACCAGCGCGAATTCGCTGGTGTACGGCACGGGGCAGATCCCGCAGGGCAGGATGGGGGATGTGAGTGACATTGCAGGCCTGGTGCTTTTCATGGTGGGCAGGGCGGGGGCGTATATGAACGGCGTTGTGCAGGTCACGGATGGGGGGAGGATGGCTGTGTTTCCGTCGACGTATTAGGGCTGTGTGTCGTGAATATGGACCCCCCAATCTGTCGACATGTTGATACAGCACACTTTCCAATCAGCTCTCAGTCCAAAAAGCGGCAGTGTTGCGTGCGCTAGGTTTACAGTCGCGCAGCCTTGTGACCCACGCGTAGTGGCGGGATTTAGTGATGCAGAACCGATGACGTAGTCACTTCAAGTCGCCTTCATATACGCAACCTCGATGGTCACGCCTCTTGTACACAGACACTCGAACCACGACTCGAACCACGACTCGAACCACGACTCGAACAACGACTCGAACAACGACTCGAACCGCGACTCGAATCCCTGCCCAACAGCTCTTGTACTCAAACCTCTGACAATCTACCACTACACCTACACACGCCAACATGTCTGCACCCAGCCAAATGGACAAGAGCAACAACACCGAGAACCCCGGCCTGATCGCGGGACACGCGCAATACGTCAAGGGCGCCGCTGAGGTTCGTCTTCCCATCCCTTCCTACACCCTCACAGAGCTAACAGCACAGGCGACCGTCGGCTCCGTCACGGGCAACCAAGCCTGGGCCACGTCAGGCGAGCAGGACAAGAACCAAGCCATCGACGCCATGAAGGCTGCGAGCGAGAACCGCGATGCGAACCAGGGCCTTGGCGGCGTCGAGCAGGCCGCAGGGAATCTTGTGGGGTGTGAGGGCATGCAGAAGGAGGGTGCGGAGAGCAAGAAGCAGTAGATGAATTGGCAATACTATTGGGAATGACTGATTTGGAGTGTGTTTGTTGTGTGATGAGTGTTGTGTGATGAGTGATGGATGATGGGTGATGGGTGATGGGTGATGGTGTGTGATTTGGAGTTTTGGGGGGAATGCGAATGTATTGTGCCCAGCTGACGCGCAGAGGGTACGTCTTGGACACGAATCTAGGTTGAAGCTCGTCAATACAAAGGGCGACCTGAATACGTCCCAGGCCGCGGGAGGCCGCAAGCGAACCTCGGCATCACTGGGGATACGAAGTACTCACCTTCCCTTCCTAGCAACTTACAAATCAACAACATCGCGCACTTGCGTACGTGAAAATTGATGGGCCTCAGACACCACGTATCCTCCAACGTCTCTTCTAAAGCGCGAGTGTTCCCCTGACTTGACGATCGGCGCCATCTCGACGTTCACCCAACTACACCGCCGACCATCTCTACTGTATCTCCGACGTTGAACCAAGAATACAGCCTCTACTGTAAAAGAAAAAGAATTCAAAATGGCACCGCCTCCTGATCTGAACGTCGGCGTGCCCGACCTGGAGTACTTCACGCCCCAGCACGTCACCTCTCCAGGCACACCCGCAGCTTCATCGTCCACCAAGACGCCAAAACTGTTCCAACCGCTCACCATCCGCGGCACCACCCTCCGCAACCGCATCCTCGTCGCCCCCATGTGCCAGTACAGCACCGCATCCCACGGGAACGCAACTGGCGCCTTGACAGACTACCACATCGCAACCCTCGGCCACTACGCCCTGAAAGGCGCAGCCCTCGTGATGATCGAAGCCTCCGGCGTCCAGCCAAACGGGAGAATATCACCCAACTGCCCCGGGATATGGAGCGATGCGCAGATCCCAGCATTGAGACGCGTGAGCGACTTCATCAAGTCCCAGGGCGCGCTGAGCGCGATCCAACTCGCCCACGCCGGCCGCAAGGCGAGCACATGCGCGCCCTGGATCGCGGGGGCGCAGCGCACCAGCGGCGGGAAGAGGAAGGTGAGCGTGCGCGCGAGCGAGGCCGCGGGGGGCTGGCCGGGGAACGTAGTCGGGCCCATGGGCGGCGAGGAGTGGACGTGGGACGAGAGGAGGCTCGACGATGACGCGGGCGGGTACTGGGCGCCGCGGGCGCTGAGCGAGAAGGAGATTGGCGAGCTGGTGCGGGATTGGGCCAGTGCGGCGCAGCGCAGCGTCAAGGCTGGTGTGGATGTTATTGAAATCCACGCCGCGCATGGGTATCTCATCCATCAGTTCCTCAGCCCGATTACGAATCAGAGGACGGATGCGTATGGCGGCAGCTTTGAGAACAGGAGCAGGTTGCTGCTGGAGATTATCCAGGCCATCCGCTCTGTCATCCCGGAGTCGATGCCGCTGTACCTCCGCATCAGCGCGACCGAGTGGATGGAGGAGACGGACCTGGGCAAGAAGCACGGCAGCTGGGACGTGTTGAGCTCGATCCGTCTAGCAAAGATCGTCGCGCGCATGGGCGTAGATCTCCTCGACGTCAGCAGCGGAGGAAACGTCGTGCACCAGAAGCTCAACCCGTTCGACACCAAAGACTACCAGACACGAATCGCCGCACGCATCAGGGACGAAGTCAAAAAGGACGGCGGCAATCTCTTCATCGGCGCAGTCGGCCTGATCACCGAAGCCGAGCAGGCGCGCGACATTGTCGAAGAAGGCGGCGCCCCGGCCCAGCAGACACAAATCGCAAACGAAGCACACACCGCAGTAGCCATGCTGGAGCCCCGAAACGGAACCGAACCCCAGGCCGACGTCATCCTGGTCGCGAGACAGTTCATGCGCGAGCCCGAGTGGGTGCTCCGTGTCGCACACCAGTTGGGCGTTGAAGTCGCGTGGCCGAATCAGTTCCTGCGCGTGCGCTTCCCCAAGTTGTAGGAATGACTTTGTAGCGGGTTAGATTTAGACTGACGATTGGTGCTTTAGATGACAGCTGCTGTTATAGAATACCTACTGAGATTGCAAACATCAGGTCCCACGCGGAGGGCTTCGGTCATATATAATATCAGACATTCGTGTGCGTTGTACAAAGCCCAGACGATACAAGAATGAGTGCGGGACAGATATAACCCCCGTCATCCGCCTATGTCGACGGCACGCGTAAAGGACAGGTAGGTCTAGGCGGAGACAACAGCCAGAACCTCTGAAAGCACTGTTGGTGTTTGAATGCCTGACTCGTGGCCTTCAAGATAAGGAGAAGCGTGGGATGTAGTTGATGAGCACTGCGAAGAGGTATAGTGTGAGCGTGTTGTCTTCAGAACAAAGAGATGCCGAATATGATCTGATACCGACAGGTATGCAAACCATGCGGATTATCAGTGACGCGAAAGCCAATCGGTAAAGGAGAATACTGGGAGGGCGCGATGGTTGTATCCCGAAGTTGAAGAGATCTGAGTGAACATCAAGTGGCATGTCGACAATATGGAGACTGGCGATTACGCGGGCTCTGGCATTTCGACCTAGCGGAGTCACTGTGTGGGATGTGGTGCGGATATTGAGAGATTTTGTCAAAACTACTTACTTGGAGCTGAGGGCATGCTGTGGTGAGATATGGGTGTCATCACCGAGGCTCAGAGGGAGAGATAGCCTTGTGAGAGGGGAGTACGTATGTGCAGAGCGCTTTTACAGTAACTATCACGTATATAATAGAATACCGACTCATGTATTGTAAGGAGTAAGGTCCACAACTGAGGTGATTCAAAATCTTAGCTGGTCGTGTCGTCGTAAAGCTGCTAGAAGGTGCGAATCGCTTCACTTCATATCGCTGTTTCTCTCCACATCCTTCCATGGTCAATCAAACGCAGTCTTGCTAATTAAAATCTCAGCACTCCTGTTTCAACCTGTACTCACCATCACTTGCCGAAATTTGGCACCACCACGACAAGATGGCGACAATCACCGCCGGCACGCCGATCGGCACCCTGCCCCCGGGAGTTCTTCAGTCCGTGTGGCGTCACCTTCCTTTCATCGACCTCACCCACTTTCAACAAGTCTGCACCTCTTGGAGGGCGGGTCTCCCGGGGAGCGACCCTATGCTACGCCGGGCTTTGTTCCTCGACGCTCCACGTCCAGGCTGAACGGATGCAGGAATTGCATCGACCTAAATATACCTCTCGAACAGAAGCTCAAGAGACGCAGAGGGCTTTCACCTTACCTGGATTTATTTCTCAGCGTCTACAGGTCTCCTCACCACGAAGATTCTGGGCCGTAACACGACATCGATTACCATCCCATGGTCGTCAACCTGAACAAATACCTGGACCTTGTTCACCCTCGGTTTCGACCGACAAACGACCCAATCTTTGAGTATCGGAGATTTTTATTCAAAGACCTGAGCTATCGCAGCTTTGAGGGACTGGCTGAGCCTGTTGACGACAAGGGCGCATCCTGGACGCAGACGCAGCTTAGTAACCCTCCCCACAGGTCCTGCATGGTAGTTATACGTAGATTGATCGACATCGAGATCTATGATTTTGAATACGATGTCTTCATCTTCAAGAACACTTCTGGGGTGACGATGGAACAGTTGGTGGGAGCTATAAGGAAGAGACTTGTATTAGTGACGGAGGACTATATCAAGACTTCCAGCGAGCATCTAGACCGATTATGGGCTACAGCGTCGACTCGAGTCGTAAAGGAAGTCTTAGCGGCTTGCCACTGTTCTTCACAGGGTTCCAAACGACCAAATTTCGATACTCGTGCTGCTGAGATGACCTCCACGCATGGTGTGCTTACGCGCAGCATGCCTTGCTGGAGGCTTTTGGCCGCTTATCATAAGTACACAATGCTGCTATGCACAACTTGGAAAGCGTAATACAACTGCAATTGTAACGAGGAACATAAACGCCATTGCAAAGTGAGTGATTGACAGAAGCAAGTGGCAGCTTGAGAGCAATGCGAAACGGCTTTTAAATAATGTACATGAATACTCAGCTCTGCACTGCTCTGCTCTGCTCTAGTATTTACAAACAACGGCGACTTGCTCCACAGGGCCCAGAAATAATTCTGATTGAACGAGTTCTCACAAGTGTCGTCGGTAAGCCCAAGCTCAAAACGCCGCAAGATCTTGCAGGCAATCGCATCTCATGCAAAGCTAGACTATAGATTGTAAGTAAGACACCCGACAGACCACTCTGAGGTATACCGCAACTCTTCCCCATCTGTATGAGAGGTGAAGGGGATCTTGGTGCAGAAATAGCACTGAAAGATATAGAGTGCGGTGTCGGTCAAATTACAATTGGAGCTATCTGGGTAGCAGATTGTGCATACCGCCCTTCGCCCACGCTAGAGCGCCATAGTTCTGATCGTGCTTCTGATCATTAGCCTTCCGCGCAGACGTCCACTCTTTCGCGCGCCTCGCCATTGCTTCTTGATTCTGCGATCTCTTCACTGCTACTACAAGGCCATGGCGTTGCTGGAAGCTTATGTTCTGTATGCCCATCTCATCTCTGCGAGACAGCTGGTGGCAAGTTTGATGTCTGGATGGGTCGTGGTGCCCCGATGACTCGGGACCAACTGGCAAAGCGAGACATACGTTTGTCGCTCCTGTGGCTGGAATTTTTGGTCGACGAAACGATTTCGAGCCCACTGTCTTTCCAGATAGTAGGTGTAGCTCTTGCCCACCTCTTCTCGTTAACTTGGTGCCAGGACTAGTGGGGTGTGCTCCTCCGCCACTCCTGCGCTCCCAGAATTCGCACAGCTCGGGCTCCTTCTCGAAATTGAGCATACAGTGGCCGCTGTCTCTCATATGGCTCTGGATGGCTGTTGTAGACGTTCTCGAGGTCTCACAGTACAGGCATTCGTGCCACACCCGTATCTGTGTAGCTAGATACCCGAGGAAGCTTGCTTGACTCGAAAGAAGATCTTGGTCAGGAATGAACAATCCGTGGGCAAAAGCCATATGCTCCACGATTTCGCCCACTTCGTCGGCTCCGTTGTCGTCGAACCTCAGATGACAAAAGAGACATTGGTTTGGTGACGGGGATTGATCATTAATCGCCTTGACGACATTGTGTTCCCGAGCTGCTTGAGGCGGCTCAATTGGTGTCTGTATCTTGTTCTCGTAGACTTCTAGTGTTATAGGCGACAAGGAAGAGATGCGTCTTTTCAGATTGTAGATACTGCTTTCGCGTAAGTGAGCTGCAAAGCAGACAGACAGCGGGCCATACTGCCAGGGACTCTTCATGTGAGCCCTCTGCATCTCCCCTGAGTCGAAGAAGAGACTGCAATTGTGACATCCCCATGATAGGCGGGCGTTTGAAGTTGGAGGCTGCGGAGCATTGTTGGTCGTAGTGGCGGTTGTTGCTGTCAGGGCTGTTGCTGTGGCAGTCATAAGAAGGTCTACTTGGACCTGTGGAGTACTGATTGCCTTCGAGTGCCTTTGAGTGCCTTAATTGTGAGCTTGTATATTCTCCCAAAAGATGCCTCAGCTTTCGATCCTTATACAAGAGCAAAAAGATGTGGGGATGGCGGTGCTGAGCGGATGGGGGTTAGCGCCAAATGACTCATTTACGATCATTGTGAAGTGCGGCGCTACTCGCCTTGGGAACCCCGAAAGAGATGCCAGAGAATGTGATAGCTACAGTTTCGACTCTGAGAGTCGCCTGCTGTCGTGTGACTGGACGAAAGTCGTCGGTGTTGAGAAGTAGGTAAGAACCGAGCTTCACGAATCATGACTTCCCAGCGGGAGCATCACGTCACTTCCTTCAGCCTCCTTGCCATGCAGATAACAACACCATCAATATCGTAGCATACCTGGCAGGGATCCAGCGGATAAAGTCGAAAGCCAGCACCGCGAGCCAAGAGTGCATGTCGATTCGCTCGCGAACGCGGCTCACAGCTGTGGCACGAAACCCCACCTCGAGCGCGTTGTTGCACCAGCGGCTACCTACAGCTACTCCATGTGGCTGGATGAGGCTTCTGAATCCGCATGCTAGTTCGTTCAGAGCAACAGCTGGGTTGATCATGGTGACCAAGGTAAGTTCATCATGCTTAAGACTTGATAAGCAGTTCGTTTGCTGGAGCTTGCGCCTTCTAAAGCCCATTGTCCCCCACAAACACGCAATTAAAAGCCATCAATATGCCAGAAACTAGCGCCTCGAACGGCACCCAAAACAGCTCATTCGTAATGCCCTCGCCATCAGCGCGCCCACACCTCTCGCCTGGATTCTGACGCCACATCCGGAATACCAAAGCTGGATTCAAGAAGTTGAAGTGTTGGGTGTTCTAGCCTAACTGCTTGCAGAGGCTGGTTACCATGCTTGACTCATCGCCGATGTAGTCGCAAAGAACAAGTTCGGCCGCGACCCAAGCCACTTGAAGATCATCGCTGGTATTACAATCATTGTCGATGAAACAGATGGAAAAGCTCGTGCGAAGCGTTCAGAGCTACTGTCTTACGGTGACAGAGAGGAAGCCTTCGCGCTCTTTGGCAGTTGGACGGAAGAGGGCCTTTCGACTTACACTGACGATGAAGACTTCCATGTGCTGGGCACCGATAACGTGCCCTGGATCAGCATCTCTGAACACCTCCTGCTCGGTGGTATGGGTGCTCAATCTTAGGCAGTCCTAAGACAATCATGGATGAACTTGAGTGTTGGGCTGAGGTTGCTGACCTAGACGGCTTCAATTAAAGCCATACTGTAAGTCCAGGCAGCTCTCAAGATACCATTGAGTGGGTGTTGCTAGGATTCAGACGAAGGGGATCTTTCAGACAGAAGGTTGAGAAGGAGGGCGCTAGGGCATGAGAAGCATTTCTTGGGCACAGTTGGCTACTTAATGACCACCCTAGACGAGACTCTGTAGATGGAAGCGACAGATGCCTGACGTACAGCAAAATCAGGAAAACAGTGCGAAGAGATGGCGCGATAAGGGTTTTTGCTCTCACGAGTCAAAGTGCGTGCGCCCCCGCATGAGATGCACGACCGAAGTACCGTCTGGTACTAGGCGGCGTGCACCGTGTATGTGAGCTACGCGAAGGCTGAGATATGCACTGAGTTCAAGGGTGTCCAGACCTTGCAATGCACCTCACGTGTTGCTGCAGTTTGGTGTTTCCAGGAAAGATCCGTTCATACCCTGCTCGTCCTGCATGATTCGCCGAAGTAAACTGCAAAGTGAGTGGGCATTCAGGTACCGCCCGCGGTCGCAGCTCGCCTACCCATGCTATCTTCCGATTGCCAAGTCCGTATCCAAGAGTTTCAGCCTTGTTTGGCTGTACAGGGCACCACAGCACAAATCACAGATGCTTAAACAGGCGCCGTGGATGTCTCTAGTATCGGTTATGGAAATGTGTTGCTTGGTGCTGACCAGCAGCGGACCTGATATGAATGTGAATGAGACGACTGTAATTCTTGAAGCACTCTCCGATTTCCTACCATACTTTGAGCATCTTCGTTGCGTGCGTCTACTGTGGCGGCTTCATAGCACCGACCATGGGTTCCTCGCGTCCCTTGCGACTTCTACGTCAGCACCAAGGTACATTTACTTTGGTGGATATGCGCCACACCCACGTCAACAGCTTCGATATCATCTCCCACAGGTGGTATCCAGCCGAGGACATCGCGTACGGTTACGACGACATTCGTGGGCCCGATGGCACTTTACTCAGAGGCCACGGAATCGGAGGACTTGATTGGGCAATCAGGATCTCTCGCGAAAAGATCACACACATCAAAGACTTCATGATAGCCGCCGATGTGGAGTACCTCTGGTTAGACTGCATATGCATCAGGCAAGACAATGAGGAAGAGAAAGCTGGTGAGGTCCCCAAGATGTTCGAATACTACAAATCCGCAAAGACTTGTCACATACTGATGAGAATGCCTGCGGTGTGGGATCCAAAGGAGATGGTGCACGAACTGAAGTTTGTCGATCACGTCATGTACCACATGGGCGGATCCTCGCTCTCATCAGAGGCGCCAAACCTGAGCAAAGCGACGGTGGATCGCCTGAAGCACTGGGCCGAAGCTCCCTGGAGATTCTCAATCCCAGAAGCTACAGCCACGTCCGCTGCCCTCGACTTGGGCGTTCTCAATTGCTACGCAACTTGCGTCCGCAATGTCATATTACTCTTTGCCAATGAGTACTTCACTAGAGTTTGGACGTTCCAAGAGATGATTCTTGGCAAGAATGTGACGCTCTGGGCAATCGATGGAGACAGTGTATCTGGCATCGGAGAACTGGATGTTTGGTTGGATCTCGCCACAGATGCTTGTGACAGAGCATTGAAACTCCTCAAGTGGATCAATGACTCCAGAAAGCTGAAGTCAGTTTCGGTCCTTGTCGTGATGAGAGCTATTGAGGAAGATATCGTACTTCTCGAGAGCCTTCGGCTTACGGTCAAAGGCCTAGAGGGTGCGCGCACCGACATCATCAGCGGGGGACCTAGGTGGTGGCACGACAATCCGAAAGGAATCAGCAACATCTTCTCCGCCATCTCCATCATCCCGCGGTCATGTTTCGAGAAGCACGATCTGTTTCGAGGCTTGTTGGGGATATTCGATGGCCTCTTCACTACGGAGGAATTGCAACGAGATTTGACCGGCGAAGATGTCGAGACAATGTCCTTCAATTTTTTCAAACAGTTGTCAATTAAGACAGGGGATGCGTGGACAAGTCTCGCGGTCAGCAGCCAAGAGCGAGGTGAATACGATTGGATACCCATGGTGAAGAAACATAGCCGCACGACCACTGCAGACTGTTTCGCGGGAGTTCTAAAGCTGGGCGACGTGAACAAGAAAGGCCTGGCGAAGACCATCGCAAAGATCAACCTAAAAGGAGCCCCTCGGAAATTTGCCTCAATTAAGCTATTAGAAAGTGAACCAGGTAGTGGTTTCCAGTTCACGTTTAAAGGCTGCAACTGTGGCAAGAAGGTCAAGATCGGAATGATCAAGAGAGAGCTCGTGCCAACATATGACCAGATCGAGGAGGTGAAGACTGATGAGACGGCGCAGAAATTGGTTTATTGCGCGACAGTCCTCGGAAAGTTGATGGACCCCAGTGGTGATGTTGTGGCATATCGAAGGAAGCTTCTTCGCCGGCTCCTACCCAATTGGCGAGTGAGCGATCCCAACGCCAAACCGGCTCAGTGGGAAGATCGCTGTGTCAGCGGAACCATGTGGGAGGACCCAAGGGGCGTTTGGGTGCACAATTGGTCTTTCTCGTACAGAATGGTAGATCTGGAGGACTTCAGATGCCAGCTTGCCACGGAGACGACCGCCGGAGTGTCGTGTAAGGTCGAAGTAAATTGCGGATGCACTTTCACTGCGCCGTTTAGCTTCATCTTCCAAGGACTCACTGCTGTATACGGCAGCTCCCTCGGCGACAAAGCTGCTGATTTCGGCCCGGACAACAGAATTACTCTGCAAGACGGCTTGGGCCTTGTACAGGTCGGCGATGTAAACAAGACGTTCAATCTGGTGGCCTTTGATGGCGACATCTCGGCATACAAGATACACGCCTCTCAGTGTAGGAAGAAGCGACTGGATCCTAGTAAGGCACCAGATTTCCCTCGCGGCCGGGCTCTGGTCAGCGAAGAGTTCAGCCATGGCCTGATGGATCAGATGCGTAACTACGGTTATGTCGATACTGGGGGCTCTGGCAACTTGTTGATCTGCAGAAACCACCTGGCAGACCCATACAAGATCATAGGGGCTTGTATCGACAAGAAGTTCGAGGCCAAGAAGGAAGGTATCAAGCTGAAAGACGTCAAAATTCGATAAGCGTATGGGTTGAGCCCGAGCGAGGGTCATGTATCGCAATCAAATTGGTTTGTCAGCGCTGTGGATGTTCATCGCTGGATGTACTTGGTCCTTGAAAGATGAGTCGTTGTATTACGATTGCGACTACCTTACTTTGACATCTCTTCACGTAAAGACGCTCGAAGGAAGAAAATGATCTGAGCTCAGCACAGATGCATCGTGTGTGGAGAAAGATGCGCGAACCGGTGGGCTTACCCAGATCGACTTTGATGTGTTGCGCTAGAGAGCTGTCTGGCCAATGACAGCACGGCACCAACACCGCTCACCTGTTCATCTGCATGCACGATCATGCGCAACATACGCATGGACACCGCTCACCGCGATGCTGTGACAAGATCGCTCTGCTTTGTTATAGAACATTGCTACGTGTCAATGATGTAGACCAGATCGCCTGTTCTTGTGGCTTAGGTTGTACAGTTTCGCCCCTTTTCCTGGTGCCTAGGCGGTAATTACGTCCCGTTCGCCACCTTCCTCCTGGCTCTGAGTAAGATGGCCATTCATTAGCAGCCCCGGGGTGCGCACCCCTGTGCACACGGTGGCCAAAGCTCTATGAGCGTGTCGTGTTCACCATAGAAAGCGTGCGCTTCCCCCGGGTCGTTCTGTTGTACGTGTACTCTACGCCCGGTCAAGATGTTCGTCAGTGTGAAGGAACGCGCGCGCCAGATCGCCAGTGGGCAGTTCACTGCGCCAGCATCAACTGCTCCCGTTGCGTCTTTGATCGATCTTGCGCCTGAACCTAAGCCTGCGACACCGAAGAAGGCAAGCGCAAAGGGAACATTTGCCAAAGCCGCCGCGTCGCCTTCAAAGACAAAAAAAGATACACCAAAAGTTGCGCCTACACCTGCAGCACCTCCAAAAGCCGCACCACCAAAGGCTACACCAATAGGAGCATTCCCACAAGCAGCGCCGACCACTATTGCGCCGCCTCCAGAATCATCTCTGCCAAAGAAGGCGTCTTCGAAATCGAAGCTCACGAAGGAACCCTCGTCAAAACCGCCCAAAGAAACACCTTCAAAGCCGTCGACGCCCAAGCTCGGATCCTCAAAGTCCACATCATCAAGCAAACCCCCATCCCAACCCAAGACGCCATCGTCGCCCAAACCCGCATCGCCCACAAAACCTACTGCGCCACGACCATCGCTCTTCTCACGGGCATCATCCACTTCCAAAACCCCCTCAGCACCGGCCACGCCCTCGAAGCCAAAGCGCTCCAAATCCCCCCCAAAGCGCGTCGACTCGCCCATCTCCGACGCCTCGTCGTCGTCGCTCGCGGAGCTGAAATCAGCATGCCTCAAGCAAGTGTCCGGGGTGACGGGTCTGGGGGGCCGGCGGCTCGCGATCGCGCTCAAGCAGCGGTCAAGCGGGGAGTACTACGTCGCGCTCAAGGATCTGGGCAGCGACAAGTATCTCAAGATGTGGATGAATCGCGATAAGACGTACGGGTCCAAGGAGGAGGCGCTGGAGAAGTATCTGGTGTGGGTCTGCAAGATGAGGAATGAGGTGAGGTGGTTTCCTACGAGTCCGCGCGCGAGCAGCCCGCCGAAGGGGAAGGGCAGATAGGGACGGTGGGAGGAGGTTGTCTGGGCTGGACCTAGATCGGGATTGATGGTGTATGTTATTTTTGGGAAGTGTTTTGGTTTCGAGCGTGGCCGGTACGCAGCCCCGGCAATATATACCCTGGATGGATTCTGGGTAGCTGGACGACTCGATTGAGTCAACATGACATTGACACGACATGGTAGATAATCTGTAATACCCTAATAGACGACGGACAGCGCATGTTTCAGACACGCAAGCATTTTCTTGCAAGCACCCTCCGTTCTGCTGGCCTTGGAGTCGTTGACTGCATTGCTTCCCGTCGGTTTTGACAACATGGTGCAGATGGGACGCCTATCTTTCCTCCGACCTTACCAGACATGATGATCGGGTTCGATCGCCTCTGCGCTATAACGATCCCATGCGGAGTATCGCCATTGTCCGTTCGAACATGCGCATGCATCGCTACGGTAACGTGGAGGTACTGCTGATATGCCCTGCGTCTCTTAGCCTGAAGCCTATCCCTGACATGTGAAGCATGTAGTAGCATTCTGCTGAGATGGCATCAAATCCACGTGGGACCCGGGATTCCTTCATACCCGATTGACTGCCGCATGTGATCCCTCATGTGAAGTTCCAACGAATCTGCTGCACAACTGTTCCGTCGGAGCTTCGCAACGTGATGACCGTTCCAGTGTCCTTGAACAGAGGAGGGTATTAACGCTTCAGTCTTGGATGGGCGTCGACTACAGACATGGTTGAGATCAGTGAACAGGTGGACGGAGGCTAGCGAATCTGTGAGTGAGGTTTGTACCACAAAGGGTGCTGCCCGGTTGCTCAAGCAAGCTAGCGACAGGGGTACAAGCGAGCTGACGGAGATGCCATCCTTAGAGATGCTCTATTGTGGAGCAGAATAGAATCAGCATTGCCGTCAAATGTGACTAAACCATGTGTAGGCTTTCAGATACGTTGGATGATCGTTTGAAATTGATATAAGGAAATGTTACAGTCATGTTCTCGCCTCAGCACCAAGCTCAGTCGTGTATATTTTTGGTATAGCTCTTGTGGGAGGTCCTCGCTCCTTTCCACTGCGGGTGATGTAGACACGGCAACGGCGCTGCTCGGTAAAAGCGATGCATCTACTGGTCCTTGGCGGCCTTAGCAGTCTCCTCCTGGAGCTTCTTGATGTTATCGGCGGCCGAGGTGTTGGTTTCGCTCCTGTCAGCCTTGATCTGCAAGATAATCAGCTTGATTCCGAGATGATGGCACACAGCTGCATGGGTTACGCACGATGCTCTCGCTGTCGCTAGCAAGACCCTCCTCCCACTTGCCCTTGCCATCCTTCTGGTTCTTCAGCTGCTGCTGCTTGAGCTGCTCGGCCTCGTCGGCGCGGCCCTCGGTGTCTGGTCGCTGTTAGTCATTCGCCCGCGGACAGCATCGTCATGTCGACGTGGTTCACGTACGCAGCTTACTCTCCTTGCCTACGCTGCGAGCTATTGACTGCGAGAAAGCAGCACGCTGGACCGTGCCGACAGAGACGAAAGGCGCGCGGCGGGCGACGATGGAGCGTACGGAGTACATATTGTGTATGGTGGTGGTGGAGAGGTTGCTGAAGGTTCTGGGTGATGCGGCGGATCAGTGTATGTCGAGAACGATCTCAATTGATGATTCTGGTGATTCTGATGGAATTGAAGGTGTTGCTGAAGAGTGGCTCGGCTGCAGTGATGATTTGCGGAGGAAAGGACTGCACAAGCTCTCTGACTTGAGGAAAGCGAGGGTGGATATGTGACGTCAACAGCTCTGCAATGGAGCTATCACCATTACGAGTAGCGCGTCTAGCCGCGAACATCCAATGCGCACCACCCATTTCAAAGCACAGGCCCAGGCTGGTGATGCACAGAACGGTGCCTAGCTAATTGTGTGAACTTGAGGGTCTGTTCACTGGCTTTGATGGCGGGATCGGGAACTGAAGAGTCCACAAGTCGCCATGACACGCAACTGCGGGCGGGTGGGCGCTGCCGTGTTCCTGCATGCTTTCAACGGGCACCCCGCGTGGGATTCATCGTGCTGCTTTGCTTCTGTAGCTTCGTCGGACGTTCGCGCTGTGGCGTCGGGCGCTGAGACAGAAGCTGGTCTGGGGCTTCTGAGCTGCATGGTCTTGTACATACCCCGCATGCTCACATGAGCAGGAAGTGGCCCATGAAGCTGCCCAGAATACCCGCATCGCCAGGCTTTCCTGGACACGGCAACAGCTCCCCGGTGGAGCTATGAGCTAAAGCTGCAACGTCACGGTGCACTGGAAGTCAAGTGACGAGGAGTAAGTTGCGATTGCGTATCCTAAGATGTTCACTGCCCTCAATAGGGGCGTGTCAAGTATGAGGAGAACAGCATCCCAGAGGGAAATCCCGAAGATGAGACCAAAACATCCAAGAAGATCAGCCCATCGTCCACCCATGGGGTCGTATGTAGCCTCATACAATGAAATGAAGGAAAAAGGAAAACAGACGCGCCATGTGACTGCGTAGAATCATCCCAGCGTCGTACAATGACTGATGAGACACCCAGACGATATGCACCTAGAACCGATTGACCCCAACACGCTTTGACACCGCCGCTTCGCAATTCGCGCCAATTGGTATATACCGACCGCTGAAACCGAGAACCGACCGGACAAAAGAAATCTACCCTGTTGAGAAGCAACCGGGCAACAAGACCGCAAGACAGCAAGATTTTTAGTCTTTAGAACGCTGATGATAACTCCCAATGCGACCAAAAACACCGAGTGTGCAAACCGCCGTAATGCGTTATCGCTAAGAGACAAGAGGCTCTAGCGTCTATTTAGGAGGGTTCCGCGAGAATGATGTGACGCCGTCGCAGGGCGAGTGGTATACCCAAGATGTCGAAGAAGATATCGTAGATTTGTACAAGGGGGAGTCGTAGTATAGACGTGAATCCTCCAGAGGATATCAAGAAGAAGAATTAGATCCTGGTAGGGCAGCCACTAGCGAGCAACGGAGACGCCGCAGTCCCCAACGGACAGGCGCTGAGCCTCGTGCCTGCGAAGCTTACCAGCGTCGCTGCGACATGAACTGCTGCTGCATCTGCCTGTTAGGGGAGACGGATGGCGGGGGGCTGGCGACAGCTCGTGTCGAGGGGTCGACAATGGGGATGGCATTGCGGGTGCGCTGAGCTAGTGGCTGGTGCAGCTTGGTCTGCGAAGCATTGTTCTGCTGGAAGTGGGATGGCGTGTATGGGTTGGGTGCCGTCGACAGAACAAAAGAGGGCGTGGGCTGCAGCTGGTGCTGGAGCGGAGACTGCTCGGGTGAGCCGCTGGACAGCGAGGAGCGGTCAGAGCCAGACGAGTGAATGGACTGGAGCTGCGTGGTGTAAGTCCCATGCTGTGACAAGACCGGGTGGCAAATCTCGCCGGCCGAATGACTTACATCATCCTCCGTCAGCAGGTGGAACGGGCAGAACATCTCGTCATCCTCAATGTCAAAGGACCGGGCGGCCTCGAAGTCACGCTTGAAGGCAATGGACGTCGGGGGCTCGACGTTGAACTCCTTGGGGGTGCGCACTTGGCGGTACTGCTTCTGCTGGTGCTGGGCCGAGATACGGGGTGCCCGTCGCGATCGGCCGCCGTGGTGGTTGTTGCTGTGCTGGTGGGCGTTGAGGTGCTGCGTGTGGTGCTGCGCACCGTAGTTGAAGAACTGCGACATGGTTGCGGGGTGTGCTGATGGCAGACGGGATGGAAGTCGGTGGTGGGGGGCTGCGCAAAGAGCGGTGGAGCGAGTGATCACAACAAAGCAAAGCCGGCAGGGGGCGGGTCCTCGGGTGTGTAACGTATAGTGTGAGAGCGTCAGAGACGGCGGTCGAGGGTGCGAGAGGCGAGAGTATTGACTAGAGGCGCGGTGTGAGGCGGAGTAGATGTCTTGAATGTAGGAGAGCTTGGGTGCAGGCGAGAGGAGCAGGAGGGGAGGGTTGGGACGATTTGAAAGGCACGCACAAGTCAGCGGGCGACGGCCGTGTGGCTAGCGAGCAAGTGGGCCCTTGTCTGGATGACGACCGGCGATTGGATGCGAGCTTCGCCACTGGGGCCTGCGCTATGCCGCTTACGTTCGCTTGCGTTTTGGCCGGCATCTATCGACCAGGGCGCCAGCCTGCGAGAGCGAGCTGAAGGGCACCAAGTGCCCACAGTGCCATCATACGCGGCTGCTTGCAACGCCAGCGCCCACGGGTGCAATGGCTGCGCAACGCTCAATGGCAGTGCCCTCTAGCCTGCCAGCGTCCGGTCGTCGTCGGCGTAGTCGTCGTCGCTGTTGCGCACCGGTACGCAGTCCGGGTCGGCGTCGACAGACGAAACCGCTTATGCGCGCACACACGCTACAACTGCCAGCCAGCTCACAGCCTCGCCAAAACTAGGTAGCAAATGACCACCTGCAGGCCCTGACCGCTTCCCTCCCGGCGGCCCAGCGCTCGAATCTGGATTCTGCATCCAGGGGGATGCATTCTGCAACCGACCCGCTGGACAGCAGCCTTGTGATGCATCAATGCGCTGTCGGTTCCTCGTCGGCAAGGGCGGCCGCAGCTTCGAGACTTGGAGCGTGGAGCTCTCCCAGCTTCGAGTTCCCTCGTCGAAGACGGGGAGCGCTAGGAGTAAAGCGGCGCGGCTGTGCTGCCCGCCGCTCAACAGCGTGGTTGAGGGGTTTCTGGGATTCGCTCGCGCAGCCGACTCGTCCCTGCGACGGGTGCAAATCATTCCCCTCTGGTGTTCTGCAGCCGCCTGCGATTGTTCTGGAATGCAGCCAGCGCTTGCCATCGACCGTGCCGACCACGGACGCTGGTGTCGACCGTTTCACAGAGAATAGTTTCACACAGCCCGAGATCTTTGTCCTGTGATCGAGACAGAACTCGTCCAGGAGCCGGCCATGTCTGAATCGTCCAGGAGCCGGCCATGTCTGAATCGTCCAGACGCCGGCCATGTCTGAATCGTCCAGACGCTGGCCATGTCTGACAACTCCCCGCCCTCAGCGATCCATGGGCGCCCCGACCAGCTTCTGTGTGACGTGCGAAACCTTCGGACTGCCCTCGGTGGTCCAATCGCAGCCCCTGACCCTGAGCGCCTAAAAGGAACACCAAAATTGCTGCGCCCTGGCTCCCCGCGGGCTGCTCGTTCACGCCGAGCGCACGCTCCTTTGGTGGGCAATTTCCTGTCCGCAGAGCTCAATTCGCCAGCCTTGCTCCTGATGCGCATGTTGACAGTGGACATTCCAGTGTTTGTTGTGCTGGTTGCTATGCTGCCAAAGCTCACTCGAGCGCCTGCCGCAGGGCCCAGCTGGCCGTCCCGTTCCATGGGGTATTATTGGCGCAAACACTTCTGGGACAGGCTAAGCAACGCATTATCGACCTCCCCATGCTCAAAACACCCTCATCTCAGCATCTCCCCGCACGGCAGAGGTCTAGAAGATTATCGTGTTGGCGTTGACACCACGTGAGCACGTTTGCAACTGGACTTCGACGTGGCCTTGAGGCTGCCTGTGCTGCGCGGACTCCGGCGTAAGCACCTTGATGAGAGGACTGTCGGGTCTCTTTGATGTCCGTCGTCACATGGAGTGATTTGTGGATTTAGAGTTCGTCCTCTTCAGCGTCCCAGTGACTACAGATCTTGTCCTTCTCCCAGACCATGATACCTGCTTGGTACAGCCTATTTGCTATGTGGAGAACACCCTATTTGCTATGTGGAGAACACCCTATTTGTCCAGCCCCCTCGCCTTGACAAACTTCGCAATCTGGTCTTTGCAGGTCTTGTCCGCGTAGCTCTCCCAGACCTCGTACAAGCTGATCAGCTCCTGGGTCGTCTCCACCACAGCTTCGATATCCACATTGCTTTCAGCCAGCCAGTCTACTAGCTTTTGCACTCTGCTCTGGGCGCCCGCTCCTCCTGCGCCTCTTGCGTTGCCAAGTGCTTGCAGTGCGCTTGCAGTCCCTGCAGCACTCATCTGCAGCCCGCCTTGTGTTGGCTTCAGCACGACAGCGAGGAACATGGCCGTGATGGCAATGACGTGCGGTGCGTGTAGCAGTGGTAGGTCAGTGAGATAGTGGTCGTTGATGATGGACCAGGCGAGTGCGTTCTCCTCTTGGGTGAGCTGGAATTGCGTCTGCAGTTCGTTGAGGCTGCGGTAGGGATGGTGCAGAATCAGCTGTGAGTTCATTTCCGAGATCAGACTGAACTCGCATTCGCCAATCTTGGAGATGTCGTTGAATGAGGTGTCTACTCCAAGTCAGTAATGCACCGCAGGGAAGATGACAAACATACCCCAGCAGTGTCGAGCCTCTGCAAGCACCATCCTAATGTGCTGTGGGCATTCTTCCATCTTGCAAGCCAGATACAAAGCTGTTGCTAGCACAAGTGCTGGATTTGTTCTCCGTATCTCGACTTTGGCATAAAACCGTCGCACGTAGACCTGAGCTGATGCCAGTGCTTGTTGTCGAATGCCTAGTGGCCTGGCCATCTTCGACAGTTCTGCCCGAGTCAGTGTGGGCGTCCGGAGAGGGAGACGATCGACTCACGGTGAGAGAAGTAGATACTGAGATGCCGTCTATCTGGTAGAGGGTACAAGCCGACGAGATTGCGTTCCGCCTCTTCCATCTTCTTCCTTTCAAGGGCCAGTTGCTGCTTCGTGAATGTCCAGAACCGCCGCTGGGTCGACTCCCAGTAGTTTGCCGCCATGATGTCGCTTACTCGATTCGTCGCTGTCTGACTACCTCCAGTTGCGTCGTGTGCAGTGTAAGACAGCGTTGAAGATGGCGAGACGTCCAGGATTCTGAGAGTGCTTCGTGTGACAGTCAAGTACGGCAGAGTCTAGTCGTCCCAAGTACGGCAGAGTCTAGTCGTCCCAAGTACGGCAGAGTCTAGTCGTCCAAGTACTGATTTCAACGTCACAGCCAGCTCCAGACCGGCAGTGTTCAGTTCTTGAAGCAGATCGAACATACTCAACGCATGTCGATGCCTGACTGCCGAGCACAGACCAAAGGTGGGAGGCCGTCCAAAATCGTTATTTCCCCACGCTCGCGCTCTCGAATCAGCACTGCGGTCTCACAGCACTATGGGTGTTTGCTGGAGTCGATGGTGTAGTGTGACGATAGTCGTCGAGCTGCCTGGATGACAGACCCGCTTTGACCCTCTCTCCCGTGTTCCGCACAAAGTCGAGCTCTAATAAATCCTAATGCAGTGCTGGAGGCCTTTGGCGCATCCACAGGCAGCTTCTGTTAGACTTCCAGAGACTGTAAACTTTTGTAGGAGACGTGAGCAGTGTCGCTGTGCTTTCCCAAAACGCGAACGAATCATGGCGGACCGGGTGCGGAAAGCTAATCAGCTGCACCCGCTAGGCTTTTTCGGTCCACCCTCTGATCTCATACCCCACGATCGAATCCTATGCATCCGACCACCATCCGCTGCCATTCTTTCAGCCATTCTCCTCGCTCACGGTCGAAAGCCGCCCCTCGTGCGTCGCGCGTCACAGCCATGATAGACCGGAGATAGCGAGACCACCATGGACGACATAAAGACTGCCAGCGTCGCCGACGCGAGGGTGGACGAGCTGTGGACGACGCTTGATTTGCGCAAGCAGGGCCATTTGGACCTCGCCGGGCTGAAGAAGGGTCTGCGGAAGCTGGATCACCGTAGGCGGCACCATTCGACATACTAGGGCTCTGCTGACAGGGGCATGCAGCTCTGAAGAACGCAGATGAGCTCCTGAATGAGGTCATGAAGGCGGTCGACGCGGACGGCAACGGCAAAATCACATACAAGGGTGCGTCTCCGTGCGACCGAGAGGCCTCCTGCAGCTCACGAATCCGCAGAGTTTCATACATTCGTCGAAGAAACGGAAAAAGAGCTACTAGCGCTCTTCCGCAGCATTGACAACAACGGCGACGGCAAGCTCTCAAAAGACGAACTCCGCAGTGCGCTGCGACGTGCAGGTCTTGCGGTCCCAAACACCAAGCTCGACACCTTCTTCTCCGAAGTGGACACCAACGGAGACGGACACATCAGCTTCGAGGAATGGCGGTATGTCGACCTGCACCCCAAGCACGGCTCCTGCTGACAGAACAGCGACTTCTTGCTATTCATACCCGTCAATGCGCCGAACCTCCAGGCGGTCATGTCCTACTTCAACGCCACACTAAAAGTCAATTCAGAGGGCGACGTCCTCGTGAACGATGACACCATACACGGATTAGGTACTTCAAAGCGTTTTCTTCACTTCTTTCTTGGTTCCCTGTTTCTCGTCGCGAAGACGCCGCCCTATGGCTTTACATCAGATCGCGTCGTACCGTTGGACATGACACGCGCTCCAAACTCTGCCATTTCGCAAGAACTCCCGCCACGTTTCGACGACGGGGAGATTGACGCTCCCCTTGTCGAGTCGCAAAGGGGGCTAATCATGAGCTTCGGAACCATGCTGATTGCTTGTGTTCCCAATCCAGGCTACTTCGTGGCGGGAGGCATTGCAGGCATTGTATCTCGCACATCGACCGCGCCCCTCGACCGACTGAAAGTTTACCTCATTGCGCAAACGGGCGCAAAGAAAGAAGTGGTGGCTGCAGCAAAGGGAGGAAACCTTTTCAAGAGCGCCGTACGCGCATGGGAGCCGCTCGCCGTCGCCATGAAGGAGCTCTGGCGGGCTGGCGGCATGCGTAGTCTTTATGCTGGTAGGTGCGGTCTTGATGTATATTGGAGCTTGACTGACAGCGCAAGGAAACGGCTTGAATGTCATCAAGGTCATGCCAGAGTCAGCGATGAAGTTTGGCGCATACGAGGCTACAAAACGTGCCTTTGCCAAGTTTGAAGGGCACAACGACCCGGCCGCCATCCACTCCTGGTCCAAGTTCGCTGCAGGCGGAGTTGCGGGTATGATCTCGCAATTCGCCGTCTACCCCATCGACACGCTCAAGTTGTAGGTGCCGCGAGTTCCGAGCAAACGTCCCAAGCTGACCCTGCAACAGCCGCATGCAGTGCGAGACGGTCGCTGGTGGACTCCACGGCAACCGCCTTATATGGGTCACAGCAAAGAAGATGTGGCAGAGCGGAGGCGTCGTAGCTTATTACCGCGGGCTGCCCATGGGTCTCTTTGGCATCTTCCCCTATGCCGCGCTCGACCTGGGCACATTCGAGTACCTCAAACGCTACGTGGCAAGGCGCAACGCGAAGAGGCTCGGCTGCCACGAATCCGACGCGGAACCAGGAGGCTTCATGACTGCAGCCATCGGTGGCTTTTCCGGCGCATTCGGCGCCAGCGCAGTGTACCCGCTGAACGTCCTGCGGACTCGACTCCAGAGTCAGGGCACCGTGCTGCACCCCAAGACATACACGGGGATCATGGACGTGACACGGCAGACAATCCAAGGCGAGGGCGTCCGCGGGTTATTCAGAGGCCTGACGCCCAACCTGCTCAAGGTCGTGCCCGCCGTGTCCATCACGTACGTTGTGTATGACAAGTCGAAGAAAGCCCTGGACTTGCCTTGATCGTACACACCTCCTCCTCCATATCACCTACGCCTCAGCGTTGAGCGTTTATTTGCATATCCACACAGAGATACCCTTCCTGCGCGCGCCGGCTCGGCGGACGCGAGCGCTCTTAGTGTAGCTTCCTTTAGCGACGGTTTATCCTTTACCCTTGCATAGAATTGGCGTTTGGGACCTATCCTCTTCTCGTGGCGGCGTCGCCGTGAGCTTGTTGATTTGTAGCATGTAGTGTGTCCTAGTAAGGAGATGTCGCGGTGCTTGTGCGGGTGCCGTGTCTTGTTGTTTCTTGGAGCGTGTGTGTGTGTGTGTGTGTGTGTGTGTGTGTGTGTGTGTGTGTGTGTGTGTGTGTGTGTGTGTGTGTGTGTGTTGGTGTGTGTGTGTGTGTGTTGGTGTGTGTGCGTATGTGTGTGTGTGTGGTGTGTGTGTATGTGTGTGTGTGTGTGTGTGTGTGGTGTGTGTGTGTATGTGCGTGTGTGTGTGTGGTGTGTGTGTCATTTCTATATATTCTGCTAAACACACCTGCGCACACAATGCAGTCGTATGTACGATCCCACGCGCAGCACCTCAGTCTCGAGACGCCGTCCCATGCCGACATCTAAATGCCGAGGTAGAACTTGGCGCGCTCGTAGACGAAGAAGCTGGTCGCAACCATGGGCACGACCTTGACGTAGCCAATGGTCAGCCCGACGAAGAACCCGCGCCACCCGCGCTCAGCATAAATCCGCCCCGCAACCTCGGTGATGCGCAGACGTCGCCCGTCCCCCACGACGCCGCCGACTTGCATGCGCCGCCGGATGACCTCGAGCGGGTACGACACAGTCTGCGAGACGAAGCCCGCGATGCCGCCCGTGGCCAGCTCGGCCCAGTAGCGCAGCGGCGCGGGCTTTGCCGTCGTCGACGAGGACGAGGGTAGTACTGTGTAGGGCGCCAGCGCGGGCCAGCGCATCACGTCGCTCATCGAGTCGTGGGCTAGGAACGAGGCGCCCGCGTACGGCACCATGCCGAGCAGGGTGGGCGTGAAGCCACGGAAGAAGTTGGCCAGGCCCGCGCGCGGTGTGCGTGCGTGTTTCGGTGTCTCGGCGGCCGGGCTTGCGTGCTCGGCGTACATTTTGCGCACAATCGAGGCCAGGCTCGAGCGCTCGCCGGCGCGCGTCTCAAAGGCCAGCCGCACGCGGATGACCTCCAGCGGGTAGGTGGCGAAGACGGAGACCATGCCCGCGAGGCTGCCGGAGACGAAGCGGCGGGCGGGCGTCTCGTGGGCGGGCGAGGGAATGAGGCGGGCGCGGATCTGCTCGTAGGCGAGGAACTTGATGCCGGCGTAGGGGAAGATGCGCAGCAGGGTAGCCGAGTGGCCCTTGAACAACCCCCTCACGCCGGCTTGCGCGTACATGTCGCGCACCGCCGTCGGGAACCCGGCCCACGAGCCCGCGTACTTTGCAAACTGCGGGTTCTGCGTCTGGAACAGGATCTTGACCCGGTCGAGGGGGCCGACCACCGTCTTCGCCGCGCACCCTGCGATGCCGCCGGCCACGCCGCTCTTGACCAGGTACTCGTAGCTGCGCTTGTCGATCCCTGCGTGCCGGTCCGCATCGTGGGTCAGCGTGTGCACGTGGGCGTGCACGTGGGCGTGCGTGGGCGTGGGCGTGGGCGCGGGCGTGTGCGTGTCCGTCGGGGCGCCGTCATGGCGGAGGGCGGGCGAGGACATGCCAGGGCACGAGGCTACCGCGACATGGAGCGTGCGTGTGTGAGGTCGCGGAGTCGTGGACGGGATCGGAGCGTGCAGAGGGTTTGTGGGGGATTGTCAGAAAGCGCTGCCCGTGGGTGGTCGAGACGCGGCCGCGGCCATGACGTTGAGCCGAGGATCGAGAATCTGCTTCCGGATGACATGGCGTTTGGCCGACGATACGCGGAAAAGCGCCACCACCGCCGGCACGTCAACGGTCACGCGACACAACGGCGTGGAGTCTTCTGGATGGAAGTGAAAGTGAAAGTGAACGTGAACGTGAACATGAATGTGAAGATGCCCTGGTCGATGTCCTGGTCGATGTCCTGGTCTATGTCCTGGTCTATGCCTTGGTCTATGGGGCGAGTATGCTGGACCCGTGGGTGAAGGCGAGCTGTGTAGAGCAGAGGTAGTAGAACTTGCACCCTGCTCTTACACCTTTGCTTCTCGCACTCGACACCAATGGTGCCGAACCAGAGCGCGATACTCTACCAGAGTGCAGACCGCGAGATCACGCTCATCGACATACCCACGTCCATTGCCAGAGCCCAGGGCCGCGCCGACACGCTCTTGTCCACTCCACCGTTGGAAGAACCGATCCAGACCAGCGAGCAGCACCAACCCAAGCCTGGGAAGCTCGCAGAGACGACGTCGCCAGACGCAGCGCAGCATGAGACGTACACGCAGCTGATCCAGCAAGCGCTGCTCGACATCCAGGCTCATGTCCCTGGCCCGTGGTGCGCTCCGAGACAGATACTGCCCCAACCACACCGGACCGGCAAGAATGCAGCTGCTTCGGACGTGGAGAAAGAGTTGGAGCATCGATTCCGCGAATGGGCGGCTGCTGAGGAGAGCGCACACGACGACGCGTCCTTTGACTTTCAAAAAGCCATGGCCGCCCTGGGTGCGCCAGAAGTCCAGCTGGCGACGAGCACGACCGAGGCGTCAAAATGGACCATGACCAGGACCACGCCCCAAGACGCAGAGTCACAGGACACGACCGTGACAACGTCCAGGACCATGACCACGAGCATGACCAGGACCACGAGCATGACCAGGACCACGACTGGGACTGCGACCACGACTGGGACTGCGACCACGACCACGACCACGACCACGACCGCGACCACGACCGCCTGGTCGCCTGCATTCTACAACGCGAGTCCGCAGCCGCTGGACCTGACCGTCGCCCACGCCACGCCCGGCCCGCCAGCCTACCGCTTCACGATCCCGCCGCTCTCCGGCTACGTCCTCGGCGACTGCGCGCATCCCGGCTCGTTCCGGGCCTCGCTGCGCCGCCTCGCCGCCTCCCACAGCGTCCCGCTGCACTTTGACCTGGTGCTGCTCGACCCGCCCTGGCCCAACCGCTCAGCGAAGCGCAAGGGCGCATACGAGCAGGTCGGCGGCATTCCGCATCTGCGGCGCCTGCTGCTGCGAATGGACATGGAGACGTACCTCGCCCCGCACGCGCTGGTCGGGGTCTGGATCACCAACAAGCCCGCGGCGCGCGCGCTGGTGCTCGGGCCCGGCGGCCTGTTTGAGCGCTGCAACGTCGCGCTGCGCGAGGAGTGGGTGTGGATCAAGACCACCACGCACGGAGCGCCGGTGCGCGCCCTCGACGACCCGGCGCGGAGGCCGTACGAGGTGCTGCTGCTGGGCCGCGCGGGCCCGAATGCGTGGACGCCGCCGCGTAGGCAGAGTCCGCGACGGAGGGTCGTGGCGGGCGTGCCGGATGTGCATTCGCGCAAGCCGTGTCTGAAGGAGCTGTTTGAGAGCGAGGGCTTGCTGCCGGCGGGGTATAGTGCGCTCGAGGTTTTTGCGCGGTACTGTGTAGAGGGCTGGGTGGCGTGGGGGAACGAGGCGATCAAGTATAATGCGCATGTCTACTGGGCGGATCGATGAACTGGGCGGATCGATGAACTGGGCGGATCGATGAACTGGGCGGATCGATAAACTGCCTGTGTGGAGTGTGTATATTACAATCTGATAGTGCACTGAACCCCGTCCTTTTTCCAAGACAGTGCACTGAATCCCGTCCGTTTCCAAGACAGGGCACTGAACCCCGTCCGTTTTCCAAGACAGGGCGGCTACAGCTCATCGTGATAGTCGCCCAGCTGCCGTTTCTGAAAGTTCAAAATATGCGTCAGGAACCGCGGTTCAATGTGCACAACGTCCACCAGCCCCAGCAGGATCATGAGAAGCATGCCCAGCGCGACCCCCAGCGCGACGGCGTCCCACTGCCTCGCCACCCGCTGGAACCACACCTTTGTGTCCTCGACGGCGAAATTCTGATCCTGCGCCATCCGCGCGCTCTTCAAGCCCGGCAACCCGTCCAGACTGCGCGTGTTGTTGACCTTTTGGAAATCCATCATCTCGCGGCGCTCAATCTTCTTCGCAGCCCACGCCTCCAGCGTCTCGCGCGCCCGCCCGTCATCGTCGCCGTCATGGTCCGCAAACGCCATCGCATCGCCGCCCTCTACGCCCGGCAGCGCGCCAAACCCGCAGCTCGTCTGCACCTTGACAATCTTCAGCACGATGATGGCGCGGGCACCTGTTATGTCTACGCTCTCGCCGTTCTCAGACGCCATCTTGGCCCGCAGCGCGCTGAAATGCTGGTCCCACTTCTCCACGACGCGGGCGGAGCAGAACAACCGCAGTGTCCTTGGATTGGCGCCGCTCGAGCTAAACAGCAGCGTCGCACGCCCGTTCTCGTACACGTGCGCAATCGTCTCGCAGCCGTGGCCTGTTGCATCGAGGTAGGCGACGCTCGTTGGGCTGAGGATCGAGAAGGTTTGTGACGGCTGGCCTTTGGGCGAGATGTTGATGTGTGTGCCCGCCCAGGGCGCGCTGGCGACGTAGAAGAGCGGCGCCGCGTTGATGAAGGCGATGTGCTCGTTGGTCAGGGAGGCGTGGAATTTGGGCATGGTGGCGGTGTGACTGTGGTTGTGGATGGGCGAATGGGTGGATGTGGATGGGTGGATGGGTGGTGCTGATCTTGGGGGATGGATGTAGGAGACGCGGCGTGTTGTGTGTTGCTTTCAATGCTGGTTCCCTTCCTAGTACCTGGATTCAGTCCTTCTCTTTCTCGGTCACAATAGTTGCGGGAATTGTTTTGGATATGCTTGGACTTTTCACGACGTTTGGAGATGGGTCGTTAGTCAGCCGAGCCTTACTGCTGCTGGTTAGAAGATACGTGAGCGCGAGGTCTCCCATGCCGTAGACATTTGCTCATTCTCCCGGATGCGCATGGCAGGTAAGCTAAACCATCTGGTTTTCGGCCATGCCTAGTTTTCGGCCACCCCACCACAACTCGTTACCCACCATTTGACGCGTTTTATTACCAGCACCACGTACTGAAAATAGATGCCTGTAAAGGTGCTATACAATCTGCTATTGCTGATCTCAACGCTGGTATTTTTAAGAGCCAGCAACAGGCTGCGCGCGCGTACAGGATCCCGAGATTGTCCCTCTAGAGCAGCCTTCAAGGCCGTCAACTACACGCGATAGCTCACTCAAATTAACAGCATTTAACACCAGAGCAAGAGCTTCTCCTAGCAGAGTGGATACTTGAAGAGGACTCACGCTCACAGCCACCCTCTCACGCACGAGTATGAGAGATGGCTCTCCAAATCCTTTATATAAACGGCGACTACAAGCCACTCAGGCATGAGCTCGCACTGAACTGCCACCGAACCCTCATATATAAGGAGCAAGGAACTGTAGCATTGTAGAGTAGTTTTTCTGTATCCTTTCGTACAAGACCTATAGGTGTAGAGAATATATCCTGGTGTTCTTATCATCCTAGCACTCCCATATGCCTCGTAGCGGATTCACACCTATTCCGGATATCTCTCTTCTTGCCTGCGTCGTTACACTTATGCCTGTACAACCTAGGCCTAGTATTACTCTCATCTCAGGTATTAGGCTAACCTGCCACGCCTCCTTCATCTACTCAACCTATAGATGACGTATTTGCCACGCCTTGGAGCTTACAGGCCCTTTACAGGGCTTATTAACAGCTCCTTTTGTCTGAATCCCTCTCTCAGAGCACCTGTGTGGTGCTTAGTAAGGCAGGCAAGGCTATTGCCAAAGCCAACAGCCGCGCAGCTTGGTGTCAGGCTGGGCATGGGGCGAAGCCACCTCTGACCCGTGACAAGGCATGTAGCAAAGCTACCTCTGACCTGAGTCTTACGATATCAGCACTGTTCCGGCGCAGGCTCACCATCAGTGTGAGCCATGTTACCTTTTGGTTTGCTTGTCTCAGTGGCCGGAGCTGAGGCTTGACACTTGGCTTCAATCTAAGAATTAACAACTTAAATATTAGCTAGATAGTAGTACAGTTACACGCTTAAGAAGGTGCATTTAAGTAAACCCAAATAAGCGCTATAGCAACGCTGAAGCCATTAAGGCTGCTATTGATCGTGCAGCAGCATTACAAGCTGAGCAGGCATCAAGGCACGGAGAAGATGAGGCTAAAAAAGCAGCAGCAGCAGCAGCAGCAGCTCTCACGCTTCAATCTATGTGTATAGAGTGGCAATTATAAACGTTGTTGTTGAGAAATCACGACTCCAAATAGTGAGGTATGGTTTGGTTGGGTGGCCGAAAACTAGGTGTGGCCGAAAACCAGATGGTTTAGCCTATGTGAAGATCCCTGTTGGACCGGGGTCCAGTCCTACTCGGAAGCGAATCACAAGTGCAGCCTGCTCGATTGTTTTGCAGCTTCTTCGAGGTGCACAATGATCCCTGCAGGTTCCCGCGTCAACGCTAAAATGTGGGGCGACGCGAGCGCGCCTGGTGAACGCGGCGGTATGACGGCTGGACAAGCTGTGCTGCACCCAAACAACCTCAAATCGACATCGCCTGGGCGCTCGTGTGCTCGCCGCCCATGACACAAATCACGCTCCCACCGCCATGGCAAGCATTTCTCTCATCATGGCGCTGTTGCCACGCTTCGGCTGCTTATAGCTGCGCATGCTTCAGCTGCTGACATGCTCAGAACTCAAAGTCGCTCAGGCGCCTCGCAGGCGACCACAGCTCCCTGCACACAGCCGGCCTCCCTCCAAACTACCTCTTCCCTCCTGACACAGACGCCTCTGCCGACCTCACGTCCCTTGATGTCCTGCTCTCCGGCCCTGCCGGCACACCCTACGCGAACGGTGTTTGGCGACTGCACCTCGACATCCCCGCTACGTATCCCACGTCCGCTCCCACGGCTTTCTTCCGCACGCGATGCTGGCACCCGAATGTGGACGAGAGCTCGGGCGCCGTCTGCGTCGAGACACTGAAGCGGGACTGGAGTAGCACGCTCAAGCTGCGGGACGTGCTTGTCACGATATCCTGTCTGCTCATACAGCCGAATCCGGCGAGTGCGCTGAACGAAGAGGCGGGCAGGCTTGCGAGTGAGGACTGGGCCGGCTTCTGCAGGCGAGCGAAGCTCATGACCGAGATCCATGCGTCCGTGCCGGCCGCCCTCGCGGAGCACGTCAGGGAAGCACGGATGCGCGGCGAGGAGAAAGCGGCAGAGCCTGCGGCGAGGGAGCCGAGGCCTGAGGTCCGCGGCAAGGGGAAAGAGCGCGTCGGAGCCGCACCTCCAGCGTCCTCGAAGCCGCAACGTCTGCCGCTCGTCGAGGATGCAGAGAACACACGGCGACGCGGGCGCACCACGGAGCCAGAGAGCGATGAAAGCGACTGGATTGCCGACCCTAGGAGGTCGCCCAGAAAGCTCCCTGGCCCAAAGCGCGAGCACAATGTCTTTGGCGTCCGTGGATTGGAGCCCACTGTTTCCCTGGAAGACGCGTCAAAGCGAGCGCTGCCTGTAGACTCGCACACGGGGGGACTGGCAGTTGCCCCGGAGCTCGAGGACACAGACCCCTTTACGACTGTAACCTCAAAGCGTACATCACACCACGCATCCTTGGTCATACCCACCTCGCCAAACCTCACGACACCACTACAACCTACGACCGACACGCCAGAGCTTCTGAAGTACTCGCATCAGAACCCTTTCTCTGCCATCCAGCCAAACAACCAGCAGCATCCGCTGCACAGAGAGTTCTCATACTCGTGGCGAGACGCTGCGATCCTTCACGAGACGGGTCTCATCACGGACGGCGAGACTCGAGACTGCGCGAGGAAGAGGCTCGCAGGAGACGCATTCGACAAGAAGCGGCAGTGGGAAATGAAGCGATTCAAGAGCGCCGGATGCGATCTCAAGCGCTATAATCGCGGCGACTTTGGGCCAAGGACGGGACTCGGGCGGCTCTGAGTCTATCACATGGGCGTTTGCATGCGGCATGGCAAGGGCGGCCGTGGTCTGGATCCAGCCGGTTGGGATTTGTATGGTGTGATGGCGCCCCTAAGCTGAGCAGAACACCTGGCCTGGAAGAGGCCGTGTGCACGTCGTGCTCCTGAAGTTTAAACCGTGATTTTTCTATCCTTGATCAAACTTTCCGCCCAATACGTGCTAGTGAGACGGGTAGGGCCAGCAGAAGCTAGAACGGCGGCGTGATCCGCGCTGTGGCGCTAGGAGATTGGGCGTGTTGAGTGCCTTCCTTGGTCGTGCGGTCGAGGATGGGATGCTGACTGCGTGTGCTGACTGCTTGGGGTGTGCTGTGGAGTGCTGCACTGTGGTGTGGCGCTGCACGCTTACGGGAGACAGCAACAACAACAGCAACCTCTAGACAAGAACAACAGCAACCCCTAGACAACAACAGCAGCAACAACAGCAGCAACAACAGCAGCAACAACAACAGCAACAACAACAGCAACAACAACAGCAACAACAACAGCAACAACAACAGCAACCCCTAGACAGCGACAGCAACAACGCACTTCCTCGCCCAGCGCTTGTCTGCGCCAAGATGGACGAGTGGTAATTGAGGCGTGCTTCGTCGGTGGTCAGAGCCGCAAGGTACCCGCTCACCTGTCGTCAAATACCTACTTCGTCAAATACTCGCTCGGGCGGGGCGGTCGGTGGTCTATTTTGACACCACCCTACTCGTGTCGTGCCTGATGCGGTTAGCTCAGGAGATCACCTCGTGGGAGCGGCTGGATGCGCGGTGGCTGAGCATGCTTTTGGTGTGGAGACGCGAAACCGCGACGTGCTTTTGTGCTGCTGCGCTATCGAATTGTAGCTTCCAAGCGTGCTAGCCGGCTGACTGCAGCATAGGCCCGTATATGAGCTTCCTGGGCCCTTGGAGCGAGGCTTGGTGTTTGGCCAGGTATTGTTCAAGGCGTGTTCAATTCTTCTCCATGGCCTTTTGCAGGTGACAATCTTTGGTTCACTTTTGCTTGCAGACTTCTGATACTCTCGCTTATCATCTTTATTGTCTAATTTTCTTGCGTCTGCGAGTTCTGCAGCGATGCTTTCCTTTCCTGCTCGGCTCGGCGCCTCGCTGCTGCCCCTCGCTGCTTTGGCGCTCGCAACAAGCCCGTACACGTCCTCGAGGAGCGAGAAGCCAAAGGACAACAACGCCGATTGCAACTGCTACGTCGTCCAGTCCGGTGCCGACTCGGCGACGCCAGAGTACTTCCAGTACTACCGCTTCTACGACTTCCGCAACCTGCCGGGCGGCTTGTCCTCCCCCCCGGGCCAGGTCAACGGCAGCGATGGCTTGGAGCCGACGTGGCAGCCCGACCTGTTCAACAGCGACGACTGGCAGTACGACTGGGGCACGCAGAACTGGAGCAAGCCGGCCACCGACGACTTCCCCATACCCATGTCCAACTCGTACGCGAACATCTACCTCGCGCAGGAGAACGACACCAGCTACCTCGCGCTCCGCACGTCGCGCGAAGACGGCTACCAGTCGGCGGGCGAGATGGAGAACGAGCAGAAGAACCTGATGCACGTGTCGATGCGGATGCACGGGCGGGTGGTGGGCGACAAAGGCGCGGTCGCGGGCTTCTTCACCTTTGTCAACGACGACAACGAGTCGGACATTGAGATCCTGACGCGCGACCCGCTCGACACGATCCGCTACACGAACCAGCCGTCGGTGGGCAAGGACGGCAACGAGATCGCGCAGGCGTCCGTCGCCAGCACAAACCTACCCAGCTGGGAGGAGTGGCACACGCACCGCATCGACTGGCTGCCCAAGAACAGCTTCTGGTTCCTCAACGACAGGCAGGTCGCGGCCAACACGTACTCGGTGCCGCGCGTGCAGAGTTACATGGTGCTGAACATGTGGAGCGATGGCGGCGAGTGGAGTGGGAATATGACAGAAGGCGGCTCGGCCGAGTTCCACGTCCAGTGGATTGAGATGACGTTCAACACGAGCGGCGCGTATCACGGCAAGAATCAGAAGAGGGCGAGCAAGGGCTGCGAGGTCGTGTGCAAGATCGATGATGTTGCGCAAAAGGGCACGCCCGAGGTTGTCAGTGTTAACAAGAGCGCTGCTGCTGCGGTCGGTGTGTCGTGGGGACTGTTGGTGGTGGTTGGTGTTGTTGGCGTGTTTGTTGGTTTGTAGTTGGCGTGTTTGTTGCTTTGCAGTTTGCATGCTTGTTGCTTTGCAGTTTGCATGCTTGTTGCTTTGTAGTTTGCATGCTTGTTACTTTGCAGTTTGCATGCTTGTTGGTTTGCAGTTTGCATGCTTGTTGGTTTGCAGTTTGCATGCTTGTTGCTTTGTAGTTTGCATGTTTGATACCATCTGCATAGCGAGTCACTCACGTAGCACGAAGACATTTGTTTAGACATGTTGCCTTTTTGTTTGGGTGAAGGGAGTTGGGTGGGAGACGTGCCACCATGTCACCTCTCCAGCTATCGTTCCCCACCTCACCTCTCTAGCTATCGTCCCCCACGTCCCCCACCTTGATCAACGCACCTGCCTCCACGCTCAGGTTCTCAACTGCACCATGGCCACGACCATTGCGGCAGAGACGCTCAAGCAGTATCTGGCCGACAGCCCGCCCACCGTGGTCCCGCTCGTGATCAAGCCGCACTTTGAGGCGCTGACCGACAAGGAGAAGCTCTATGCGCACCACCTCTCTCTGTAGGGCTCTCCAAGATCTCCGAGACTGGTCTCTGCTTGTGCTGATATGGCAGCGCCTGCTTCGCCGGGACGCGCATCGTGCTCCGCCAGCTCTCGCCCGAGTCGGAGCCCATCTACGACTTCATCGTCGCCCTGCACAAGCACACCAAGGGCGACTACGATGGGCTCGCCACCGACGCTGGGCTGTCACGTGACGAGCTCGACGCCTATCTCGACTATGCCGCGCAGTTCCTCGGCAACCTTGGCAACTTCAAGTCCTTTGGCGACTCCAAGTTCGTCCCGCGCCTCGAGCCCCGCCAGCTGAAGGCGCTGGCGACCACGTCCACAGAGGCGCTGGGCTATTACGAGCAGTTCAAAGACGCCATCTTCGCCGGCGACGATCGGGCGAAGCTGCACCTGGGGTACCCCAGCGCGGGGCATGTGTCGACGTACTACCCCGACTCGCCGACCATCACCGAGGAGGACATCACGGGCGTGAGCGGGTTCCTTGAGAACAAGGGGCTTCTGCCCGAGAACACGCGCATCCGGAAGACGGGCGACGGGTTCGAGGTCCTGATTGCCTCGGCGCTGGAGGAGCCGTCGCCGGCGCAGAGAGACGTGGAGGAGAGCGAGTGGACGCTGGACGATGGGAGGAGCGTCAGGCTGGTGTTTGGCGACCACTCGCGCGAGATGGAACTGATCGCGCACCACATCGAGCAGGCCAAAAAGTACGCGGCCAACGATAACGAGGTCAAGATGATGGACGAGTACGCCAAGAGCTTCCGGACGGGCTCGCTGGAGGCGTTCAAGGAGAGCCAGCGCGCGTGGATCATGGACAAGGGCCCGACGGTCGAGTCGGATATTGGCTTCATCGAGACGTACCGCGACCCGCACGGCATCCGCGGCGAGTGGGAGGGCTTCGTGGCCATGGTCAACAAGGAGCGCACCAAGGCCTTCTCCAAGCTGGTCGAGTGCGCGCCGCAGTACATCCCCAAGCTGCCCTGGGGCAAGGAGTTTGAAAAGGACAAGTTCCTGAGCCCCGACTTCACGTCGCTCGAGGTGCTGACCTTTGCCGGCAGCGGCATCCCCGCGGGCATCAACATCCCCAACTACGACGACATCCGGCAGAACTTTGGCTTCAAGAACGTGTCCCTCGGCAACGTGCTCAGCGCCAAAGCCGCCAACGAGAAAATCCCCTTTATCAAAGACGCCCAGCAGGCCATGTACAAAGCGAACGCCGACCAGGCTTTCGAGGTGCAGGTCGGCCTGCACGAACTCCTGGGCCACGGCTGTGGCAAGCTGCTGCAAGAAACCGCCCCCGGCGAATTCAACTTCGACCCGGCCAACCCGCCCATCTCGCCTATCACGGGCGCGCCGATCCGCACCTGGTACAAGCCGGGCCAGACGTGGGGCAGCGTGTTCGGCGCCATAGCAGCATCCTACGAGGAGTGCCGCGCGGAATGCGTCGCCATGGCGCTGAGCTGCGAATTTCCAATCCTAGCGCTCTTCGGCGTGGGTGACGGCACCGTGGACCTCGACGGGCCCGCGGGCGACATGCTGCACACGGCGTATCTGAGCATGGCGCGCGCGGGCCTGGTGGCGCTCGAGTTCTGGGACCCGGCGACGCGCAAGTGGGGCCAGGCGCACATGCAGGCGCGCTTCAGCATCCTACGTACCTTTCTCGCTGCGGGCGTCGAGTTTGCGGAGCTCGAGTGGACGCGCGACGACCTGGGCGATCTGACGATCCGCATCGAGCGCGGGCGCATTCTGGATCTGGGTCGCGCCGCAGTCGAGGACTATCTGCAGCGGCTGCATGTGTACAAGAGCACTGCGGACGTTGTGGCGGCGAGGAAGATGTATGATGATATCACAGACGTTGAGCCGTTTTATGAGAATAGGGTTAGGCCTGCGGTGCTGGCGAGGAAGACGCCGAGGAAGGTGTTTGTGCAGGCCAACACTGTCGAGAGCGGGGGGAAGGTGGAGTTGCGCGAGTATGCTGCAGATGCGAGGGGCATGGTTGCGAGCTATGCTGAGAGGGAGTACGTCTGAAGCGTTCAATGGAAATCATTCTGCGCATGTGTCACGTCGTGTCTGTGTCAAGTCGTGTCTGTCAAGTCGTGTCTGTCAAGTCGTGTCTGTGTCAAGTCGTGTCTGTGTTCGTATCGTACGTGTCTGTCTACATGCTCCGCTATCAGCATCACCACTCTCATCAATCATGCCATGCCATTCCGTCCATCCATCCGTCCATCCATCCGTCCATCCATCCATCCATCCGTCCATCCATCCATCCATCCGTCCATCCATCCATCCATCCATCCATCCATCCATCATCATTGGGTATTCGTCGCACAATAATCACCTAACGCACCAAAGTATCCAACCCTGCAACCCACGTCTACTAGAAGTACTGCTAGAAGTACTGCTAGAAGTACTGCTAGAAATACTACTAGAAATACTACTAAAAGTACTGCTAAAAGTACTACAAGAAGTACTCACCCCGTCCGCCACGACCAGCAGGCACAGCACGGCGATGATCCGGCACAGCGCTGAAGATCTGAAAGTCCTGCTTGAGGTCCTCGCCGAGGTTCATGATAGACGCAACATTGCCGCAGCGGTAGCAGTAATTCGGCGCGGACCAGACGGTAACAACATCCTTGTCCTTGAAGTGGTACTTGTAGCCCTCGTTGACGAGCTGGTGGGCGCGGGCAATCAGCTGCAGGCCGTTGACGTGGTTGAACTCGCTGGCGACCTTGTCGCCGAACAGCCACCCTGCACCGCGCGGCGACACAGCCCACGTATCCACGTCCTCTGGGTCGCTCCAGACCAGGTCGCAAAAGGCGCCCTCGTGGGGAATCTCCTGGGCGCGCGCGACGACGCGGATCTGGTCCAGGGTGCGTATCTCCGGCGACAGGCCGCCGTGGACGCACAGCACCTTGCCGTCGACAATGGCGGCGAGCGCCAGGAAGTCGAACACCTGGCAGCACGCCTTCCACACCGACGCGTTGCCGTACTTGGTCTGGCACTCCTCGTAGAAGCCGTAGACCTGCGTAATCTGCCGCGACTCGTGATTGCCGCGCACCAGCGTCACACGGTCCGGGAACTTGGCCTTGAGGCACATGAGCAGCGTGAACGTCTCCAGGCTAAAGTAGCCGCGGTCGACAAAGTCGCCGAGGAAGACAAAGTTCTGCTGCCCGTTGCCGACCACCGTGTTGCGCGTCGAGCCGGCGTCCGAGAAGGAGCCTGTGCTGCGCCGGTCGTGCACGCTGCGGCTGCGGCCCCGCGTCTCCTCGTCGTCGTCGTCGCCCTCCAGGTCGTCGCCGTCGCCGTCCGGCGGGCTCGCCGGGCCGATGTAGTTGGGGTCGCGCTGGAACCGCCGCTTCATCTTGCGCTTGACCTTGGGGTCCGTGATGCTCGTCGGCGGCTCGAGATCGGCGGGGTTGATCTGGCTGGGCAGCGTGACGGGCGGCGCCTGAGGCGCCTGCGGGCTGTCATTGGGCATGCCGCCGGCGACGCGGAACAGCTCGAGCAGGTCGTAAAACTGGCCGTGGATGTCGCCGCACACGGTGACGGGCGTGCGCACGGGCTGGATGTTGGACTCTGAATGCACATCAGACGGACGCTCTTGGCTGCAGAGGGGGACTACACACCCTCCATCAGACACTCCTTCACAATCTCACACAGCCGCTTCATGTCGGCCTCGGGCAGGTACTTGCACTGCTTCGCCTGCTCCAGCCACTCGTCGGGGCCGGCCCCTTTGGCGAGGCGCGCGGGCCCCGGCTGGGGTACGTCACTGTCTTTGGGCATGGCGGCGGGGGTTGAGGTGTCGTCGGCGGCAGCGCAGAGGGCGCCGTGACGGCGGTGAGGGTGGGAAGCCGGTCGGTCGTGTGACGGTGGGGAGGGGGTGGAGGCTCGGGGCGTGACGTAGCGGCGCCCAGCGATTGCACGGGCGGGCGGTGGTGACGGTGAAGGTCGACAGACGCTGTAGAAGCTCCCGGCGCTCAAGCCTCAAGGTACGACGTCGAACAGCAGCGGACGGGCATGTGCGACGCTCGCGGCCCTGAGCATGCACGTACATGTGCCCTGTGGCGCAACAGCCCCTCGGCGCTAGTATTTGCCGACGATGCGCCGGACATGGGCAAGTCGCGACTGCCTCTCTTTCCTGAGCGCGTCTGCACGCCTGCGTCATTGTTTGTTTGTCTTTGTGTCTGGCCCCAAAGCAGCAGTCGCGTTGCTGTGTGCTTGCCTCTGAGTGCTGCACTGTCCGCTGGTTCCAATGTTAGCACATCGAAATCGCTGTTCCCCTCCATCCTCCCTCACCCCAACGCCGCGGGACCCGCCCTCGATAAGCTTGTCCCGCCCTGCTTTCACTCGCAAGAGGTGCTAGTTTGCTGGAGCGCACAGTGTGTGTTCTTTCCAGCCTCCTGTTCACGACTGACTAAGCTACAGCCACAAAGCCGGTTCTGACCCCAAATATCGACCGTCGACCTCACTCTCACGGCCCTAGCACGACCCCCCCACATGGCCCCTCAGGCGGGCGTCAACGGCGTCCTGCCTGTTGCAGTCCTGCACCGAAATGCTCCTGCCCAGCCACCGCGTGGCCCCAAGGCTGCTCAACCCCGTCTGAAGCTCGTCTTGCGCCGTCTGCCCCCAGGCCTGACCAAGGCCGAATTCGAGACCGTGGTCGGTGACGAATGGAAAGTCGGCGCCGGTAAGGTTGACTGGCTCACGTACAGGAAGGGCAAGATTTCGAAAGAGTATGTGACTGCCGTATTCGCGCAAGAGCTGTCTGACGTGTGTGCAGTGCGGCCAAACCGTCCAAGCCCTCTCGCGCGTACTTGCACGTTATCAAACAAGACTTTGTCATCCAGCTCGGAGACCACGTTCGTGCCCTCACCTTTCACGATGCCGCAAAGTCATGGCAGGATCCAGCCCTTGTCGGTGCCCCTACGCTCGAGTTTGCGCCTTACCCCAAAATGCCCGGTGGTCGCCGCAGGAATGATAACCGCCAGGGCACCATCGACCAGGACCAGGACTTCAAGGACTTCCTCGAGAGTCTGACCAATCCCATCAGCAAGCCTGCTGCTCCCGAGGCCGAATCGAAGGACACAAAGGTCAGGACAACGCCTCTCATTGAGGCGCTGCGCGAGAAGAAGGCGAACAAGGACAAGCCCAGCAAGGGACGATCTGGACGTGGAGACAAGGACCTGAGCGCAGAGAAGAAGATTCTGGCCAAGCCCGGCAAGGAGAATGTGCAGACAGCAGGGGACAAGAACCGCAGATCAGGCAAAGCCGACAAGGCCCAAGCCACCAAGGAGGCTGTCAAGATCCTCAACAAAGAGGCCTCGACCTCGAAGGTGCTCGCGGACAAGACTGCAGCCGGCCCACCACCAGAGCGCAAGCGCGGTAATGTCGCTCTTGCAAAGTCGATGCTCCAACGCGATCTCGGTCTGGGCCCTGGACCAACTCCTAACCGTCGACGTGGGACGAAGCGTGAGGTTGCTTCTGGCGATGCAGCAACCCCAGCCAAGGAAACGCCTGCCGCCGAATCGAAGCCCAAGGGTGCACCCGTGGCTCAGAACGCCGCAGCATCAGCTGACAAGGCAGCGCAGGCAGCGCAGGCAGCGCAGGCAGCGCAGGCAGCGCAGGCATCGCAGGCATCGCAGAAGAAGGAGCGCCCTACGCGCGCTGAACGAAGAGCGTTCAAGGCCTCGTTGGTCGACACAACGAACAGCAAAGCTCCATCAGGCGGCGCAAAGTCTCCAGCTGCGGCCAAAGCTCCAGCAGCACCGACGCCCCAGATCCTGAAGAAGCCCCAGGCCGCGCAGACACCAGCAGCACCCAAAGGGCCCGCGGCATCACGAACTCCAACCGAGTCTGCCGCAATGCGAACGACGCCAGGACCATCAAAGGCACAAGCCTCGACACCCTCGGCTACGCCCACAGCCCCTGCGGCCAGGCCCACGCCTACTAAGCCTGTTCCTGATGCCACGAGCAAGCAAGCTTTCCTCAAGCACGCCAATCCATCGCAGGGCATCACCGAGCCATTGATTGAGGAGGCGCTCAAGGCATTCGGCGCACTCGACAAGGTCGAGATCGACAAGCGCAAGGGATTCGCGTACGTGGACTTTGCAGAACCGGCAGGCCTGCAGAAAGCCATGGCTGCTAGCCCTATCAAGATTGCACAGGGCGCTGTTCAGGTCCTCGAGCGTAAGGCACCAGCGGTCAGACCTCCCCGCTATAATGCACCTCCCCAAGGACCACCCCATGGATCGCCCCTTGGACCAGCCCGCGGCGGTCGCGGAGGGTTCGGGCCCCGGGGTCGAGGACGTGGAGGTGCACGCGGAGGAGCCAATACTGCTGCGTCTGCGTCTGGACCCACCACACCTGCTCTGGCTGCCGCTCATTCAGCGCCCGCTCCCACTCCTGCTGTCGGCCCCGCTACATGAGGTGAAGCCTACTTTCCACTATCAGGGCCGCCTTTGACTATCACACAACGCCATGATCTCACATGATGGAAAGTGCCAGCACGAAGCCAGCGGCGGACATTATCCCAAGGCTGATCGAGGCCAAACACGTGGGCGCAATCGCCCGGATTTGCTGCGGCACCAACCCCCATGCATCTTAACGACGTGTCCGCCGCGACATTTTACACCAAAGCGAATGCATTTCCGAGTACCGTCTTGTTAGCCATGGGTCAAGACGACATGATACACCAACATGTTCAGAGGACAGGTCCACAGCTTGAGTGGCGTGAGGTCGCCTGGGAGCATCACGTTGGTAGAGGTAGCTGATATCATATGGCAGAACAGCTTTGCGAGAGCAAGAATGTAGACATGAATTGCTATACTATCCGCACGCCCTGACTCGACGCCCGTACTCGTCCAGTCTACTGCTTGCCCCAGGTTACTTCGGTCGACGGCTTGCCCAGCTCAATCGTCGAGCCGGGCGTGGTGATGATCAGATCCCGCTTGCCCCATGTTGTCTCGGATGAGGGCTTGCCCAGCTCGATAGTCGAGCCGGGCGTGGTGATGATCAGATCCCGCTTGCCCCATGTTGTCTCGGATGAGGGCTCGCCCAGCTCGATAGTCGAGCCGGGCGTGGTGTCGCTGAGCTGTGGCTGGGCCTTGTCAGTTCTTATCCCGTTTCGTGATGAGGGTAGAGGAGGTGAGAGTGAAGAGGTGAGAGTGAAGAGGTGAGAGTGAAGAGGTGAGAGTGAAGAGGTGAGACTGGAAGAGGTGAGAGTAGAAGAGGTGGATGAGGTGAGGGCTACCGTGGGGAGGGCAGCGGTGAAAGTCAGTGTTGCCGCTGCTGCAAGCGTGAGGGCGAGGATGTTGTGCATTGTGCGAGTTGGTGTGGGTTGCTTGGTTGGTGTGGTGCGAGGGAGAGTGTGGGTGGGGATGGTAGGTCTGCTGGAGCACCGGTCAAGGTGGTGAGATGGATCATATATGGTACGTCTCGTGCACGACTGCGTTCTAGACGGAGGGGTATAGCTGCGAGATGAGGGGTTTTGGTGTAGGAAGGCGTGTGCCTGCCGTTGGAGCTGGACGAGTATCGATGCTAGCTGGACGAGTATCGATGCTAGCTGGACGAGTATCGATGCTAGCTGGACGAGTATCGATGCTAGCGCTGTCTACGCGTTGCAATGACTGCTCTAGACAGTGTCGCGCCGGTGCACCGTCTGCATGGGGAAGGTATGGATGCGATGCGATGAACATGCAGAAGCGAAGTCTATTTATTTACACTTTGCACAGTGCGGCTAAATCACAGAACCCGCGCGCGCAGGGATCCGCCTGCTCGCGCGGTCTGGTACTGGTATACAGTGACATACTATACATGCGCGAGTCTAGACCCTCCTTCTATATTCCGTACATGTGTGGTGTCCAGACAGACTCCGACCCAATGCTACCCGCACCGCAACGCCGATTTAATGCTCCTTGTACAGTGCGACCGATTCCGTTCGCCCCCTACGGCTCTGGGTCCTTGGGCTTCGCGCCGAACTCGGCTGCGAGCCACGTCTCCCACGCTTCTTTGGTGGCGGTGGCATCAGGCTCGACCGCGATGGGCTTGCTTGCCGTCGCAGCCAGCCAGTCGTGCGCATCCGGATCGCGGGGCCGCTCTCCAAACTCAGCTTCCACCCACGAGGCCCACGTCTCGGTGCGATCCTGAGCTTGCTGCTCCGAGACCTCGACCTCGACGGGCGCGCTGTCGTCCCAGTCGCGCAGGTTGTCGATGGGCATGCTGTCGTCACCCTCGACGACGGGCGCGCCGTACATCAGGTCGTCGATGCTGAAGTCCGGGGTCACGCCGGGGTCGGCTTCTTTCAGGTCCTTGACGAAGCTGGACACGGCGATGAGCAGGTTGTCTGCGGCCCAGGCCGGTGCCAGATTCTCCCGCTTGGCCTGCGCCCAGCGCGTTGTGCGCAGCGCGCGACTGAGGATCTCGTGGCGGTCGAAGCCTCTGCTCGCTACCTCGGCGAGGAGCTGGTTAAAGGCGCTGGTGTTCCCCGTGACGGAGCACAGGCTGAGCATGAACTCGTATGCCTTGGCCATGTCCCGCGGCATGGCCAGGTCTTTGATACTGTTGATCTCGTCCCAGATGTACAGGCCGCCCTGCCAGTCGGCGCGGCGGACGCAGTCGCCCAGCAGGCGCGTGAGACTGGCCAGATCGAGACCCCATCCGTCAGCTTTCATCTCGTAGTAGACGTCGAGCGCACGCTCGAAGCCGCCGAACTTCATCACGCCGCCAATCAGGGCGCCGAACACCATGGGCGTGGGATACACTTTCTGGTAGACCTTGTTAGCACTCTTGCGGATCAGACGACCCTGGCCGGCTTCATTTATGGTGACGTCCGGGTCGGCAAGCATCAATGCATCGCCAACGCCGCGCATCCAGGCGACAAATCGGGCGAAACCGTCCGGTCGTCGTTCGGAAATGTAGTGGCCGAGAATGTAGCGTAGTGTGATCTCGTTTGGCCGTATCTTGGACCCGTGGAAGGCGAGTATAACGTCGTCAACCATCTCCGGACATCGCCATCTCTTGAAGCCAGCGATGAGGATGTTGAATGTCTGAACATCCGGCGGAGCTGAAGAGACGAAAAGGTTGTGGCAAATCTTGGCGACTGCGACCGCAGCTTCCTTCTCGTTCTTTTTGTTCCTGGAGTCGTGACGCAGCAGCTCTTTCAGACCGCTATTCAACCGCTGGCTGGTCTCGTAGAAATGGCCATCAGGGTCCTGGTGGTACTGCGGAACCCCGGGCTGGTCTGGACAGATCTGCGCCTGCAATGCGTCGTCGAGCTCAGTGTCCACAGGGGTGAGATGCAGCCGTACAATGTTCGCAAGTATCTCCTTCCGTGCACTCCTGGCTTGTGCGCCGTCGAGAGAGGCCACTGTCTCAATCTGCGGAGCTACTTCCCCCCGCGCCCACCCGGGCACGCTGACACGTCTTAGAAGTGAGTATATGAGGACTGCAGTGCACAGCTCTTGCATAGCGAGCTTCTTCCATGTGTGTCGTCTCCGCAAAGATGCCATCCTGGCCGTATCCACGGCCCACAGCGACTGCGGCGGCAGGTTGTATGGCTTCATTTTGTGTCCTGTATTGGCCGGCCACTGGAGCTGCTGCATGCCCGGAGACCGTGAGTCCCATCGCAGCTCTTCCCATACTCCATCTGGGTCGTCGTAGGCGCGTGAATGCATCCTGTGCGATAGCCTCTGATCATCTGCTAGATCCATGCCCGCGACTTGCGTGACTCGAGTCCAGTCAAGATCCCGGGGCAGTCGCTCCAGAGGGACATGATCAATCGACTCGAAGCCTCCCGTTCCATGCCCGCTGACCTTCAATGGGGAGTCGAGCGGACGCTCAAGGGCCTCCTTTAACGAATCGACCGCCTCCTCCCACAGCTGCCGACTTGGTCTGGCGCGCGCATCGATGGCGATCCCGGCGGCGGGGACGGTGGGTTGTATCCGTGCTTGCGTCCGGAGGGTGTTGCTCGCGCCACTGTGCACCGTTCGACTGCCGCAGACAATGCATCGACAGGATCCCGGGGTCTGCGCTGCCCGGGACCAGAGAGCCAGCATTGCTACCAGGGCATGCTGCACCGTGTGCGGAGCGGCGGCGATGCGAATCGCGGGGCGTGGGGCGATTCGACGCACTTTGGGGGACGAGAATGGAGGGCAGGGGTTGCGGAGACTACAGTTGCCCTCTGAGCAGCTTCGATCGAGAAAATCGGCGTCTGTAGTGGTGCAATCCAACTTTGGTGAACTCGTCAAAGATCATCGTCTGATCGGAGACTGCTCAGCAAACGCCGACCAGTTAGTCTTGGCATTCGGCAGGAATGTGTTTAGATATTCAGGGAGTAGACTCAAAGGAACACGTCTTGAAAGTGAAGAAAGTGTCATGCTCGATGATATTCCTGCCTTGTTGTGCTTTGTATCATTCAAGATTCGCCATTTTGGCTTCAAACTTCCTGTGCAACCTCTGAATCCAGAACGCCGCGCTGCAGTAATCTTACAATCATAGGATATCCACATCATCCGCCGGATCCACAAACGGAAACTGTCCACTCTCAATCGCCGCTATCCGATCAAGCTCAGCCTGGTACTCCTTCCTCAGCGTATCGAGCGTAACAATCTGCCGCTTGAGTAGCTTCTTTGCCTTCCCCAGTCCCCATTGTGGCGGCGCTGTCTCATCGATCTTTTGCTCGGTGAGGATGTATGCGTCCTCTTTGGCGACGGAGGAGAGCGTGTTGATGATCATGAGGTACGATTGGATCAGCGAGTCGTTTGCAGGATCCTGGAATTTCGATGACGTTGTCTTGAGGCGCTGCAGTCGTTCGTAGAGGATCGACGCTGCGCCGCGGAAGTTGTTGCGCGAGATACGGAAGGAGTAGAGGATCTGGTGGTATGGAGGTCCGGATCCTACGTTCAGTATTTTGTGGCACAGTGATGATAGGATGGTGTCGACGTCGTCCGCAAGACCCACAAAAGGGAACATCAGGAGCGTCGCAGCTTGCGACTGTCCGACCATGGATATGATTAGGGTCTGAAGGGACGAGTGTTTCCTAGTAGATCGATTAGTCTTGTAGAACGGACCCTGGCAATTCTCTACTTACAAAGCCGCATCACTATGCCGCGTCATTGCCGTGTAGGCTTCTTGGAACCTGGCTGTTTGTATCGATGCAGAGAACAAGCGTTGAAGGAGCTCGGTTTTTGTCTCTTGATCTTCCCGACCTGTCAATGATCGAAGCCCAAGCTGTGCAAACTCAGCAACGTATGAGTAAGCCTTCACTTTCTCAAACAAGCCCACAACATGGCTGTAGTACTTGGCAAGACCTTCGGAAAAGAGATTGCGATCGGTCTCGGATACGAGACCTACAGAGTCGACATCTTCGACGCTAAACATGCCCAGAGCTGCGGATGTTAGCATTTTGACCTTCAGAGGGTCGCTTTGCGATCTCACCGAGTGTGTATGCCACCTTCTGGAAGTAGACGGAGGCAAGTGCATTCTCGCCGAGAGCAACATGTAGTCGGGCCTTCAAGTAGGTAGCCCAGTTGCCATCGGTGAGGAACTTCGCAAAGTCCAGTGCGAGGTCATACTCCTTCTGATAGAGCAGGATGCCCATGTTGTCCTCAACGACAGAGTCATACATGTACTCGTCCTTGAACATTGAAGCCACCCAGGCGCGGCCCCAGTACGTCAGCTGACGAGCCCTTAGGCCTTTTGGCATCGGAAGATCAAAGAATCGGATGCCATAGATGCCTTCCATTACTGTCTGCGTGATGGGTAGCTTCTTCCCTGTCTTGAGGTTCTCGCTCAGTGTTCGGTTCACAGCCTCAGAGGCAGGCCCTGTGGAGGTCTGGTGAGACCAGACTGTGCGGGCTAGCCATGATACTGTCATGTAGTCCCTGAATTTTAGCGCCAACTCAACAAAGACTTCGGTCGCGTCGAAGCCTTCCGGCGGATCCCCCTCGAGCTCGACAAACATGACCAGCAAGAGTACCAGCAGATCGAGTACCGCATGGTAGTCCCGCTCTAATGTCTCCTGTGAGACACGCAGCAATGCATTCAACCCGAAGCGTGCGAGCTGTTTGCGGTTGTTCGGTCGACCTTCCTCGTCGAAGGGCAGTATGCGGATGGCCTGCAAGAACGTCTCGCTGCTGAGGTCCTTGATCTCTGTCCCGAGCTCATCTACAATAAGAGCCAGATCCTCTTCCGACACATGTTGCACGAGCTCGCTTTGTGACTCAATCAGTTCCATGCGATCAATGACTGTGAGCGATCGGCTTTGAAGTGCATCGGCTTCGAGCTGGCGTTCGACCCCACGCTGTACAAACGAAGGTAGCCTTTGTCGGAATGAGGAGGCTGCGTTCAAGAGACGGGCCACATCAGGCGTCGACTTGTCCAAAGCCCTGGCGAGAGGACCCCTCAGAGGTTGCGTGCTGGTCAATGCCGCTGCGTTGAGCGTCGTAAGCTCGAGCTCGCTGCAAACGCGGATGGCCGAAACGTAATCGCTGAGCACCAGCCATGGCGCAGACATCTCAGCGTCGTAGACAAGCGATAGCGACTCGCCCCTTCTCTTGTGTAGGTCCTTGACCAAGCCGTAGAACGCCTGCCATTGCGCCGAGACTGCATCTTCAAAATCATCTACATCGCGGGTACTATTGGGTGCTTTGGCTGCAAGCATTGATACTGTTGAGCATATGCGCTCCTTCAGAGACCCCGTGCTTACCGCCCTGCTTGGTCGCTTTCTATCAATGCCTCGAGCAAAGATGTTCAGAGCTGTTTCCAAAGTGGCGGTCGTGAATCGTCCGGGGTAGAAAAGAAAATCAAGCCATTGCCCAGAGGTGTCAACATCATCGTTGGCGGTGTCTTGTTGATCTGGGAAGGTGGGGCTGCGCTTCAGTCCTTCCACCGTCAATGGCCCAGCGTCAACCGAGACCCACTCGTGCTTCCAGACCCTCTCCAAGCTATCAGGCTCGTCGTGAAGGTCGAACTTCAGCGAATAGACTCTGCTGCTGGGTCCAGATCTAGCACGAATCCACAGTTCTGTGCCCCTCCACGTTCCAGCTGGTCCAGGGATGACGTGGAACTCTTCCATAGACCACACCGTTGTGTTCATGAGTTCGTCGACCGGCGGTACGAACTCGACAAGCGGTTGAACGTCGACGATGCCGTTGTGCAGATCATCTCCATCTCGTACGCCCCAGAATCTGAACTGGTGCTGCTTGGGGGAGTATGTGACGATGTGGTAGTTCGCGCCCTCAACACCGCCTGGAATGTCCAGAACAGCCATGAGCTTCGCTTGCGATGACCCAATGAAGTACGAGCCATTGCCATTGGCATGCCCGTTTGCGTTCGTCCTCTCTAATGCGCCTGACTGCCCAAGCAGATCAGTCTGCGCGCCAGGCTTTCCTGAGGCTACGTTCCAGGCTCGTAGTGTGTGATCCAGAGAAACCGAGAGAATGTGCTGCTTGTCTGGCGACAGCGCTACAGCTGCGGCTGCAGAGGCAGCGAAGTCTGCACTGTCGAACCTGACCGTGGGCTGCGTCTTCCACGACAGAAGTCCACGAACCGACCAGTTGCTGTTCTGGTACCGCGAGCCCTCCCACACTTTGTTGTCCCTGTCCCATAGCAGACGGCAGATCGCGCCATCGTCCAGCGATACGAGCAGATCATCCACGGCCAAGCTTTCGAGCCTGTAAGGAATACGACCGCTGAACAGGACGGGCTCTGACGTCTTGCACCAGTTCTCAATCTCCTGCTCTGAGGCTGCGGGGCTCGTGAAGAAATCGCGGTGGAGGGTGATGGTGTAGAGCTCGTTTGCGGTGGTGATCGCGAACACGGTCAGCGCATCGCGGTCGACGGGCTCGGCGAATGCGACACAGAACGGACGAATCGGTGATGGGAACTTGAGCAGAAGCGTGAGGTTGGCCTCGAGGTTGTGGCTCGAGTCGTGGTCTAGGTCGGCGGCCTGAATCTCGAGAATGTTCCTGTTGTTCAGGACGCGCCAAAGAAAAGTTCGCGGGTATTCATGGTGTTTTCGAAAGAACAATGAACCATCAGTGGCTAGGTTGCGGCGCATGAACGACTCTTCGTCCTGGTCGGCATACTGCTCTGTGATGACAGTGCGCTTTGCAGTGGCGCGTGTACCAAAGGTTGAATTGGTGTGCGCCGGGAGTGTGAAAGAGACGGTCGACCCGGGAAAGGCGGGCTCAATATTCAGTCGCGCCTCTTTGTAGAGACACGCGCCTCCACTTTTTACCATCCTGCTCGCATACGAAAGTGTCGTGGGCTATGCGCGCAAGCGGTCGAGGTTGTGCGTGGTGGGGCTGCGGTGGACGCGGAGGTGCAGCTCCAAGCAAACAAAAGATGCGCTTCACCGAAGCCGTCGCACGGACGCGACGCTAGCTCACATTTATGCCGTCACTCACTTGAGGTCCTCGCTTAATGTACCTCAGTAGTAGCAAAAGCCTGGACCTATCCCGATCAAGATCAAGACCATTGCATAGGCTACGTGGATATATCCAGGCTTGGGTTGAGACTTTGGAGGCTGCATCTAGGCTGTGTGGAAAGGTTGCGATTGAGATGGTACAAAATTAGCCATAGCTGACAGGGTGTGGGTAGTCTTCTGCAGGCTGGACATGACCAGGGTATTGGCAACACGGGGCCAGTCCTCACAGATAAGCTTTGACGATTGAAAACATTATGCTTGAAGTACGTAAAGGGTTCTGAACCATAACAGCTCGCTGAGTCGAAAAAAACGCCGCCCAATGCTGCAGTACACTTCTAAGAGAGATGGCCCACGATGTCGCGATCACCTATTGGCTCTCTCCTCGAGATCCTTCTCCTTCGGGTCGCCGATGCCGTCCTCGTTAATGGCAAACAGACAGTCGCTCTCAGGCAAGCAGGGACTGTCGTAGATCTTGCACACTCGCGTCTCTCCCCTACCCTTCCTCAAGCTGAGGCGCGTTGTACTCGCGTGAGCAATGATGTTGCCTCCGATAGGCTTCTTGGGATCTGGGTTAAACATGGCACTTGGTCCACCGTCTACTTGCGCGACGACTTGGTTTGTGATGACGACAGCAATACCGAACTCGTCTGCGAGACGTTGCAACATGCGCATGAACTTGGCCAGATGGGTCTGTCGACTCGAGAGCTCTCCACGTCCGGAGAAATCTGTTCGGTACAGCGACGTCGCTGAGTCGACGATAAGCAAGGAGAATCGTGTCTCGGTCATCATCTGCGCAGCCTGATTAAGCAGCTCGAGCTGATGATCGGAGTTGTAGGCTCGCGCATAAGCCACGTTATCTAAGACCTCCTCTCCAGAGAGACCGAATCGCGTAGCCACTGCCAGACAACGAACGGGACGAAACGTGCCTTCAGTATCGATGTAAAGACATTTGCCTTCGCCACCACCCATGTCGAAAGGCAGTTGGCATGTTACCGCCAAGGTATGGCAGATCTGACTCTTTCCCGTCCTAAACTCACCGAAGATCTCTGTGATAGAGCCCGTCTCGATACCGCCAGCTAGCAAGGTGTCCAGCTGTTTCGATCCGGTCGTAATCGAGATGAGCTCACTTCGCCGTTGGTGCATCTCTGTCGCCGTTGTGAAGCCCATAGGTACCAATTTGGATGCCTCTGCTAGCAGCTTCGATGCCTTTTGTTCTGAGATTCCCTTGATCTGCTCCAGCGCTCGTCGAGGTCTGCCTCATATCAGCTGCGGGGTCAGTTCGTCGTGTGTAATTCGACTTACGTATATGCAATTGCCTCGACAGTGTTGAAGCCACCTTCCACAACTAATTTGATGTCACGTGCGGTAAGGCCGTTTACGCCCTTCGAAGCTGTTAGCCAGTACGCGTGCATTGGATTAGGAGAGGCGTACCTCAAGTGCGGAGACGGGTGTGGGAGCACCAGGTCCTCCCATCTGGCTGTCTTCTTCGAACTGCTGCTCTTCGGTACTCATGTTGTCTGTATTTGTGCTTGCGAGAGGTTGTGGGTGGGCACGTAAGTGCGGAGGAGAGTGGAGGATGCAAAAACGCGAGCGGAGTCGCGTCAGTCGCCACATCTCGCCGCGGCGCGCTGTCACATGATCGATGACAAATCTGTCAAGGCTGCAACAGTTTCCCTTGAGGTCGTCCATAGGCTGAACATTCTGTTTCCAAGTTCTGTTGATTTTGATATCACAGCTTGTCACACGAGATTGTTTGCAGATAAAAGCAGTTGCATGCTTCGTAGGTCAAAATGTGCGTGTTCAACATGTGCTTTCATGTATTGTGGTGGTATCTTATCATCAATCATCAAATCCCCGCTACTCGTCATCGCCAAAGAAAACCTTGACCGGCAACCAAGAGTCGCCGCAGACCTTGAAGCGCTCGGGCAGCGAGTCAATCACCTTGACCTCGTCTGCTGTAAGCTCCCAGCCGTCAAGCTCGAAGTTGGCCTGAATACGCTGCGCAGAGACCGACTTGGGAATCACGCTGGACCCGCGCTGAAGACCCCAGACAAGTAGCACTTGCTGAACGGTCTTGCCCTTCTTCTCGGCGAGCTTCTTGAGCTCCTCGTTCTTGTACAGCGGCGAGTCGGTGGAACCCAGGCAGGAGTAGGCGGTGGCGTGGATGCCCTTCTGCTTGAGGTAGTCGAGGAGCTTAGGGCTGTTGCATGTAAGTCTGAGGGTTGCCAGAAGTTGCGTCTGAACTTACGAAGGGTTGTTGGGGTGCAGCTCAACCTGATTAACGGCCGGTGTGGTCTTGAAGCGCGAGTCGGCGAAGAGCTTCTCGAGGTTCTTGATGGCGAAGTTGGAAACGCCGATGTTCTTGACGCGGCCGGACTCGGGGAGCTTCTGAAGCTCGGCCCAAGTATCGCGGAAGTCCCAGTCGGGGTAGTGCTTGCTCAGGTCCTCGGGGTCGGTCGACGAGGGCCAGTGCTGGCCAAAAGTCAGTACGAGATTAGTAGAGAATGTGAGAAGCGGCGCTCACCATGAGGTACAGGTCAACGTAGTCGAGGCCAAGGCTCTTCAGCGAGCTGGTGATGCCGTCCTCGACGCGCTTGTGCCAGGGGTTGTCAAGCTTGGTCGTAACCCAGATGTCCTTACGGGGGACGCCGGAGTCCTTGATACCCTCGCCGACCTCCTTCTCGTTGCCGTAGGCAAGAGCAGTGTCGATGTGACGGTAGCCAGACTGGAGGGCAACCTTGACGGCCTCGCGGACCTCACCAGGCTTCGACTGCCATGTTCCAAGGCCAACGGCGGGGATCTTGGCGCCAGTGTTGAGCGTGAAGTGCTCCTTGGTCCAGTTCTTGGGTGCCATTCTTGTGAGTGTTCTGAGCATGTGATTGAGATTGGGGTATAAGGAAGAATGATTTACTTGTCGGAGAGTGAGAGGGGCAGTGTTATTATTCCAACAGCCAACCCGCCTGACGTCAACAGCATATTCGGTCAACGCGCCGAGGAGTACGCGACATATCCCACCGGGTATTCCGATGGCGTGAGCTTCCACCAATCATGGTGCAAGTAGCCCGCGGTGGGCTGCAGAGGTTGCATACGGCGCTCCGCTATCAGCCTCAAGGTGGAGGATAATTGGAGAACGGCAGACCGAGAGGGGCATCGTTTCCTCTCCGCGTGGGATGCAGGCGCTCACTCCACCAGAAGTTGCCGGGTGCGGGACGCATTTCTCTCTATCAGGAAGTCGGAACAGTCCTGCATGTATTTGAGAAGGGTTTCATGCTTCTTACGATCTCCAATGCCAACATTTTCAACACTAGAGGATAGCTGTCCATCTGTAGCAGAGTGAGATAGAGGGTCTGTATCAGGATACAGGTTCATGTGCATGTATGATCGACTCGTCAGTAGTTGGAGGTTCAATAAACACAGCTTGCAGCGACCGGACCGCAGAACACTGGTTTAACGAGACGCCGTAGATCGGATGGACGTCGAAGGGCCTTGGTGTTCTTTGGATGACATTGTGAAAGGTTGGTGGGGCTTAGTCAAAACGAGCTTGAGGTCGAGCGCCGAGGCCCGCTGCGTTTCGACCTTCACATCGCCGACCAAAAACACACGATTACGCAATATGTCCTCCGGCTTCGTATCTGGAGGCACGGCGGACGCGCCAATTGAACGCGACGACGAGTGGAAGCAAGCCCAGCGTGAAATCGAAGAGAAACGTAGAGGAAAAGAAGAATTGAGTAAGCAGAACGAAGGGAAGAGTCTCTTCGAGGTCCTGCAAGCAAACAAGGGTGATACAATACCACACAGTGCAATGAGATGCCCAGACTAACATGTCAGGTTGACGTAAGACGCTAAACAGGAAGCATTCGAACAAGCCGCACGCTATCAGCTACACGTTGCCCTCGATGATGACGAAGCCGACTACCTTGACGGCATCCGCGAGGCCAAGCGCAAAGAAGAAGCGAACGTGAAGAAGGAGACTCGCGAGCAGTTGGAGTTGTTTCGCAGACAACAAGAGGAGGCCGAGAGGAAGGCATTAGAGGAAGACAATGAGGGAGCGCCGAAGGAAGACCAAGTGCAATGGGCAGCGTCTGGCAGGAAGAGGAAGAAGGGCACCGAGTCAAGTCTCTTGAAGGGCGTCAAGCTGCGGAAGTCCAGCTCGGTGACGGATGAGAAAAAGACCGTCGACACAGCTGACGACAAAGAGAAGGCTACAGACGATGTATCGAACGCTTCTTGGGTGAAGCCTACTGCCTCGGCGAACGCCGCGTCGCCTCCGAACAAAGCTCCAGCGACTCTTTCTCTGGGCCTCGGCTACGCATCGTCAGATGAGGACGATTAAGCAGGCAGCACTGTCGAATCAACAACTGCGATACCCAAGCCTGTTTACAAAAGATGCGTCAAGGTCCGATTGGAAAGGTGCTTTGGAACAGCAGACACACTTCCGGTATCTGCGACACGCACACTATACACTTGACATGGAGTCTCTCAAGGCTACACCATCCACTCACGAGTAATCACCGACACAATCGCCACTTTACCTGTGGTCAATGGCACCAAGGCGGCGCGTCACTGATAGGTACAGAATTGAAGCAAAGAAAGGTGGGCAGGCCATCAATACATACGTTGTGCCGTGTAACATTATCTCTACCAGCATTAGGTATCACGTGTCATAATCCAACGACTATACAACAATCCACCAAAATAGACCATGTACCAAGAAAAGAAGCAGTGTATATCACCCCCCACCCAAATAAACCCAACACCACTCATCACCCGACTGACCTAGTACCAGCACTTTCCGTTCTTCTTGTCGCAGCCAGCCGTACAGGCCCAGGGGTCGGCGGAGCAGCGGCCGGTCGTCTTGCAGCAGCACTCGAGCTTGAGGCCGAAGCTGCTCTTGTAGCCGGCGCAAGTTTGGCCGTTCTTGCCGCCGCACTTGCCGTCCTGGGAGACGGACTTGATAGGCGTCGGCGTCGGGGTCGACGAGGTGGAGTGAGGGGTCGAGGTGGCGGGCTTGACCGAGGAGGCGAATGTGGTGGGGTGTTCGGTGTATGAGGTGGCGGAGGACGCTGTGGAGGTGGACTCCTCAGTGTGCTTAACGGTCGGGGAGGCGGCAGACGAGGATTTTTCGGTCGAGTAGTCATCCGCGTAGACGGAGCTAGTTTGACTGGGCTTTGTTGGTACAGAGCTCGAGGAAGAGCCGATGGAATAGATAGAGGAAACGGTGGTAGACTCGTGCTTGTCGGAAGCAGAGGACGTAACGTCTGGGTGAATAGAAGAAACGGTGCTGAAATGTTCTTCGTTCTTGGAGACTGAGGCAGGGGCAGAGGAGGAGCCGGAGGGGAAGATGGAAGAAGCTGTGCTGAACTCGTGCTTGTCCGAGGCAGAACTAGAGTCGGAGTGAATTGAAGAAATTGTGCTGGACTTATCGCCAGACTTATCGGTAGAGACTGGGGGTGTAGCCGACGAAGAGTGGACCGCAGTCAAAGTAACGGAAGGAGTATGTGCTGCTGAGGAAGAGGTGGAGTCGTCCTTGTTTGTGCTTGAAACGGGGGCCGACGACGAGAGCGCAGCCGAAGACGAGACAGAAGAACTTACAGAGCCGCAGTTACCCGCAAGGGGGTTGCAACCGGTTCCGCAGTGACCGGTGGAAGCACCGCAGTAACCGTACTGGGAGCAGCACTCAGACTTAGCACTATCATGAACGAAGCCGACACAGGTAAAGCCGGAGCTGCCACCGCAAGTACCGTCAATGGAAGGCGTCAGAACACCAGTAGGCTGAGGAGCAGAGGTCGAGGTAGCAGTTGGGACAGAGCTGGGGTTAGCGTTGGTGCCACAATTACCGAAGAGGGTGTTGCAGCTAGTTCCGCAGTGGTCGGTCTACATCGCCGTCAGTCAGGATTCCTGGGATTAGATGTTTGCATTACTTACAGACTTTCCGCAGTAGCCGTACTGAGAGCAGCAGTTGCCGAATTCAGAGCCGATGCAGATCTGGTTGTTGCCCTGGGTGCCGCAAGTACCATCAGTGGAGATAGTGCCGGTGGGGGTCGAGGTAGGGCCAGTGGAGGTGGAAGTAGTTGAGGAACCGGGGGTAGCGGGAGTAGAGTCGCGGTACCAGTTGGCCTCGGCCTCGCCCATGCACTCACCCATGGTGACACCCCTGAAGCCACGGGCCTGGAGTGTCTCGATCATGGTAACGGTCAGGTTGAGAGCGGTAAGCTCATGGATGTCGTGGGCAATGGCGAGCTTGCTCTGGGAGGCCGGGTTGGCGCCATTGACAGCGTTGCGGAAGTTGTTCTTAGCGGTCTCAATTTTGACGGGGGTGAGCTGGTTGTAGTCATCGGTATCCAAGTCAAAGTATGCAATGACGTAACCAAGCTTCTGAAGAACGCTCGGGCAAGTGCCCGTGCAGGACGAGTAAGGAGGGCGCATGTAGGTGGGATATTTGCCGATGATGTTGCGGATGGCCATCTCATTCTTGACCATCTGGTCGTAGACCTGAGCCTCGGTGATGGCAGAGAGGTCCTGGTGGGACCAAGTGTGAGAAGCGACCTGGTGACCCTCAGCGACCATGCGCTGTACGACACCGCTCCACTGCTCATCAATGGCACCCTTGCCGAGGTTGATACCGGTGACGAAGAAAGTAGCCTTGAAGCCCGCCGCAGCAAACTTGTTCAGGACCTCATCAGTGTAGATGTATGGACCGTCATCATAGGTAATGGCAACGGTTCCAGGGGTGCGGCAAGCATAGATGCCCGCACCACCGTAGGCAACACTGCCCTTCTGGGGGCGAGCATCGTTGCGAGTGCTGGCTCCAGCAGGGGTCTTGTTGGCATCACAAGCAGGGCCGAAGTTAAAAAGGCAGTCAGGAGCGTTGCAATGGTCCTTGGTGGTTCCACAGTATCCCTATCAATTAATTAGTACGCATCCAGAGCAAAGATCATGAGACTTGACATACGGCTCCAGAGCAGCAGTAGCCGGCAGCGCAGACAGCGTTGCCAAAACTGGGTCCGCAACGATTGTTGGCATCACCTCCCTGACGAGCCTGGAGGTGGTGGGGACCCTCCATAGCGGTGGCAGCGCGAGCGGCTCGAGGAGAAGGCATCCGGATCTTGATGTCGTTCGGTAGGCCAAAGAGCTTAGGGGCTCCCTGGATGCCGCCATGGGCAGCAACAAGTGAAGCCACCGAAGAGGCGGCGAAAACCTCGGAGAAACGCATTATGTATATGATATAACTCTTCTATTCCTTAAAAAATTGGAGGGTCCGAATAGCGAGTGTGGTAGTCGACTTCAATTAGGGATTAAATACAATGTTGCAAACGAATGACTGTCACTTGGGACGAGCAATTGACGCGCAGAACGAGTGAGCGTAGAGTCAACAGGCAGTCGCTAATACTTATACCGATGAAACGACATCAGGAGCGGCGAGGCGAGGCGTGGCGCACACGGTTCAAGCCATGGCCGTCCGCTAACTCGTAGTCAGCGTACCATATCAGCAGCCAAGATCGCCCGCCCGAAGAAAGCTCATGGGATACGAGGCCTCATAGCGGGGCTTCCGCCTGTTCGTTGTCCCCGGTGGATGCATTGTTACCTCGAGAATAAAGGATCTCCTGTTGCGTATTCGCTATTGACTGCGATCCTGCCTGCTCCATATGTCTCACTCAGCATATTGCATCATTTATATGGCCCTAATGGAGAATAATAGCGGAGGATTCCCGGGGTAACAAATCAAAAGGGGGATGTATCTCCCACCTGCCTCACAAGAGCCAAGACGTTAAGGCATGGCGGACTAAAAATATGAACTGGCGTCACCGCGTCGCGCAAAAGCCAAAGAGGTAAGATCGCCGCGCCTGCCAAGAGCGGATCAAGGCATCCCGCTAGCCAACGCGTTTGTGTTTTGCGTGCGATAGCGTATGTTAGCGTGAAGCCAACGTATGTCTTTGGTAACAAGCGACGCTTGAAAGCCGTCATTTGCGACCCGCCAGCGTGATTCGGCTCTCAGCCCGCGCGGGAGATGCACATTGGAACTGCAGACCCCTGACGGCTTACTATCGATATGGAGATAGGCTTGGTCGGCTGGAAGGTAACATCACAGTACGCCTCCTCAAGATCCCAGGCGCAGAGGATGCATGCATGCGAGATGGTCTGCGGGCCTCGGCGATGAAGTTGAGAACGACACCTGCCTGTGTTTGCGATTGCACCCATGTCGGGCTCCCTTGCATTGTATATGGGAGAGGACGTTTGAGGGAGCGAGAATCGAAGAGACCGGCATTTAGGGGCGGAACGGGCAAGCTCATGCTCTTGGCGTACCAAGGCCAAGCTAAACCATGCGGAGATGAAGGTCAATAGGGGTCGCTAGGGCTGCATCGCTTTGAAAACCTGACTATATACAGCGATGCCAACAAGCCGGCGTTTGAGCACTCGCTTGATCCTAGCATCGAATTATGTCTGTCCTGAGGTGGAAGTGCAATCAACAAATTGCCATCAGCAGAACGATCGATGCTTAAAAGACGGACAGGCTGGTTTTCAAAGCGCGCCCGATGTGGCTCCACTGTAATACGCTGGAGCCTGCAACTGCTGTGCAAGCGGCAATCCCCAAGACTTCAGAAAGGGGAGTGCGGTGACAATATCAAGGCACGTATTATTGAGCACACAAGAGCCGCCGCGTTGAAATTCTAGAAGTAAATTTGCACAGAAGTAGTGCAACGCTCGCGGGGCGCGGAAATCAGCAACCTAAAAGCCTCAAAATAAGGTTCGTGCTTGAATCGCGCATGCGTTCACTCTGGTCACTTTGGCCCAGAGAGAATCGCGGGATATACGCGTCTGGAACATCTGCCGTTTTCTGCATCCTGATCGAGGTCGCAGAAAAGCTCAGAAAAGCTCAGAAAAGACACAAATACTCGTATGCTCCCGCCACCAGTCTCGTATTGTAAACTGTTGAAGGTCAGGCGTACCACCTTCGAGGACGCTCCCAAGAATTGTATGCATAATTGATTCAATTGAAAGTGGGTATCGTTGAGTAAAACATAAGGTCATGCTTTGCAGGCACATGCGCCAACAAGCGGAGGCGGGATAAGGACTACCGGGAATTATTTCTTGATCACTCGAAGTAACGGTGCAATTCTTGTCCGCTTACTTAGGCCCACGCGATGTGGCACCTTTGCCTTGTTGCTCGAAGGTTGTTCTCGAGGAACAGGTTTCTTGACACGCTCTGGAGTGAAAGGCTCTACCTCGGGGCGACCCAGGAGCTCCGGAGGCTCAGGCGTAGATTTCGAGGTGACAACCGCGGTCCTTGTGTTTGCAGGTTGAGAGCTGCCAGGGCTTTGGACTGGCTTCGTAGTGTTCGGAAACCCTGCATCCTCGATAGCTTGTTGCTGTCCCAAATTGGGTCGGGCGTTTCCATCTACAGAGAGAAGCGGATAATCGGAGACTTGCTCTCTTAGGCCCTCCTCTTCCTCTCCGTTTACTATCTTAGCAGACGGACAGGTCTCAGTTGCCTTCTTGGGATGCCCTCTTCCTCGTCTTGTCTCAGCCTTGGCTTCGGTCACCGCATTAACGGTTGCGGTCGGCTCAGGCTGATCCAGTGTCGTCTTCCTGCGTTTTGTCTTCCTGCGAGATGCCTCAACCGTCCCGGCTGCGCATTTGGGCGTCCTTGCGGGTATCACGACTTGTACCTTGGCCGGGCTTCTGAGATTCCCCGTTTCTGCGGTGGCCATGTTGTCAGTCACAGTATCTAATCGAGCACCAAGTCCCGTTGGCGTTATCTGAACATCGACGATGCGTCCAGCGTTACGATCGCCATCATACTGAATGGTGTCGAAGTTCGTTCCGACTTGCTTGTCGTCACCCTTCGACATTTCCGAAATGTGAGAGGCGAGCTCATCATTGGCGACTCCGTTGGTGATGAGCCAATCAACGGTTCGAATGACTTCACCTTTGTTCTGCTTCAGCGCCTTTGCACTCGTGGACGGCGTGAACCCCATATCACAATTTTGCTGGATTCTGTCAGAAGTGCTTGGTGGGTTCGCAACAGCTGTGTTAGCAGGCGTTGACTTCCTCCGTCTGTTTGCCTTTGTAGCCTTCTCAGGTCTGACTGAGTAGTCAGTGGTTTCCTGCGTCCCAGCCTTTAGTGATCGCGAACGGCTTGGACGTGGCTTATACCTGCAAATCATAAGCCATGAAAGTGATAATATGTAGGCTCGACGGTCTTACTGTTCTTTAGATAGACCCAAGTCCGCCAAGTCGTCATCCGAGGTCGGAGCGGGGCTTGAAATGCGCCTAATCTTGCGCGAGTTTCGAGATGAACTTGGAGTTTTGTCTCGTAGTTCATTGAGAGTCGAAGATGGTGTTGCCTGCGGTAGTGTAGCCTTGTACGCGACCTCGTCTGTCGGAAATATGGTCAACTTTTGGGGGTTGACCACATCTGTAGACTTGTCTTGAGGCGAAAGACAGCCTACGAGCGTCAATGATGCTCTACGATATGACTGTGAGATAGATAAATCAGAGCTATTGTTCAGTATGGGCCCTGACGCCGGAAGTAGCGTAGGCTGTGACCCATGCGAGTGCTGAGCGGACGACCTCGGTTGTTCTCCCGTAGTCGTGGGCGATTTCAGATATTCCGACCAAGGAATTGAGGCATCTGGTTGAAATGGAGATCTTCCAGCATCGACGTTAGATCCTAGCAGTGCTGGTGCAAGGACTCCCTCCAGCACGCGCTGTTGCGTTAGAGTTGCGTTCGGAACTGTACTTGAAGGCTCAGGAAACATCGGATTAGGACTATGCTGAGCGTATGTTTCGCGCATGGTGCCTTCCAGTACCCAGTGTGTTCCGTCATGTGAATCAGCTAGCTCTGAGGTTTGATCTAGAAAGGTTTGATCTTGCTGCAGGCCCCCGGGTGAACTGCCGAACTTGCAAATTGGGGTCTTCTCCGATACCGTATTTTCTTTGAACGGGCTGTACAAATCGAACTCGGCTGGTGTCTTCCTTTTTTGATGATTTACTTCGAGTGTTGCTGGCAGTTGGTTGTCGTTAACCGGAAACTGAGACTGCAGATGCGCTCGATGAGCTGCTTCAATCTGTCTCCTCAGGGCTTCTGTCGACTGTAAGTGAGTATGTGAAACTGACTCTTGACTTTTCGCGCTCACCTGTAGAAGAAGCATCGCTGGCGGATTGCTTAGGCGACGCGTCTTTTGCCTCTGTTCGCTGCACCTCCACCTCAAGATCGTCGTCCAACTCACCGTCCGAGTCCTGAATCACCCGCGACATCGTGCTTCAGCCTCCGGGCAGCAGATTACGTGTATCAACTGTTGAGGCGTTGATATGTGAGTGAGTGTTGATTGGTCAGGCGCGTCTGCGCGCCGTCACATGGCATGCGTCAATCGAGCCTTTCCTCTTTGAGCTGGCGCGCCGGTCGCAAAGAAAGGTGCAACCACCTGAGGGCCTGACGTACTTCACAATCACCTAACATGGACAAGTTTGGACCTCCTGGCGACAGTTCGAGTAGCGGAAACCCTGGGAATGGCCGCTTCGCTTCTCAGGCAGCTACAGCCGAGGACCTGCTCAAGGCGCAAACCGTTGGCCTTGTGAACCTTGATGACTATCGCAAGAGACGCGCAGAAGCCATCGAGCTGAAAGAGCGGGGAAGTCCTGCAGTCAGCTCTGGCGCTGATACACCAGTAGAAGGGTATAGTTCTCGGCATCCCCCCAGATGTAATGCGAATGCTAATTTGCCAAGTACAGGGCATCGACACCCAAGCCGGTTTTCAAGAAGAAGCGCAAGATAGCTACCAAGGGCAAGCTCTCCTTCGGAGTAGACGACAATGAAGAGACCGACTCAGCCTTATCGAAAGCGCATACACCGCGCGAGAACGCACCCGCCGATACGTCTGGTGTGGGCTCTGAGACTGAAGGGATTGCCTTTAAGAAGAAGAAGAAGAAGAAGTTGGGGGCGAATACAAGCGTTGGCATGAAGCCGAGAGTCATGACCAAATCAGCTCTCCAGCGCGAAGCACAGCAGGCAGATATTGCGCGACAGGACTTCTTGGGAATGCGAGCTGGCGTGAAAGCCACAGAGGTAGCAATCCCCTTCGTGTTCTACGATGGTACGAATGTGCCCGGGGGGCTATGCAGGGTGAAGAAGGGTGACAACATATGGTTGTTTCTTGACAAGGCTAGGAAAGTGGGCGCTGAACTAGGTGTGGGTGGCGATAACAGTCGACGGAATTGGGCCAGAATCAGTGTGGATGATCTGATGTTCGTCAGGGGAGAAGTCATTCTTCCCCATGTAAGTCGAAGCCCTCTGGCGACTTGCGGTAATCACAGCTAATAATTCTGCAGCACTACGAATTCTATCACTTCCTGTTCAACAGTGTCACCGGGTTCAATGGCCCCATATTTGATTGGTCCGCACAACCGACAAAGGCCACGCCCACTATCAACCCCGATGAGGAAATGAACACCGACGATTACGATCCCTTGAATCCAAAGAGGAGTAAGGTCAAGGAATCAAGCTTCCCAGACGATGAACTTGAGGGCTGCCACGATGATCCGGCTGTCACAAAGGTCGTAGACCGTCGATGGTATGAAAAGAATAAGCACATCTTTCCCGCCAGTGTTTGGGAGGAATACAATCCTGATAAGACGCTCAGAAAGGCTGAACGCAAGGACGCCGAGGGCAACACGTTCTTCTTCTCTTGAGGAACGAGGATGCCGTGCGGTGTTTGGAGGAACGAAAATAGCATGCACATCTGCAAGCGCAGGCCGTTCGAAGATACGTTGATTAGCAGTGCTATTGATCAGCACGAGCATGTGTTTATCCGAAACGTGGGGGGGGGGGATGTCAGGTTGTCCCCGCATTGCAGTACATCATGCATGGCATTCTGCATCAGATGGTGTCTCGCATAGGTCGTCTGCCGAAACCAACGCCTAGCCAATGTCAAGCACAAGCCACAAAACTACACTAGAATGTCTGCGTGATATTCAGGGTCTGAAGCGGTATGACCATCTTCGAACAAACAGTGGTAGCTTCTGACGAAGTCTGCTACCTTTCCGCGGTCTAGCGAGGCTGAACGTGCAGCGTGAGCAACTTTCTGCGCTGGACGTTCGAGTGACCTGCAGACCAAAATCGAATTCGCGCCCATACAATACCTTGCTTTACGCCTAAGTGCTGCATGAGTCTGGACCCATCACCTGAGACAATATCGAATGCTGACAGGCAGGGTAATCTGTCGACTGCGATGGTTTTCGCCGCTGCCAACCGCGCCTTCGTGACGCAGAAATCGGCTTGCCGTGTCGGCAGGCCTGCCGGCGCGGTCCGAAAGAGCCTTCAAGCCTCTGAAGCTTTGACATGGCAAGCGGTGAATTGCAGGGATGCACATATAATAAGAGTGGCCCGCTTGGCTTCCCCGTAACAAAAAGCCTTCTGTCGTCATCGGCGCTCCGACTTTGCGACAGCTTATCAACATCAACACCATCTTTATCCAAGCCCGCACGCCTGGAGCACAGTCACCACACTTATTAGCAGCCGATCACGCTCTCGTGTGCTTCCCCTTGCTTCAAGCTGCTATTCCTTCCTCGTTTGACAGTCCGTTTAACCATGTTACAGGAACGGTCTGCACGAGCCCTGTCTCATCCAATAAGATTGAGCGACTCGTGCACACCCTGAGTTACCAGCATTCAACGCGTCGACTGCCTGGACGTGGATAACTTGCGCAACTTTACCAGTCGTGGTTTAATCGCCTGCATCTCTCGACTTGTTGTGCGCATCTACACCCTTGAAACAGTTGGGCTTTGCTCCAGTGCTCAGCATCTTGTTCTTTTGGCTACCAACATTGATCAAGCAACATGAAGTTCGGGCACGACTTGCCGCGTAATCAAGTCCCAGAATGGGCATCGTCCTACATTAACTATAAAGGCTTGAAGAAGCTCATCAAGACCGCCACAGAGGCTTCAAAGCATGACTCAGATCCAGATCTCGCTGGTAGGTAATCACTACAGGAGTAGTCAAGTCAAGAGCTGTACACGCTCCTTGAGCAGAGAGCACGGTCAACCAGACTGTCTTGTCAGCTAGCTGGACGCAACGCAGTAGATTGGCGAATTCGGGCTTTACTAATGTGGCATTCAGAGTTTTTCTTCTCCCTCGACCGTAACCTCGAAGATGTCGATACGTTCTACAACCGCAAATACGCAGAATATGCCCGCCGGCTTCGACTACTCCAAGGTCGTTATGGGCGGATAGCACAAATGCCAGATGGCATCGATAAGGACGAGGCACAGGATCTCATGGATGCGTTGCTAGAGTTGCGCAGCCAGTTGCGCAAGCTCCAGTGGTACGGCGAGGTCAATCGCAAGGGATTTGTCAAGATCACGAAGAAGCTGGACAAGAAGATAGCGACTGTGTGCACACAGGAGCGGTACTTGGTCTCACGAGTGAACCCTAAACCGTTCACGCGAAATTTCTCTTTGAACCAGGACATGAAGACAGTCAATGAGTGGCTATCTGGTCTGGGCGACATAAAGACCTTCGATGACAGTGGCTCCACATACTCAGCAGCATCCTTGGGTCGGGTGCCAGGTCGCTCGCTGAACCTTCCTTCAGCTCTACTGGACGCTGTGGAAGACGCTATCCGCAGTGATCGCGCCGAGGACGTCAGCCGACTTCTGTCAGAGGCAGCCACCAACAACGAACCGACAAACCCAGCTTTCCAACAGATCCTCTTGAACTTCCTCCAACGCGCCATTTCGCACCGTGCCAAATCATGCATCTCGAGGCTTCTACAAGACATCGCGGATCTGGATGAAGAGGACGATATCAATAAGCGTAATGTTATTCACCGTCTGGTCATCAGCATCGGCCGTTCCAAGACTGGCGAGACGCTGGATGGAGAAGCTCGTCTTCCTCAGGGCTTGCTGGATGCACGTAACTTCATAGTGCCAGCCACAGCCCCGAATCGACAGCCGCGGCCATGTACTACCACTGAAGAAGAGTCTGCAAAACTTCTGAGCAAAAACGACGAGTCTGTCAGGCTACTCATCTACCTGCTTGACCAGCTGCAGCCACAGCAGCGCGTAGCATTGCAAGCACGTGATGCTTTTGGTCGACTGCCACTCCACTACGCTGCTGGCTACGGCTTTGTCGTAATCTGTCAAGTCGTAATCAAGCACATGCAGGACTGGGGCCAGTTTAACGTCAGTCAAGGTATCGATGCGCAATATTGGCAAGACGATGAAGGCGACGCACCACTCCATCTTAGTGTAAAGGGAGGTCACCCGCTGACTACTAAAGCTCTTCTTGAAGCTGAAAACTGGCGCGGCTCAAGTAAGGAGAAAATTACGTCGAGAAAGACTATCACTCAGTCTGGAGAAGCATTGGCCCTTGCGACCAAGTCGAACTTCGTTGCCATTGTGAAGCTACTGGTTGATGCAGGCGTGGATGCCAACTACCAGAGTAAGCAAGGAGAGACTGCTTTGCACATCGCTGCGCAGTATGGTCATGTCGAATGTGCAAAGGCGTTGCTAGGGGGTCCCAGCGTTAATAGTATTGACTTGGACGTTCCTGAGAGCACGTTTGCATGGACACCGCTGTTCAACGCGTGCGTTGACAACCATCTGCCCATCGTTGAGCTACTGGCCACTGCCGGAGCTGATCTGCAGCGGTACGACAATTCGGGATGGACGGCAAAGGAACAAGCTGCACTCCGTGGTCACATGAGGATTGCTCATTATCTTGCAGAGCTCTGTCCTACCTCCAAGTCATCACCACAAGCGGCTGCGGACACTAGAATTGCTCGCGCCGGATCACCTGCTCAATCTTCCCTTGACGAGAAGACATCTAAGAACATAGCTCGCGAGGGTGGACAAATTATGCAGAAAGTGCCGGAGCCTGTCAAGAGTTTCGGCCATCGGTACCTAGCGAATGAGACCATGATCTTGGTCAGCCTAGGTTCGATGGATATGCGAAAGAACGTACCAGCCGTAGCGCTTGACGACATTCCTATGGCTGATGCGCATACCACCCAGCTCGATACTGCGCTATCAGTGTTTGTCTCGGCGTCAGGCGCTACCGGCGAGACTTATCCTATCGACTTGCCAGTCCAGGACATTGCTACAGAGCCGATTACATTCATGACAAAGGACGTCAGCAAGGTCCAGCTTCTGTTTGACATTTGCCCAACTTATGCAGGTTCAAAAGACATCATTGTTGGACGCGGTGTTGCTCTTCTCTCCACCATCAAAACCCACATTGGCTCCAAGCGCATTCCTTTGCAGGGAGATGTGAAGGTGCCGATTGTGGCAGCGTCGACATTGCAGGTCATTGGCACCGTGAATTTCAACTTCCTCATCATCACTCCCTTCCAGCATCCAAACATGTCTATTACCGAAGAACACACGTATTGGAAGAAAATGGCTTCTACTATGGTCATTGGCCATCGCGGTCTTGGAAAGAACACCGACAAACAGAGGACACTGCAACTCGGCGAGAACACCATTCAATCCTTTATCTCGGCTGCAAACTTGGGAGCAGAGTATGTCGAGTTTGACGTGCAACTGACGAAAGATCTCGTGCCTGTCATCTACCACGATTTCTTGGTGAGCGAGACAGGTATCGATGCACCGGTGCATACACTCACGTTAGATCAATTTCTTCACATTGGTGAAGGTCAGAAGCCCAGATCATCACGCTCCGGTTCTCCAGAGACGGCAACTCCTGTCAATGGTATCCTCGGTGCAGACGATCGTCCGAATCCTAAGAGGCTACGTTCCTACTCCGTGGACATGTCGACCCAGCGCAACATCCACACGGAACGTCAAGACGAACTCAAGGAGCGCATGAAGTACACCCGCGACTACATCAAGAAGGGATACAAAGGCAACAGCCGAGGCATCTCCATTGGCTCCGACTTCACCACTCTCGAACGCATGTTTAAGAGCAGAGACATCCCGGGGTCTGTCGGCTTCAACATTGAGATGAAGTACCCTATGCTTCACGAATCCGAAGAGGAGGAAATGGATCAGTACGCTGTCGAGCTCAACACGTTTGTCGACACAGTCTTGCAGGTCGTGTACGACCATTCGAACAAGCGTAGAATCGTCTTCTCTTCCTTCAACCCCGACATCTGTCTGATGTTATCGTTCAAGCAACCTTCGATCCCAGTTCTGTTTCTCACAGATGCAGGCACGTCGGATGTTGGAGACAAGCGAGCAGCTAGTCTTCAAGAGGCTATTCGTTTCGCCAGTCGATGGAACCTCTTTGGCATTGTGAGCGCGGCGGACCCGCTCGTTATGTGTCCTAGATTCATCAGGATGGTGAAGGAGAATGGTCTTGTGTGCATGACATATGGCGCGCTCAACAATGACCCAAAAAATGTCCGAGTAAGTAAACACCTGTGGTGCTATATGTAGCTGTTCACTAATTGTACAATAGCTGCAGGAGAAGGAAGGCATCGATGCCGTCATTGTTGATAGCGTCTTAAGTATCCGACAAGGTCTTCAAGCGCCCGACAAAGCGAAGTCAAATGGTGCAAATGGCACAACATTGCCAATCCACCCACCACCTATTCCGGTCATCAAGGAGGGCAACGAAGGAGTACCGTCAGTGCTGCTCAACGGACATGCGTATGCAGTGTAGCAAAGATCCACGACTTGTGTGAGATGAAAACTGGATGAACGTGTAGTATTTCGGCGGCGTTTGGAGGGTCCCTCGACGGATCATGGGCATTTATAACCTATTCATTTCGTCTTCTTAGCATCAACACAACCGTCAGGTATTGGTTTTGTGCTTCAAAGTCAGACATGAGGATCCCGTGAGCCCTTGCCCTTCTTCTGCACTCCAAGTGACTGCAGATACGCGGTAAAATTATAGCGCGCTACAGTCGGCATGATGATTCACAACCGCAGACCCTGATGCCCAAGTCAGGCAGACGATCTTGATGTATGACTTCGCTAGTGTACATTAGGCGCGCTCTTCCATCATCTTTCGAATGACCGCAGCGCTTCTCATGCGCAGCGCTTCTCGGCAGCAGCCTGACTTCGAATGGCGTGGGCTTACCAATAGCGCCCGCCGAGAAGCCATGCTCAAGCTTAACCTCCTTTCCTGCGTCATCGACACAAGCTATAATATCGAATAGAGCAAGTGACTGCGCCATGATCAGAAATAAACTCGCATCTGTAAATAGATAACCTGGGTGTCTTCTTCTTCCGAGTCTGAACATGACATTCGATGCATAGGGCTCATTGTAAGGCTCGTCAAATCCCTCAGGCATGAAAGTCTCTGCATTGTGGTACACAGATGGATCGTGCGTGTACCACCACATGGCTGGTATGCGAACAGCGTCCTTTGATATGCGGTATCCGGCAATGGTATCTTCTTCATCAGTGCGGTGTGATAGACCCATGGCTGCGACTGGGTGCCAGCGTTGCGCTTCTTCGACGATGAGAGGTTTGTAGGGGAGCTCAGCACGATCCTTGGATGTTGGTAGACGTGTTGGGTTGGCGCCGAAGAGACCGTCGAGCTCGACGTGTGATTTCGCTTGGACGGAGGGCTGCATGGCCATGGCGAGAAAGAAGGAGGACATTGCGCTCACTGTAATGTCCGCGCCTGACAATCAGGTCAGTGTCGACAAATTTTCAGACTGTATGCCTCGCGTGCCTACAGTGTAGAGTGACACTGCTGCCAGCTTTATCTAGTCGAATTCTAGTGGGCTAAGATCACCCTTTTCCACATCTCGCTGGGCAAGCGCTTTGGAGACGAATGAAACCTCGTCGTCGTTGCCTTTCTGTGACTCGGCGTATTCGGAAAAATGGTGATGCATTTCATCATATTCTTATACCAAGTTTTGGCGCTCTGCTTCCATCCTGGGCCTGTAAACCACTCTGGCAGATACATGAGGGCTGGTATCAGATCTATGGCCCATCTGCCTGGCACGAAGGCTTGCGAAAACTGCTCCATCACCTCGTTGACAAGGTCGACTAGAGGGTCAGCGCCGTATGCTTCGGTAGTGTACCTATAAATTGCTCTTAGGATCAACTCTGCTGCCTCGCTACTGAGTGTTAGCAGATCTGCGGACTGCAACCAATGACAGTGTAAACTCACGTTCGTATGTGTTAAAGTAAGTCCCGGCTGTTATCCTTGTTTGCGCGCCATATGAAGCGCCCAACGACACCTTCTTGCAAGGGCCAATAATTTGCCACTAGATTCTTCGTTCCAACTTGCTGGAAGACGTGCCTCCGCTGCCCTCTGAACGAAGGGTTGTTCAGCTGTGCTCCCATGACGTCCTCCCAACCACAATAATTGCCAAAAGGTATGACCGGTATTCTAGATTGATTCACGGCCCGCTTCTCCATGAATTCAGAAGCCATGTTTCTATCATGTATAATGACTATGGTCTGACCGAGAACAGTGAGAGGGATGATAGGTTCGTAGACATCCTTGAGCTTAAGCTAGTGGGGGTACTTCTGCTTGTCAGGCGGTGCAGGTCTTTGACATTGCCAACAGGAGGCAGGCCCTTTGGTCCTGAAGGCAGAGGTGGCTTCCTCTTCTCACGTCGCAGGCTCAACTTGTTGAAACCATATAACACGATTGCTATGAAGAAGAACAAGACCAGAAACGCAAAAGGCATATTTGATGATGAAATGTCACTATTATTATGTCAGTTCTCGCTGACTGCTATCATTCTTGTACTTGCGTTGAAGTGGGTATTTGTCTGAGAGATATATACTCCTAGTTGTCAGCATTGCCAAACAAGGCAGCCAATATGCCCAGCAAGTATATACGGTACTCTTTGTCACACGGTTCCGCGCTCATAGAGAGGGACTAATTGTCTGAGTGTCAGCATCTTCCCGTGTTGTCAGTATGCGGGAGGCTCCGTGTCGTGTGCCAACGGTTCAACGCGTATGTGAGGGAAAGAATCCCTTCGTCCAGCCATGATACTGGATGCATCAGGTCAATGTCATCTGATGACTTCGGAAAAGTAAATTTAGATGTCGAAGTGCTCTTGTCGAAAGTTGTTGTTGTGGAGGGAAGGAGGGGTACGACTAGTGGACTGATCGGCAATGTGGGGAAGGTGGAGCCGCGGGTATCAATTATGAGCACTCGACATGGGCCTCGCTGTTGCGTCCGATAATTAATCGCATCTGCAATCAGAACGTGGTGTTAACCCTGGTCCTACCTTGTCTCACAACATGACCTTATACACAAAAGATGCGCTTATTGCGCTCCAACAGTAAGACTCTCACGCCGAGGTGGCGCGGCGCGCCTCAACGCTGATGCAACCAACAGAGCTCAGAACGACACAAACGTAGCTAGAGAAGCAATAAAGAGCGCAAAGCGAAATGCTGAAGAGCTAGATTTGAAGTGAGGCGAGCACAACCAAAACCGTGAGCAGTCTGCTGACATGTTGAAGACTTCAAAAACTCAGGCAAGAACATGATGATTGCGAGACAGAATTAATGGCCGCTCGAGCGTGCGCGTACCTAGAACACCGCACGTACACCTGCTGACTGAAGGTAGAGCTGAGGAAAATGCATACACAAAGTATGCGCAGACGATTTCGAAGAACTTCACAATTGCATTCCTGCATGCTCTGCCCAGAGAACTTCGAGACCATGTATACACCTATCTTTGGGATGATGAAGACATTGTACGTCAGACGAAACGTTCGATTCGCGAATATGCCTGGAGCTACAGGATGCCTGAATTTTGTGCTCCGCCATACGTCCAGCCGGATCATGTGGGCCAGATCGTCGCTGAAGAACTTGCTTTAAGCATTTATAAGAAGGCTTTCGGCACAAATCTTCACGTCACAGTCAGCGCTGGGCATATCCACAAGTTCTTAGCTGCCAATCCGTTGAGAAGCAATTTGAAGCCTGCGGATTGTATCAGAAGCCTCGACATCGAGTGGTACCCAAACGAATATTCTGACAAGGACGTTACGCGATCTTGTCAAGATCTGGCCAACCACGAGTTCACAGAGCCCATACCCATCAAACTTATACTTGGAAAATTTATAAACTCGCAACACGGTCCTCACTGGGATTTTGAAGTCATTCGAGAGTCGGCTGAGCAGTTGAAAGTCTTCAAACCTGCATATGACGCTCTGGTGAAGAGAAATTGCGAGGTAACAATCGAGGCCCTGTCTGGAAGTAGCGCGGAAGCCGAGTTCTTCACACAAGAATGACGAACTTGAAAGTAGGACTCGACTGACACGCAACTCACATCCTGGAACCGATCTGGTCTGTTGGAGGCTTCGAGCAGGTTCTCACATGTTAACAGTCGCCGGGTTGCATGCAAATTGAGGCTTCGCTTTGAAATGAATCGACTTCGAGTGTACACCAGACTAGCTCGTTCATTACTTAGAACTGCAGAAAGCTCCACGGGCTTCCCCGATTGCTCAAACGTCGGTTTCACTCGACTTCTCCACGGTGATCACACAAGACAGAATGCGGTTGTCCTCTTCAGTACAGTACATACTCTGCGTCTTGTCGTAATCAATGTTACAAGCCTGTGTTCGAGGTCAGGTTTTGCCTCGCCAAGCAATTTGTACGTCTGCTCTGCGACAGCATCGTCGGAGTCAAAGCCCTCGAACCTGCCATGCCCAATCAATTGTAAATTTCTTCTTCCACAGCGCCGCAAGATGAACGCTGGCTCGTATCCGTACATGAAGCATACGGCATCACCGAATTTCGCATCTTCTGGCACCAGACCTGTGTGTTTGTTCGCTGTGATCACAAGCCTCCGATCTGAAAGGGGTGGACTTCCTGGCGGGGGCCGATGAAGATACGATCCTGATCCACATTGCACATTGACTGCAGTTCTCAGGATACCTAGCAGTTGCTCGTCGTTTCCAAGCTGGTGGACTTTGATTTATATTGCTAATGCATTAACGGCCTTTGTCACGCTCATTGAGAGTATATTGAGAGCCAACTGGATCTTCCAAGTCAGAGCCATCGAAGAAATGGAACCTAGAATGAGGCGCAACGTGGCAGCACAGCCGTCCGAAGAGACCAAGAACATCTTTGCAAAGCACTGTACCTTTCGCAAAAGATCTCCGAATTGGAATACAACGGGCAGCGGATACTTACCAGACAGAAATGTTGTGACGGAAGAGTGGCCGGATCACTCTCCCACTAGACTAAAGACATGTTCATTGTGTGAGCTAGCTTACCGGCCCTTTCGTAGTATCGAGATGTCCGACGACACTTGCGAAATTAGTAGTCATGGGGATGGCACTTGTCCGTCCGGCTCATATTAATGGAAAGATAAGTTACATGAGACATATTTGCAAATGCAAAACTGTGCAGCTCGCTTGACTCTCTAGGCTATCAGTCAAAGCACTGACAATCGCTGATATCACCCCCAATTCGCCACCCACTCACCAACGAAGGGCACTTCCAAGCTACATCAGAATTGGAACATTGAAACAACAGATTCCATAACCTCTCCATTGTGTACCCAAAATCCGGCGCACTCATCGAGTCTGGTCGTCCTTGCAGGTATGGAGATTGATGCGCCCAGCTCTTCTCATCAACGAAGGCCTGCCATAAGTCGTTGTACACGTCTTTAGCCACACCGCGTATACGTGCGGCAGAGACGATGAATTGGCCCTTATAGCTAAGGAGAACGTTCTTACAGCTAGTTGAATTGTCTATCCGACCGTGAATCTGTGGAACAAAGTGTGTATTGTCTTGCCAGAACAGTCTATCGCTGCAGTCTGCACAGTTACAGACAGCACCTGACCATCCTAGACTGAGGTACCCAGTCTGCTGACGGCTGTAGTAGTTCTTGAGATGAGGGTAGAATTCCCGCGGGTTGTGAATATCCGCTTGCAGGAAGACAGTTTGCCTTGCAAGACTATCCCATCGACGAAGGATGTGGTTGAGAAATGTTTCGCCCTCTCGTCCGATATTCGGAAGAGTTACGATGCGATCGGCACCTGTTTGCTGCCGAATGGTCTCAATATCTGCCTTGTCGTTCTTGATGTAGATCGTAGAGTGCGCATCGGAAAGAGCTGGTATACTCTTCAGATTATGAAGAAGCTTACTAACTTCATTCACTGGCTCTCGGTACATACTCACTACAATCTCGACAGGGTAAGCTGCCCCGTAGTCTCTGTCTAAGACAGCGAACTTGTGAGACTCTGAACGCTCGGTGAAGTTGAAGCCCAGATATGCTATCCAGAGCAAGGCCACACTGATGCTAAGCGAGTATCTGCGCAATATTTTGTTGACTTGCAGCAATCTCAACAGAACTGCTTGCAAGCTATGATCATCCAGCTTCGTGGCAGAACACATTGTGTTCCTGCCCTCCGTGGATGGCGTCGAGGAGCCATCTACAAGATTATATGTGCTGCAGGCAAGGCGGTATCTCTGTATTAAAGTACCGGCAACGCTGTTGTGAGTTCTACTGCTGATACAGATCATTGCCAGGAGAAAGCAGCAGAATTGGTACACGTTCGTGTACGAGCGGCGTAACGATAGTGTTGAGTAGCAGCCCACAATGCCCGTAAAAGCTGTAAGAATCAGGGCATCATAGACGTGACGCCCATAAGCACTGTCAATGTGAAAGACCGTGTCAAAGACTCTTTCGTCAATAGGGAGCAACAACGACTTCCCTAATATCAACGCCAAGGCAGAGGACACGCTGTGAATAGCGAATAACGGGACGCTCCCAAGATCGAGTTCAAAATGTGGATACCCTGTCCGAAATACCAATATCCAGGCCACGCCTACTAGCGCTGCTATCGCAACCGATCGACCACTAGAAGTCACGTTGCCGACAATTGCCTCTGGGTAATTCCTAACAGCAATCTGCCATAGAGCTCGGGCAATTCCAGCCAGCAGCATCGCCGGGATCGATGATACTAGGCCCGGCACGCTGAGTCGGTATTCAGTGAATAGAAGGCCAACACCAGCTACTAACAACAGGCTTATACGAATGAGTTCAGCGGGCGTGAGCGGTATGGTGCGAGCGAAGAGGAAGAATAGACTTTCGGCGAAGTAGGCTATCATCTAGTGTATGTCAATATCAATGCGTTACGTTATGTCTGTGAAAGACAGAGGTGTCTTACCGTCATCATGATCAAAGTTGGTAGATTTTGGAAGTGCAAGATCGCTTGCAGAGCGCATATGGTTGACAAAGCCGTTAGACACATCGACGTCAGGAATAGGATTGTTCCCCAAGTTGCGGAACTTCGAGACTCTGGCCTTTCGCGAAACGGCTCTTGAGTCTCTGGCCATGTCCAACACGGCTGTAATGCAACAAACGCAGTGATGACAAGCTGGCCAAAGTATAGTTGCAACGGGTAGTGTAGGTTCTGTTCCACCAGTAAATGTCTTGCGCTAAGCAATGAGATGCTCGTACAGACGAGCCAGACAAGACGTCTGTGTACGACAAAGATGGACGAGGAAGTTGAGGTCGCAGTAGCATGTTGGGAAACGGGAGAAGACTCTGCAGGCATTGCGGTGTAGTCGTGAAACTGTAGTAGACCTGTCGGGACACTGTTGGGAGAGGTACCACTGTCGTGCGTGGTGGGAGAATTCACATGCCCCGAGCCTTCTGATGATACGGCAAGTTGCGACCTGGTACGGGACGAAGGATTCGGAAGAGTGCTGTCGGGATCAGGTGGTGTACGCCACATGGCTGCCGAAGGCGAGTTGCGATGTGTCGAGATGGATGCTAATTGCCTGCAAGCAGGGTAATTCAGATTAAAGCCGCTGCAAATCGAGCGTGACCTCTGATTGGTCTTCCATGATGATGTTAGCGTGGACCCTGAGTTGCCGTCATTGACCGCCCGTTCCGAAATGGAAGAGAGCTTCGAGCTCAACCTCATGCCGGTCCCACATGTGTGAACATTCAGCACTGCACCCACGGCTCTGCTCGCGCAGTGGAAGAGATGACACAGCAGACTGTCTTCCGCAGGAGGCCCAGCTGGCAGGCCGATGCCTCATAGAAACCGCTAGCAGGCAAAGCAAAGCTGTTCGCAGGGCACCGCCGTCACTGGCTGCCTGACGACCCGTCAGGCACAAGGGGGTCGGCGGCATCTTCCCGCGATTTGGTGGCCCACAGGTCAAAGAGCTGGTTGTTGAACAATCCGGAAGAAAGCCGACCGTCTGACAGATACTAATTTTGTTCAAACATGTCATTCGCGTATGCGAACCATCCCAGCGGTGGAGGACTCACAGAAAGAACCGGTAAAGCGTTCATCAAAAGTAGCTTGAACAGGTCGTGAAAGGACAGGGAAACAGTGATGCAAATGTGCTCACATACCTGAGGAAATTCTTCGCCGTTGTAGTTCCCATCCCCTCACCGTCACAACCTTTACGCAGTCCTCATGTTACCTAATCGCAGCGCCCAAAATGCTTGCCATCGCCTTCCCCACAGGAGATGGTGCCAGGGGACCTCTATTTTGAAAGCTAGGGCCTACCGCAAAACATGCGCAAATGTTGCACATTTCTGCCTGTTTGCAAGTGTGGTCACCTGTTTGGTTCTCGGTATGATCAGTCAGGTTATGGCTGCTAGAAGAAGACCTACCACTACTGCGTTAGTTCTGTTCCTTGACCTGTCCCTTGACCTGTCCCTTGACCTGTCCCTTGACCTGTCCCTTATGGTTGTCACTGTTGTGTTGTCGCAGAGAGGATGCGCAAGCAAAGCACCATCATCTCTTAGCCTTTCAGACCTTCTAAGACACTAGGCCACTTCAAGCCCCTAACAGGATAAATAATGCAGTCTCACTAGAACCTTCCAGTCAGGTGCTCGTAATCTAAGAGACACTCTTCGCCACGCCACCCAAAGCATACACAACCTGTTCAGTCCCCACAGCAGCTCTCTTAGGGTTGTTGCGCCTGCGCCTTCGCTCTTACTGTTTACCAGTGTTACAAACTCTTCACAGTTCTTTCTTACTCAGCTTAACAGGGACGAGAATCTCAATCCAAGCCCACTCAACCTAACTATGTGCAACGCTCAATCTAATAGTTGCGTCTGCTACCTCAATGTCATATAAAGACTTCTAGCCGTTTTACCTTTATTGCGTTGAGGCATCACGAGGTGTGTAAAGCTTAATAGGTGCTCAGCAAAATCCAGCCACTTGCCTGTAAGGTACGTCAAGGGCATTCTAGAAATTTTCAAGCTTAGCAGGAATACAATATACCCAAGAGAACGCCCAGCTTAGTTGGTCTTCATCTTCATTCCTTGGACTGTATTCCTCAGCGCTATTAGAAGTTATTTATTTAGTCAGTTGCGTAGTAGAGATAGCAAAGGCTTGCGTGGAGACTATGTTTGATGTCATTGTCTGTCTTTGTAGTCTACCTAACACCCATCTGCTAGCCCTTACTAGCCCTCAAATCGCCTTGCCTCTAGCCCCACTCTTTTCCAGACAAATTGATGCAAGGCTACTGCTTCTCTCTCAGCAGCGGCCCGCGTTGGGGTCAGCACTGCAACGCAACCACAAATTAGTCATGTTGCTTCAAGAGCCTAGTCTGATAAGGTTATGGGTATGGTACCTACCGGAAGTTCCAACCAGCAGTAGTAGTATCGCCGCCATGTTGACAGCCGTTGATCTCGTTACTGAGACGCAGGACACAATCGCCGTGGTTAAGCGACAAAGCGTTGCCGGCTGTGTTTCTGACCCAAAACTCCAGCTTCTTGTTGGCAGTTCCAGCATTTCGACATTGGTATTTGGTCTCCCCACCTCTGAAGCTTCCAGATGCGCTGTTGCAAACGCTGCTCAAGACGTTGTTTGCCTGCACCTGATCAGGGGCCCAGGTCTCGCCTCCGCTGTAGCAGCCGGCTTGGGCGGTGGCAACGACCGATGCAAGGATGGCAAAGAGAGCAGAGGGTTGCATATTGAAGTAAAGTCTTGTAGAAGAAGCCAGGAGGGAGATGTGATAGCAACTGTGTAGTGTCAGTTCTAGCAGGCTTCTTGACCTGTTTTATACTGCTAAGACCCCTGGCGCCTAGACTTTAGAGAAATGATCTTCTCTACGCAACGGACTGTGCAACACACTTTTATCCGACTTCTTGTCCTATCATACTGCCTACACTTGGTCGTCACTTGTTGCGTCAGTTGAGATGTGGAGCGAGGTACCATTGCCAAGCCGCATCCCGGCCCTGGGAATGGTCTGTTTGATAGAGCCAAGGTGACTTCTCTGTTGTTGGAAGCCTGTAGCAGGATTCATCTTTTGACAGCCAGTTAGACCCTCCTTTCGTATTACAGCTGCAATGTCTCCATTGCTATCCTCAGTATACCTAGCTAGCGTAGCTACTCATCGACCCGGCGCAGTAGGCTGTCCCATGCCGCATTACCTAGCTTCATTCGGAAGATCTTGGCTGTTCCCTTTTCCCCGTGTCCTAAGAGTGTTCCCGGCGCATATTTGGCATGGTTACTTTCGCGAGTAAGCTGCCATGTTGCTTCTTCCTTAGACATGCCGCAAGACTGCGGTGTAGCTGCAGACGTGCGGTTCATCGTTCCATAATCTAGTGGTCTGTTTCTGAGCTGCTCGAGATCCGGAAGCACTTGTCGCCCCACACCGGAGTCCATTGCTTATTCCGCCGTCTTTAGCTTGAAGCTGTGTATGAAGGTCAGTATTCAATATCCAGCGATACAAAGAGGCGAATTTCACAAGCTTCTGATGTACGACAAGGCTCCTGGCAACCGGCTAGTCTAGACAACCGTGAAAAGCAATTGTGGGTAAGTCCAAGGTACTTCTCTTGACACCTTCAGACGGTGTTAGGTGCTAGAAGTGGGCATCGTAGTAGGGCGGGTGTTCTGATGTATGCAAAGTGGAGCACAGCTAGCGCTTACATGCGGCTCGGTCAAGGTTTCTGAAGGGGGAGGTCAGTCCGTCAACAGCCTCATTTGAAATTTCCTGGAACACTGACGTGAGCTAGAAGCCTCCTGACCTCCCAGGACTTGCCATGCGATTTCTGCTAGAGGTATGTCCCTAGGTACTCTTCCTTCTGCCGTAGCCACAGACTAGACAGCGGCGGCCTGGTTGTCTGTGTAGATAGCAACGCCTCGTGGCTCGCCGTCTCATTCTGCATATTCTCAAGCAATCCACAGTACTAGCCTAATTCCCTGCGCTGGATATACTGCATCGGTCCCATATGCGCTGCTTGCGTATGTTGCGCAAGAAGACCATTCGGCTGCAGAGCCTACCTTGCCTTTTATGCTGCAGCTATCTGCATAATCGCCAAGATTGTCTAAGTTTGCATCGTCTCTGTTGCATCTTTTGCGCCTGCTCAGCTGTTGCATTGCTGCAAGTAGTTGAACCTCATCTCTAGGGTGGAGTGAAGAAGCATGAGATTTGCTTATGCGTGTTGAGTAGGCTGGCGGACGGGTATGGTCTAAAGTCCTGTTTGGGTACCCCCCTTAACTTAGCTAATACTAGGCCAATTTAGGCAAATAGGGGCTTGTTTTAAAGAAAATTATATGAAGTTTATTTCCCTTACATAACTCTTCCTTGTAGCTCTTATATTACAGCTGCTAAATCTAAAAGACAGTAAAAAAAAAGGGGGGTACGTAGCGAGCATACCCATCCTAGGTAGGCTTTTGCTAGGTAGGTGTAACGGTCTAGACTCTAAAGCTAAAGAAGAGCTAGAGCTAGCCGGTTACATTAGATTAGCCAGCTTGGCTTAACGTTAAGCTAGATATATATTATCTACGCAGTTAACTAGACGTCTAGTTAACTTGTGCATGCTTTTTAGCAAAAGTTGTTAGGAAGTAGATATCCTTTATTGGCCTTTGGCCAGACTACTACATTAAGTATATAGAGCAGACGCAGATCCTTAGACAAATAGGGATTGCAGTCGCGTGAAAAATAGCTAAGCGCTAGAGGGGGACAGAAGGTATTGCACATGCAGAACAAAAGGTAATCATGCCTCTACAAGCCTAGAAGTGCAGTGCTTATTTAGCAGAATTATTATCTACATAAGGGTAACACCAGGCCTCTAGGGACAGATGGTTCCTTTTGATCGATGAAGTGAGGTGGCGCAGATCAACGTCTGCACCGAGTCGGCTGAAGTGGTAACAATTGAGCAGTATCCAGGGCACTGGATATCGTTGTCTGGTAGAATATGTCATCGCAACCAGCACTTGGATTTCTTCCTTGAAAATAGTAGGTCTCGATCGGCTGTTCTTCAGATCTTGAAAACTATTAAAGATTCTATCCGCTACATATAAGGAGCATTGGTCTATGCCAACGCTGCTACAGTACCGTACATATAGGATGAACACTACGGAGGCCACACCTGTAACGGATGCTTGCATGTGAGTCAATCTCCGCACGGCTCGAAATGCACATTAACATCTGCAAGAGCATATACTGACCACGTTTCAACTTTAAAACTTGTAGGATTTTCGATCTTTGTTTCATTTGTAGAGCGAGTGTAGCTTGTGCTCATCCTCATGATGCATGGGAGGTATTATCCCGGGAAGCTGGGAGAAGCGTTGAGGTCGGTGGGTGACGACAGATGGCTGAGGACTATACGCATCTGATTTGTATGCAGCCAAACGCAAATGCTATTACGACTAGATTACTTGACGAAAAGCCCTAATTATGGATATGTGCAACAATATCTTCTCGCTAACATCTAATTACTTGGTAAACATGTCCTGCGGCCACGAACGTTGGGTTGGCGTGGAGGGCTTAATGCATCCGCTGCAGCCGAAGGAATACTCGTAAGATCCAGAATACGGCAGGAACACTTCTGAGCTCTTGCTGCTGCTTCTAGAGTCTTTCTTCTACCTTTTGAACGTATTTGTGTAAGGTTTTGAGAGTCGTGAGTTGGTGTCCTGCGCTCTGTTTCTGTCTTGCATTCGTCGATTGCTTTACACACGGCAGCCCCTCCTTTTATCCCACTCCTTCTTCTTTCTCCCTCGAAGCATAGCGTTCTGCATATCAAGCTTCTGTTCAAGAATTCTTGTCTTCTTCAGGTCACGTTCAGTGCTCGTGAAGCTTCTTATTCTGTCCTATAAGCGTCATGTGCATCCTGTCGTGCATCTGCCTCTGCCGTTAACGAAGGACTCCACTATCTCGCGACATCATGCAGCTCCAGATAGTGTGCGCACGAAGACTAGACCTTCTGTCTGCCCTTCGGCTTCGCATTCCTTGTGGGAGCCTCTTCGGCGCCCTGGAGATGGTGTGACTCTTGAGACGAAACACCAGATGTAGGGTGGCAATCGAGACGTGTCTGACCACTACTATATGTTCCTCCCCCTCTCTCACTTCAGTCTTCGTCATTTAATGCATCAGCAAAGATAGGTCTCAGATGCTTCGCCCACGCATTGCGAAAAAAGATTAAAAAAATTTGGACATTGTAGCGAGGCATCATAGCAGTTCTCATTTTGTTTTCTACCATGTCGAGCTTTTTAGCTTGCTATAATGGCCCGGCGTTCATACAGCGGCTCATCCACCTCAGAAGCTGGCATCGAAGTCTCAGTCGCCGCCGTGCTCGTACCTGAAGTCACACTCGACGCCGTATTCCACCTCGCGAGGCTCTCTGAAGTAGAAGACGTTCTCGAAAGCGCATAGATAGACTCGTAATGTGGCGCAAACTCTCTCGATGGCTCTCTTGGTGTGTACATTGGCAGCGGCTCCGCTTCCTCGCCCTCCTCAAACGGCGGCGATGATAATGAGCAAGGTGGCCGAGGCAGGATTTCCAGAGGCGCGTTGTGTCGCACTGTGAAATGCTGGTCTCCAAATCTGATGCCAACTGTTATGCTCATCATGTAGCGTCGAGTGATTGTGTAGGTTTTGAAGGTGGGGATGCATTCGGCGTCATTGACGAGTCTGAAGTTCGTTGTCAGGTTCTGGGTCTTGTTGAAAGGAACGGCTCTATTCATGTTGGTTTTAGCGATGCAGTTGACGTGCTTTGAGACGACGTCTTCGGGCTGGGTGAGTGTGTGGCCACACATTGTCGTCGAGTATGTTGAGATTGTGAGAGAAAGTGAGTCAATTGTGCATTCTGCTTGTGCTTCGTTCATGCGGTCTCGGCTGTTCAGGAGGCACATTGATAATGGGATATGCTGACCAGGGACGATCTTTTCTGGGTAGAAGATCGTAGGTACAATGCTCGGCGGCTTATTGGACGACCTCCGTAGGACCTTGTCGACTGTTGACCGACTTTCGTTGCTTCTGGATGGCTTCCATGTCTGACCGTAAAGCACACTGGCGGTCAGGTTAGGCTCTCTGGGCAGATTCTCGCGCGATGTGGGTCGATACTGAAGCATCTGCTTCACCTTCCGTGCGCCTTTCGATCCGCCCAAAACGAGTCGTGCCTGAACAAAGTAGGATATTTGGGCGGCACCTCCTGGGATACTGGTCTCGAGCTGAAAAGAGGGCGGCAGTGGATGCGGCTCCCGCAGGTAGTGGGCACCGCGTGAGAGTCGTTTGTACGATTGCTGAGTCGTCTGAGGAAATGTGAAATCGAATGCCCATGAGTACTTGTTCGGATTGAGAGTGGACCGCGGTACAACTTCGCGTTCGCAATTGAAGAATCGTATCCGCTCCTCGAACTCCTTTCGTGCATACGAATCCTTGGATGGTCGTGTTGTCTTTGTAATGCAGCTGCCGACGAATATGAGTTTAAAGGACTCGATGTGCTCCTGCTCTTCTGCCACAAATGACACCCTCCCTGTAACCTTGTCACCTCGTCTATACACCTTGTTGCAATCACCATCGATCAGGATACGAAGTGTCGGTACGGCCATGTTGGATGTATTCGCTAGACTGGAGATCAGCGGCGCAGGGACCGACCTAAGATATAAAGATCTCAAGGTACTGCAACGTTTCGCCCAGCGATCAGGCACGCGGCAATTATTGGTCCTGTCCGGGTTGGGAGAACGTTAGCTGGGGTGGTAGTCGGCGCCAAGAAATATGGGAGTCCTGGGCATGCAGCGGGAGAAGAGATACGGAAAGGTCAAAGAACACTAAGTCTTGGACAGAGGCGGAGCAGATATGTAGTTGTTCGTCGATCATCTCTCGTTGCGTTGTGTTGCTCAATTTGACGACATCCTGAGAGCATCACAGAGCCAAAGAGATGTGTGAAAGTATGACCTTCGAGCATGCATTACCCAGTACTGCTGGAGCCTCGTGTTGTACAAGGCATCGCGGCAGCTGAGAGCGGTCACAGAGTCGGTCCTCGCAACTCCCAACTCCGGACTGGCACGCCACTCTAGTCACTCCTACTAGCTGATAGTAGTTAACAGTCCGGACTATGTCTTCCTCTTGGTATGCTCCCGCCAAAGACGTGCTCTTTGATGAGCAGCCAAGGAGCCTGGCCAGGAGTCTGGAGCAAGCCACACTAGCGACCCCAGGATCCCCCGCGATGCGCGATAAGGCTGGGATTTGAGTGTTGCGATGCGATCACAAGTGCTCATATGTACCCTTAAGTGATCCAAGGTTCGATCTCATCATATTAAACCGCCATGAGAGCTGCGACGAGTGGCAGGCCTGTAGAACACGTTCATGTCCACAAGCCGAAAGCTCACTTGTGCTCACAGAGGGGTAGCAAGCGCGCTGAATGAGCCACGTTCCGCAATGGTGCCCAGGCTTCGGAGAGGGACTGCATTGATGCATTTTACAACACCGCCTTGGCTGGCGCCCAAGATGTCCACGCGGACCGACTCGCCAGGGAACAAATCGTTGGTTGCGAAGGCCCGCCGCGTATGTCAGCTTGGCAGCCACCCCGCCGCGGGGCTCGCGTCGAGCTTCATTGGAGAAATCAACGAAACGCTCAGCCAGTGAGTTGATCCTAGAGGCCAAGTCGGCCGTGGAGTGTGGAGAACCGAAATCCGGAGAGTTAAAAACGGTGGGTCGAGCTTGGAGCAAGTGGCTAGGTATCGATTATTGTAGGCAGGTCAATAACGAATCTCCAGTCTGGTCGACTGGGAACGATCGTAGTTGATTGATGCGCAGCTCGAGATCCCTCTGCGAAGATTTACACCTCGTATATTTTGGCTCACAAAACTGGTTCTCAGGTGTGACGGGCAAAAGGAACGATACATGTCGCGCCAGATGTACTTGCCAATTCAGTAACACCGGTCACAGATAAGATATTTCGTGTCGAGTCTTGATTTTTTACGGTCCACATTTGTGCAAACATAGCAGCCACTGATGGCTCAAAGTGCACACGACTTCGCGTCATGAACGAGTCGCCAAGTGCGCGCGACGCGTGAAGGCGCGTCGGTCTAGTAAATGTCGGCGCACCGACACCCTCACCAACACCTTCGCATATGACCCCTCGCCGGTGACGCCACTACCTCCACCTCCACACAACACACACAATGCCGCCACGTAGAAGTAATCCACCTGCAGCGCCAGTCGCAGAAGTAGAACCAGTACCTCAAGCAGCCCCTTCACCAGCAGCAGACGCAGAAGCAGAAGCAGGGGCAGAAGCAGGAGCAGAAGCAGAAGCAGCTTTAGAGCCAGCTTTAGAGCCAGCAGAAGCCTCGCCACCTTCACCGATACCCCAAAAGATCTACAAAGAGCCCAAACCCCCGAAGCCGCGAGAAGATGACACCCTAAGCGTCGAAGACCTCAACCTGCCCAAATCCATAGTCCAGCGCCTCGCAAAAGGCGTCCTACCACCTAACACCCAGATTCACAAAGATGCGCTCCTCGCCATGTCGAAAGGCGCAACCGTATTCGTAAACTACCTCACATCTGCGTACGCTCCCCAGAGCACCAGAACCTGCGCGCACTGCTAACGCTCCCCAGCGCCGCAGAAGAAGCCCTACGCAGCGGGCGCAAATCGGTAATGCCAAACGACGTATTCGCCGCGATGCGGGAGCTCGAATTCGAGTTCATGCTGCCCCGCCTCGAGGCGGAGGTCAGCAAGTTCACGAGCATACAGGCGGACAAGCGCAACACGTATCGCAAGAAGATCCGCGACGAAAAGAGGGCGAAGAACGACCCCGACGGTGTGTCGGTGATGACGAATGGGGAGACGAGCTTTATGAGCGTGGGCACAGCTGGGGTAGATGGTGAAGAGCCGCGCGCGAAGAAGGCGAGGTTGGATGGTGAGGTGGAGGGCAGTGATGACGAGGGCGTGGATGAGGCGCAGGATGTTGAGGATGAAGAGGTGGAGGAGGACGAGATTGTTGAGGATGAGGCGCCGGAGGACGACTTGAAGGAGGATCCGCTCGAGGACAAAGAGGACAAGGAGGAGGATGACGAGATGGCGGATGATAGCGACTAGGTTCACGGATGCGCTGGTTTGGTACGCAACGAGCATGCATGTGTATCGGCGTTTGGCTCAGGGCATGTGAACACAGATCAAAGCGTGCCGAGGCATCTCAGAGAGCTCTGTAAGAATGCAAAACATCACGAATATGTGAAGCATTAAGGTCATCATTCGTATTATTTCGGCCGCGTGTGAGCTCACAGGCCTCCTCGGCGTTCCGTTGCAGCGCATCTTCTAGGCCATCAATGAGCCATAGTACGAAGCTTTGTGCATATAGCGCGATTGCCCTGCTGTCGCCGCTCTGCGCATGGTATTGTAAAAACCATCGAAGACCGATTTTTGTTGGAGCTCGCGTAATGTTAGTTGTTTCTGAGCGGGTCTTGTAGAGGGTGGCCTTCAGTCCTTCAGCGCGTGAACTTTGCCACAACGCTCTCGTCGAGAGGGTCGCCGTAGCGAGCTGATACAGTCAGTGGAAAATCAACAAGCTTGTCAAGCAACAAACGCACTCTTGATCTGCGAGCCCTTGTCGATGATGTTGTCTAGCGCCCTCATCTCATCCTCCCTCGCCCTCTGATTCTTCCACTCAAACCCTGGCTGATCCTCCGCCTTCGACCACTGATATCCAGTCTCGGGATCTGTATTCATGACGCCGGTTTCGTTGGCAGTTATAGCTGGGTTCAACGACAAAGGTCGCTTGCCATTCTCGTTCACGTTCGAGGCGATTGTTGCTGTGAAGCTGTCGCCGCGGGGTAGGTTGGCGGGGCCCTGGGAGTTTGGCGGTGAGAGCTCGGAGCCTGTGCCAAGTGCGTGTGAAGCTGGATTGCGTGGTGTAGAAGGAAGCGCCTCATCTGGGAACATCTCGTCGTCGTCTGCGGCCATATCTGGCGAGGAGTGCATGGTCGAGTCTTGGTCTGAATCTGGGGTTAGCAGGCGCGCTCGTTTGGCCATGTTTGGCAGTGGGTGAGAGATAATTCGATCTCTCACTTACCTGACATTTTGACTGCTTTTGTGCTTTGTCAGTGGACTCTAGCAGGCAGCGGTGAAGGAGCGGTTGAACGCGTTATCTGTGAAAGGCAGTAGTATGTCATAGCTCCAGGGAGGGAAGCCGCGGCTCACTAGCCTTCCCGTGCTAAGCGGCAGTAGCGCCCGAATGTTCGATGTTCCATGCGCCTCGTGGCTCCGCATTTCTTCACACCCCTCCATGTGCCGCAGCGACTCCAAGGCTCTAGACTTTAGACTGTCTGCGAGCTACCGAAAGAGATTATACAGTCCCTAGTCCGCGACAATGTCTGCAAAGAAAGGCGCACTGGCCGACGCCTGGGACGAAGACTGGGAGTCGCTTGCAGATGTACAATTCTTACACCTGTGTACACAGATGGGTACTAACTTTGCACAGAAGGTAGAAGTGAAGCCAGAACCTACTGAGCCCGTGAAGCTTTCCAAAGCTGAACGAAGAGCGCAACACGCTCAACTTAACCGCGAGATATGGGAGTCTGCGTCAGTCTACCCCTCACAGCATTCTATACGCCAATATTGACTGTACTCGACAGCGAGAACCCAACACCTGTGTTTCTCCAAGCCCGCGGTCCGCCTATACAGCCCACCTTTAAGCCCGCCGTTACGGTCCTTGCCCGCAAACCTACACCTCAAGTGTTGTCTCGAAATAGCGGTGTGGCCGGGCTGAGCCTCGAAGATGACGACGATGACAGCGAAGAAGAACGGCAAAAGAAAGCAGCGGCAGTTTTTGAGGAGCGAAAGGTCCGCGCAGCGAAGGAGCGCGCCGAGAAGGAGCGCAAGTACGCCGAAGCACGAGAGCGCATTTTTGGCTCGCCAGCGGCCTCAGGCGAGTCGTGCAGTAATTCGCTGAGTAAGCCCACCAGAGGGAAGGGGAAGAGTCGCGGCGGAAGGGAGAGCCAGCCGAGATCGAGCAACGAGCAGTCACCTGCACGAGCGACAGCACCGAGCGGACGCCAACTGTTCGATGCGTCATATACGCCCAAACCTGGATCTATATACGTACAAAGGAGAGAAGATGGAAGTAGCCGCCCAGGTAGTCGCCCAGATACGCCAAGCCTGCAAGAGAAACCTATTCGAGAACCCAGAGGACCGGCAAGAGGTGGAGGTCGAGGTTTTGCAGGCAGAGGCAATCATGGTGCATTGGCTGGTCCTTCATGAGTATCCTGTAGTGGATCTACGTGACGGAAACCCCTCCCAGTCTGCCGTCTCATGCACAGATCATTGCAATGTTCGGGTATTGAATAGACTGAAAGCCCATGCAAAGCTGCGGTGACCTGAATCGGACGCATCGCAGGAGTAGCAACGAGGCAGCAGTGATATCTTGTCGAGCCCCGTGGTAGATGCTGCTTTATGAGCTAGCGCCGAAGCTGCAATACTAGCACGTACCGTATTATGAGAAAGTGCTGCAGTTGTCATAGTGGGAGATAGATAAAGGGACAAGCTTCTGTTGGTCCTTGGAGCATGAGGCGCCCCAGTAAACCCGGGTTTAGAAGAGGCACCCGGGACATCGAAAGAACTACTGGGTCAAGCAGGGAGGCCATAGATGGTTGCCACGATTACTCTGTTGGAAAGTTCAAGTAGCCAGGTAACACTTCATCGTCTTCCTAGTCACTGCAACTCTATGCGTAAATGTTTCAGATGATGTTTCTTGTTTCTTCATACTCTTAATTGTAATTCCGTGGATTGCGGTAGTCTCTGAGTTGTGGCAAGATCTTTGTTTTCATGCGCAGCAGAGGTGTTGCACAACGAAAGATCCCCAGAAGCTTTGCAATTGAGTGCATGCAAGCTTCTGCAGATCGAGAGAGTCATCATGTAACCTTTTCTGTATTTACTCTGCAATGAACATACAATGTGTGTGATGAAACCTGTGCGCAAACGACTTACAACACTTAGGACCTGAATAATGCAAAGTCTCTAAGTCCTGCTCACCGTCTGCAGATGAAGTGACCGATTTAGAGGCTTAAGTCTTTTTCACGCCGCGGTACTGAAAACAAGCCGAGATTCACAAGAGAAGGACTGCACACATCAGTTGCATCGCCAGTGTTGGCAATGATGGCAGCTAGCGCCAAGATTACACGAGTTGTCGCTCAAGCATTCGCACTAGTAATGTTAGAACTTAGGAGCAGATGACATGTTCAATTTGATGCCACTTACACATTGCCAGCGGTAAATATCATAGCCAGTATTTCCGGTCACGACCGCATACACATCGCAACTACCACCAGACCTAGAGTATGGCACAGGCTCAGACAGTTTTATTGGTCTGGTGGCCCATTTCACGTTTCTCAATGACACATAATCGGATGTACTGTGCAAAGAGTAATCAGTGCTGAGGTTGCCGACATAGTCTTCAGGACCATCAACATCAGCCACATCCTCGGGATCTCTGGCCGTTCGAGTGAACCGGACACCACAGGGAGCACTTTCAGATTATGGTCAGTGAGTCTAATAGTCAGGGAATACACTCTACTACAAGGCGAGACCATCGTCTAAGCACGGTGAGACTTTGGATGAGCCACAGTGCGCGATGGAGCACTTCAATCCATTTGCATATGGCGTGGTCACCATGATTACCATCGTTATGGTCATCCTAGATAGTAAAGATGAGGTGGAATTGTACACTTCACACAACCTGGACGTCTTGCAAAGCTCATAGTTTCCTGCAATGACATGTCGAGAGCCCGGGCCCTCTTTGAACTTGTACTTGAAGATAGCATCGAGCATACCGTAGTCGTATTAGGACCGTTCAGGGAATTTGCGCCCTAGCGCACCCTCGACTAGAACAGGTATTTGGAAGTTGGCGTATCGGACTTCTGGGGCAGGAAGAGCAGCTTGAATCGCAAGCGCAACTGTGTAAATCTGCTGCGTACAGACACTGTCTTCATGAGTGAGTGAACGAAAGGATCTTAGTCAAAAACACATTGCAACATACCAGACTCGTGCTATCGTTGTCCCGAATAGCTCCCAGGATGTCTTGCGCTCATTGAATACGAACGTGTGCAATCCACTAGCCATAGTCTGCACATTCCGCAACACCGCTGCCTGTGGCAGTATGTTCCCAGAGATGCTGGTGAGGAAGCTGTGAGCGGAAGCTAGCTATTTACGACCTTCAGCGTGGTGAGCTTCGGCAGTCTTTCGAGCCAGCTTCATTCATTCAAAGCCACCCTCTGCGAGCAGGATGTTGATTGTGCCGATGCGTACACTCAGGTAGTGCTGCAGCCGTTCGATATCGTTGTGCTGCGCGAACGTCCATTTCAGCCTATCTTTGGTCTTCTCCAACAGGCCAGCACTGCTACGAAGTTCTAAGGAGTCCTCAAAGTCGCCGACCTTTGCTAGAAATTCTTTCAGGGTGTACCGTATCGGCAGCTTAGAACTGCGAACTTAACGGAGTCAACTTTGGACGATCCTGGTAAACCTTTACCGAGTTTGTCGAGACTTTGCAGGGCGGACTGGAGTCTTTGAAGTTCCCGTATGAGCTCTTGGTACCCTGCTTTTGCGCCACCGACAGTCTGTAGGCAGCCAATGATGTCGTGGATCAGCTTACCAACAGCGATGAACAGCAACGCCGAAACTCATTTCAGCGGAGTGCAGAAGTGGGAAGAGGTAGAAATGCAGTCAAGAATATTTCTCGGGGCTATAAGATGAGGCATGGGCAGTACAGCTGCTGGAAAAACGCCTGCCGCTCAGCCTTGCACGGTTCTGGCGAATTATGCTGAGGATTAGGCTTGTTCACCAGGCTGACATGTGCATGCTTTCGAGCAAAGCCAGCTCATTCCCCTTCAGCCACACAAGTCGTTAATTGGCTCAGCCTCCCTGCGATGATCAGTATGTTCAACCCCCATAGATGTGGGTCAACAACGCTCAGTATTTTCGCGTCAAACCAGAGGATGCTTACTTTGCACTATCCTGTGGCAGATCTACTCCAAATCCACGCAATATGATACAACCAAATATACACAGCTCTTGCTATCTGGCTCATGCCTTGATCGAGAAATCACTTGCATCGTCGCTCTGCACCACCTTCATCGTCCTCCTCTGTTCCCAGAACTGCGTTGCAGACATCTTCTCGTTATCTGCTTTCTGTCGCAACGCCTCCTCCTCCTTCTGCAGCTCCTCTGGTGTAAGTGGTTTACCTTCCAACCTTTTCTGCACAATACTCCTCGGCATCGGGGGCTCCTTCTTCATCAAGAGTGTCTTCACTTGCTCTCGTAACGACTTGGCCTTCTCTCTCCTTTCCTCTGGCGTGACGATTCCGTTCATCATGGCCACCTCACCCATCTGAGATTTCTGCTCTCCAATACCCCACGCCTTCTTGTCTGCGGGCAGCTCGGGCCATACGAAGGGCTGCTCCATCTCAACTGTCATGTACTTCTTCGAGTCTGGTCGGAACCAATGGCGCGCTTGGGATGTTGTGTCGCGGATGGGCATTTGCTTGACATAGGAGCGAATGTTGTAGCATTTGACGTTGTAGGCGTGGTAGAGATAGTCGCGCAGGTCGTACTTGGAAAAGTCGAGCGGAACGAGGAAGCGCGCGTGGTATGGAGACAGGCCAGGTGCGCGCACCATTGCGACCGTGAATTTAGGACTGCACGCACAGTCAGTACCCAAACGTGAGAGCAATGAGAACTACTGCGCGACATACAGGAAGATCTTCTTGTTGCCAAAAGCAATGAGCTTCTTCGAGATTGGTACGGCGTCCATGGGGGGCTTTATCGATCGCACGAGGGTTTAATGGGAGATTTCGACTACGCGACGGCTCTCTGAGCAAGGATCGAGGCAGCGAGATGGTCGACAACTCCTGCGCGGCGATGTGGAGCGTTATGATTGATGTCCAGAAAATCGCGGAGTTCTTGCACCTCCGCGTCTTGGCGCCCGAAGAACCAACAACAGCCGGTTCGCTCGCCTTCACCCATTACGCACCAATGCGATACAATTTGTTGTTCATATCATAGTCTGCCTACAAGTAGGACTAGGGCTGCTAGCTGATTACTGGCGAGTTTCTTTGCCACGAGGATGTACTTACCCGGATGGAGGGTTCTTACTAGTAACTACACGAGTCTCGATGTCACCTCTTGTTGCATGAAGCAACTCGAAAGACGAACATCTCAGCTCATTAGAGCTGATCAATGTTTTATCCGGGGAACTAGTCATTTGCCGCGGCAGGATGAGTAATTTTAGACGTGTATGCGGCTTGCCGTCACGCCAGTTGTTTGCCAACTGTATTTAGCAGGCCTACTTTGAGGAACTAATGTATGTATATTTTGCCTCCTTTTTGGCTGTTACACCAACTGTCCGTCTCTAGTGGGACATTCAGTCAGTGTATCGCCATAATCTCACCCCACAAACTTCAGTCCTCTTAAGGTCCTCTCATACTGGCGTATCTATTCAGTCTCGCCATCCGTTCTCCTTCCCTCTCAAGTCCGACAAGTCTCATGTGCGAGCGCCCGTCTCACACATCGCGGAAGGTACACACTTGCTATCATCTTCCATTTTAGCTCAGTGTCAAATTGACCCTCTTCATTTGATAAAAGTTGAGCCAAACGGCGAGCTGGCGACTATTTTCCTCGCCTCACGTTACTGGACTCATTCACTCATCCCGGTTTTGCGTTCACCTCGACTTCACCACAGCTTCTCGGCTGTGCCTCAACCCACACACCACTCAACATTGCCTCACCAAAATTCATCGAGTGACCCTGTACCGCCTGACCGAGTGCATCGCTCGGCATGGGAGAACCTGCAGAACGACTTCGGTCGTTCACATGGCCCAACGACATCGAGGAGTCTGCTCTCAGGCAAAAGAAGGTCAGCCAAACAATTCCGGTACATACGGAGTTTCGACGCCCAACTCACAGAAGAGAGATCGCCACGCTCGTCAATAGTATCTACAAGGACACGGGCGGTATCGTGGCAGCTCACTGGGACCAAAAAGAGATCAAGCGCTTCGACGTGTTTGTTGGTGCGGGGTCCAAGAGTGCTGTTTCTGCCGTCAACAAGTGGATCGCAAGGGGTGACGAGAAGAGTATAGATGCGGCAGCATGGGCCAAGCTGCCTGCCTTCAATCACGCGCAGTGGTACCAGGAAGAGCTGGAGCGCCAGGAAGAGGAAAGACTGGAGCTGTTCCTCGAACCAGAGCCTGAAGAGCAGGAGGGTGAGCATGTGCGAGTGAAGGTAAGTATGTATCAGCGGATGGTTCTCAATCGTTGCTGACGAACAGATCAGATCTTTGTTAGCTGGCCCGACGAGCTTCTCGACTACGAGATCACACCCCGAGCTGCATTCGGAAACGAGCTGCAAGCCTTGAACGACATCAGGAAACAAGATCAGGTCTGGATCACTCTTCTGCCAAGTCACATAATCCAGATCAGTGGCTACGACATCCTCAATTGTGAAGTAGCGGAAGTTCACTACAAGACTATGGTTGAGAGGATCCGCACTGAGAAGTGTAACGTCCAGCAAGCGACAAACTTCATCCTGGATGAACGAGAAGGCATCGAGATCATGCTCCTTAGAGCTGAAGATTGGTGGCCAGACCGCAGCGATTCGGTGGTTCCGCGTTTGCTGCCATCTCCAATAATGTATGAGCCTGGAAGCTTTCGCGAAGATGGTGTCGACGACATTTCACTAGTTGAAATTCGGGACCCTATCAGGCGTGCGCTTGAGATAGCAAGCTACAAGAAGGGGTCATATGACTTCGTAGTCCGCCTCGGCTGCATCGCTCTCGATTCACAGAAGATGGGACAGGAGCATATTGGCAAGAAATATGGCAAAGAGAAATTCATCAAGTCCATCAACGGTAAGGTTGACTTGGGGCCCAAGAGATGGTCTGTGAATCGCCTATTATATTGACTGTTACTGACAATGTAGGCTTCTTGACAATGTACTTGGGACGCAACTTTATCACCGACTCGTTGCTTCTAATGAGCTCCTTCAACCGATCAAGTCTGCTGGGTACTGGGGTACTATGCCTGCCACCTTAGAGAAGACATGCCCAGTCTTGCGGACATGGTGGATTTTCAGAGATCCCAACAGTTTCCAAAAGCAAACGTTACCACCTGCACGCAACGTTGGCAGACCAACGCCCATACAGCAGGCTTCGCCGGCAGCAGTAGCCAGCGCACCGAGCAGCCTGATAGTGGTCCAGATCGATTGGACTGACGATGGAGAAGGCTCCTACGATAAGACTGAGACCAAGTTCTTCAGGCTTGAGTCTGGCAAACGCGCTCCAAAGATGAATATGGAAATCAACTTGTTGGAGCTGGGAGAGTGAGTATTTTATCAATTGAAAGTCACCAGAGCTAACTAACATCTTCCAGGTCAAGGGCATGGTCGTTTACTTTGGAGTCCATGACTTTGGTCTCGCGCTCGACTGTACCCCCGGTCCTCACGGGCTTCGCGCAACGAACAACTATGAAGCAGGGCTATGATTTGACTTCGACGCAGAGCTTCGCCGAATGGGACCGAAGCCCCAGTGTTATGTCGTTACTGATGACTCGGCGCACTGAGAAGATCTACTCGTTCGGTGTCCAGGATACATGTTACAAGGCAGAATTAACAGCTATGTGGTATCCCAGCCAGTCTCTTCCATGCTGGGGCCTCGCCGTGCGTCATACCGAATGGGCGACTCATCTTGCCGAGCTCGAACGACTGCCGACCGGGCACCAGGCCAATTGGGGCGACACCATCGCGATCTTCTTACCGGAAGACGGCGGCTCTTCGATCCGGTCTGAGGAAAACGGCGACTTCGACGTTGATGGACTGAACCTCAACGATGGCGTGGAGAGGCCGCAACGAAGCTTGTCTCGTGAGGGTATCCGTAGCTTGGTAAACGTTCTGCTGCAGCTTTCTGAGATCGTCAGTTCGGTCACGCTGGGTAAGAGGGAGTCCAAAGCTGAGGCGGGGCCGGACTTTCGCAACTAGTGAACCATGAAGGGCTGAGTACCTCCAGGCTGGAATGAGCGCGGACAAGAGGTCAGAAAGCCGCGAAGCGGTAAACTAATAATAGTTGATGGTACATTCGCTCGTTCGTCTCTGGGAGGCGCATGGCCATAAATCGATTTCTAAGATCATGCCGAAGTTTTCACATGCATGCAACCTGAGCCGAATCCTTCTTTTTCCCTTTAACGAAACGCTGTCATCATCTTCTCTTGTACTGGGTGGTGGCTAAATGGGCGTTCGTCGTGCAGCGAGCACTGGTTTTCTGAACTCACGTAGGCCTCGCCGAATCTCGATGCCTCCTTGGCGCGGAAACTTTATCCAGTCTTGCCTTTCTCCTGCTCTTGCGCATTCATAACCTTCAATCTTATGACCTCCTCGACCACTCTGACGTTCTGCGCCTTCGAGTTGACCACACCCTCCAGGTCCTTCAAGCTATCCTGCAGATCCTTGACCTTCCTCTCATAAAAGTCCTTCGCACCAAGAATATCCTTCTCGACAAAGAAGCCAGTGCCTACGTCGACCAGCACGTGCTCATGGTCCGTCAACTTTCCAGGTACGTAAAGCGAACTCGTGAGCGGCACGAGCAAGGTCTTTTCGGCTGTAGAAGCAGATATGCCTGTATCGATCGAAGCCAGACAGTCGCGGAATTTTGCTTGTGCGGTACGTAGCGATTGGAACGAGGTTGTCAGGTGCTCGAGTTCGCGGTCAAGTTGGGTTTTCAGCTCTTGGAGCTGCGGGACGGGGAGTTGTGTGACGTCGACTATACAAGATCAGGAAGGAGACATAATACATGCAACTGTAGACTCACTCTGGCCGGAGCCTGGCTGACCCTGTTTCGAGGCCATGTTGTGTTGTGTAGTTTTTGGCGCTGTCAATTGACGTGGATGTTTAGTACGGCAGCTTCTGGCGGGGCTGCAGTTCAATGTGGGGAACATCTACACGTGCCGACGCGCTTCTCCAAAGCTTCTCTAAACACGTTGTCTCGCACACTCTCTCATATGTCAGGAATTTGCCGTGTACTCCCCAAAGTACCTTACGTACGCTGCTACTCGTCCTCTACGCACTTTACACGAACTCAATGCCTCGACTGCGATGGCAACAACGACATCAAGGGCTTCGACGCGAACAAGCCCACGATCTTCAAGAAGAGCTTCACTAGCCTGCCTGCCATATCGAAATGGTTCACACCTTCCACAACTAACTCACAAGCATATGGAATCAATACATCTTACCTAGAGCAGCATGCCTCGTCTACAGTCCCCTTGGAGCTCACACGTTCCTTCCCAAACGCGCCGCCAACGTTCGAACGCTTCGAAGCTCCCATCTCGCTCCTCCTTGCTCACATGAGCGGCCCTCCAACTCCAAATCTACACATGTACCTCGCGCAACACTCTCTCGCCGACCTGCCAGCCGTCCTGCAAGCTGATCTCCCCACGCCGGCGCTCCTGACCAAGCTCGGCCGCGGTGACATCTACGCCTCGAGTGTGTGGCTGGGCAGACCGCCAACACGTACGCCGCTTCACCGCGACCCAAATCCGAATCTATTCGTACAATTGGCCGGTCAGAAAGTCATCAGATTATTCAGGCCTGAGATTGGGCGTGCATTGTACGAGAGAGCAAAGCTGAGAGCAGGTGGAGGCGGTAGAGCCAATATGAGAGGAGAAGAGATGATGGTTGGAGATGAAATGCAGGCTCTTGAGGAAGCTGTGTGGGACAGTCAGGATGAAGCTGTAGAGGGCGTGGAGGCTCAGTTATCTGTTGGTGATGGTCTGCATATTCCGCTGGGCTGGTGGCATGCGGTCCGAGGGACCGGCGAGGGCGCAAATTGTTCTGTACGTGAATGTATCCACACGAGGTATCTGAGCTAACGTGGTGCAGGCCAACTGGTGGTTTCGATGAACGCCCTGTGTTGGTATAGAACAGCACGGTCTCCTCCACCTGGCAACGTCGATGCCTCTCCAGCCGAACAGGAACCAACTAATCCGGGGCCAGCGCATCTCGACCTGCGATGCGGTCGCTGCACGTGCTTTGATTACTGCACATCAGATTCGGCTATGATCATGACGAATCAATACCTTCGATCTCTCGCATCGGCGAACTTGCCTGATATTCCCTAGAAGATAACTACCTCCACAAGCACGCTGGCGGCGGACACAAGACGAATGGCGGGTCTGCCAACGCAAATCCTTCTTGTAGGCCCTGGCCTCAACCCTACTGCTCGCTCCGGCTTCCTCATCTGTCATGAAAGGCCACGAGGCCAAAGCTCGTACGATGCGAACTCCACGTGCGTAACTGCAGGCTGTCTTAGCCCCAGACTCAACATCAATAAAGTTCGAGCCCCCATGCAATTATCAGCAACAGCGTTTGCAGGGTCAGGGACAAGGATAGGACCCAGGAATTTCAACACGGCACGCGCACTCACGCACTCACGTGTGAGTATCTCACGCGTCACTACGGGAAACTTAAATCGTTAAACCCACCGTTCATAATTGCGGCCAGCTGCTCAGTGAATTACATAGCTCAATTGTAAAATGCCTCCACAGCGAAAATAATCGGTTTCATCCAGAACGCGTTCTCGCAGGTCTCTGTACCTTCACGCCGTGCATCTTTGTACGGGACGCGGCACGGCACCCAGCGCCGGTTCCTTCTGCTCACTGCAACGTGCTCAGACCCTCCCCAAGTCAACCTAGAGCACGCCCGAACCAAGTATCGAATACCGCTACTGTTCCGATAGATGTACACGAGCTTATACCAAGCAAACACACAAGCCCGCTGCTGACTTGCGCTCGCAGTGTAAGTGGCCGGTTCTCAACACCGAGAATGTGCAATTCATTGACTCCGCGCCACGGAATATTTGCAATGATTATCTCCCGAATTGCCGAATCACCTGATCCCATAACCTATGCTGGCATATCCTCAGGCCCGGACTAATTCACCGTTCACTCCCTGACATCAAGACAAAACGCAATGGAAGTGGTGCCCGGGCCGTTGCGTAGAAACGCTTGCATCGAAGCATCGAAGCAACTTCGCAGCGAAGCACTGGAGGCTGCCGCTCCTCACGACAACGGGTCTGATTGGCACGGCGCCAGCCGAGCGCATCCCAGGGCCACGCTCCAATTAATCTGCAAACTCTAATCGCATGCGAGATCTGAGCTAGGCATCGGATCTGCCGATTCGAGCGGGCCTGACTGATGTGCATGCCTGGATCGTTTTGCTAAGACATAAGCGCAAGTTGCTTGCAGGATTCGCGTGGGTCGACTTGCCTCTAGTGACCCAACACGCGCGTCTTGCATCGAGCATTACCAGCTTACGCGCAATCTCCAAGCTCTGTCTTCGTCTTTCGGGGCCGAGGAAACACAGTGTCACGCCGGGAGGCAAGGGCCGGGCCTGGCGGGTCTGAGGAATGCGTTTGCGCGCCCTGTCCCTGCAGTTGCAGTACCGGGACCGGAGAGGCGGTATTGCTGAAGTAGGACGTGTGTTGCGCTGTGTTGCGGCGAAGCACGACGTGAGGCCGGCATCGAGGCCGTGTGGTACAGTGCGATGACGCGCAGGCGCCCATGTCGAGGAGGAGTTGCATGCAGAGGAAGGCGGAGGATCTTGGTCTCGAGCGCAACGTTTGGTATTAATATTACGGAAAAGGAGGAAACTGTCCTACGCCCTCCCAGTCTACTTCACCGTAGCCATGCATTGTCCACATCCATCAACTTCGCTCATCCAAGTCTCGTATTTCCTATATGTGCCCTACCGCTATCCAATCGCATGCGCAAGCACCAACGCCACAGCATGAAACATACGAGGTGATTGAAATGGGGAATCTTGTGCAAAACCGGGTATTCCAACTGTACCGCCAATGGAACGGATGGGGGATAACTATGTATTGAAACGACAAAATCAATCTGTATTCGAAGTGAAGAGAAGAAATGGCATAACGAAGCGCCGACGATGCAAGACCCCAAGCTTGTCGATGTACCCCGCAATTTCATGCAATGTGAACAAATGTAAACATGCACTGAGATACCGAAAATGGTTCGCTCGAGGCGAAATGAAGAACCATGGGGACAGATGATGCTGACCGCAATGCATTATGCGTGCTGATGATGTTGCAAATGATATCCGTTATGGCATTGTGATCGTACTTCCTCCTCCAACGGGTGAGTAGATATTCGTCTTCGTCGAAAGCGTGCGATGCGTGTGGAGCGGAGTGGTACCGGCTAAGAATGCTGGCATTGTAGGTAGGAACATGGGCGACAACATATTGGAAAAATCAGCGGTAGCTGTGCGGTATGTGCGTAGCCCAAGAGAGGTGGCCCATCGACGCAGGTATGCTATCTGCGTCTATCTGCGTCGTGGTCGGCATCGTTTGGGATCATGGCTGGATGTCCTCGTGAGGCAACGTGCAGTTCCAACCCCTCAAGACGTCCGGCATACCTGTGCAGCTGCTGTCCCAAGACAGCCGACAGCCGCGTCCTCAGTGCAGCAGACAACCGTTGCGGAGATGGCACTGCAGGTGACTGACCAGGCTTCTAGTATGACTGCCATCCTTGCTGGGATTGAGGCTGACTCATGCCGTACATGCCAGGCTGTTGGCCAGCGCCACTCTGGTGCTGCATGAACTGGTGGGGGCTCGGACTAGGCTGGTAAGGATTCTGATCCATGTTGGAGAACCCAGTGCTTCCCATAGCGTTCATGGTTTGATATTGCTGGATTGGCGTACCGTGCAACGAGCCACTGCTCTGGGCATGATGCATCTGCGGCGACTGCTGTGGCGGCCTCTGGGCATACTGTTGCATGTTGTGCTGCTGCGACAGTGGCGATGGCTGCGGTGGTCCACCCTGCCACATGTTGGAAGGAGCGTAGCCTTGGCCTGGGTGCTGCACTCCTGGAAGCATACCACTTGAGCCCATCCCTGGCGACATACCCTGTGGTAGACCAAGGCTTGGGGGACGACGATGCATCTGGTTCGGTACGGGAGTGTGCTGCTGGGCCATGGGCGAAGCAACCATGCTGTTCTGTGGCAAAGACGGCTGGCGGTAGGACTGCACGCCCATACCTTGCTGGGGCCTCTGTGGCGTCTGGGCCGGCATGCCATACTGGTTGCCAGGCATGCTAACGCTAGTAGATGGCACGCGTGGTGACTGCATAGCTTGTGAGACCTGTGGTACCTGTCCACCGTCTGCAGTCGTTGGACGTTCCAGCTGCGCAGGCGGCTCGTGGGGTCGGTTCCAAATGTCGCCCAGGTATTGCTTGCGGTTCTTGCGCTGCTGTTCAAACTGCTTGTTGATCTCGACTGTTTGGGCAGCTGCATTCAGAATCTCGCCAGATGGAGAGGGCCTCGTAGTGTCTTGGTACGGTGCGCCGGCAAGCTCGTGTCGTGGTCGCTGTACGCTGCTGTAGTCGCGAGGCTGCAGATCAGTTGTTGTGCGTTGGTTGTATGGCTCCAAGCCACCAATCGGCATACTGTGAGGCGCTGGCGTAAGACCGCCGAAGGGCTGGAGAGGGTTCGATGCAGCACCGAGGTAATCAGCGTTCGCACCTGCGAAAGCTCCTGGATGAGCAAAGGCCATGGCGCTGACGTGATTGGCTTCGGCGGCCGCAGCCTCTCTTGCTTTTGCTGCACCTGGGCGCTTCTCCCCTGCCGCGTCTTCTTCTGTGAATCCTTGCTTCCTAGCTTTGCTTTCCCAGTAGTCGTCCCGTACTCTTCTTCCGTTGACAATCAACCTGCTTCCAAACTGCCTGAACATGGACCTCGCCGTCACTATGGCGATCTGTCGCGAGCGGTACGAGTAGGGCAGAATCTCCTGGTGGATCAGGTCGTCCTTCTCAGCTTGGGTCGCAATGATCTTGTACAGCGACCTGTTCTTGTTGAAGAGGAGGTACGAGTCGCGGTAGCTGAGGACGCGTGCGCACTCGGTCGCAAGCATGAACAGTTTATCGCCGCGGTTGGGTACGAAGAAGGTGCGGCACCGGTACTCGCGGTTGTCGAGGGGATGGCCGGTTTGTGTGACTTTGCGCTCTCCAGCTTCATCGATTTCGCGAGGAAGATATTCGTCACCCTCGGGGTTCAGCTGGTCCGTGGTGTGATCGCGCACGGTCGGCAGCGCCTTGATGACCGCGGGCTTGGTCGGCGTTGATTTAGCCGAGGGCGACGCTTGCGATGGCGACGTCTGAGGGAGCGGCGAGGTCTGCAGCTGCGGTGTCTGCACCGGTGGGGCAATGCCGGCATTGTGCGCAGGGAGCGAGCCACGGGCGGGACTGCCCGCGAAGGCGACCTTGGCTGACTTGGGTGGGCGGCCGCGCTTTCGTGGTTTGCCTTCGCCTTCTGCATCAGCCGGGTCGCCACGCGGCGCGTCGCCGTAGCTGTTCTCTGGCGAGCGGCTGCGCTTCAGGCCTCGCGATTGCTGCGATGCAACGGCTGGCGGGCCAGCGAGGACTCCTGTTCGGCGTGTTAGCGACTCCATGGGTGGCAGTGCGGACGCGCGCGGCGGATGTAACACGCGCCAGTGATGGTGGCAGCGATAGCAATGAGAGCGATGGCGCAATGACCATTACGACGGGATTTCTGATATTGTCAAGCCATGGTCTCCACTTATCTCTCTCGATGAACGAATCTGAGAGTTAAAGGTCGCTCTCCGAGCGCTTTTGCAAGAGCGCCTTGTGCTGTGGCATGAGCTGGTCCAAGACACCGTCGAAGTCGTGAGTGCTATCAAGGTTGCGTTCAAAGGAGCCCAGAACGGTAGTACACTCGTCTGACTACACTCGTCTGACTGCACCAGACCACCTACTCTTGCACTCGTCGCGCATGGCAACGATGCATCAGTGTGTGCAGAGAAGTAGGCCGTTAGGATAGCTGTTTGTAGGCTGAAAAAGCCGGATTCTCGTCCACTTCTTGGCGCGCTACGAGTCTGCCGGGATGTGCGTAACTTGATCATATGACTCTGTTCCACTTTACCCTTGAGCTTGCAACCTACGAAGGCTTAGAGATGCAACTTACCCCACTTGGAGTCCTCGGGAGGAGATCATGGCGAGAAGCGAAGCTCCGTGGGATAAGACTTTGCGATGATTTGATAAAGTGTGTCGTTTCAAGATCCCGGGAGAGAGGCTCAGTGACATCTGTCTCACTTCACAAGTGGATCAGCCGTGGGCAGTGTCATTGTCCGTTCTCGGGACGTGGTCGAGATCCGTTTGGCTGCACGAGCTCAGTGGCGATGACCTTGGGTTGTACAACTCTAGCGGTGAAGTATTCTACATGATCACTCATCTCCACAAAGAACTCATGGCGTTGATGTCGACTTGAATACTGCGCAATAACAGTCCACTGCACGGGAGAAGGCAGGCATATGCTTGTAGTTGTTTCAGTGCTCCGCCGACTGAGCGAGTCACGCCGTCCAGGCGCCGCGGTGGATTCAAGGCCAATGTGAGGCGATGGCAAATTGCGGATACCTCGACACGGTGTGCAGGGATACGCAAGAGTACACCGGGCGTAGCTCTTTGACAGATACCGTACTGCAAGCTTGGCAGTCTTGTAGCCGTACAGTAATAAATGTTGTCGCCTCGTCAATCGTCGGCTTGGAATCAAGCTACTCAGAGCAGACTGGCCACAATGGGCCTCGTTCCAGCCTGCAGAGTGTGGGCTGAACTGAGCTGATTTGGAGCCTAGTTGCGAGGCTTTCACAAGGCTATGGCGCGATGCAATAGTTAGGCGGGAGCGAACCAGCGCTCGAAGTCTGCATATGACCAGTCAAAGAGCAATCATGTGGAACAGCTTTGAACTGCAACAGGGCTCTTCCAGGCTTTGAAGTGGAGTATGGCCCTAAGGAATGGCATCAGATGACCACCAACACTCCAGGCGGTCTGTAAAGACGAGGACAAGTAGCATATCGGCGCTTAGAAGGTTTCAAGTCGAGTCTGCCTGTCGAATGCCCCAGTCATTGAGGACAAGGATGCCCCGTTTGTGGTTAGTGCAAGTCAGAGCCCTGCTTGCAAAGTTAGCTCACCATGAACGGAGCTCAGCTGGACACAGTTGAGGCAGGTAGGTAAACCATGCACTCCACTGCTTCCGTACCAGGCTTGGCATGCTGTGCGTCTTAGCTCTTGCCAGTGAAGTCGACGATTTTGTGATGTGGATCTGTCTTGTCAGATCTCACTGTCATGTTGATGCATTAAAGCTGGGACTGCCTACAGTCCAGAAAAATCCTTTGACCTCCAGAAATCCATACTGCCGTAAACGCCATGCAAATGCCACGTTGCTCTCCTGGGAGGTGCGATGGGTAATCGTAAAGACTAAGTTGTCCCGAATTGCCCATTCTCGAAGTGTCTGTCAAAGACGCGCGCTCTGAGGCCCGTCTGAGGCTTACTTGCGGCCAGGTGCTAGACCAGGGACAGCGCTGAATCGCTCGTCGCGCTCAGTCTTGAAGAGCAGTTGACACCAGAACTCCTTATTGTCGTCGTCGAACCAGGTCCAGAACTTGCCTTCCCTCCTGTCCACTTCACGTGCCTGCAGCTTGACAGCAACTGTCTCGTACGGCTCACCGGCGACGATGAAGTACTGGTAGTTTGGGTCAGGCTCTTCGATCTTCTGTTCGTATGCGCTCATGAACCGGACACGTGGAATGGTGCCTGTAGTGATATCTGGAAACTGGAACTGGAATAGAAGGCCGTTCTGACGGGTGATGGGGTCGCGAACTTTTGTTATCCGGTATCCGGGGCGGCCGATCTTGATCACATTCTTTCTTACTTGCACGCCAGCAAGCAAACCCTGCTGTCCTACATCATCCTTCTTTCCCTCTCGCTGCTCTTTCGCAGCACGTCGCGCCAAGTTTGTTTGGTGCTTCCGACCTTGTGTATGCGCTAGGTATGAACCGTCGTTCTGGTGGACTGTGAGGCAAAGGCGGCATTCAAAGCTTCCAACGTGGTTCTTGAAGAAGTATGGGTCCTTGTCGAGGTCGATAGTCTCAAGCGCGAGCTTTCGAAGACGCTCTCGTCGGTCGGCATTGGTTGCTGAGCTCGAGGCGACACCACCGCCACCGAATTTGGAACCTGCGCGGTTCTGACAATGTTAGCGACCGTGTTTATTATTGTAGGAGGCAAGAAAATATACCTGGTAATCCATTGCTGTGCGTATTTAGGCGACGGTAGGTCAACGTATGCGGTCGCGTGGTAGGTAGACAGGCTGTAGAAATCCCTAAAGCTGTGAATGGGCGCAGTATGCGGTCAATGTTGTTGCGTGTAGAGGTCGAGGCGATAGCTCTAGAAATTGTGGAGGAACCACTAGCGTGGCTTAGTAAGCGCATATACTTGAGGCAAGCACGACTGCCTGCTTTCATTTGCACAAACGACTGTGGACAGTCACGTAAAGTAACGTATTCCTGAAGGCAGGAGCAACATTACATTCGCGACGGGGTGTTACTTAAGGGAAGTCTACAAGCTCTACTCAACATCGAGGCTTGCTGGCAGACTACCCCTTAGCGCAACTATGGCAACAGACATTTACATTGGCAAACGACTTTCGTTCGATGGTCAACTTTGCACAGTCCGGTTTCGTGGTTTTGTAGAAGGCACGAAAGGGGAGTGGCTAGGCGTCGAGTGGGACGATCCCACACGTGGAAAGCACTCTGGTGAACACCAAGGCCACAGATACTTCGAATGTAACGATCACCGACCCAAAGAGTGCCACTTTTTCAAGCGCTGACTCATCGCTAGGTCTAAGTAAGCACGCAACAGCAGGGTCGTTCATCAGGCCGACCCGTAAGCCGGACGCACCACGCTCTTTCGTTGAGGCATTGAGGGCAAAATATGCAGACGATGACTTCGAGGACCCAACTGTGCAGGTCGTGTTCGTTACGAAAGAGGGCGACAACGCACAGATGAAAAAATACCCAACAGCACGGTTGAACCAGCCAATACGGTTCAACGGCAAGGTTGCAGAAGAGGTCGGCTTTGATAAGATCAGAAAACAGCTCGCGCAGCTAGAGGAGCTCAGATATGTCATTCTGGACGGTCTGCGAATGTGGAAACCTGAGGTGAGGCAGAGCGCGAGATCAAAGGATGAGCCAGAGTGGCCTCAAGCACACACGGACATCAAAGATGCGTGCCCAAAGACCTACGAGCTGGATCTTAGTCGGAACCTGTTCGAAGAGTGGAGGGAAGTTGCCGCCATATGCGAACAACTGGACCGGTTAAGGAGCCTTCGAGTCGATGGGACACGGTTCAGAGACACATCACTAACTCAGGTTGAGCTCGAGCGCAGTCGCCGGATATTCGCCAATATCACGACATTAAAGCTCGAAGACGACTTACTAGCATGGGAAGATCTCGCCAACATCACACACCAGTTCTCCACCCTCACCACACTCTCGGCATCGAGCAATTTCTACTCCAGACTTACGAAACACTTCCTCAATCCAACTATCACCGACCTCACACTGGAAGAAAACCTCTTCCCCTCCTTATCAGCCCTCGAACCACTGACCAAAATGCCGAACCTCCAGCGCCTAATCCTAAAATCCAACAAAATCTTCGAAATCGGCACACAGGCACCCATATTTCCCAGCACAGTCCGAGAAGTCGATCTCTCCTTCAACGAAATAACAACATGGCCTTTCATTGAAGCACTTTCGCACGTCTTCCCCGGCCTGACAAGCCTCCGTGTCTCGCACAATCCGCTCTACGAGGCCCTCCAGTCCCCCGACGGTCGCACCCTCACCGCAGATGACGGGTACATGCTTACGCTCGCGCGACTCGGAAACCTCAAGATGCTGAACCACAGTCCGATCAGCGACAAAGAGCGCCTGAACGCTGAGAGCTACTACCTTTCACTTATCGTGAAGGAAATGCAGTTTGCGCCCGAGAGTCTGCAAGGCCAGATTCTAAATGGCCATCCAAGGTACAAGTGGCTGTGCGAAGAGTATGGAGAACCGGATCTCAAGCGCGGTGCGAATAAGGTGAATCCGAATTCGCTTGCTGCACGGCTGCTGAAGATCAGGTTCTACCTTGTGAGTGATAGCAAGGAGGTGAAGCAGGTGGAGATCCCAATGAGCTGCACAGCGTACACGGTTCTCGGTATTGTGGGTCCGCTGTTTGGTGCTGCGCCGAGCGAATGCAGGCTGGTGTGGGAGACGGGCGATTGGATGCCGGCGAAGAGGACGATGGCGGAGGTTGAAGACGGTGGCTGGGATTCTGATGGTAGCGAAGACGAAGTGGTGACAAGCAAGGTGATGCGGGAAGTTGAGATTAAGCCTGGGACGAGATCGATAGGTACCTGGATTGATGGCATGGAGGCTACTGTGAGGGTTGAGCTGAAGGATCGGCAGTGAAGGATAGTCAGAAGAAGTGGGTGCGATCGTCAACGTATGTGGTGGGATGCAAGACGGTCTATATGCTGAAAAACGCGACTCAGCCTTGCAAATGTATAGTGACAGAAAGACGCGACACGCTTCAATAGACAAGTTTCAACAAGAGGCGCTTTCTACCTCACAGGCAGCTCGGTCTTGGACTCGAAGCTGTACCTGAGCCATTCTCCAACAGCCCTCAAGCTTTCCCATCTTACGCTCTCATCTGCCTCCTGCATGAGCTCCATGACCCTGGCCTTCAAGCCGAGCTTTTCTAATTGTTGCCTCTTCTCCGGCACTTCCTTGACAAGGCATGCAACATCGTTGCAGCCAATGGCCAACACCTGCTTATCGTTCTCCCAGCTCTTAGACAAAATATCAGCAAGCTTCTTTGGCAGTTCACCCTTGTTCTCGTCCAAAATGCGGCGAGCGTTGTCGCGCCAGAAAGTGGGGTTGCGGTGGGGAGGAGACCAGCGGAGATGGCCTGACTGTAGCTCTGCGGCATACTCGTCGAAGGTTGTCTGTGTCTTTGTGTACTCCTCGAGCGTGTCTGTGAGGCTCTTGAGGTCCTCAAGGGCGTCTTCGTCGGTCAAGTGACGTGACTTCAGACTGTTCAGCAGGGCCGGAAGGCGAGCGAGGACGGCGGTGGGCAACAGTGTTTGACGGTTGGTGGTCAGCAGGTTAACAAGGGTCGAGAGCAGGAGACGGGTCGTCTTCTCCTTGGGCGACACGCGCAGAAGGCCGGTGTAAAGAAGGACGATGTCGTGCTCACTGAGATCGGTTAGCAAAAATGAGGGGATCATTCGAAGGAGAGCGTACTCTTGGAGACCATCACCGACCAGCTCGCCCTCAAAACTGAGCTGCCAAATGACGAGCAGGACATGGTACAACAGCTGCAGTCCCACGCCGCCAGACAGACCGCTGTCTCCAGCGCTACGAACGCTACCACCACTGTAAAGGGTCGACTCGCGGTCATTGCTCGACCCTGCTGCTGACCGTAGGATATCGAACAAAGGATCGAGAGTCTCCTTCCTTTGCTTCCAGAAAAAATGCCTGGCCTTCGAGCTACGAAGGACGGCAGAGAATTCCCGCACGGCAATATCCTGGAGCCCAGCATCTGACGCCTTCGCCAATGTAGAAAGGTAAGTGTATAGCTGTGGGAGGGCCTGTTCGAGCTGCGTGGTGTCCTTGGATGGTGTTACAACGGCGTGCGAGATGAGGCCAGAGAGAACCGAGGATGTCAGTAGTGGGACGGGGTCTTCATTGTTCGAGGAAGCCTTCAGCAGCGGCAGGAAGGGCTTGTACGGCGCAGGGTGCTTGATGAGGGCCGATGTGAGCGCAGGGATATCTATGTGAATATTAGCCCTCTGGATGGTGCGGTGTAGTCGCGCGACGAACTCATACCATCAATGATATCGCCCAGCAGCACCAGCATGTAGTGAATGATGTCCTGGCGTTTTGCGGCGGCCTCGAAGATGCTCTCCGACCCCTCTCCACCCAGCAGCAGCGTTACAAAGCTGCCAACATCGCCCTCGATTGTCTGCTTGCGCTGCTCCTTGCGCACTTTGTCAATTGACTTGATCTTCTTCAGGTCTTCGTCGGTGATCGTCTTGGCTCGCACGGCGCCCTCCCATGATATTGGCCGCGCACGGATGTTGTTTTGGATCGAGGTAAGATACGTCGGGGGGTCGAGCGACGACATTGTAGAGGCCTGCTTCAAGCTAGCAGCGGGAGTTGCGGTCGAAAAGCTGCGGAGCTTTGAAGATGGGGTGTTGTGCCTGGGCTATCGTGCACCGCACCAAGCTCTGGAGTCTAGAGATGACGGAGGTGTGGCTCGAGCTTTGCGCTAGTAATTGTGGGGCAAGTGAATCTGTGATATGAGTTTGATCTTCTTGGGCGACGGCAACACCACGTTCTCGACACCCTAACGACCAGCGTCATGGAGTATTTCAGCTTGAAGAGGTCAACTGTCGCGAACCGCGGTCACGCCAATTTGTCAAGCAAGGTTTACGTGCGGTCGACGAAGAGTGGCAAGGTTCAGAAGATCGTGAGGGAACTGTACCTGCGACAAGATATCCCGTGCTCGTCGAATCTGTGCAGAGAATGCTTAGAGATTGCACCAACAGACTACTCCAAGAAAGGTAGATCGATCCTTTTCAGGTGCAAGGACAAAGCTAATACGTGACAGTCGCGCCATTCGTACTTTCAGACACACCCGCAGGATCCAAGAGCTTCCCCAATGGCCAATATCTCGTTCCAGACACCAACGCTTTCTTAACTGGAATGGACTTGTTCGAGGTTGAGACGGCTTTTCACGATGTCATAGTACTTCAAACTGTGCTTGAGGAAGTCAAAAACCGATCTTTGCCACTGTATCATCGCTTGATCGCCTTGACGAAGAATGAGGGAAAGCGTTTCTATGTCTTTTTCAATGAGTTCCGGCAAGAAACTCATATCACCCGTCACCAGGGAGAGACTATCAACGACCGCAACGACCGAGCTGTCAGAAGGGCTGTGCAGTGGTACAACCAGCACATCACCGATGCAGTAGCTGCGCGCAGCAAGCAGCAGAAGCGGATTCCCACCGTAATCATGATCACGGATGACAGAGACAATTCACGCAAGGCAAAGGCAGAAGGTATTCCTGGAATTACATTATCTGACTTTGTGTCTGGCCTCGAGAACGCAGATGAACTGCTGGACATGATGAGTGCCGCACAGGAACAGAGAGAGATCCGCTCAAAGAAGCCCGAAGTCTTCTATCCAGATCACTTCTCGATGTCCAAGATGATGACTGGCGTAAAAGCTGGCACTATGCACCAGGGCATATTCAATGTTTCGCAGTACAACTATCTGGAGGGTTCCGTAAACGTACCCGCGTTCGACAAGTCCCTGATTATTTTAGGCCGCGAAAACAGCAACCGAGCTGTCTCCGGTGACGTTGTAGTTGTCGAAGTCCTCCCCAGCGACCAGTGGAAAGCACCGTCGACGAAGATTGTTGAGGAAGACACCATCGCCAAGAATGACAATGCCGAACAAGAGGAGGGCGAAAACGTCGTAAGTGAGAGGGAGAAGAAGGCACTGCAAGAGGAGGTCAAGCGCGCACATGGGCAGAGCACCGAGGGCAAGCCTCAACCAACAGCTCATGTTGTGGGTATCATCAAGCGCAACTGGAGGCAGTACGTAGGGCATATCGACCGTGACTCAGTGCGGTCAACAGCGAAGACGAGCAGGCAGCAACAAACCGTCTTCCTCGTGCCCATGGACAAGCGCATCCCAAAGATCAGGATACGAACTCGTCAAGCTGGAGAGCTCCTTGGTCAGCGTGTTCTAGCGTCCATTGACTCTTGGGAGAAGGACTCGAGATATCCTGTTGGTCACTTCATTCGGTCGCTAGGCGAGCTGGAATCCAAGGGTGCCGAGACAGAAGCTCTACTGCTGGAGTGGGATGTACAGTACAAACCGTTTCCTAAGACGGTACTTGATTGCCTACCCGCTGAAGGTCACGACTGGAAGGTACCCGCGAGCACAGAAGACCAAGGCTGGAAGGGGAGAAGAGATCTGCGCGATCTCATCGTTTGCAGCATCGATCCTCCTGGTTGCGTTGATATCGACGATGCTTTGCACGCAAGAAAACTACCAAACGGTAACTACGAGGTCGGTGTGCACATCGCTGATGTATCACACTTTGTGAAGCCGAATAACGCCATGGACAAGGAGGCCAGTCAACGTGGTACAACAGTGTACCTTGTAGACAAGCGCATCGACATGTTGCCAATGCTTCTTGGAACGGACCTCTGCTCATTGAAGCCGTACGTCGAGCGATACGCTTTCTCCGTCATCTGGGAGGTGAACGAGAATGCGGACATTATTAAGTCGGAATTCACAAAATCCGTCATTCGCTCAAGAGAGGCTTTCAGCTACGAGCAAGCGCAACTGCGAATCGACGATGTCTCTCAACAAGATGAGCTCACAACGGGCATGCGCACGTTGCTGATGCTGTCCCAGAAATTGAAGCAGAAGCGCATGGATGCTGGAGCCCTGAACCTTGCCTCGCCCGAGGTCAAGGTACGATCAGAGTCTGAGACTTCAGATCCAGTTGATGTTCATGTCAAGAAGTCGCTGGCTACCAACTCTCTCGTAGAAGAGTTCATGTTGCTCGCCAACATTAGTGTCGCTGCACGAAATTACGATGCCTTTCCCCAGACCGCGTTACTGCGTCGCCACGCCGCACCTCCCAAGTCAAACTTCGAGGAGCTCGCAAATCAGCTCAAGGTCAAAAAGGGTCTGGAACTCCGAAGTGACAGCTCCGGCGCCGTAGCAGACTCACTGGATAAGTGCGTGGACCCGAACAACCCGTTCTTCAACACTCTTGTCAGGATTATGGCCACGAGATGCATGATGTCCGCAGAGTACTTCTGCGCTGGTACCCAAGCGTACCCCGAGTTCAGGCATTATGGTCTTGCTAGTGAGATCTACACCCACTTTACATCGCCTATCCGTCGTTACGCAGATCTCGAAGCCCACCGACAGCTCGCCGCTGCCATCGAGTATGAGCAGCTGGACGCCAGTCTGCATTCAAAAGCCAAGCTTGAAGGTGTCTGCAAGAACATCAATGTCCGCCACCGTAACGCACAGATGGCCGGGCGTGCTTCGATCGAGTACTACGTTGGTCAGGCGCTGAAGGGCAAGGACATCACAGAAGAAGGTTTCATCATGAAGATATTCTCCAACGGCTTCGTGGTCTTCGTGCCCCGCTTTGGCATCGAAAGTCTGATCCGTCTAAGGGATCTAGCCACGCCTGAGCCAGAGGCTGAGTTTGATGCGGATAACTACCAATTGAACATCAAGGGTGACATCAACAGGAGCGTAGAGTTGTTCGAGAGGGTCATGGTCAGGATCACGGATGAGCTGGAGGAGAGCACCGGAAAGAGAAAGGTCAAGCTGACCTTGGTGTAAAGCTTGCGCATAAGAGGAGAAGGCGGCGATTGCGCATCCCAATACGACAAAAACTGGATCTTCAGTTCCAAGCCTTTATGCTCTGACCTTTGTCTTGATGTGCACAGCGATTGTTTTAGTTGATGTCATGTTGGCGAACATGATATGCCAGCTCTGGTGATCTGTGCAAGGAACTCAATAAGGTATAGTTGAGGAGCCACTTTTGAATACGCCCCGCAACGCCACGATGCCGCACTGCACACCCTCCCCAGCTTCATAGTGCAGATCTGAACAAGTGAGTCTGGGTGGCTGCCAGCTGGCTTCAACTGGGGTCGAGTGCACCGAACGAGAACACTGCGGGATCGCAGAACACAAGCGAGAGCGAGTGTCTACATCAATAATGTTAGAGGCCTAGATCTCCTGTCTGGAGACCTCTTGAGATGTGAATGCTGCGCCTGAGTTCGATGGCAAAGCGCATCTCGACAAGTGCATTCGATCGTCCAGCCTGGACGTGTTCAAATCATCGACAGCATGTATGCACGTAATCGCCGTAGGTACGCAATGGCGGCGCTCACAAGGCAACATGCTCGTTCGCAATGACATGGTCTGCGCGATTCAGAGGTGCACTTCATCCATCCCCTCCAGACCCGCGCCACACTCACGAGAAAGTGACACTCTCCGCACCATAACTCTGTACGCAATGCGCTGTTGACCCAGTAGTGGGTCAATTCTATAACCTTTAGCCCTGGGACGCATCAGCGCACTCGGAATCCCATCCGAGCAGTCGTTAGACATTGCTCCATGCATCCAATGTGATTGCGAAGGCTTCGTGCATCACCGCTACATGCTGCATGTTCCTGCGTCCTAGAATAACCTTGGAATCCGGGGCGCTGGAGAATTCGATTGCGTGTCTAGCTTACCATGGCGCTAGTGCTGTAGCGCGGACCATTGTTCCTTTCTTGAGGCTTGGTCACTCGGTGCAAGCCTGCAAGGAATAAGGTTCAGGGCGTGACAAATAATGGACCATGGGTTGCTTATGCTGTGAGAAATTGCGGGAAGGACCGAAGGGTTCGCGAAAGGCGCGGAGAGGGACGTTATCATGCTTGGAGATTCTGCTGAGCTGTGCGCTGTTCGGAAAATGCTGTTCATGCGCAACTTTATTAGAGGTAGCCGCGATGAAGGCTCGCCCAGAGATGAGGTTTTGTTGACATGCACACTGCTGGCGGCAACAGGTATACGAGATCCGAGCCCTGTTTTGATAATTTGCTTGCTGACTGCCGTGGAAGATCTTGATGAATGTAACTCGTGCGGCTTTGTATAGGTACGAGGCTTGATATGATGATGCTCATCATGATGTCCAGCATGTCCATCTCGGATCACCGCGATTGTCGGACATAGCTCTATCCTTGCGGTGAGACGTGTGGCTCGTAGTGATTCGATGGTAACACGCGCGGCGTACCTGCATGAACGCGACCACCAGCAATATTGTCCGAAAGAGTCAAGCCGAGTGCCGTCCGTGTTCAGAGGAATGAGTCGCGGCCCAAGACCGGCGCGAAGAACTGGAGAATCAATACCTACCTACCGTATCGCTGTCCGTAAACAGCGGTGAAGTCGAACTTGACGGTGGCAAAACTGGTCCACGAGCGTTCGTGAGCTAGTTTCCTGGTCGTGCGAGGCCAGCAACAGTTGCGATCCACATACACTGCAAGTACACGACAGAGCACGACTTCTTCTATTTCACAAGCCGCAACGTCATCTCCGCACTGTTAATTGTCACGATATGACCCGGGATAGAGATTGAGAGCGGCACGTAGCGGTCGCCGGTGCAGCTTGTGCATCGGATGAACGTCGAGCTTCAGTTCAGGCATGTTTGACGAGGCCAATAGAAATTCTTGCAATTGCACGAACCATCTAGTGGTGTCTTGGCCGATGCGATGCCGATTATACTTCGTACAATGCCGCTCGCCGGATGAGAAGCGTTCTGGACATTGTCAGGGTCTTCACACCTGCAGCCATCGATCCGGGATGGTTGGCAGGCATGCAATGCAGTTTGTTCGGTTGATTCCTTGATACCGTCTTCATTGGTGCAGCAGCGGTTCGCAATGCCCGAGAACAGGTTCTCGCTAGATAAGAGCAGGACACCACTCTTTCTCAAGACAAGATAATCTTGGTAAACAATACGAGAGATGCGATAGGTCCTGTCCCGCGCCACAAAAATGACGACCCTCCACTAAGCGGGTCTTCTCGCTTGATGGCGTTGACGATCAGGTCCACGTGCAGGCACGCTTTTTAGCCGGTCAGCATATCCCTGCACAATCCAGGAACATTCAACAAACTGTAAGTTAGTACTTCGTAATTAATGTACGGAACTCCACGGATCCAGCGGCAAAGGCGCTCCCTGGGCCCATGGAGATCACAATGAATCCTATCGTTAACGGCTGGTCGCTGGGAACTATCATCGCTTCTTTGTGCTACTGAACTTCGTACCTTGTGATCTGAATTGCGTTTTACTAGGCTGTTATCACGAGACTTGTCACCTTCAATGACGATCGAAAGGTTGCCTGACAGAGCATTCGTTGTAAGAGTAGTCCCAGGACAGACACAAAGAGTTGAGATAGCAAGAGTTGCGCCGAAAGAGATGGTGATGTTATTGCTGCTCTGACTTCAGCGACATATTGATTACTCCTTTGAGATCGCAGCGCCTTGGCCATTTCTCGATGCGTGACTGGCTGTATAGACTGGCCGCATTTGCAGACGTTCAGACCAAGAGTCAGCAGATCTTTGATCGGGTGGATCGTGGTAGTCAGAGACGAGACCGAGACTGGGCTATACCGTGGTGGTATCGATAGTGGACCGTGGTGCAGGAGTCGTCATCAAGCTGAGATTCAGGCCCCTACAGAAGTGTTTCAGCTGAACCGCCTCTCGTCCGCAGAATCGAGACATAGGATCGCAATTGGCGGCATGAAAATAGCCCCCAAGTGAAGCAGAGAAGGCTGCAAGTAAGTACAGAGTGACCTGGCAGAGTGCCGAACCGAGCAAATTGTCAAGATTGAGAAATTGTCAGTGCGTCCAGCTACCATCGTTCAGGTTTTCTGCAGGAAGCAAGCCGTTAGAACCAGGGCATCATGCACGCGTTATCAGCATGCTTTATCGGCGGCTCACGTCACCCTAATAATGTCCTGCGGCCGTCATCTCGCCACACCACTGCGCAGAGAGCTGCTGCGTTCTCGAACTTGTTGTTCGCCCGTCCAGAACGCACACCTTCAGAATGTGTGGCCCAGCTATCTGAAGCTAGAAAAGCAGGTATCGCGACGGGACGCACCTAGAGCCCGCTTGCGAACGGGATTGGATCCAGATGCCCATGTCATATAGCTGACGCCAGGCTTGAAGAGTGATGGTACTGTTTCGCAGATCGACGTGGTGCCAGTGCACCCCACCAAAGCGAGCACGCTCCGGCTCATTCGAGTCCAAGCTTTTGCTTGTCTGGTTTGGACCAATCCTCCGAACAAGCAAGGAGACTCTCGAAAAGTACAGCGGGATGGCGCAAACGTGTGCGCTGTCGTCGACGCAGGTCAGCCTGCAGCGTCAAGTGAGCGATGGCTTTGCATTGGTGCGCCGACCATGAGCGACATCTCGAAGTGAACAGCACATTCACGCTGGCTGCTCAGCGCCACGTTTTCTGAGGCACTGGGAAGGAGCAATTGCCTATCACGGACTGTGCACCTTCTCAACGGCGGGGTGAATTCAAGGCAGGCCAAATTAGCTTGGCCGTGGTCAAACTCCTAGTGTCATGCTCACCGATACTTCAGAGCCTTTGACCTACTAACAGACTTTGCAGCCCACCATCAGGTAGTCGCGCTTTGTACCTGCATATCGCCCCCAAACCAAGATCCACGTAGGTAGTGCACCGTCACTACAAGTCGCAAGTCTCCCCTCGCTCGGTGCGCCTCCGCTGCTTCTTGCCGAACGACTACTCTTTGTTCTTTCTCATTTCGCCCGCTAGTCACATACCATAATTGCTCCCGGGGTCTTGTGGAGCGAGAGCCACACACGCATGACCAGGTCTCCGCTTCTGAGCCCCTCCGCCTCGCGCAGTAGTACTACTATATCCGTATCTGCCCTCCCAGGTTCAGGTCTGCAGTCACGTCGGACGATTGTTTCTTCGTTCGAAATCTATCGATTGCGCCTGCGATCCACCATGGTCAAGGCTGACTGACCGCTCTGTCACTTCCTGAAGTCTTAATCGGATCGACTTCCCTTTGACCATCGGCACTTGCCTCTGTCGCTCTATTGGGTCAACCTCGCCGCCTGTCGTTCAACTTTGTTCCGACCTTACTGCTGTGTCTCCACGTCAGCGTCTAATATCAACCAACCTTATCACTATCTTGTGAGGATAGTTCCACATCATACCTATCATGGACGAAACAAAACTATACATCATACTGGGTGCTGTCTTGGGCACTCTGGTCCTCACCGGAGTTTCCGTTGCAGTACTCTTTTGCTGGAAGCGTAATAAGAGAAGGGTACGAGGCTTCTCTCTCCGTGCTGTAACACCTCTGGACGACTCTGTCTTCGAATCATGGCGGCGGCCCAGCGAACATGCACAACGCAATGAGAAGTACGGCATTCGGCCGATGCACTCAGCGGTTGTCCGCCATGAGACGTCGCCCACCATGTTCGAGAAGGAGCTGGACCTCTACGATCACCCACGGTCACCCTCACCAGAAGACATTTCCCCTCCTCTCCAGTCGCCAAGAGACTCGATACGCAAGCCGGAGCGGGCACAGAGAAAGTCGAGTGTTGCCTCTTCTGTCGCCGACCGGCCTCCAACACCTTACTCGCCTACATCCACCATCAGCGATTTCGTGGTTGGCTCGTACGGTTCCCGCAAGTCGCAGCCGTTGATCCGTCACCAGCCTTCGATGTCTGAAGCCTCTGCTTTCAGATTCGAATTCGAATCAAACCACGAGGCCCATCAGAAGAAACCCGAACACTGGGTTTGAGCGATCCCACATTCCTAAGGGCTACCATGTGAAACAGTTAGCACGAGCAACTATCGGAAGAAGCACCGATGCCGACTGGATGGTCGTCTCCCTGCAGGGCAACTTGACACTCCGAAGTCGTACAAAGACTGTCATCCCTCTATCATCGATCACAACGGTCCCCGCTGTACGACCGTGCAACCCAACACCAGCCGGCGTGCTCGTCTATCATCACTTGACAGATCAGGCTTCCACCTTTACACTTTCACGACAGCATATGACCTTATTATCCGGCGTTTGGGAAATTTCGCATCTGTGATACCAGACATTTGTCACCTACACAGGCTTCGGCCCCTTTTTTCCTTTGCGTTTCGCCAGTTGCGAATCGGACTATTACAGGACAGGTGGACTAGAGGTCACACCGCGGGTCGGATATGTTGCAACGCAACAAGCAAGGGGACCAAATATCTAGGTAGCAGATACACAGCGAGCAAACGCTCATGAGCAGGCGAGCAGAATGAACAGAGTTGTACCATCAATACACGGTCGCACTCTTGCTCAGCATTGTGATTCTGTGACATGGCAGCATGCCCAATGTTCCCAACATCCTCGGTGGGCCGTCCCACGGCATCGTTCACCGCCAGTCCCATCCTCTACCCCTTAGATCTCGAACCTAATCGCCAAACCATGAAGGTCCCGCAAATGCGTGCCGACCCACATCGCTCCCACCAAAAGCATTGGGACGGCCGCAAGCTCAACGCCCGAAGCGGAGCAAAAATACTCCGCAATCAGTCACCGCATATGCTCGCTCTCGCAACCAAGTGCACCCCGCAATGTCATGCAGTCGTGATACGCATGGCTTGAGGCTTGTGGGGGTGCGGCATGGCGACTAAGCGAGAGAGGCATGGAAGGGCCAGCCACATGCTAGCGCCATCTTGAAGTGAAAGTCGAGCCACGACAAAGCATCACAAAGACGCCGGGTAGACAGCTGTCAACACCCGCACAGACGCAGCGCAAGCCGCACTGACTGCGGAGCACGTCTCAGCCCTCGCTCAGCGCGACACGATCGCATTATTGACGCTCCACTCCCTTGACCGGTTCACCGCTTCGCTCCGCTCAAACAAACGCGTCGCCACGGTCCGCACACGCTCTCACCCGTCACCCGCCCACGCCTCACCATGGAGTTCGTCCAAAGTGTGTAGTAGCCAAACGCTCACCGGTCGCGCCTAAGCAAATGACTCACTACATACAGACTACGTTACCCTGCTGCCGCGGCTGCTCCCGCCGTCCATCGCTTCGCCGCTGCTCACCTTTGTCACGACGGCGTTCGGCGTCTTTCGCACCGCGCAGACACACCTCACACCGCTCTTGACACGGCTCGCCACGCAGCCCGATGCCGCGTCGATCCTCGTCGTCGTCGCGGCGCTCTTCATCAGCTTCAAGATCCTCAATATGATGTACCGCGCGGTCCTGTTCTGGGTCAACTTGATGATCAGGCTGGTGCTGTGGGGCGGCTTAGGTTTGATTGGCTTGTGGATATACAATAGGGGCGTTGATGGGTTTGTGCAGGATGTGCAGGACTTGGCACACACGTGGGCCGGCGAGTACGAGAAGTACAGTGGTGAGGTTAAGAGGTTCCAGCAGGATCAGGAGGCGCAGATTAGGTTGCAGGCGAAGCAGCAGGGCGGTCGCAGGGGGCGGCGATAGGTTATGACAAGAGAGGATAAGATATTGGATATTATATGAAGGATGGTGAGATGTTCGATGAAGACAACGAATTATGGCTTATGACTGTACAGTTTGGGTGGGCGTTGTGTTGCATTACAGCGGATCATAATTATGTCTAAAAGTTGGAGTCATATGGCAACCCGAGTAGAATGGATAAGTTCGATTGCAAGACCGTTGTGCGACATTCGACCGCGATGAAACCTGTCTGACAAACAGCCGAACGAACAGGCTAGGCTAGCAGCATCTGGTGAGGACAACGTGTCCAACGCATTGGATAGTCTTTTTCAGCCCACTGGTACTAAAGATGTAACTGCGTGAGCAGTGTCGGTCGGAGACTGTGATCAACAATTGTATTGCTATCTGTTGTGGTGTTGTGTGATGTCCTTCTCCGGGAGCTCTCAGCTCTCAGGTAAGTGCACTTGCCCACCGGGCAGTGCCTGCTACAATAGGATATCATGTGCTCTGAGCCACGTGGTTACAAAATATTGTCTCTAGCACTTGCTTCTGAACTATACTCAACATGACGGTACCACCGCTCCCGGCTGAGCTAATCCAACAAATAGCTGGACATCTCGACCTTCTAGATCTCCTCCGCTGCATGCAAGCTTCGAGAAAATGGCGTGACTCTATACCCGGCAACGATCCCATATCATGCGAGAGGATGTTACTTGAATCACGGACGACGCATTCTGACGTTCCGTTTCTTATCCTCCGCGTCACTCTCACAGACTTCATCCAGAGACAGTACGGTTCGTTTTTGAAGAGAACCACATTCAAGTAAAGTATCGAGACTATCGCACTCACAGGAAATGCAACGTGGCACTTCATGACCCCCAACATAGGACGGTACTCATATCTCGCGACCGGCGAGGAGCGCGGCAAACCTTACACCTTCTGCTCCTTGGACAATTTGGCGACACAGACAAAAGGCATGCGTGAGAAATTGAGTGCAAAGGATGAATTTGGTGAGACATGCTCATCTGCGTGCCTTCAACCAAATAGCTTCGTCTGGCTATCCGGTGGAAGCTTCCTCACCAGATTTGTATGGGAGCACTTCAGCCTATCGATACTCACATCAGGAACGAGGCTGGGGTAAGAATGAGTCAGGTTGTTGACATCGTGCGGGAGCAGCTGGACAAGGTGCCGCGGGAGTTGAGCGCTACTTACCCTTTCCTACCACTGTATGACTTTGGTTATTGGGACATGATTGGAGGTTGGCCGTGAACATGTGCTGCGAATATCGTGCTAGGTATTTTGGTGCGGCGCAGCGTTAGCTTCTGTTCAATCATAACTTGCAAGGACATGCGTGAGCGTCTTTCATGGGATTAAGCTCGTAGAGCACAGTTTCTGCTGAGGTATAGGGCCGGTGCTGGGTGGAAAGGTCAAAGGGTAGACATGTTTGTGAAGGTGAGGTTGCTCCAGAAGCTCAGGCTACGACGGTCATCCTCCGCGCATGGAGTTCGACTTCAGCCTGATGAACATGGACAAGAATCTGAATGCTTACCCGGTTGCTTTCGACGTCTTCTAGTCTTCTGGGCTGATTCACCCGCACGCGAGGAGCACGCTGACTCGTCGAGGCCTTGGCGCAAAAGGCGTTCTTTCCGCTTCTTGGACTTCGGCGTGTATGCGTGTTTACAGCAACTGAAATTTGGACAGCGTCGAGGTGTGGACTAGAATGACCAAGCCGGCCAGAGTGTAGACAGTATACAGAGGAATTGGAGTTATCCATGACAGGAATGATGTATGACATGTTCTCAGGATACAGTCGCGTCTCCGTCGAGAGAGGTGCCAACTGCGTCATCCAATCATATCAGCGTTCGATATTGCGCTACCGGTACCGCCCGCGGGCATCCGCTGCCGCGGTCGATGCAGGTGGCATGCCGTACGCGAACGTGCTCCTATGACAGCTTACTCCAGTTCTCACACTGCTCCTTCCTCCGCGTATCCAGCATGCTGAGGACGCTCCACACTCGCTTTTCGTAACCATGGCCGTAACTGGAGGCCAAGACGATCCCTTCAGAGACCCTTCGCTGGCTCCTCAGCAGCACTCGCAGCCTGGAACTGCCGCCAATGTTCCGGACACGCTCGCGGTTGGGCGCGATGCCTCGCTGACGCTCGGGACGGACTCGCTGGTAGTTCTGGGTATGGACAGATGACATTTATCTAAGCCTCCCTATTCTGACTCTAGCAGACGAAGAGCTGCAGGACAGCAAGAGCGCCGGCTGTTGCGGCCTCTCCCTTCCCGGCAAGGACAAGGCAACTCGCTCGATTCCCTTCTACAACGTGCTCTGGGCCGAACACTCGGAAAATGGCGACGTGACCATCCAATACGCCCACGCCGTCTCCGCCAAAGTCGTGCGCCCAGCCATGGTCAGCTACAAACTCGACAAGCCGGACAGCCGCCTGGCTGAGGCATGGATCGAGAAGCTGCTCGACCGCGCATACGGCGCGTCGCAGCGACAGAAGCGCATGAAGGTGCTGCTGAACCCATTTGGCGGACAGGGCGGCGCTGTCACCATGTACCACAAGTCGATTGCGCCGATTCTTGCCGCCGCGCGCTGCACACTGGACGTCGAGACGACACAGCATCAGGGCCACGGCGTGGATATCGCGCAGAGCCTGGACATTGAGGCCTACGATGTCGTGGCATGCTGCTCTGGCGACGGCATCCCTCACGAAGTTTGGAATGGGCTTGGGAAGCGACCAGACGCTGCGAGAGCACTGGCAAAGGTCGCTGTTGCACAACTGCCCTGCGGCTCAGGAAATGCCCTGAGCCTCAACTTCAACGGCTCAGACAGCCCTAGTCTGGCAGCCCTCGCCGTTGTAAAGGGCCTGCGCACGCCCCTCGACCTCGCCTCGGTGACACAAGGCGACCGCCGCACCCTCTCCTTTCTCTCGCAGGCCGTCGGCATCGTCGCTGAGACCGATCTTGCGACGGAGCATCTGCGCTGGATGGGCAGCGCGCGCTTCACCTGGGGCTTCCTTGTGCGCCTGCTCTCCCAGACAATCTACCCAGCCGACATTGCCGTAAAAACCGTTCACGACAACAAGCCCGCCGTCCGCGAAGCCTACCGCGCCGAAGCCTCTAAGCCCGCACCCACTTCCGACTCACGCCCTGTGCCCGCCGCCGACACGGCCTTGCCGCATCTCAAGTACGGCACCATCAATGACCCTCTGCCCGACACCTGGGAACTCATCCCCCACGACCAACTCGGCAACTTCTACTGCGGCAACATCGCCTACATGTCGCCCGACGCAAACTTCTTCTCCGCCTCGCTCCCCTCAGACGGCTGCCTGGATCTCGTCCGGATCCGTGGCGACATCGCGCGCATGACGGCCATAAAGATGCTCATGGCGGTCGAGAACCACACCTTCTTCGACATGGATGGCGTCGACTACCAGAAGATCGAGGCGTATCGTATCATCCCCAAGAACCAGGAGAGCGGATACATCAGCATTGACGGCGAGAGAGTCCCGTTCGACGGGTTTCAGGTCGAGGTGCACAAGGGGTTGGGGACCGTGTTGAGCAAGAGCGGGCATCTGTGTGAGGCGAGAGGTGTGTGATGCGAGGTGTTTCGTTCCCACTCTTTCCTATGGTCGTGTTTGTTTGTTGTTAAAGATCGAGATACCATCGAGTCGCGTGTTGAGTGTTGAGTTGCATGCTATCGAGTTCTTACGTCTACTTGCTACATTGCGACACTCTTTCTTATAGTCGATTACCATTCTCGAGTCTTTCGTATTTGGCTTGATGGTCTCTTCTCATGCCAGTCCAGTCTTATGCGTACACGCTTTGGTCGTTTTCGGCGGTGGCGAGGTGTGATGTTCCAATCTCACTATTATGACTCACTAGCAGAAATTTCTTTCACAACCCACCTTCCCATCTCTAAACTCAAGTCGTGAAGACAGCACCACAGCAGCTTTCACACAGTCTGCAAACGGCTCTGTCACCATTGGTGTCTGGATTATATTTCTTTTAAGCGATACTCTTTTATTAACAACAAGTGGTAATAAGCTGAGTGGCGCAGCGGAAGCGCGCCGGGCTCATAACCCGGAGGACACTGGATCGAAACCAGTCTCAGCTATCACTTTTTGTTTTTTTGCACACCCATCATACTATCCCAGTCACTGCCGGGTCAAACCCTACACTCGTACCTGTCTCTACACCTCAAACATCACGCACAGAACAACACTCCGTTCTCATCAACTTCTTGCATTCCCTACTCATACCGCAACACCGCCTTCCCTCCCCATAAAGGTATTACCTAGCAGACTATGACCTTGGCGCCCGCCCGTTGTAGTTCATCCCCGGACTCGCCGTGTAGTTGCCCAGACAATCATATGCGTAGTCGATCTCCGCGCTACGCTTTTTCAGCACGCTGACCACGTTGTCGAAACTGCACAGCCCGTTTTTGTCCTTGGGACATCCGGGGTGCGAGCCATGGATGGGGACCACTGCGTCGTTGCTATGAAGGTGAGTCAGCCGACGCGTTCATCGCGGGGGTTTGCATTGGAGGGGTGAGGGGGGGCATACACAATGAAGCGCATCTGCTTGCTTGGGCTCTTGGCGGGACACTCAAGCACCTGGGTTGTGAAGTGGGTCGCGAACGGCACGAGTCTGCTCGCGACGAACGAGTTATCGTGTCTGTTCCCCGCCGGGCTGAGCGGGGGCCCGTTGAACAGCGCCGTCAGGTTGAACGCCATCAGCGTGTCGAGGACGACGACTTCGTGCGTTGCGTCGGCGTAGATGGACTGCGTGAGCGGGAAGTAGGTCGAGCTGTTGTCGAACGTCTCGTTTAGTGCGGATTGAGCAGAGGGGTACTGGCCCGTGAAGCGCGCGAGGTATTCGTCCAGGTAGCCCTTGCCTTGAGCTGCGGCGACGGGCGAGCCGGGGCCGTTGTTGTAGTAGAAGGTGAGGTCATAGTAGTACTCGTAGTTGAGAAAGTCTTCCTGAGGGGATGTTAAAATGTGTGGACACAAAGGGTGAGGGGAGTGTACTTCATTGAATAGATCGCAGAAGGCGGAGTAACCTAGTGCGTGGGTTTCGTAGGAGCAGAGCTGCAGCATGGCGATGGTGTCTGTCGCGGTGAAGTTGATACCTTTGGCTTGAGACTGGAGACGGGCAATAGTGGAGTTGACTGTCACGTTGTCAGCATGCACTCTTCCATGGTTGGGTGTGTGGTGGCTCACAGGCATTGACGGCAAACTTTGCGGCCACGGTGCTTCCAATGCTTCCTTTACTGGCGACGTTCGAGTTCAAGCAGACCTCATAAGGAGCGCCTGAGTTGTTCACGCCAGGTGTCTCGACTAAGATCTCGATGTTGACCTCGCTCATGTACTCAGGGACTGTCTTGCGTTAACCATAGTGATCGAACTTAAGGCGACAAAACTACTCACCACCAAAGAAGCCAGCAGCAAAGTTCTCCGCCGTCTTGACCATGCGGTCCTGACTCTGAGTGCGGAACACAGGCAGCTTGTCCGAAGCGGTGAAGTTGTTGAGCAAATGTCCATACAATTGCCTGTACTCCACACCCAGCATAAAGTTTTGGCTGCGTCCAAACGGTGTGAGGAGCTCGGCACCGAGCTTGTAGGTCCAGTCGCTCAGGAAAGACAGCTCGCCTGAGAAAGCAAGACCACCTGCCTTTGTCGCATTCACAACCTTCTGGGCGAAGGTGCCCGGCGCGGCACCACTTGTAGGGTAACGAGCACCATGTCTGTACAACAGCAGCATCTGAGTGATTTCGCAGCCCTCAGGGACTAGAGGGTTCGCATCGGGCAAGCCGTAGTCTTCAGAACGCAGAGAGTACCACGGAGACAGATTGCCCCAATACCTTGTGATGTCGAACTTGGAATGCTTGGTGTTGCCGTGGGGTTGCGGAGCAATCAGAGGGAACGACTTGGCTTCATTCTGGTTGTAAGGGTACGAAGGAGCCGTCTGAATGGCATTGGGCTCGACGCCAGTCGGTGTTGGCCCGGGGAAGCCCACCACCGACTCCGGTGGAAAGAGTGAGGAGTTAACTACAGCTGTGGTAGCACGAGTCAGTGGCTGTGAATCGAAGCGTTGTAAGAAGCATCATACTGCCAGACGGAGGGTAAACATCAGAGGCAGGCGAGCCGGCATTTGAAGAAGCCTGAATAGTTGTAGGAGCTGCCTCAGTGAGCGCAATGAACGCGAGCACGGCAGCTACGTGTGCAGCAGATCGGAAGTGCATCTTGGAGTAGTGATTCACAAGGGCCAAGCTTCGTCAAGCTTTCGCCTAGCTCCACGGGCGCAACTGTCCATTTTATAGCTGCACCAAGCATGCGCTATCGCTGATGAGCTTATTATGGTGCTCGTATACTTCTCTGTAGCTTGACAGGCTTGCCCTTAAGCTCCATGTCTGCATGGGCATGCACGGCACAACATCCGTGAATTGGCCAATCAAAGCTGGTGTTCTCCGCACGCATCGCGGGAACACCGGCGGTTTTTCGTCCCAACCGCCAGGACGCCGGCAATTGTGACGCTATGGCGTCCGTGTGCACTCGCGTGTTGAGCTGTCAACCCAGAAGACAGTACTCGGGGCATGCACGTGGCATGTGAGGTACGGGAGGAGCTCATTGTCGTGTGGTGGTGTCTTCGACTACATACGCCAGCATGCGATGAGCAACGCTTGATAGCTCTAACCTCATGCGCCCCAACTTTTGCCGGCGCATCACATTATCATAATCTTCTCCAATAATGAACAGGCTGCTCATGCAACACCAACCTTATTCAAACCCTTCAGCGATCCCAAGCTCAGCGCTAACCCTTGCGATCGACTGCGAATACGGACAAACCCAGTGATTGGGCCATTGTTGCCCTCCTGCTCAATACTCAAGTTGGCCAATGCATCCTCACCTGCTAGCAATTAGTATGGAAGAGGCATCAATGCAGAAGGAATAACTTACCGAAGACGCTTCTGGCGTACAAGTTCGCGGACAAGAATTGACAGTCGCCCTTCATCGATGCTTCTGGTGTCAGACAGCTCATGTTGGTACAAGCCATCAGCTGTTTGAGGAATTCGCGCAACGACTTGGCCTTGGAGTTGATGTTGACCTTATTCTCCCATTCGAATTCCGTCCACATGGTGCGGAACTGCGTCTCTGTGCACTGCGCAGGCTTGATATAGTCCATAATATCAACGTGAACGTCGTTCAAAATGACAACATTAGAGTCTATACCCTTCTCGCCTTCGTACAGAACGTTTCCGAAGATAACACCTGTGTCAGTCGAAGAGACCTTGATGGTAGACTGCAGATTGATGAAGTCATGCGGGCCGACGTTCTGTGTTGGCGGGCGCTCGACAACCTTGAGATCGCCAAGTGTTGCAAACTCGACTGTGAGGTTCTGTAGTGTCTCAGTGGTCTGGTTGACGAGAAGAACATCGAGCACAATGTCGAACTGGTGGACCTTGACGTAGGCCTCGGCGTAGACGGGATCGGAGAAACCTGTGAGCTGGACCACGCGGCTGAGTTTCGACGAGAGATCTTCAGTCGCGGTGTCGCCTCCTGTGGCCCTCTCCAGGTCCTGCTCAATCTCATCGCTGCCATCAGCATCCTTCTTCTTGAGCTGACGAATGCTGAAAGAGTCGTCAACATTGACAGCCGACTTCATCCTCTCTGAAGCTTCCTTTGCTGCACGCTTCTTCTCCTCTGTCTGGACCATGGTCGCGAAAGACTTCCGTGTGTCTTCCAAAAAGACAGTCTCGAGCTCCTTCTTTTGCGAAAACTCTGATAGAGAGCGAACACAAGACATGATGCGGTCGACAGAGTCCTCGTCAATAAGGGTCTTAACGAACTGCGATTGTCCAACACGGATGACAGAGATCATGATGAGCATAGCCTCAGCACGCAGAGCATTTGTCCGCGCAGCGTTCTGTGAAAGTTCCGAGTATCGCATGACGAGCTTGGTGAGTGTACTGGAGAGAACGGTGGCGAGATAGTAGTCTCCATCGAGTACAAGCTGACGCAGAGGGGGTTTTTGCGAGTTCTTGACAGCGTCCAGCTTTGCCTTGGCTGCGGCCGAAGACGTAAGAGCACTTTCGGTCGCGTATGTTCCATCAGCCAGGACCTTTCGCGACCCTGTGGGAGCGGCAGTCTTGGTGTGTCCATTGACTTGGTCATCGCCCTCCTTGCCCTCTGATGCATCGTCCAACAGTCTTTGTTCAGAGGCAAGAATAGGAATCTCACCTAACGATGAACGGATGCCCTTCCAAGCATCCTGAATGTCCTTGATCTCAAGTGCGTACTCGCCAATGATCCACAGGACACCGCGGTAGACCTTGCCAGCGCGAACCTCACCAAGAGTTGAAACAAGGCGCTCGATTATGGATGGGCGGAGATCGGGGAAGCGCTCGACAACCTCCTTGACGAAGGAGATCACATCGACAGCTGACGCGTTACTGCTGACATCAGAAATAAAGTCCATGAGCGAGCCGACAACGCTTGCGGCGACCTCTGGGAACTTGATGGCAGCTTGGTGGATGGCGGAGATGAGGATAGACCTGTACTCGGAGTTCTTGTCATACTGCTCATCAACGGTCTTCATTAGCTCTTTCTTCAAGAGAAGCACCACCTCTTCTACATTTCGGCTGGAGATCATCTCCATAGCAATGTGCAGAGCCTTCTTGCGCACGTCGAGATCGGTGCTCGACAGAACACGAAGAATTTCCATGGTCAGATCGTCGAGAACGCCCTCGTTCTTGTCTCTCAACTGGTTCACCCGCTCCAGAACGATGAGCTTGACGTTATTGTCGGGCTCCTTGACAGCAAGCTCTACGAATTTCCCTGCGGCAGCCTTCACAGCCACAGGGTTGCTTGTGAGAGTAGTCAGGGCATGTGCGGCTTCGTAGATAACGGTCGATACCTGTGACTCGAGCAGATCGAAGATGAGGCGCAAGTATTTGGCCTTGTTGCCGGGGTTGACGGCGGCATCGCGGCGGATGAACTCAAGCTCAGCAAGTAGTAGAAGCTCCTCGTGATTCGGAATCGCGTCAAAGACGGTGCTTAGGTATTCGAGCGCCTTCTCGTGGCTGATGGATGTAAGGGCGGCGAACGCGTTGCGCTTGCAGGTTGGGTCGTTCTCGTCGTCGAGGAACGTGGTCAGAAGATCGGGCGCATCGGGCATGAGCTCGGGAAGGTGGGTGAAGATGGAGGCGATGGCAAAGGTAGCGTTCTTGCGGACGTATGCGTGGCGGTGGGTGAGACACTGGCGAACAGGCTCTGGGGAGTGCGTTAGTAGGGTCCTGGGGACGAGGGGAGGAGCGGCGTACGCAGCAGTGGCTCTACAAGTTCTGCATCTCGCAGCTTCGTGCTGTCAATCTCATTAGCAGAGCTTTGTGTGTAGGAGGAAGGGTGCTTACACAAAGCGCAATGTGTTTCCTCGGACATATTCGTTTGGTGCCTGCAGATCGAACCGAATGGCGTTACTTCTACGGTCAGTACGTCGTCCTGCTACAGCCTGCAATCGTCTACTCACCAGACCAAAATCCATTCCTGGCGCAGCTTGCCCTGGGCGTCGTGCTTCGGACAAACCTCGAAGAAGAAGTACATGAGCTTCTTGAGCGGCTTCGACTTGCTGGGCATGACGAATCGTATTATGTGCATGAGAAGCCCTGACTTTGCATCGCCGTTGAGCATGATGGCCAGGATCTTCTTCTGTTCGGGAGTCAGCCATGTTGCTCCTCCGCCGCGGGGCATGCGTAGTGTCGCAGACGCACCATGGTCTCAATCTTCTGCTCATCGCTGCCCTTCTCCAGAGCTGTCTTCAGCTCATTCTCGGAGGGTACGTCGGCCGCATTGTCCTGGTGCACCTGTTGTTGCCCGTCAGCTCTCCAGAGCTTCACCATCATGCTGCCAGGTGTTCCCTTCGTACCATACTGTACGCATTCTCGAGGAAAGTCGCCATGTTTCCGGACTAGCTTGTGCCGCTACTATGTGCGTATACGGTGCGTATGGCCAGCAGCAATGGCTGTGGTTGTTCGTGGACCGTCAGGTCGAGGTGCCCTTGGTGGCCGTAGGAGGTGGGATGCTACGTGTGTCGATTGCGGAGTCGGCCGTGCGTGGGATGTCGGGTTCAATAAAGCCGCAGCTTGGATACGTGTGAAAGGGAGGTCGAATTGCCCCGCGCACCACAGGTTTCTTTGCTTCGAGGGTTGCGCTGCTTCCAGGACCGCGTACACTGTCCAGGTGTCTGCTCGAGAAAGTGGAACTAAGACGCTTGGCAGCCGCTCGCCAAAACAGCAGGGGTCCTCGCGCCGCCGAAGATCGTGAACCTCGAGGCAGGACATAGTAAGGACCGAGATCAATCACCTTACCCGAAGCTACCATCTGCGCGTCTACTTGCAAGCAAGTCGTCAAGATGAGCAGCGAACCGTTCTACGTGAGATACTAGTAGGTCGCGCAGCTATCATGTGCGAACGTACGATGCTAACAGTGACGCAGCTCTGGCCACCAGGGACGTTTCGGACACGAATTCTTAGGTGTGTACAAGCCAGATCTCATTGAGCCGGGCCAGGCGCTGACCTTCATCAAGAGTTTGATTTCCGAGTGTTGGGAGACGGTGGTAGTGCATCTGCACGATACGCCAACAACTCCAACTACCGCAATGATTCTCTCATTCGAAAAGAGAGTACGTTCATCGAACCTTGCTCGGAATCATGCGACTGAACCTTTGCAGTGTGCGTGAGTGATGCTTTGGTCGCTGAAATCAAGCGCATTGTCAAGGAGAGCGAAATCCTAAAGTATATGCTCATACGTGCATTCGCAGAACAAGAAGCTGACTCGATATAGAGAGGACGATACAAAGTGGCCACAGAAGAACAAAGACGGCCGTCAGGAACTCGAGATCAGGTTGGGTAGCGAGCACATCTCATTCGAGGTATGTGTAATTCGCATGCCCACAAGACGACAAGGTTTAATGTGAACAGACCGCCAAAATTGGATCTCTGCAAGATGTACAGGACTCGTCAGATCCGGAAGGGCTCCGCGTCTTTTACTACCTCGTTCAAGACCTGAAGGCTCTGGTCTTCTCATTAATATCCCTGCACTTCAAGGTATAACACACTACTCATTGCAGGCGGACATATGCTCACAGTGCACAGATCAAGCCCATCTAGATACCCAGCCTCTTGCTGGAGGCGATGAAGTGCGACTCTTGGGACGACTATTCTCGACGTGGTTCTACCGCGAGTGCACATGGACCAAGCTCATTGTGTGTAGGGTCAGGCGCCTGGAGTACGGTGACGCTGGCATAGCCTGGACGCACGCCAGCTAAGCGCAGGGGCCATGCAGTGGCAGGACACGCGCATTTGCGGCCCGCAGCATGAAAAAGAACGTTTGACTCTTCCGTCAGACTTCGATTAGACATAAAGCCAAACGAATGACTTCGAACCAGAGCAGTTGCTTGTCTGCACTTTGCGCGATTACAGCCACTATGCAAATATGATCGTGTGATCTTCGGCCTACCAGCTGGCTGCTGGTGTGCCTTTCGCCCCCACGTGAAGCTAGTGAACCCCAGAAAGCCGCCGGCGGCCGTACCCACTGGAGTCGACGCATCCATCTGAGCGCCCAGATGTCATCGCTCGTAGAAGCATACCTCAGCCCTCCACGAAGCCTGCCATTATCCTAACATCGACCGTTCTGCCTTTGTATACACCTCTTCGACCCATGTGTAATCAATAACTTGTTGCTGTGACCCTGGCTTCTCCTCGACCGGACTATGCCGACGCCCGATGATGTCGTCTTGCCAGCGGAGCACGAGCGCGCAACATGTCCACCAGATGACACACATACTTCGACAGCGCATGAGGAACTGAGCGATGTCCACGAAAGCAGTGCCAGCCAGGATGTTGACTCTGCGCAACGCCTGCGAATGCTGCAACAGCCCACGCCGCCGCCACATGGCACGCGCGATCAGTCGCCCGCCGAGACACATATCAAGCCATCGAGCGCAAGCATAGAAGCACCGAGCAGAGACATACCAACGCCAACGACGGTGACCGACGATAACGCCGAAGACCAGCGCGTGTCCCAGGCCTCGCCTCTCTCTGCCACTGCGCCGGCGCCAATTCGATTCAACTCCAGCCATCTGGCTGCTCCGTATCCTGCTCATCGAGTACGTGCTCACATCGCGCAATGTAATGATCCTGTAAGACCACTCTTGCTGATTGTTCCCGCAGTTTCTCCCCAATTCGTCCTCCTCACTCCTACGCCCTGGTAGCCGGTTCAAGGGCAGCCAAACCTCCGATCGCCAGCAGTATGAAGTGGATGTTGAAATCAAACATGTGGATATGCGCGAGTCATTCATGTGTGGATACCTACGCATACAAGGTGTGCATGTCGCATATCGGACATGTACAAGCAGAGAGCTAACGCAGCGACAGGCCTGACCGACGACCACCCTAGTTTGACCACATACTTTGAGGGTGAAATCATTGGGAATAAATACTCGTTCGTCACACAACATCCTGAATGGGGCTCGAACGAGAAGGTCGACCGACAACATTGGGCGCGGTTCCCTGCATACAAACCTCTTTCGAAGCATTCGTCGCGGTCAGAGACAATCTCCAAAGATTGGATGCAGAAGGAGCATCTGTTCATGCGCTGGAAGGAGTACTTTTTGGTGCCAGACCATAGAGTTAAGACTATCAGTGGTGCAAGCTTTGAAGGCTTTTACTACATTTCGTTCAACCAAGTCTCGGGCAGCATCGAGGGTATCTACTTCCATGCAAAGAGCGAGAAGTAAGCGGAGTCTAGCCTCTTCGCATTTCATGCGCTGACAAGTCCTAGATTTCAGAAGCTTCAGCTGAAGCACATTGATGATCACGGGTGCCACGGCACCTATGAATTCTGTTGATTACGATTGCACGAATTGGCATACTGTGTGGGATTGGCACTTGGGCGCAGCGTGTCTGGGCTGGACTTGACTTCTGTGTATCAAACTTTACACCTCACCGTTCTTTACGCAGTGCGCGATTGAAGGGCGTGGCTCTATCTTCTTATGTGGTAAATCGACCGAGCTCGACGATCGTTGGCTCATGATATCTCAATGTTCCCACTACGTCATGCCTGACCTGCAACGTTTGCGAGTTTCGTGCCTCAGCAAAACGCGAACCACGGGCGATGAGGCTAACGGTGACTCCACTTCAGCCTCGCTTCCCGCAAACCAGCCAATCTACTCTCGCCTCCCACACCAAACTTTCCCAGCACCAACCTGCAGATCAGCACGACTTCCATGAGCAAGCGCAAAACCGACACCATGACCGGCGAGCCAGCAAAGCGCCAGAAGCGTGAAGAGTACAAGAAGACACTCGTCGAAAATGACGCGACGCTGCCGAAGAAGAAATTCTACCGGCAACGCGCCCACGCCAACCCGTTCTCAGATCACTCATTGACATAGTAAATGGTACCTTGCCGTTGTTTTCGGGTCTTGGCTAAGCGTTTGCAGTCCCACAAGTCCCGCGGATATGGACTGGGCAGGTCTGTACCCTACGTATGCAGCCGAGGACAAGGCGCGATCGAAGTCAAAAGTCGAGTCACATGACAACGGCGAGAAAGACAAGAGCACAGCAGTCATGGCACTCACAAAGAACGTCGAGATTGCCGACATTGGTTGTGGTTTTGGAGGCCTTTTATTCGCACTCGCGCCAAAGTTCCCGGACACACTGATGCTAGGTGCGTTGCTCGCCGACAGCCTGTTTAGTCCATATTCAAGCATACTAACATTACCGCAGGCCTCGAGATCAGAACCTCAGTCACAGAATATGTGCAAGAGAAAGTGCGCGCCCTGCGGGTTCAGAACGCCGCAACAGGCGCTTATCAAAACGCGTCCTGCATCCGCGCAAACACGATGAAGTTCCTGCCCAACTTCTTCCAGAAAGCGCAGCTCAAAAAGATCTTCCTCTGCTTCCCGGATCCGCACTTCAAGCAGCGCAAGCACAAAGCCCGCATTGTATCGTACACGCTCAACTCGGAGTATGCTTATGTACTCAAACCGGGCGCGGTCGTGTATACGATCACTGATGTGCAGGATCTGCACGAATGGATGAAGGGGCACTTTGAGAAGCATCCTAGTTTTGAGCGAGTCAGTAAGGTTTTTGAGGAGGGGGAGGGAGAGGCTCAAGAAGGCATGGATGAGTGCGTGAGGCTGATGAGGAGTGAGACTGAGGAGGGGAAGAAGGTCACGAGGAATAACGGGATGAAGTATGTGGCCTGCTTCAGGAGACTCGAGGATCCCGCATGGCCTTGAGTGTATTTGTTGAAAGAGAGGATAATGTTGAAAAACACTAGCTGTCAGTTGGCCACAGAGCTTGGATACATCAATGACCCAGAGCTACATTAAGGAGGACACTCAAGATGGTTCTTCCTGTGCTCACATATGGACAGAAATAGAAAGAGCAGGTAGCTGCATGTAGCAGGCGGTGTTTTGTGGTATGAAAGTGCAGTCACGTAGTTGGGGCGGTATAAAGACTTTTTACCGAATGAATCCGTCTCACTACTTACGCTGCTCTGGCTGTACTATCTGATCTTGGGGTCTTTGAGCATTCGGGGTGTTCTTGTGCCCATGGCTAGTATTCTGGTGTTCGCTCGATGTTCATGGTACCTCACTCTGATTTGACAAAAAGAGTGGCGTTTTAAGATTGCCAGTGTAATGCCATTGTATCTCAAGAAACAAGCCCCAGCTTGCGCTTCCCGTGTCGATACCATATGGAGAAGGCATTCCGCTTAGTGCCGCGCTAACACTAACGGCAACCGCGGTCCAGGGATGCTCTTCCTCCCAGCTTCTCCCAGCCAAAATCGCCAAACATGTGAAGCTTTTTGCGTCACACTGAAAGCCTAGCTTTGCGTCTATTTCGTTCACCCTGCGAGTAGAATGCACGTCCAACGTGCACGGTACGTGCATCTCGCAGCAACTCCTTGTACGCTAGCTATGTAAGGATCAACTTCCACTCGCCTACGAAGTACTAGCCGTTGCTGAATAGCTAAACCCCATTCATGACTGAACGATGTAGCGCAGGATCAAAAGACACGGGTGCAAATGAGCCGCTCATGGTCGATACGCCACGATACAAAAGCCTCGCGGATGCCTCGTTTACCTTCATTCCTCCTGAACCTGACGGATACACCAGCCCAACATGACACTCATCACGACGACCGTGGCATTCCTCCTCGCGGTGCCGGCTTTGGCTGCAACATCTGCAGTCAACAGCAGTCTGGGTGGCGAAAAGGTTGCATGCGCCATGTTTCGGCTTAAGTATCCTGAGCAGACATATTACCCAGGTTCTGCTGGGTACGTATACGAGACGCAGTCGGGTGGGTACTTCCTGTGACCGTTTCTGAGGTTCGAAGCTTATAATTCAGTTTACTGGTCCGCGACTACTTTTAACGGTCCTGCTTGCATTTTTGTCCCACAAAATGCGCAGCAGGTGTCTCTGGCAGTCACTACGATGACATTGACGCTTTCCAAGTTTGCTGTTCGAGGTGGAGGCCACATGCCCATTCCTGGCTACAATGGCATCGATAGCACGGGCATATTGCTTTCAGCGTCCAATCTCACCGCTCTGGCGCTTTCTTCCGACAAGTCTACAGTCTCCGTCGGACCGGGCAACCGGTGGGGAGATGTCTATTCATACCTGGCACCGTCGAACCTTGCAGCAGTCGGCGGCCGGGTAGGTCACGTAGGCGTGCCGGGTCTCTTGCTTGGAGGTGGCATATCATTCTATTCATCACAGCACGGCTTTGCGTCAGATAACGTCGTAAAGTATCAGGTTGGCTCCTCCCCAACCGAATCTGAGTTGTACTGACGACGACAGTGTGTACTCAGTAGTGGCATCGTTGTCGAAGCTACTGCTAGTAATACGTACTCGGATCTTTTCTGGGCGCTTCGAGGTGGCGGCAACTCCTTCTGCATTGTGACACGATTCGACTTGAAGACAGTGCCATCTAGCGAAGTGCATATCGGAATTGCACAATACGATCAGTCGCAATCCAAGAGCTACCTCGATGGTGTCTACAACTTCGGAAAGTACAGTGCACCTGCTGACCCCAAGGCGGCCATAATCCCAACAATCCTGACGTTCCCCTCGGTGGGTTTGACTGTGTACGCTGCAGCAAAGTTCTACGACTCGTTGACGGACAGCCCTACGGCGTTTGAAAACTTTACTGCGCCTCGACTACCTCCAGTAGCTGACTCATACGCGCTGCAACCGCTAGCTTCCTACATCGCTGCAACAGACGCTTTGCAGCCGAATGGTCTGCGCCAGGCATTCCGAACTCTGTCGTCTTTGGTGGACAGAGAAGCTGTCCAAGGGATCCATGATACCTTTATCTCGCAGGTGTCATCAAAGCTGACAAGCGTCGCTGGCTTACAGGCTTCAATTACCTTCCAACCAGTGACCAAGTCCTTTCTCCAGAAGAGCGTTGACAGCGGAGGAAACCCTCAAGGTGTCGACATTTCAAAAGCACCCTTCTTCTGGCAGGTAATAAATCTCACATGGCAAAATAGTTCCGACGACGCCGTTGTCCAAGCTGCTGCGGATGAAATAACCGCGGCCATTAACGCTTTTCTGGCCCAAAAGTCTCTCAGCGCCACGTACCTCTACATGAACGATGCAGGAAAGGGGCAACCAGTCTTCCAGAGCTATCCAGCTACGAATCTGAGAAAGCTTAAAACGATTCGTGCCAAGTACGATCCATTAAGTATCTACACAAACCTACTTGTCGGAGGCTGGAAGGTCGCGGATGCATAAGCGCACGGAAGGGCTGCGATGATGAATTAGTCATATGTGACTATCTTACACAACGTTCGACATCGACAATCATAGGAGGTGCGTTGGCACACGACGCAGGCTTAATGGGCGTCCGTTCTTATATCAAGTAGAAGTTAATGACAAGTCTCGGGGTTCAAAGAATACGGGGGGTCTTCAGAGACAGCTTGCACGGTATCTGCAAGTTAACAGGGCTTGAGGAGGCTACACACTACTGTGTGGTTATGTCCAGCTTTTTCTACAACAGAAGAGAATCGATGTCCACTTTTGACGCTCCTGTCACATGCTTCCAAGAATAATTCAATCGAAGCGTAGGCCAATCTACCTTGCTGCCAATGTTGAAATTGGAAGACGCAACAAAAGCCGCGTGTTCTGCAGCATTATGCATTAGCTAATATCCGGTCTGCAGGCGTGCAGGGGCCCAATTCCTGCAGGATGGATTAGGCAGTCGCAGACACGGTAAGCCGTGTGTGAACACGGGACCATAGCGGAGCATTGCCCAAACGTTAGCGACCAAAACATCTTGTGACAGGACTTCAAGCAAGGGCCTTCCTGGACCTCTGTCTTTGTTAAATCAGCGATGTTGCCCAGTTTTCAGACCAATACGTCTAGCCTCCCCAGATCGATAACATGGAGATATCGGCGGCAATGGACTATACGCACCTCATGGTACGATATATCATATCAAGTATATTTCTCGTGCTCACACACAGCAGATACTGATCTGGTCTCTATGGGCCGCATCACTTCTACTCACTGTTATGAGGGGCATCACGCGATGGCACTCACAACGCCAGATTTTTGCTGATGACTACTTTGTCTTTGGTGGCATACTGTCCTTGACGGGTCTCACAGCCGTGATCACTCGCCTTCTGCCGCAATTCTATCTAGCCGGAGCGTACGCTGCTGCAGTGATGCAAGACCCAACCACACCCATGCCGTTACCTCCGGACGTGTTCATTGCTAGAACACAGACATCTCTCAAACTCATGTTCAGCCAGATGTTACTCTTCTGGACCACGTTATGGGCTGGTATGCTTCATAATCCTATCTGCTCGAATTTATCGGAGCCAGTGGCTAATCTCCAGCAGCCAAGTTTTCGATCCTTTTCTTCTTTCGCCGCCTCTTGAATGGGCTACCCAAGTACATCAAGGCGTGGTGGGGCTGCTTTGCTGTGGTTCTACTGCTATACTTGGCTTGCATGTTGTCCAACTTTCTGACCTGCAAACCACTAGCAAAGTATTGGAGTTCCAGTAAGTCCACAATTGTAGAAAAGTCAGACAACGCTGACTGTTCTTGAGCTGGTTGCAGTGACCCAGAAGATCTCGTTCGAGCAGACGCGTCCATCAAATTTGCAACCAGCGCGGATGTAGTCGCAGACGCCATCGTCATGATTCTACCCCTCAATATCCTCCGCAAACTACAAATCAACGCACGACAAAAGTTCGGTCTCGCCATGATCTTCTCACTCGGAATCATCATCATAGCTTTCGCTCTCGCCCGCCTCGCCCAAGTCACAAAGGCAACTTCCAACGCTACTAAAGACCCTGCCACGGTTGCGGACGCTCCAGTGCTCCTGAGCATGTGGAGTCATATCGAGTCGTCCGTCTCTATCATCGTTGCGACGTTACCTGCTTTTCGCTACTTACTGAACGTCAAGATCGGCCGTACACAAGGCAGATCAAATACCCGCGAGCGGAGTGGTGGAAAAACAACAAGCCAGGTAGCTGGTCAAAGCAGGACCCGACGTGTCTTGAGCGGTCAATGGGGCGGCAGTTTGAATACAAGCATGTCGCAAAAGGGCAGTGTGACAGAAAATGATTGGGGCAGCGAGACGGAGCTCAGACCCATCCAAGGCATCGAGAAGCGTGTAGAATATTCGAGTACCAGTGGGCGTCGAACATCTACAAGTGAAGATCTACGTTCAGAATCTCGAGCCTGAGTGTACAGTGTTGTAGAACTCATGCAATGACACCGAATTTTACGCTGATGTCACGCGTTTGCAAGCCAATACTGTATGCTCTGACTGCTTCCTCAATCCTCGTGCGCCAAACTTCGTTCGAATGTCGACGTTGCCGGTCGAAGCCTCGCGAAAGCTATCCACAGTGTCATGGCCAATACTGACTGGACCAAGATCGCAAAACGGAAGACTCCAATCCCAAGCCCCTCAACAACCGCGCCAATACCGAATGGCAACAATGCTCCACCCACTTGACCCAGTGATGCGACGAACGAGACTGCAGCTACGTGGAATTCCTTCGGGAGTAACTGTGTCAAGACAATGACGCCGGAGGGGAACAACGGTCCCATAAGGAAGCCCAATACAATCATCAGCACGACTGAGACGACGGGGTACGGCAGTATCGCGAACAGAGTCTCTACTGATATAGCTAAAGCAAAATACAACGCGGTCGCTTTACGCACACCAATCCTGTCTGTCAACGGTCCTAGAACAAGCCGACCAACAGCCATACCAGCCCAGAACCCCGATGACGAGAGGCCGGCAAGATAAGGTGTGGCAGTCCGGCTGCGAAGCATGAAGGAAACAATCCATCCTGAGATCGCGGTCTCGACACCCACGTCCGCAAGGAAGTAAGCTGCGCACCACCAGGTGGCGGGGAATCCGAGCATTGCTCTGGAGTAGGCCTTGTTGTATGATTCGTCCGACTGATGTGTTTGTCGATGTACAGATGCTGTTTCGTTCCAGAAGGCGGTGCATAATGCGACGGCGTCAATGATCGAGAGAGCGCCCTATAGCAATCGTGAGCACGAGACTGAGTTTGGCCTAAACTTGACTTACTAGGACATAGTACCACTCAAACCAAGCGTGTCCATTGGTAGTCATAAGCGTGATAAGGATCGGCGCAGTTGCCGCTCCCGCAGAGAAGCTGCTATGCAAAAGGCCTGAAACCGTACTCGCTCTTTCCATACTACCAGCCCAAGCACACCAACTTCCGTCGAGCAGGCCCATTCCAAGACCCTGCACTGCAAATCCAACCAGCACAAGTCCGAACTGATTGTGCAGTGACAATAGTCCTGCAGCAATCATCTGCAGCACCGGACCAATGAATGCAATCCCAAACTGGCCGGACCGGTGATGGATGAGCGAGCTCGTCTGGGCGGCGAGTATATAACCGAGAGGGCATACGACGAAGATGAGTGACACGTGAAAGTCGGAAAGGTCGTAGTATTTGGATATCAATGGCAGGAGGGTACCAATGGATGATTGGAGGAGCCCGAGCATGGCGAACGAAAACATGGCCGCTGCCATCTTGAACACAAATCGGTTGGAGAGCTTTGACGGGTCGTCTTCGAAGGTGTTCCGGTTGACTTCGAGCGCAGGTGCGTGGCTTGCGAGTAGAGGTGTGTATTCTTCCCTCGAGCTGGTTGCCATGCTTGGCGTTGTGGGTAGGTGAAGCAGAAGCCGACTGGCAGAGAATCAATGCAAGTAGCTTAGAAAACTATGGGGTGTACTTGAAATGGTGAGTTGGAGACAGTGACTTGGAGATCTTCACATTGTGAAAGTTATTGGAACGAAACGCAGGTGGAAGTCAATGATGGTGTTCGCAAGAAGTCGCTCCATTTGGATAGCGCAGCCGAGGTTCAAACCAGAAGGCGCTACAGACCAGTGATTCCCTGCGAGTCTCAAAATTCGAGCAACACCTACCTTTGACATCCCCAGCTTCATACACCAAATGACTTTATAGCAGGGTCTGATGGAAACCAGGTTCCTCTTACTTCTTTCAAAATCCCTTGTTTGCTCGCAACAACGCCGTCGTCATGAACAGCATGTATAGATGCTAATGATTGAAAAGCCCACCATCATATTCGGGAGAGCATCGTTGCCAAGGATCAATGTACACCAGTAGAGGAGGCAGTCGTGGCGATTAAGGAAGTCTGACATCAGTCCAGCAAAAAGAGACTCGGTAGTTTCCGTGCCAACTAAGTTGGAGGTAAACCAACTTTGAACATATAAGTCCTGATGGACAGTATTTCGAGCATCTGGTGGTTGGTATTCTCGTTGCTGTGATACATTCTGCATCTGCCTCCGAGGATCTTCAGCAGCATCGCGCTGGCACTTTAGAAAACTCGTGAGTGCGGCCATCAAAACTATGTCTCCAGTAAGGTCCGACGTCTATACCTGATGCCGTATGCACGCTGTCCAAGTTCTCAATCGCCATAAAGCCCCCCCCCCCCCCCCCCCCCCCCCCCCCCCCCCCCCATGTGGAGGCTACCCAGATCTCATCAATACTCCAAAGCGCAGAGAGTTGCAGATCACGGATGTCGATAGCAGTTGGTCATTCGATTCATGATCGCTCGCGATCATAAGCGTCTACACATGTGTCGTTCAATTGATGTGATGTACCGCTCCTACGGGCTCTCGCTCAAACCTCGCTCAAATGGCCCCATAATCAGGCCACCACTGCATCTAAGCGATCGTCTCGACAATCTTGATGTTTTGCGAGCTCATGCGAGGCTGATCAGCCTCTGTTCTTCCACAGAAGCTTGTTGCGGGCCCATCAAATTTCAACAGAGAGTTTGCAGCTACAGATCATTAATGTTATAATATTCCCAAATCACATCAACAGCCAATCAGGTCCTGTGGTCTAGTGGTAGTGAGTTAAATGTCTATTCTTCTATATCTTCACACGTCTAACAAATTTTCCAGTGATTCTCGCTTAGGGTAACTAAGCTTTCTTGCGAGAGGCCCCGCGTTCGAGTCGCGGCAGGACCCATTTTTTGCGCGCTTGTGCTTCCGAACAGCTGGTAACAATATGAAGCTGAAGCCTTTGTGCGTTATGGGATGCACCTATTTTTGCTTGCCGGCGCCTAGAAAGAAGGGTAGACGGCGGTGCGCAGACTGCACTAAGGCACACGCAGAACTCGGAACTACTTAATTACAGCGGGCGTGTATCTAGTTGTTTGTAATGCTCTCTGTGCATTTTGAATTGCACGTTGCCGTGGATCATTAAATAGGCTGGATTTCTAATCGGGGCCTAATGCAAGACTTGGTTAACGACAACGACTCGACATTCAAGGTAACAACACTGCGCACATCTTGTTTCCTGCCTAGTTCAATTTGTTTAGCAGATGCCAACACCTGTTCCAGGATTCTTGATATTATTCAATTATAGCTATGTCGATAGATACTAAAGCCTCTTACGCACTGACCGGCAGCTCAATCTGGCTCAATATGACATCCTGAATGGTCAAAAGCTTGTTCAGAGACAGGCAATACAAGACTAGATGACCAACAGCAGGATGCTAGAACTTTATTTCAAGAATCTCGACGGCATCACATGTGTTCAGGAATCTAGCGCGCCACGTGGAGGAGATATGGTCAAAGCTCGTAGAAGCGTCGCAAAACACCGACCGCAAGCAGCTCCACGCCTCACCTGCACTCTTCTGCAACACTACAGTGCAATTGCTATCCGTCAGCAACATGCAATTCCGTTGGCCATACCCATTAGCGCCTGGAACAGGCGTCTGGGGCGCGCCGAACTCGAACCACAAGTAAGTGTACGATCAGCGCGGTACCTGCATTTGCGCCGAGACATGATGCTGTGTAAGCTGCCTCGCTAACCTGTTGTAGCTTTTGTGAGGAGGTAAACACATGAGGCCAAATGCTGTTGTTTCATGAGCTCATCAGGCTAGGACTACAACATCACACCGTACATTGGCGAATTTGTTAACACAATCACCAATTCAATCTATGGTACGTATGCACCTTCGCACCAAAGAGGAAGCATCGTAGCTAACAATGATCAGTCATTTACGGTATCTATGGTCTCCGCAGAGTACAGCCGCGCAAAGATGGAGGAATGTGGTCCACGTTGGCCTTCCCGTACTGGGGCCTCATAGGCGTTGGACTGCTTTCGATGTGGTTCCATGCTACGCTAAAGTATCACAGCCAGATGGGTAAGTCGTTTACCCAATATCCACCCTGGAGGACCTCATCTTCGTCCTTGACTTGAGGTGTCAACTCAAAAGGCGAGAATATATCTGATTGTCTCAGGTGATGATCTCTCCATGTTCCTCGCTGTCGGTGCATTGCTTCACCAGTTGCTCTGCTTTGAGGCAACCCCTGCCCAACGGAGGAACTACACGCTCGCCATTCTCGGCGTGCTGATTCCCGTATCTACTTACCATGTTGTGGCCGACGAGATCTACGTGCACGAGATCGTGTTCGCGATCATGGTCATCATGGTAGTCAGAAAGACTCGGAAGCTGATCAGGGAGAGAGTCAAAAACGAAGAGCACAAGAAGCGCATGGGTCAGCTAGCTACATTTGGCATTGGTACGACGACAGCGGTACTTTAGCTAGACCCCCACTGACCACAGCCAGCAAACTTCCTATTCGGTTACTTCCTCTGGAGCATCGACTTCCATCTGTGCAGCCATGTCACCAAGGTCAAGCACTACGTGGGACTTCCTTGGGGCTTCCTTTTCGAGCTGCATGGCTGGTGGCATATCTTCACGGGCATTGGCGCTTACATTGGCATGGCTTTGACCGAATTCCTTGTGACGATTGTCGAGGGCCAAACGGGCCGTATCGAAGAAGGGTTTGTGTGGCCTGTGAAGGCTGTGTTGAGGGACCTTGATGCCGGACGCGTCAAGAAAGATCGATAATGTTGTCGAAGAAGACTATGGACCTCTGTGAGCACAGCCACAGCCTCGCGTTTTCATGCCTCGCGCCTGTTCCAGGGGTAGAGCTCACTACTTCCGATGATATTGCATCTTAGCTCGGACGCAGGACACTTGGATATTTAGATAAACAAGATCTCAGTCTCACAATTATGACAATTCCGTCACATCTACCTCACGTCTCATGTGCAGTTACCCGTTATGGTTAGGGGGATGCCGGGTCGAGCGGCAGATCATGGCAGGCGATGACGTAGCGTTGCTTCGACGCCAGGCACATTCCACACTTCAAAGCCACGACAAGCTTCCCCCTTTGCGTCTCCTCAATTGAACCAAATCACACAGTACACTCCTCATTACAACTTGAACACAACAAAAATTCCTTCAACAAGCTAGCAACATGGACGTACGTGTGCTCACAACGCGGTGAATACGCAAGGACGCAGAACTGACGGGTTTGCGCAGGTGTACTACTTCTACAGCTACGGCACCGCCGCCTGGTTGGGTCCGTCTCCGCAGCTCAATCCTGCTCAATACAGACTGACAATAACCCAGCAACCCAAGCCGCGCCGCTCATCGCCAGCCCCACGATGATCGTAGCGCTGCTCTCGCCCGAAGTCCGCGAGGCCACGACGCTCGAAGTCTACTTCTCCCGCACCCTCGGCTTCACGCTACTGACCCTCGGGGTCCTCACCGTGCTGCTCACAGGCTCTGTGCCGCTGAGCAGCAGCCTCGCAGAAGGTTGGCTCCCCCTTCAGAGGCCTAGGCAATTAAGCTGACAGAGCAGGCGTCTCAACAGACAAGACGGATCCCAAGGCGCCCTACGCACTCCCCACGCTGACGATCACGGCGCTCTTCCACTCGGCGACGGCGTTCTACTGCTACGGCCTGTGGACAGAGACGGGCGTGTTCTCGTTCGGGCTGGGCAGCATGGGCAGCGTGTTCCTGGGCGCGGTAGCGCTGTGGTGTATCCTGTTTGCCAGCAGCAACGGCAGGATTAGCAGGAAGACGGGGGCCGACAAGCGGACGAGTGGGTTTCCATTCAAGAACAGCGAGGCAGACAAGAGAAAGGGCAGGTAGAGGGTTGGGTGACGATGGAGCAGCGTGGATTTGACAGAGGTATTGGTGATGGCATTATGGCATTACGGCATTATTGATAGTGGGGTGTAGACTGTTGAAAGTAGTGGACATGGCTCCAGGCTACGCGAAATGTTCCTCCCTCGCCTCGACAGCTCCACGCAGGCAGTGATTCCTAGATGGCTCACAGGCTTGATTCCTAGATGGCTCACAGGCTTGATTCCTAGATGGCTCACAGGCCTGATTCCTGGATGGCTCACAGGCCTGATTCCTAGGTGGCTCACAGGCCTGATTCCTAGATGGCTCACAGGCCTGATTCCTAGGTGGCTCACAGGCCTGATTCCTAGGTGGCTCACAGGCTTGATTCCTAGGTGGGTCTCCCCGCCAGGATGCTCTCCCAAGGGTCCTCCCGCCACCACGGCAGCTTGCCGTCGATGGGCGTGACGTGCAGGGTGCGGACATCGCGCTCGGCGGCGTCGAGGCCATTGAGCTGCTCGTCGCCGCGGTCCAGGCGATGCCGCTTCGCCGTGGCGAGCTGCATCTCCATGTAGTTCTCGAGCAGGAGCTGTTTGCGGTCCCACTCGAGCTTGCGCGTCTTCTCCAGGGCGTCGGCGTCGCGGCGCAGCGCCTCGCCCTCGTCGGTGGCGAACTGCAGGGTGCGCCGCAGGGCGTGGAAGAGCTGGTCTGCGGGGAGTGCCAGCTCGGCCTGCGTCAGGGAGATGTCGGGCGGGAACTGGACCATGACGGGTGCGCCCGGGCTGGCCAGGTCCTGGATGTATGTGACGTTGTTGGCGGCGTGGGCGGCGTCGGCGGGGGCCGGGTGCAGTGTGGCGGCGGGGGCTGGGGCCAGTGTGGCGGCGAGGGCTGGGGGCAGTGTGGCGGCGGGCGGCGGGTGCAGCGACGAGGGCGAGGCGGGGGTGCTGGCCTTGGAGTCCGAGGACGGCCTGGCTTCGTTGGAGAGCACGAGCTTGATGCGCTGGAACTTGTTGAGCGGGTTGGACGAGTGGTGCTTCGGCACGGGGTCGGACGGGCGCAGTGCCTCGGTCTCGTGGACGGTGCGCATGTGCTTGGCCAGCGCGTCAGAGCGGGTGAAGCTGCGGTCGCATTCTGGCGGGGGTCAGTCAGTGCTAAGTACTCGGGGCGACGCCGGGCACATACCGGGCAGGGTGCAGTAGAAGGGCTTCTCGCGCGTGTGGCTGCGCATGTGTGCGCGCAGCGCATAGCCGCTCGCATGCGGGATGCCCTTGCGCGTGCAGTCGGACCACTCGCAGCTGTACTTTTTCTGGCGCGTGCCAATGTGGTCGTCGTGCAGGTGCTCGACCAGCTGGTCCATGTTGTCCAGGTCGCCCGCGTCGCAGCCCTCCCACTTGCACGCCGTCACCTGTTCCTGTCCGAAGTCGTCGTCCTGCGACATGCCCGGGTGGTGGTTAGGCGACGCTGGCACGCTGCCGTCCGTGTCTTCGCTGAGTGCGCCCAGGTCCTCGAGCGTCGCCGGCGGTATGGCATGGGCAGCCGGCGGCGGCGACGACGGCGCGCGCTTGTTCAGGCGCAGACGCTTGCTGGGTCGCTCGGGCGCGTCGGGCGTGGGCTGGTTGCTGAGCCGGCGGCCCTTGACCTCGTCGGGGAAGTCGTCGGAGCTGGCGGACGTTAGTGCGCGAGGTGCTTTGCAGCTGGGGCAGGACGGACGCATAGTCGGACAGGTCTGAGGCGGGTGAGTCCATGCTGGGCGGCGAGTGGGCGCAGCGTTTGCGTCGTGGTGCAGTCGATGCCCTGGTGCAGTCGATGCCCTGATGCAGTCGATGCCCTGGTGCAGTAGGTGGTGCATCTCCCATGCAGCTCCGAGCGCTCGGACTCCCGCTCGCCGCACTCCCCTGGCCGCACTCCCTGGCTGACTTTTGTCACTCGCCAACTTTTGTTTCTTCTCTCCTCCTCTTCCTCCTCGACCTCTTCCTCCTCGACCTCTTCCTCGTCGACCTCTTCCTCCTCCACCACACGCACAATGTAACCCCACACGTAAGCCACACTTCACCCCCACCCACCGTCCTCAATGATGAATACACAGAGTTCTGCAATTCCAACGGCCTCGCCTACTAGCTTGGCCGAGTGCGGATTACTCTATACACTACTATTTCTCTGATCTCACACAAAGCCTTCCCATTCTACCTACAGGCCCTTGCACACAAGCTAATGCGCACGTGCAGCCAGTCAGCTAGACGCTCTCAAGCAAACGTCAGCGCCATCGCTTCCTTGTGGTACCTGTCGCCCACGATGGGGAATTTATCCAGAATCTGTCCGAGCTCCTTCATATCGGACTCGTCCAGCCTCGCCGGCTGCATGTTCTCCTTGATCCGTGCCGACGTGGTAGCACCTGGAATGGGGATCAGCGTCGGCATGCCCTCCTTGCCGCTCTGATACAACACCCAGCCAAGTGCGATCTGCGCAGGCCTGACGCCCTTCTTCTGTGCCATGCCTTCCACAGCGTGCACCAGCTTGACGTTCTCATCGAACACGTCGGGCTGGAACCGCGGCATGTGGCGCAGCATCGAGTCGGCTTCCAAGTCATCGTGCTTCTTGTACTTGCCAGCCTGAAATCTGTTAGTCACGCTTGACCACTGTGATGAGTCATCTTACCAAGAACCCTCGTCCGAGAGGCGAGTACGCAACGATGGGAATGCCCAGCTCTGCACATGCCTTCGCCACGCCGTTCTCGAGGATATCGGTGCAGAAGAGTGAAAACTCGACTTCCACGGCAGCGATCTTATGCACGCTTGCTGCTTTGCGGATCGAGTTTGCACCCACTTCAGACAAACTGATGCCGCCGAGCTTGCCAGCCTTGACGTACTCTGCAATATACCCAATCGTCTCCTCGATAGGCGTGTTGGGGTCAACTCGTGCACCTGTTCATGTCAGTAGCAATCCGCATATGCAAATCCATAGACATACACTCAAACAAATCCAAGCTCTTCTTCCCACCGAGCCACTTCAAACACTCATCAATACTGCGCCTCACATTCTTCTCGCTACCATCAGGCTTCATCTGCCCCGGCAGCAACCCACCCTTGATAGAAAGCACCACCTTCTCCGCGTCCTCGGGGTACCTGGTGAAGTACTCATTGAGCAGCTGCAGCGAGTTGGCCTCAGGCGGCCCGTACAGCTCGCCGCCGTTCCAGTTGTTGGCCCCCAGAGACAGCGCCGTGCGCATGGCCTCGAAGCTCTGCTCTTTCGGGGGCGGGCTGGCCCGCCATGTGAGACCTGCGTGCGTCAGTCGAGCTTGTAACCTGTGCAACCACGATGCACGTTAATGCCGCGAGATGTACCCATGAGGCCGTAGCCCACGTCTCCGACCTGCTTGCCTGCGAGTTCTGGCATGTTGATTGATGTTGTGTTGATGGATTCAGAATTCGCCGTGTCGGTGGGGCAAGCGATGATATCACAAGTCACAAGTGCTCAATTGCTCCGAGCAGCGTTGCCAACGGGAGGGTAAGGTTACAGTACTATAGCCTTATCACCTGTTTTGGTCTAGTATTATTAGTAACAGCAATATAGCTGCTTCCTAAGGCTAGGACAAATTCCACCGTAACAGTCTGGGCGCGTTAGGTCTAGGTCGCCTTAGGTGCTGTTGCCTCTAATCTCACCTAGTCCCACAAAACGCATGATAATATAACATCTCATATACTTGAAGCCAACGTTACTTTTGTAATTAATATTACACTAAACCCCGCTGGTCCAAAAAACATCGCTTTCATGGCACGATTTCACATCTTCGTCCGTGTGTTGATCGAGCGGTATGCGTGGAAGGTGCAGATGGGTAAGATTGCCAAGAGCCTTTGCTGGCCCTAATCAGTGTCACCCAGTCCATTCAACCTTATCGTCATGCCGACTTCACCGTTTCAGTTGCCGCCTCTGCCAGACTTGCTCTCGACACCTCTTCTGCCGTCTCGACATCTTCCGCAGCGGTGCCCTCCGATGCCCTCTTCCTGTCATCTCTCCTCTGGAGGAATTGCAAGATGACGGTCAGCGATATCATCGCAGCTCCAAAGACCGCACACGCTGTGAAGCCAGCGTGGAACCTCGGCGCATCGACCGTTCTCCAGACCGCGATGGTGTACCAGATCACGTTGATGTAGCTGAACATGTTGGAAGCTGGATACTGTTAGACCAACGATCAGAAGAGGGACCCTGTCTTCACAATGACCAAGACCGACGAGAGAACTTACCTGCAATCACAAACCCCCGCATCTCGTGGTCGTGCGGTATGAGATCCGAGTACCACGCAAAGTACGGGCCAGGCACCCCTGCCGAGAAGTACGAGATGTAGTACGCAAAGTACTTGACTCTATCCGAAACATTCCATGCAGCCAGGATACTAACACCAACCAACGTCCCTGCCTGCATGACAATGATGACCGGCCAGCGCCGTCCCTTCAATAATGGCGAATCCGAGACCATGCCAGCAGCAAGCTGCACAACCACACCGACAGCAACCTGTCCCGTCGGCCAGACATTCCTCTCATAAACCGAGCGACCATTAGCCTTCAGCCAGAGCGCAAAGTTCGGCTGATGCGAAGGAAAACTCGACTGTACGAAGAAATAGCCCAGCGGCAAGACCCAGAACTGCCACTGCCCTGCGATACGCAGTATCTTTCTGCGGTTCCAGGGGTTGTGACCCAGCGGCTTCTGGCCCTCGGCGATGAGCCGTGCGCGCTGTCTGGATGCTTCGGATTCGGTGATGTAGAATGCTTTTGTTGTCTCAGGGAAGTCGGGAATGAAGAAGTAGCCCAGGAAGGCGATGGGGAGCGAGATAATGCCGCAGACGATGAACAGCCATTGCCAGCCTTGCTTGCCGTACCTGCCGTCGAGACCTGAGTACGCGCCCGCCTGGAGGTAGCCGCTGAACATGCCTGCGAGCGCTGCCGTGCAGTAGAACAGCGCAACGCGTTTCCCGCGCTCTCCTTTCGTGTACCAGCTCGAAACGAGATATATCATCACTGGGAAGAATCCAGACTCGCACAGTCCAATGAGGAATCGGATGGCGTATAGCTGCGAGACGTTGGTGACGGACGATGTGCAGAACGTCAGGATCGACCAAATGATCTCCAGGCTGGGGATCAAAATCGAGGGTCGAATTCTGGTCGCCAGCATCACGGCAGGCATCTGCCCAACAACATATCCCGCCGTGAACACATTGCTCGCATATGTCAGCTCGCTACCATGCATGCCGAGACTCTCCTTCATCTGCTCCAGTGTTAGCCCACGGCATCTCCGACCAGTTAGCACGACGTACCCCTGAGACATAAGCATTGCTGATGTTAGACTGATCGAGATTCTTGCTAAAGTACCCGAGGCAAGCCGACGTCAAGAGGAAGCAATCCAGCTTGAAGAGAAACCATTTCTCCTCCTTGGGCTTATCAGGATCGTCCCAGACATAGCGTTGAAATACGCGATAGCCGCGACGGAAGGAACCTAGGATGCCTGGCTTTTCCCAGGGCTGGATGGGCCTGGTAGCTGGTGGAGTGGTGCTGCGCGAGGATGAACCGGCTTTGGCTTCGGTCTCGATTGAGAGAGGTTCTTTGGAAGCCATATTGGTAAAGACAGTAGATCCGAGGACGTTGGCAATGAAACCACAGAACTACAATTATAAGCTACGAGTATCTCGCAGTCTGTAGCGACCAAGCCATGGCGACATCAGACCGTGAAATCACCATCAACGATGTTGCGCCATGTCTGCATGGGCGCGATAGCAGTTTGATCCTTAACAGGATACAAACAAATCCATCCGAGGTTTCGCCACCGGGAGGGTTCGTTGAAGATACCGGCGATCGCGCAATAGCCTTCGGCGTTTGCGTTGCGAGGCTGGTAGGATCATGTCGAACGTTCTGAGATTCAGCGGACCCACGTGGAGACTTGTCTGGGACGATCACTAACAGGGCTTGTTTGCCGAAGAACAGGATTCACTTTTTACAACTCTGAGTGTCGAGTGCAGCTGCATGCACATGGAAGACCTCGAAACACATCTTGTCACGTGCGTGATCATTCACTGCCATCTCAGGCAAGACCATTTACTTCCATGACTTCATTTATAACACGTGCGAGCTTCAACAGCAGTCAAAGAAGAACGAACGTCGTACTCCAATTAAAGTTGTAAGATAAGGTATTTGAATGGTCCGCGTAACGTGGGATTCGTCATGGCCGGGTTTGATCGCGCCATCTGATAGTCAGCGGACACGGAAGTTGCGAACCGCAAACGTGGGGTAGGAACCACCCCACTTCGACACTGGCAAAGATGGAGATCAGCACACCATCAACAGTAACGAGCCAATACGCTTGCTGGCTCCAAGCGATGCTTATGTGCTGCAGCCACACTTCACTATGCGGCGGCAAGCTTTCATCTGGTTCGCCGGCGACTGTACGGCATTTAAACGGTGTCTTGCGGCGTTTAAAATGGTGAACACCATTGAGTGACTAGATCAGCAAATGCAGCGGACAGTCAACGATGGCGACATTGACGGTTGAAGTGAGGAGATCGCTGTGCCTCATGTGCGTGGTATGATCTCTATATACAGCTCAGATGCCCTTCGATAGAGTAGCATCCTTATTTCACACTCACAAAGATGGCAACGACAACGACTGAGACTCGCACAGCCGCTGTGCCGGAGCGAAAGGACCTGTCGCAGTACGACTTCGCCAATCTGGAGCCGTATGAGCACCCCCCTGAGACCAAGGCAGATCTACCGTGGTCAGAGCTTGTCACGCTTGATCTGGAAGATTTTGACCGTCCGGGTGGTAAAGAGCGACTCTCAAAACAACTTGAACATGCTGTCCACCACGTAGGATTTGTAAGTGCACCAACGCCCGTCCTTGCGACTCGACGCACACTAACGTTGTTTCAGTTCTACGTGAAGAACTTCGGCATCAGTCAAGAGAAGGTCGACAGGCAGTTCACACTAGCAAAGCACTTCTTCAAGCTCCCAACGTCCGAGAAGGAGAAATACGAGTTAGACTACGCCAACGCCGACTACAACGGCTGGCGGCGTCCCGGCCGCTCCCTTGTCGCCCAAGCCCGCGACAACATCGAGATTTACAACTTCCCCAAGTTCACAGACGACTTTAAGGGTAAATACGGCCAGCCTGATCTGCTGCAGGCGCATCTCCCCGAGATCGAGGCGTTCCAGAAAGCACTCCACGCAAATGTGGTACTCCCATTGCTGCGCCTCTTCGCCATCGTGCTGCAGCTCCCGGACGAAGAGTACCTCGTCAAGCAGCATACGTACGACCGCAAGAGCGAGGACCACAGCAGGTACATGCTCTACCACCCCCGCACCGAGGCCGAGTGGGCAGAAGCAAAGTACGGCGCGACGGGGGGCCATACCGATCTGGGGACGCTCACTCTGCTGTTCCGCCAGCCGGTCGCGGGCCTGCAGATCCTTGGTGAGGACGGGAATTGGACGTGGGTCTCTGCTCAGCCGGGAACTATCACGGTCAATCTCGCAGATACTATCTCCCATCTCACGGGTGGATGGCTGAAGTCGTCTGTTCACCGCGTCGTGGCGCCGCCGGAGGATCAGAGACAGTACAGTCGAACGGGGTTGTTGTACTTCGCGCGACCGCACAACGATACTAAGTTGCTGCCCATTACGGATAGTCCGGTGCTGGAGAAGGCTGGAGTAAGACCGCGATTCGACAAGATTGTCACTGTGGAGGAGTGGGTCAAGGCGAAGCAGACACTGCAACTAAATCCCGAGGAGACAAAGAAGCGGTGGAAAGAGGGCAAGGTGGAGGTTCTGGCTGGGTTCCACGATCAGAGGTATAAGGAGTAGTATATACCCACTATAGACAAGAAACGAACAATCAAAGCCGCCGTCGGTAACTCCAATGCCTCTCCGCATCCCCCAGCAAACTGTCCCATATCCTCAGCGCAGCCGCACCCGTCCCATCCTTCCCCAGCACCGCATCTCTCGCCCTACCAGCCCATGCCCTCGCCTCTGCACTTTGACCCACGGCATTACACGCCAGCGCTGCAAACCCATATGGCACATCCATGAACCCCTGCAAACCCTCCTCCTCATACAAGTCCACCAACTGCCTTGCCAGTTCCGGCGTTGCTTGTGACGTCTCACTCCAGTCATTGAGCTGCGCTTGCATCTCACGAATCCGATCGAGCATGCCATCACCCCTCTCCGCGTCCCCGCACCGCGCACAGCGACACTTAAAATGAAATCCCTCCTCCAGCCTCGCGCGTCGCTCGCCCGTCTTCTCAAGCGGACTCGTATACGCAATGGTCACCTCCTCGCCCTCGGGAATCGGCCGCATGACACGCACAGTATGCGTAAGCGTCTCAGGATCAACGACATACTGCGCGTTGGGCGCACAGTCGTGGTTCAAGCGGCTCGACTCCGGAAAGATGGCGAGGTGATTCGCGCCGGCGAGTTCGAGCTGGAACGTGTTGCCCTTTACAATGTCCTGGTGCCGCACCCGCGGATCGCCGTAGATGTACATCAGCGAGAGAAAAGAGTCACGTGTTATCCGGGGGAGCCGGGCGATCGCCGTGCTCCATAGGCTTTCGCGATCGAGGGTGCTGAGATCCGCCTCAAGGTAGGCGAGGAAGGCGGGTGTGTAGCGCAGGATCTGGGTTCCGGGGATGAGGTCGTGGAGAGCTAGAGTGCCGATGCCTTTGTTGGGGATACTCGAGGTGAACCATAGGGTGCTGGCTTCGTTGGTGCCGTTGCTCTTCAGCAGGGCCGGATCCGTGAAGGCGGAGAGAGAGACCATGTGGGCGGCGAGTTTGGGGGTGGTGACGATGGAAATTCCGCGCCCGGACGCAAAGGTCGTACTTGTGTAGGCGCATAGTGGAGATTGTGTGCTGGGTAGTGGTAAGGTACAGAGTGGCTGATGGGTCCAGGGCCAGGGGAGATGGAACGATGTGAAGGATCTAGGGCCAGTATCAATGAGATTCACTATTTCGAGAATCTTGGATGGCGTGGAAGTCCTGTGTGACTGGAGCGTGATAGTTTGCAGTGTGGTCTCCGACCAGCATTGGTTGTTCAAAACGGGAAGTGCGCATGTTGATCGGAGGAAATACAGAAGTGCTGCCAGAACAGTAGAAGAGAGTGAGAACGACAACATGGCGGAAGGAATGACTGAAATGCAGAGTCCTGCAGGAAGTTTTGACGTCCAGATAAGTCTCAGGCGTGATGAACGCGTGCAATTCCGGGTACCGTATGAAGACTTCCGAAACTTGATCTGTCCGGGCCGCATTGGCCAAGTTAGCGCACCAACCTCGCATTCAACAGTCGCCAGACACTTTGATACTTTTGAAAAGGTAATGCAATGGGTATTGACCTTGGAACTATCCTGAACACCGATGAATGCTGACGCTTTTTGTCGAAAGTGGATTGCGCGTTCACTACGACTCTTCCTCGGCCTCGCCCTTGGAGCTTCTCTTCTTTTTCTTCTCCTTCTTTTCCTCCCCTTCCTCGCGCTTCCGCTTCTTCTTCTTTTTCTCGCCATCCTCTTCCGGCGCGACAAAATCAGCCAATCTCTCTTTCCGTTTGTCCTCCATCTTCTCCTTCATCTTTGCGTCGCGATCTTCCCGCACCTTGCGCTCCTTTGCCTGCTTGCCCAAGAAGTACTCTCCACTCTCGATCTGCAGGTCTACCTTGCTCTTCTCCTGCGCGGGCGGGAACGGTGTGTATGTCTTCTTGCTCTTGTCCGTGACGTTGTGGGGTACTCTCCGCTTGCTGAGGGAGCGCTTCTTGAAGTTTGGCAGGAAGCGGTCCCAGCTCTCGTTGACCAGCTCGGGGTCTTTCGCGAGCTCCTTTTTAATCATGAGCTCTTTGATCGCATAGATGGGGTGGATATTGTGCATGGTGTCCTCGATGATGCGCCGTATTGTCTTTAGGCCTTTGTAAGGGCCCATCGCCGCGACTGTGTTTCCTTGCACCAACAGGTAGCATTCTGTGAGGAGCTCGAGAGCCTTCAGGGTCGAGCCGTTGGGGCCCAGAATACGCTGTCGCCTCTTGACAAAGCGGTCCTTGTTGCCGACCAGATTCCTGATCTTGATGATATCCATAGCCACATCGTCCTCAAGGATCTTGACCGCCTGTGGTGCAGGTACGCTACGCGCGAGCAGTTTGATCAGGTCGCGCGCACTCAGGATCGCGGCCGGATCGTATGTCTTTCGCGTTGTTGCGACCGTCATGGAACCTTCCACCAAGTTGAGCGTGGCTGTGATACCATGTTTCTTCAGCGCCGATTCGATAAACTTCCATGAACCTTTGAGGTACTGCTCGCGGTATTTGGGGAAAAGCGTGGAGAAGCTCGACTCCTCGGTGAAGGGACCGGCTGTGTTGTCTTCGGGCTTGAAAGGCTCAATCTGTGGGGTCGTTAGCCAGTGTGGGTAGCTGATGAGCTGCAAATTGCGCGAACCTTCCACTTGTCGATATCGTCCGTGTCCCAGGGCTTCTCCGCATTGTGTGTGGACGGCATTGTCGCGGTTTGGTGTTGATCGTGTTTCTGGCTGCGAATACTTTTTTGCGGAGCGGAAAGTTAGCGCGCCTGCCGCCAAGAGTTCGAAATCAGGGCTTATCTTAGCGTGGCTCACATGTCACACACCTCGCCCGCATCGGCGCCCGTGCCATCAGGGCACCTACGCAAACGTATTGTTTTCACCGCTCATGGGTTCGCCTTCAAGGGTGTGATATTGCTCGCTCATGTTCTATACATGCATCGCAGATTCTGTGCGATATCCTGATCTATGCGACCTCAAACTCGTAGTAGACGTATGCTGTGTACTCTTGGTCGCCAACATGCCCGGATGACTGCATCTCAGCCGTCAGAGCTGAGTCGTCCTTCTTAACGCGGCCCTTGTTGTCGCGGCCAAAGGCGTTGCCGCCCAAGTACGAGTAGGCTGCATCGAGGTTGGTCTTTGCCTTCTTCGCTGCCTTCGCATCGCCCGTCTAAAACAATTAGCGCCCGTAGCAGAGAGTAGTGATGGAGCTGTGCATACCTGAATGATACCGCAGACGAAATCAAGCGGCAGACCGTACCGTAGCACTGTCTCGACGAAGACTCGTAATGCAAGCACATGGATCCAGATCATGGCGCTCTCGCTGTACCCTGTCCGCCCTAACCTCAGGGCGTCGCCCCACTGCTTCTGCGCATCTCGAGTGAGCTGGTCTGCCTCCTTTGCCTCCTCTTCCTTTCCACCTTCCTTGTACTTGTAGTCTCTGGGTGTCCACCGCTTCTCCCTGCACTTGTGTACGAAGTCGGTCGAATGCTTCTTGAACACTGTGACAGCAAACAATGTGAACTCGTCGTCCTTGGCCAGCTGGTTGGCAGAGCGCGGGACGACCATCGGGGTGAGCTCCTCGTAGGACTTGTAGAACTCCTTGACGGTGACGTTGGGGACGGCGATGAGGTGGGTGTCGAGGTATTCCGAGTCGCGGATTAGCGAATTGGGGTTGACGACCGAGACGAGCGACTTGGTTGACAGGTTGCCCGTCTTCTTGCGCTCGGCCGCGGCGAGAGCAGACTTGGTCTGGTTGTACTGGCTGAACTTGGCCTTGACGTCGTTGTCGATGCCCTGTATCTCCTTCTGCAGCAGGTCGATGAGGTCGGCGATGGGCTTGTCGGCGCGGTACTTGACTTTGTTCCACTGGAAAGTGCGCAGGTACTGCTCTACAGGCTTGTCGTTGATAGTCTTCTGCTGCTGCACCTTGCCCTCGTCGCCGTCGAGGATGGTGCGCAGGCTGTCCCCCACCTTGCCCACGACGCCGTGGCAGGCATTCTCGAGCTTCGCAAGGTCGTCGGCCTGCTGCACCAACGCGTCGAGCGTGCCAATCTTGAATTCGGGGATCGCGAACGGGTGGGTGGAGCCAACGTCATTGGTAACGGTCGAGCGCAGGGCTGTCAGCGCTTCTTCGGCGTGGTTGCTGGGGGAGATGGACGTCGGCAGCGACACCAGCAGGTACTTGGTGCCTTTCGACATGGTGTTGGCCGTTCGGTCGTGTGCAGAGCGCGTAACCTGGGTGTGCACTGTGCAGTAGGGTTGTTTTGCCGTTTGAGGTAGGTCTTGCCTTGGTGGAGAGCTTGGGGCACTCTAGCGCGCTGCGTCACTGGTCTTGTCCGGGCGCTGTACGGAGTACGGTAGGTATCGCGGCGCCGATGCGACGCCGTGGATTGCCGCGTTCATGAATGGCCGTCGGGGAAGCTCTGGAGACCATCACTCCTCCGCCCACCGAAAATGTCTTCGAAAAGAGTTGTTGCAAAGCTGCAGCCGGCCGTCAATGCCTCTATAACACGCGCATTGCGCCCTGGATATGCTCAGAGGCTCCAGTACAGCACGCGGACCTTGGCTGGTCGCGCAACGAGCCCCCGCAAGCTCGAGACACGACAGCTGCAGCCATTTGCCCGCTTTGCTTCCTCTGGGGCTTCTGGAGAGAAGCCAGCGAGGACAGGTCTGTATGAGCTGCACACCAAGTTCGGCGCCAAGTTTGTGCCCTTTGGCGGCTACGAGATGCCTGTGCAGTACAGCGACCTGAGCATCATCGACTCACACAACTGGACCCGTGAGAAGGCCAGCCTGTTCGACGTTGGACACATGTAAGACTCCCAACAGACTGCTTTCCGTGACTGTGATTCTGAAGACTCCCTAGGGTACAGCACCACTTCTCTGGACCTGGCGCCGAGGCATTCCTCGAAAGCATCACTCCCTCATCCATCTCCACTCTTCCTCCAAACCAATCCACCCTCTCCACCCTGTTGCACCCTGAGACGGGAGGCATCGTTGACGACACCGTCATTGCGCGCCTGCCAGACAGGTTCTACGTAGTTACCAACGCTGGTTGCCGCGAGAAAGACAAGGCCTACTTGTCTGAGCAGCTTGAGTCGTGGAAGCAGCAGAACCCTGACAAGGCCGTGGAGTGGAACATCCTCGACGGACAGGGCTTGGTCGCTCTCCAGGGGCCTCTGTCTGCTGACATTCTCTCCCGCATCCTGGCCGATGAGTCCGCTCTCACCCTCAAGTCGCTGTACTTTGGTCAGTGCATTCCAGCGACAATCAAGGGCACAAACGTCGAGGTGCTAGTAAGCCGTGCCGGATACACTGGCGAGGACGGCTTCGAGATCAGCATCCCGTCTTCTGCTACTGAGGCTGTCACCCAGTTCCTCCTCGATAACGCGAAGGACGAGTTGCGCTTTGCTGGTCTCGGAGCGCGCGATACCCTCCGCCTCGAGGCTGGCATGTGCCTCTACGGCCACGACTTGGACGACACCACAACTCCCGTTGAGGCGGCGCTATCCTGGATCATCGGAAAGGATCGTCGCGCAAAGGGCGGCTTCCACGGTGATTCAGTCATCCTTCAGCAACTGAAGAAGAAGTCCGAGGGCGGCGGTGTTTCGCGACGCCGTATTGGCCTGATTATCGAGGGCTCCCCTGCTCGCGAGGGCGCCGAGATCGTTAGCGAGACCGGCGAGAAGATTGGCAACATCACCTCCGGCTGCCCATCGCCCACCCTCAAGAAGAACATCTCGATGGGCTACATTAAAGACGGTCTGCACAAGGCAGGCACCGAAGTCCAGGTTGTCGTACGCGGAAAGAAGAGGAAGGCCGTGGTGACCAAGATGCCCTTCGTTCCCAGCAAGTACTTCAAGCAGCCCACGACAGCCAAGGCATAGGCTGCAAGCGTGTGAATGCTATTCCTGATTCTCCATGCGCGCAAGTTTGATTCCAATAAGTGACCACTCATGCGCCAGCCTCGAGCTCCTGGACTCGAGCCAGGATCCTTGCTTTCCAGCTCTGATAGTCTTGTCTCTGGCGTTCACCCAGGTAATCAGTGGTGTCCTGTAGCATGGTACCGAGACCAATGTAGTCACTGCTGCCACATTTGAAACCCAAAGATTTGCCTGCTGTCAGCCGAGTCGTGCCATTGTCCGCCATCTCGACGCCCTCCATCTCATCGATGTTGTCGGTCGGAGATATGTTCAGGAACCACTCCATCTGCAACCACCCTTCATGAAGCGCTACGTTCATCAAGTCTTCTGTCTCAGACGAGAGCTCTTCGTACGTGACATTTTTCGCAGCGGGTAGCTCGAGTACGGTGCGGACGGCTTTGTCTTTGCGTTCTTCGTATTCTTCAGGCGTAATGTCCTGGTTCATCATCCTCGTCAGTACGTAGAGGACTACGACAACGACTAAGGCAAAAATTTTTGTCTCTGGGACAGCTGCCATAGGAGCTTTCGATTCGTTGCCGGCTCGTTCCGACCGCTTACTGGGCGTCTCTGCTGCAGCAGCAGACATGCGAGCCATGAGAGGCAGGATCGACTCAATTCCGGTGTAGACGTGAGGTGTAGCGAGTGGATACGAAAGATTCTTGACGAGCATTCGGATGACGGGCATGACCCATTCTGGCGGTTCTCCATTGTTGCTGTCGATTCTCTGAGCTGCTCGCGGTGTCTTTCTGGCGCTCAAGGGCGTCTTTGGTGTGCCTCTCGCAGAGGTCGTGGCGGGAGTCCGATCTTTTCGCGGCGTCTGTGGTTCACGGGGCGTTGCAGAGTCAGGCAGGGCGCTGGCGAGATAGTCGTAGAGCTTCTTGTACACTCGTGGTGGACATGGTGGGCGAGATGCAATCGAGGGAAGATTGAGGCGCTTCTTGAGTCTGCATTACTTGTTGGCCTCGACCGTGGAAGGCCGTAGTGGGATTGCCTACCTTTCACAAGCCAGCTGCGCACACGCGTATGGACGTCCGATCTCCTCCTCTTGCTTTAGCGAGCTGGCGGCGCTTCGTGAGCGTGCCAGGAGAGACAGAGCGACGTCGACCAGCTCTGCAGGGAGAGGACCATTGAGCGTGGGGAGCAGACCCGTGAGAGCTTGCTCGATGCTGGCCTTGTTCATCCTGGAGATGACGTTGGTTGCTCCGAAAGAAACCTCGGCGATGAACATGGGGAACGCGTCGCGCCTTCTGCAGCTAGAAAAGCGGGGCAGCTCTAGCGCGCCTTTTCATCATCAGGCGACACCGTCATGTCCAATGTGAGACGCCTTTTAATCTGCACCGACGCCGCTTTTCCACACGCTTGCTCCATACTCTTCCATCGAAAACGGCGGATATACTTTGCCTGTAGGACGAGGCTGAGCGAGCGGTGAGCAACAATCGATCTGGGAGTGTAATTATAACTGTATGACGCCCGTCACCGACGTAATCTGTTGCAACAGTCGCACAGTGGTACATCGCGGCCATGAACTAGTATACCGCTTCTTCGAGATGTCAATGTGATCCAGGCATCGATGCGCGCCAGGAGGGCTTACCCGTGGTCCATGAGTGAGGCGAGAAACGACCACTGGCTTCTGGATGTTCATCTGCTCTCCGTATTTCTTGTCTCTGGCCAGTATTACCTGTCGCTTTTAGGACGAGCACCACAGTACCTACAGCGTGATGGCAAAGGTACTGGTTGTGGTACGCTCGGCGACCCCATCCAGCGAATTCGCGATGTACAAACTACCACGTTGCCATCGAGTTTGCGCACTTTGACAGCTTGGTCGCACGCTTTTACATTCGGTCAGTATCCTCGCTTGCTGAATGGATACTGATACCCTTGCATTGCACACCGCATGCATTTCGATATTCAACCAGCCTTATCGATGGCTGTCGATACAGTACGAATGACCGCGACTTTTGGGGCCAGGAGGCGTTCAGCGACACGTATAAAGATGGCTGTGAGTATCGAGGCTGATCTCCCTCCATCAGACTCTTGAGAAGCCACCAACCACAGACTACAAATCAGACGAACAACCATACATTTCTCTCGTCAGCCTTCTATCATGCTCGCCCTCTCAGCCCTTGTTGTTTTGCTATCAGCAGTTCCTACCACTCTGTCGGCACCCGTCGATGGCATCGCTATGTCGGCAGATCCGTACAACTGTGGCTATGTTCGCACACGCCCAAGCAGCAGTGTGGTAGCAGGCATCTTCGCGCTGAACAAATGCGAGCCCATCTTCTACAACGAGACCATCAGTGATTACCAAGATGCGTTCGCCTACACACTTTACGGAGGCTGCAGCTGCCGCTTCTACACGTGCGTGTCATTCCAAACGCCATAGCCTTCAGCTGACAATGGTAGACTCGAAGAGGACTGCTCAATAAGCTCTCCCGTACCTGTATACACAGGCTCGACTGATCGATGGAGAGAGCCCCTATTTGCAGACCCGAGGCCAACCTGGTACAACTGCCACGAGAGCAAGTAGAAGGATGTGCCGGGATGCTTGTCACCAATAGATCTATACTTTCGAGGAGCAGGAAAAGCCGCCTGCGCGTAACAAACTTGTAAATGAAGGTAGGCAGTCAAGAGCTATCTGCGGGCGTCTCGTCACCGGATAATACTGCTGGAGGCACAAGTACTTTAGTGTCACAGCCGACTTTGTCCGCAACACGAGAGCCATTGCAGGAGTGGGAGACAACGGTTTCGCACTTGATTTTCGCAAGTACTAATGAATTTTTATACTACTTGTTGCGTGTTTTTACTTCACGACTGGTGCCGTCTAGCCGCTGACCCAGCCATTACCTAACCCTTGAGGTAGTCATAATATGCATGAATCCGCGAGCTAATGCAGGAGGAAGTTGCGAGACGTTGGTGACTACAACTTTGCCCGGTTCAACCAACTGCGCAGGCGGTAGCTGATCGAATTCTCCTCGTCCAATGCCTGTGCTTCAGCTGCCGCAGACGTATGTGGCTCCTCCAGCTCCTCCAGCTTCTCGCCTGCATCAGCAGGGACGGGCTCAACAATCAAGAGCAGATTGGCATGCGCGATCCAATTGTCGTCATGGAAGACTCGAACCTTCGAAATGTGCAAGTTGCCGAGCTCCTTCTTGTGTTGCAGTAGGAAGTAGCTGAAAGCCTTGGCGTTAGAAGTACCTAGATTTGGTCAGTATTTATTGCCCTAGCCTATCGCTCGTCACTGACCTAATATTGCCTGCCCTTGGGGCGTCGAAGTGTCGAATCCGATCCCAGGCCAGTCTGGGAAGCCCCACGCCCCGGGTAGGACTTCTCGAATACACCGCGACAGAATGTGCTGTGTCAGCTCGTTCGTGATCGATAGCGACATGAAATAGTGAATATTCTTCACATCAGTTTTCGTTTGGTCTGCCAGAGCTGCCCAAGAGATCCGGGCAACATCGGAGAATGCTCGGATCAGAGGCAAGTCGTCTCCCGTAATCGTTGGCGACGCCTTGCTCCCAATTTTTTGGGGCGACATGCGGTCTGATGCGATTATGACTGCCGAATAGGTTAGCGTGGAGGACTTCACTGCTCTCTGCTGCTCTGCTCTCCTTACCTCCGATGGTCTCGTCCACTGCAAAATTATACCATGCACCGGTGTAGCGATACTTCTTGCCCCCGACCTCGTAGCGTTGCTGCTCAACAGTGACCCATTCACCGTTGTCGCCCATCGCTGGAAATCCGTGTTTGAAGGACAACAACCGAACATCACCTCCATTTTGGATCAGAGTATCCGAAGAGCCTATATCGCGAAGCACGCCATCAACTCCGTAGTGCTTCATGCCGGGTTCTGAGGCCTCATGGCCTGACCAGCCCCACTTCGTTAAGTCATCTGCTCTAAGTCAGCGTTCTGGTCGATCTCGAAAAAGTTCGAAGGTAGCGATTTCTTTTGGGTGTCTCTTGTGGTCGAGCAGGAGCTCTGATGACCACAAGAGAAGCACGTGCCGTCATGAACCATGCTGACTACCTCCAGGGCCTCACTTACCTAGATGATTCTCGTCGTATAGTCCAGCAGCCGAGTCCCGCGGCGGATTGAAGATCTTGCCCGCCTCACTATCGGAGCCCTTCATAGCATTCACGAAGTTGGCGCCCTTGCACTTCGCGCTATCCCACTGACTATCTGCAGCGCTTGAGTACAGGTCGAGATATGTCGATTGTGGATCTTTCCTGAACAGATCAGGCACCAGATTTAGTGTAACGATAAGCGGAACGGGAACCGAGAGGGTGGCAGGGCTCTTTGCAGCGACCTGGACTGTACCTGCAGCGTCCGCGCCCTGGTGGCGCTTCATCTTAGCGAACATACTTGGAGTGTCTTGATACGGCTCCGTGGCGGGCTTAGTATCATCGTTTGCTGGCACTGGCTCGACTACCAAGAGAAGGTTTGGACCTGGCTCCTTTCGATCGTCCCGGAAGACGCGGATCTTAGAGATGTATAGGTTGCCTAGGGTTGCCTTGTGTTGAAGGAGGAAGTAGCTGAACGCTTGGGCGTTTGGTGTGCCTACAAAAGTTAGTTGACTACCTTCAGGGTGATAGAATGAACTCACCTAGGGGTGCCCGTCCCTCGGGCGTATCGGTGTCAAACTCGTACCCTTTCCAGGCTGGGAAGCTCTTTGCGTCAGGATCAACCTCTCTAGTAGCCCGAGAGACGATTTCTTGGATAGCCTCATTGGTGATTGACAACGACAAAAAACTGTTCGGGCCTTTGGCGAGATTACCATACATCTTCCAGTACAGCCACATGATATCGGAAGATGAACGAATAGCGGGAAGTTCGTCACCCTCCACGGGAGGCTCTGTTTTCCTGCCCGCTGACTGAGGCGAGTCTCGATCCATCGCAAGGACGACTATGATGATTGTCAGCAATTGAATTCGGTGACTGTTTCCAGCGTGGATTTGACTGACCTCCTTTCTACGCGTCGAAAGCGATGCCGTAGTGTGCGCACAACCGGCGATACATCCCGCCATCCACGTCGTACGGGGTGGGGTCAAGGTCCCAGCTGCCGTCTTCAAGTTGCTCGAAGCCGTGGACGAAATTTAAATAGTCCATATTGCCGCCCCGGCCATTGCACTTGTCCGAAAGTCCCAGCTCTCGAAGCACGTGGTCTATGCCCCAGTCTCTGAAATCGCCTGAAGCAATCTTCTCCGAATATCCCCAGCCCCACTTCTCTGCGGTGTCGAAGTCGAGGTCTTCAAATTCTGGTGCAGCGGGATCTCGTGTCGGCTTGAAAACTTGACCGGCGTCTCGATCTGACCCGCGCATTGCCCGCACAAAGCTAGCACCCTTGCACTTGGCCTTGTACCAGGCGTCATCGTTGGCGTTATTGAAGAGCGGCAGGTGTGGCTCCTTCGGCGGCTTTGGTGCTGGCCTCGGGGGGACTGTTGGTGTTGGAAGGACATCGCGTTATTTAATGTTGCGGCAGACGTAGCCGCTGTATAGTCGATGGAAACTGCGCTGAGTTGCTTGCTAGCTGGGAGGCGATCATATATACATGCCCTGAGACGTGCTAGTCAAAGATAGTCAACAGAGGTCACGATCAAGGCCTGTCGGACCGACTTGCACCGCAACATTTAAGCTTGCCTACACCCAGAGCTGCGGCTGTACCATCTGCGCAACCCGTACCACGGAGTGCCTGGCTGGCGCCGATAATGACAGCCAGATGTACAACAATGTTGTTGATCTTAATGGTGAGTGGGAGCCACAGATGAGTTCAAAAGCAAAGACTTCAGGAGATAAGCCAATGAGAAAGTTGTGCGGGCACATGGAGGTGAAAGTGAGTATCACCAAGCCGTATTTTCACTCGCGCTCTGCTATATCAGACTTGATGAAGTCAATTCTGTTGCATTCGTGGCATCAGAGACGTTGTTAATGAGCCAGTTACATCTACAATCTCTTTGGACTGCACTATAACATTCGTGTCCGTCACAATGCTGGCCAGGGAGGATCCGAACCCACTTCACAAGCGAGCATGCTCTTCAGCTGGTGCACCTAGCTCTGCCTTCTTCACAGCAAGAAGTAAGCAGGGGTCCGCAAATTTGAGACTGTTCTTAAAGATCGTAATCTTGGAGATCTTGAGATCCCCCAGTGTCGCCTTGTGCTGGACTAGGAAATAGCTAAACGCGAGGGCGTTAGGTGACCCTAGTGGTAGTCAGTAAGTATTATCTAGGCTCCTGCACCCAATCAGGGAATTTCAGAGGTTGTTAATATCCCACTTACCGAGCAGAGCTGCACCTTCCTCAGTGTTGGGATCCACGTCGTGACCTGGCCAGGCAGGGAGTTGATCGAAATTTGCCCTGGAGAGCACGATGTTAATAATTCCCCTCGTCTCATCATTTGTGATCGACAGGGACGCGAAGTAGCGCATTGAAGTGGGTGTACGGCCAGTGGCCCCCTTCCATTTCAGCCAGGCAACATCGGAAAACGACTGAAGCTCCGGTAGGCCGTCTCCTTGAACCCTAGGGTTGCGCTTGCTGCCTGCAAACTGAGGTGACTTGCGGTCCAAAGCTAGGAGTACTCCGCTGGGATCGAAACCGAAGTTGTATTCGCTGCCGGTAACGCGGTAGGTCCTTCCGTTGGCTGTGTATCGTGGCTGCACGTTGTATGGAGATATACCATGGCCTCCACCGTTAGCATTGCTGTCGCCGTGAGTGGCCTTGAAAACCTGGATGCTGCCTCCATCTTTCGTGGCCTTGTCGGAGACTCCAATCGCACGCAAGACGTGGTCCACTCCCCAGGCCTTGGCGAAATCGAAGTAGGTGGCCTGAGGTTCTGCATCGTTCCAAGACCACTTAGTCAGCTCCGCTGTTGGATTGCGTCAGTCAGGCTCACATTAGATATTAGGCTCGTTCTTACCGGTATCGGTGAAGGTGCTCTCAGATGTGTCGCGGGGCGGGTTGAACAGCTTGCCGGCCCCTTCTTTCACAGTGTGCATAGCCTTCCAGAAGTTCTCGCCTCTACACTTGCAAGTGTTCCAGACGTTTTTTGAAGTAGGAGGGTAGGGCAGGGGCGTGATTGTTCCGGAGGTGGTCGTGATATCCCCAGCAGTGGATACATTGGAGTGGCTCAACAAAGGTTGAGCGACTCGGGCGCTGGTCAGCGCGAGTAAGAACGCAGCAATAAGAAAAGAGATCTTCATGTTGATATCAACGTCGTTGAGAGAAGATAGAAGGTTGGGAGTGCGCGCTGGTCGTTGAAAACCAATATCGTAGGTGGGGCGACAAATGGTAGACGAGCTGCTGCTTTCACTTGCGTGGAATATGAGTGAATGTATCCAGGCTTCACTCTTGAGATGCAAGTCACGAACAACATTCCGTCCTAGCAGATTTCATAACACACGGAATACCTCCAGGCTAGCAACTTGCAGTATAGCGAGATGACTTGGTTCACTTCACAAGTACAGACATGACTCAGTCAATTGCTGTAGTAGTACACTAACCCTCATAGTGAGGACTTCTTGAAATCTCAGCGTCGGTTGTGATTGGGCAATATCTTGGCCTTGTGAAGTACTGGCTTGCCCCAGGATCATATTGCGTGCTAAGAGCACTGGCGGAATCGACCGAATACATTGCCACGTGTACAGTTCCGTAGATCTATTCGAATTATAAGAATCAATGGTGAGGATAGTGCCAAAGTACGTCGACGCTGGATGTGCAGGAAGCGAACAAAGGTGGTTTCAGCCTCATCTTTCAAAGAAGGATGCCCCCTCACAGGAAATGCTAAAACCGTCACTCTGTCAAACGACAATGATAGCAGCTTGCATTAGGTTCAGCTATAAAATGGAAGCTCCTCTCTATCACAAGTCTAGCATTCACTGCAACTAAGACAATTGAGCAACCCACTTTCAAGTGACACACTTGCAACACAATGCTCGCCTAATTCGCCATAAGCCTGGTTCTATCGACTTTTGTCGTCTCCCAACCTCTTGGTATCCCCAGAAATGGTATGGAGCTTTCCTTCATAACTCCGCGAGACGAGCTTACGCCTAGCTGCGGTTTGCAGATCGATGATGACCGCGTGGGCAACATCATGCAGAAGAACGGCCAATGCAACAGTATCACGAAGAAAGCCACGTCCTTGAACCTCAATACAGGTTGCGTCTGCACCCTGTTCAGTACGGACTGCGACAAAGACGATCGCAAATCTTGGAGGTGGATTTCAGGAGTTCCGCACCGGAATTATGACTTGACCCACCACAAGGATGTCAAGTGGTATCAGTGCTTCACTAAGCCGCAGGAGGCTGAGGTAAGTTCAATGTATATCACTCAGCGCTGTGGCTATGCTAATCCTTTGCAGGATTGGGTCAACAGATTCGCCGACCACCTTTCTCAGCCGCGCCCAACTATCGGGGTTAAGGATGGACAGCTTGTTTGGGAGTAACACGCCAGTGGTCAATAGCGAGTTCCTGAAGTCCTTGAGCTTGTGCGGAAAGACAGTTTCAACCATCTTCTCAAAAACATACCTTCACTTCATTACATCCATAGATCAATTCGCCACTCGTTCGCTGGCTTTTGCGCTAGATGAACGTATCTTTCCCCCACCGCAGCCGAGCCCACCTTTCACAAAGCTTGCGACTACTCCCATCACTCGGCCACATCTTTCTACTGCCGCCTCGAACAGCAACTATGAAGCTCATCGTCACTGCCCTCGCGCTAGCTGTCGGCCTCGCAACCGCCGCACCAGCCAATGGCGTCAACGCAGACACGTACACCGCCGATATCGAGACCCTACCCAATCCCGAGAAGCGTGCGCCTCGCTTCTCCTGCGGCCAGTACAAGTTCGACGATGACATCGTTCAAGAGTTGTACAGTCAAGTGTGGGCAGGCTATCAAGCAGACCAGATGATCTGCCGCTACCTCAAGTACGAGTCCCGTGACAAGAAGGGCCAGGAAGGCAAGATGGTTGCTGCCAAGATCGACAAGGGCTGCACCTGCTTCTTCTACGAGTAAGGAGTCGAGGACCTTCAGGAGTCGTTGGATACCTCCAGGACTCGGGTTCACGCTGTACATGCTAACACTTTCGACAGGAGTCCGTGTGACCCCAACAATGGTCTCGCCGAGATCTGGGAGGGCTGGGTGGGCTGGCAGAACTACATTGACACGGACAAGAATTTCAGGGGTTGGTACTGCTTTGAGCAGAACTGAGTATGCTCAAGAAACAAAGGCGCAGCTTTAACACTCCTGCACATGATATTTCGTACGATGGAGAGTTCTAGGACAGGATATCTGAGAATGAAAATGTATTTAAGTATGAGTTGAGAAATTAATCAACGTGAACACATCCTTCTCGTTGGGTACAGGTCCACCAGACCTTGAGCTAAGCGTTTTTCCACTATAGCCTCGAAGCCATTCATGCACTCAGCCGTCACCCTAGATCTTCTGACAAAAGTAACCCTTAGCGCCCTGAATTGTGCCATCCAACTGCGGCTCTACCAGCGCGTTGCAGCTCTCGAACCTGCTCACCCTGTAAGTGCGCATATACTGCTTACACGGGCAAAGCCAATGTACTCACTGGAAGAACTCTCAGTGGCACGAGCTATCGACGTACACTTCTCGCACAACACCCTGGAGCTCGTAGCAAGTGCCGGTGTAGAGCTTCTAAGACGCACCGTCACTAAGGTCGACGACACCACATACGAATGGCGTGTCGTTCTTGACGGTGATGGGGCTTACTGAGACGGCGGTATCGAGGGTAAGAAGCCCAGCGGTGAAATTTTGGAAGAGCATTGTGTGGGGTTGGTGGGGTAGTATTGAAGTTGAGGCGGCGGTCAGTAAATACACAGGCCTACATGAAAGATCCACTCCGTAACATCATTGGCTACAAACGTGACTTCAAACGATGTTAGGCAGGGCTTCTCAGACCTACAGAACAACTAAGGAGCGGAAGCGTATCGTGATCGCATAATACACAAAATTTTCTATACATTATCAATACCTTGGGGAAATGGCTTTAATTACTTATCTCGTAGGTGCATCTTATAGATGTTGTTATTGCACTTCGACTACTGTTTACAATAACCTGCTGTATTGCTTTGATTGATCCCGGGCGATGAAAGCTGCTGATATTCTACTTGAGCAGCCAGTTCGAGAGTTTTGACCGGTATACCTGAGTCATCTCAAAATTTCCTCATTACAGCACTGCGGAGGCCCTGACTTCTGCATTATCCGGCCTTCGCAACTATTTGCGAATTCTGTACCCTAGTGACGGAGTCCATCATGAGTACTCTTCTTCATCAAAATCATCGAATATCCAGTGCTCGCGTAGCATTAGACGCTCCTGCTCAGACTCAGCTGCCTCAAGTGCGTCAGCCCTAAGCTTGCTTTCACGTTGCTTCACTTAGTCATACTGATCCAAGGGTACCCATACTTCGGGGCCGATACCAATAGCATCTCTGCAAGCTTGGAGTTGCTCATCTGTTTCAAGCTGCGCAGCTTTCAGGTGCAAGCAGTGCTTCACATCATCTTCCCGGAAACCGATCGGGCAAAGGGGTTTTGCATTGTCGCTCGTATTCGAAATCGATGTTATCACATCGAACCAGTCTTGTCCTAACTCGATCAAGTCAGCTTTGAGAGTGATTTTGTCGCCTTCCCAAGGAGAGCTTGCGTGATCGAATAGTTTGCGTCGCAACGTGCTGACTCCGCGGGTCAGAGCATCATAGTGGATTGGGTTAAGCTTGGCCGTTGCTGCGACCTATGATTGATTGATTGATTAGTTTAACGTCCTTTGTGAGTCTAAGACTATATAGGACGAGAGCAGTGGGGCTGCTCTAGTAATTTACAAGTTTTTCTTTATAAGGGAATAGTATATGTAGATTCTAAGATATATAGTGAGAGCCTGTGCTCTAGTTATAAACAAAGGAAATTAGTTGTCTGTTGTCTGCTGTAGGTACTACTTGCGTGTGCCTACTCTAGTCTCTTAAATAAAAGCTACTGTAGCTTAGATTCCCCTGTTTGTGTCGATTGATTGATTGATTGATTAGTTTAACATCCTGTGTGAGTATAAGACTATAAAGGACAAGAGCAGTAAGGCTGCTCTATTAATTTACAAGTTTTTCTATGTAAGGGAATAGTACGTATAGATTCTTAGATATGTAGTGAGAGCCTGTGCTCTAGTTATAAACAAAGGAAATTAGTTGTCTGTTGTCTCCTATAGGTACTACTTGCGTGTGCCTAATTTAGTCTCTTAAATAAAAGCTAGTGTAGCTTAGATTCCCCTATTTGTGTCTAGGAGAAGAGGCATTGTTAGCCTTGTCTCCTGTAGGCTACTCTTTATTTTCTTTCTTGCTTCTCTGTAGTTTCTATAGCTAAGTAGTAAGTGTTAAGGTGTTTATATATATCTACAGCTATATTTAGAGCTTTCTATTTTTTATATATTGTGCAAGTATGCTTTGTTATATCTATATCTAAGTTTAAGCTAGTAGTAGGTGCTTATAATTTCTCTTCTAGTATTTTTTAGTAGAGATATTTTACTTATTAGTTTTAGCAAGAATCTTGCTGCGTAGGTGCTAGGATTCCTAAGCTTTGCTTTTATAGAGTAGGCCTAGAGTTTATGTTGCCACTCTTGTCTTACAATAGCTTTAATCCTAATACCTGTCATTGCAAGGCTTGTAGTATTAGATACTAGTTGCTGTTTTACAGCTTGTTTTGCTAAGGAGTCTGCTTTTTTGTTTCCTGTAATATCTAGGTGTCCTAGGGTCTAGTATAGGCTAATTATTGCGCCTTTGCTGTGAATTGCCTTTGCTGCCTTTGTGCAGTAGATTTGCTAAGCTTGTCTAGGGTTATTAGAAGGAGTCTTTAGCCTTAGAATAGTTACCTAGTTATCTACAGAGACTTAGATCTCTTGTCCTGCTGTAGCTATAGAGGCTGCAAGCTTAAAGGCTCTTGTTATGCCTTCTAGCTCTCTATTGTATATAATCTAGCCTTTGCTAATATTGTATTTAGTAGAGTAGATTTCTTTAGCCTGCTTTTTATAGTCTAGAGCAGTAACTCCTATTCCTATTCCTGTGCCTTTCTTAATAGAAGAGGCGTCTATGTAGGTAGCAAGTAGGTTATCTCCTAGTCTCTGTAGCATTTACATTTTGTGTTGCTCTACTTCTTCTTCTTTAGAGAGTTTAGAGATCTCTGCTGTGTGTAATATAGTCTTGTTCTAGGGGCAGAAATAGTAGTCCTGCAGTTTTTCTTCTTCTGTGCTAGGAGTAACGTAGTTTACAAGCGAGTGTAAAGAAAGTAGGGGAAGGACTAGACTACTTTCTTCCTAGTCTAGAAGGACCTAGACAAATCTAGACTAGCTTTGTCTAAATAGGAAGCGTATAGCCTAATAGAGGTAAGGTAGGGTTATGTAATATAATAGACAAGTTATTATATTAGATACTAGGGAAAGATTCCTAGGCTAGGTACAGAGCGAACAGAGGGGGGAGAGCCAGAGGTATTTATGCTTCCTCTCCTCTGTTTGTATTTCTAAGCAGAACGTTCTAGACTCCTCTAAGTGGGTCTACTTTATCTATGCTTAGTATTGCTGCATATGCAAGCAAGATTACGTAGGTGCATGCGTAATCGTATACGTCAGCATCTTACAGAGTAGGCTACTCTATTTGTAAGCAGAGGGTCTAGAACATCTCTAGTTACTAAAAATAGAGAACAGCATATCTTAAGAACGAGAGGAGATACAGGCTTCGTAAGCACACCATTCTAATCCTCTCTTCTTGGAGATTACAATAGTAATGCTTAGGTAAGCATAGCGCTATACCCAAAAAGGAAATACGTTAGAGAAAGATTATAAGAACAAAGTCTTATAACTTTACAGCGAGCAGTCTAACCTAAGCAAGTAGTCCATCCTAACTATAATAGCCTAATAACTACTTTGCATTACAATGCCATCCTAACGCAACGTATAATTAACCTATACTAAAGGGACCTTATAGCTTACTATCTAAGCTACAATTAAAGATTGCAACAAGAGCAAAAGACGCGCTATTGCAGCCTTTAGTGTACCTTAAACTACTGTCTGCTAACAACGCTAAGGAGCCCTCTCTTAACGCGATCGCGAGCCTAATTTAAAGAAGCTAAGTAAACTAGAGGAGGAGGCCCTTGTATAACGTATACTTGAGCTTAACACAAGAGGAATACCTGCTACAAAGGCTATGGTGCGAGATATGGCCAATGATCTGCTTGCTGAGCGCGGTGGAGAGCCTGTTGGCAAGCACTGGGTAGACAACTTCAAGACGCGTACGCCGGAGATCAAGCTTTGAAGGAGCCGTCCATATGATCGCTAGCAAGCCCTTAACAAAGATGCACGCGTTATAACGCCCTAGTTTAAGCTAGTTCCTAACACAAAGGCTAAGTACAGCATCACAGACAAAGATATGTATAACTTTAATAAGACAGGCTTTATAATAGGTGTTATCTATAGCTAGATAGTCTTTACAGGCTCTAAGAAGCGTAGCACAAAGAGCCTGCAGCTAGGGAACTGTGGTTAGGTCACCAATATACAAGGAGTTAACGCTAAAGGATAGGCTATCCTACCCTTCCTTATCTTCCCTAGCAAGGTCCTTATTACCTTATAGTTTTATAATCTACCTTAGGATTAGGTAATTAAGGTTAGTCCTAATAGCTAGACGTTGAATAAGCTTGGTATTACCTGGCTGAAGCACTTTAATACCCGTACAAAAGACCAGAAGGTGGGTGCACACAGGTGTAACAACGCTCTACGAACAGTGACCCGATACCGCTAGGATACGGTTCTAGCGACTCATGACCATGGCCCTTGTCGCATGGCATGAGCTCACACCAAACTGCCACCAAACCCTTATATATAAGGAGCAAGGAACTGTAGCTTTATAGAGTAGTTTTTCTGTATCCTTTCGTACAAGACCTATAGGTGTAGAGAATATATCCTGGTGTTCTTATCATCCCAGCACTCCCATATGCCTCGTAGCGGATTCACACCTATTCCGGATATCTCTCTTCTTGCCTGCGTCGTTACAACAGGCTGCTGATTGTGGACGGCTATGAGAGCCACAGCTCACATGAATTCCACAAACACTGTGAGGAAGAGAAGATTATTGTTCTCTGTATGCCTGCTCACTCGTCGCACCTGCTGCAGCCACTTAATGTGGGTTGCTTTTCGCCTTTAAAGCGGGCATATAGTGATAAGATCAGTGGCTTGGCACAGTACAGCTCTAAGCAGATTAAGAAGGAGGCTTTCCTACTAGCCTTTAAAGCAGCTTTTAAG